TTCATGATCCTCTGGAAAGTTGATGGGGCATTGGTCAGGCCGAAGGGCATAGCGCGAAACTCATATTTGCCACTTCGAGTATTAAAGGCAGTCTTTTCGATGGCATTTTCGGCCATTTCGATCTGATAATACCCTTGGGTGAGGTCAATCTTCGAAAGCAGTTTGGCTTTTCCGATCGTATCGAGACAGTCTTGAATACGAGGTAGTGGATATGCATCTTTCACCGTAACGTTGTTGAGCAAGCGGTAATCAATGCACATTCGCCACTTTCCACCAGGTTTCGGCACGAAGAGAACAGGGAATCCCCACGGGCTTCGAGATGGTTGAATCAAGCCCTGTTCGAGGAGATCCCTGATCTGTCTGTCCAACTCGTCTCGATGTTCCTTCGAGAGGGGATAGTAGGGCAAATTGATAGGTTTGGCAGTTCCGGTATCAATTTCGTGCTTGATTTCTCGAGTACGAGGGAATTTCGAGGGTAAAACTTCCTTGAGAACGTGTTGAAAGCGTTGTAAGAGGTGTCGAAATCGTGGGTTCTTGACGGAAGGAATGGGTGATGAATCTTGTTCTTTCTTCGGAGACTCCACAATGTACAGAACGGGTGGACGGTCTTGAGCGGGCGGCTTGCGAAGGGCCTTTTCCGCTCTTCGGTAACTGAGAAGATTTAACCCAACTTCCTTGAGACCTTCGTAGTCGATGGTTCGAAAGGGTCTCAGTTCGACAGCGGTGGATTTTCTGCTTCCATTTCGTAGTGTCACGCACGAGCGCGCGAAATCCCATGAAGCTTCGTGCTTCTGAAGCCAGTCGAGACCTAGGATGACATCGTAGGCATCCCAATCTAGAATTCGAAGAGTAGAACGTGCTCGGAAAGTTCCAATAGTGAGGCCAATAGTCAGTTGCTGGTTCGTCGTAGTTGTCTCTCCATTGGTCAAGCGCACACGAAGGGTGTTGGTCTCCAAGATCTTTAGATCTCCTTGAAGCCGGTTGACCACTTTCTTCGAGACGTAGGAGATATCGGAACCAGTGTCGAAGAGGATACTGACGGGGTACGGGTTCTGCGTCCAACCGAGGTTTCCACTTGCAAGATTATGTCCTTGCAAGCGTTCCAGGTCCTTATCGAAGGTATTGGCAGCCGCGAGGGAGACGTCCCAGGGGTTGGCAGTGAGGGACTCAGCCTCTAGGGGCGCAACTCCAATATGCTTCGAGGGGTCTGGAGCTTTATGGTCGTCAGGTTCCCCTACGCTTGACGACCCTTCCCTTTTCCCCTATGTCCTCGACGGGTCGACTGATTAGCTTTCGGACAGTCTTTCTTCTGATGGCCGGGCTCGCCGCAACCGAAGCAGAGGTTCTCTTCACGGCACTTTTGGCGGGAAGGAGGTGCTTTGCTCGAAGCCTTTTGCCCACTGGTGGCGTTGCCCGATTTCGGCTGGGTACGCATACCATTGAGTGTCATTTCGACGTCACCATCGTGGTCACGTCGAGGTGCTGCTGAATTGCGTGCGTGAGAGGCACCATTAGATGTCGAAGTCGCCGGTTTTCCATAGCGAGACTTGAAAAAGGGAACGCGGTTAGAGGTGGCAAGCATCTCTCGTTCGCTTTTATCGGCGAATTCCACATACTTAGTGTAAGTCCCTGGCACAATCGAGTCAGGAAGGATTTCGATACGGTTCCGGATAGACGTCTTCAGGCCACGTTTGAAGACAAGCAAGCAATCGGCGTCAGAAGGACGTGGCTCAAGGTAAAGACGTCGAGATTCAATGGCCTGCCGAAACGCTTGGACGGTACCTGTCTGCCGAAGCGAGTCGAACTCGTCTCGCCGTTGGTCTTGGGTCCTGACGTCGCCGAATTGGCTGAGGAAGGTGTTCTTCCATTCGGCCCAGGACTGGATCCGAAGCTGGTGCCCTTGGTGGTCTATGTTGTGAATATAGGTTAGGTTCCACCACGCGGCAGCGGCCTTTTCGAGGTACGAAGTCGTTAGAGCAATCCTTTCGGGACCCGTAAGGTTTCTTCGCAGAAGGATTTCCTTGGCCCAAAGCCATCTCTCCATCCCGATTAGCCAGACTCGAGCGGCGTCGTTCTCCCTTTGCCCTCCATACTTCGGGGGCTTTTCGACTCCCGCCCCTCCGATGTTTTGAAAGAGCTCGAGGGGGACGACCGCCTCGAGGGTTGTCGGGTCGGCTTGTCCCTGTTGGGACGTTGAAGGGGTGGCTTGGAATCCAGAAGACGAGGGTACCGGGAAAGTTGGCGGGATTCCGGTAGAAGTTTGTGGGTAAGCGTTCTGCCTAAACGAGGGGAACGGGCTCCCGTCGACGTTGGTCATATCGGTGTCCATTTCGATTGGAAGGGCACGGCATTTGAACGTGAAGTTCCGGGCTGGTTTGGAATGTTCGAAGCACAGAGGATAAGAGAAAGGAACGATGAGAGAATGGAAAAGGGAAAATGATGGCCTCGAAAGGGGCACATTCTTATATAGGAGCTGTCTACCTCGTCCAGCGAGGGCGCTATCTCGGACCGGTCTTCATCGTTTGCACTCTGAAGCCGCCACTATACCGAAGGTGTTCCTTACCGAGTGGCCTTGCCACCACTTTTCAGCTTCCATATTCCCGTCAATCCCCGTCGAAGATAACATCTTGAAGGTCTGGAACCGTGTAGATTCCTCCTCAGGGTAATGGAACGGTCGAGACCTGAGGGTTCAGTGGCGTTTCGTCATTATTCCTCGGTCTGGTCCGGATGTTCTCGAGGTCGAGATCGCTTCCGGCCTTCGTATGTCTCAGTTGTGGAGGTCTAGACGTTCAAAGACCTCGAAAGAGTGGCAAATTTCGAGATACGAAGGAGAGGCAAGAGGATGTTTTCGGGATCCACTGATAGAGTGACTCATGCGTGGCGACCTTTTCGAAGAATTCTTTCTCCGCCCAGCGTCGTTCAGAGGGCTCTCCTGTTGTCGGGGTCTCCGAGGGGGATGAGGAGGCATCCTATCCTCGCGGAAGAAGAGACCATTTCACAGGGTAAAGACATTCTTCGAAGGAGTTGCGATGTTATCGTCGTCGGTTTCGTCTCAACGCTCTGGATTTGCTTCGAATTGAGGTCTAGTCGTTCAAAGACCTCTTGGATCGTCCGACTACGCCTCTCTCCTCCTTGAGAGTGGCGTAGAGGCCCTTGCGGACCTCAGTCCAGGGTAGAGGACTGTCGAAGGCGTTGCTACCAGATGTGATTTTACGGAGGACTTGTCCTATTTCGAAGGGTCCAGGGGACCGTCAGACTATATACTTTCGAAGCGTGTACGAAGCGTACAACGCTTCCGAAGGTCTTTACAAGCCTTGGCGTCGCCACATATCACAAGTGTTTGCCCCCGAAGTTTCTACCTTGCGCAATTTGTTAAACCAGCATTATACAAGATCCTGCCGTCGCAAACCCCTCGAGAGATTTTCAGCATCATTATTCCAGTTCTCTTCCTCCCCGTCACAATGTCTCAACGAGAAGCCTATCAACTTCCAACCCAGTCCGGTGGTTACAATCAGTATGCTAGTGGCTACGCTGCAGGGGATGCATCCGGTGGTCCAACAGTTCAATATGTTTGTGGCGAGTGTGCTGCGAAAGTCAGTCTAGGAAGAGGTGATGCCATACGATGCAGTATGTGCGGCCATAGAGTTCTCTACAAGGAGAGAACCAAGCGGTATGCAGCCAGTTTCGAGAGTCGTTGATTCCCTTACTAACAGAAACATAGAATGGTGCAATTCGAGGCTCGATGATGCATGAATGTAACGATCAACGATCCGACGCCAAGGTCGATGAGAGCATGAACTCGAGACAAACTTCCTCTGGCACAGCGCCGGCGTTAGGTGGGGACTCGTTTCAGGACAAGCATAGATGCAGGACGATGGGAACGTCGTCGAAAGGAATCCGAGGACGTGATGCTGCGAAAGAAACTTTTGAGACACTCGATCTACAGTCTGTTGGTGAACTCTATGAACTTTTCGAATTCTTCCAGGGCCTTCCCACTCTCGATACACCATCTAGCCTTTCTCACACCCTCCTTCCATCTTCCTCCTGCTGGACCTCTCTCCTTTATGACCTCGCCACTGTGACAGGTATCTGCTTCGCAGACGCCGCTTACGACAAATAGAGCCGCGACATTCATCAGGACAAAATGTAATATTGGATCGTCTGGACTTCTCTCATTGCGGAGAATGCTCATCAGAACGGCAGCATTTTGTTTGGGCAATTTTCCACCACCCACCGCCGATAACGGATGCGCAGGAAGACCAAAATCGGCTGGCTCGAGTTCAAAAGTCTCCACATGGGCCAGGTATTTTGGAGCAGCTTCATCATCACCATCACTCGAGTCTTCGTCTTTATCTCCCTTGTAGTCTGGATTTTCCGATTCCCTCAACAACCAGCAATTTGTTTTCCCAGCACAACTGATTTCGTCGAGATCTTCTTGACCGCAAACCACCAGGGCCTTTGTTGTGCCGGATAATTGCAGAGCCTGCGCAAACACAGGTCCCAATTCTTGATACGCCACTCCGACCACTCGAGCTTCAATATGTGCCTCGACAGGGTTGGCAAGGGGACCCATCAGATTGAAAATAGTGCGAAGGCCCAGTTCTCGTCGTACCGTCGCAGCATATTTCATTCCAGGATGAAAGTTGGGGGCGTATAGAAAGGTGTAATTAGTGTGCTCGTATGCCTCGGGTAGAAGCTCTGCGGTCAAGGCTTCAATCTTGGGTGGTATGGGAGGTATTGCATTCAGAACATCTGCCGATCCCGACATTGAAGTCTGAGCTCTATTTCCATGTTTTGCCATCATCAAGATCGGGGAAGCAATGATTGATGATGTGGTGGAAATGTTGAAGGTGGCGTGCGAGTCTCCTCCAGTTCCTACAATATCGCATAACCCTCCTCGATATGTTCCCAATTCACGCTTCCTCTTTCCGACCACTTCTCTCAATCGCTGCTTGTCTGCCTGATTCGCCGCGTTTCGCATGCTTTCCGCGCACTTCGCAATCACATCGGGGTGACGGTCCTTGCCTGTGGAATGCAGTAGGGTCAGGAGCGCTGCCAGTTGCGTGGCGTTCAGTTGATTCTCGAAGGTCCTTGAGAAAGCGAGCGCAATATCTTCCGCATTGACATAATTATCTTGCGGTCTGGGGGCAGATAGCTTTTTAAGGAGAGGAGCTATAGAGACATATTGCGGAGGTGATGTCGCCATTGCCAAAAGCGATATGGTCGTCGATGCCTCGGAAAAGCTGAATTAGAAAACGAGGCCCATGACTTGGTTACGACGAAAGGGCACGTTTATACTCCTTCACAGCGGGGGAATTCACCCTCAGTGTCGCGTAACAAGGGCGAAGACCGGTGATGGGAGGCCGCCAAGGCTAGCATCCCGGGAAGTATTCAACACAATCTGCAGTAGTACGGGCAAGTTGGTACGTACATATGGCAACTGCGTATTTGGCTTCGCCATTTTTCTCGGCGAAAGCTGTGCCCAAGGACGAAGACACGGAAGGAGATCGAGCTTCGTGTATCATTGCGTTTTGATTAGACAAGGCTTGCTAGTCTCGGCCTTGCTCAGTCTCTCAGGGCGGTACCAGAATTCTTCCCGAAAACGGAAAAGTAGTTTATGCCAAGAAAATCCATCGGGAGATTCTCCCATTGAAGCATCTATCACATTGAAAGCGTATTCTCCTGCCTCTCAAGTGTCGAGCATTTCATAATACGTCTATATGCCTCCACGACTACGACTACGTTCTCTTGCGCAATTGGCAGAGCTTCATCTCGAGCAGACCACCTATACCTGTGGGCGATGTCAATATGCGACAGTTGCCACAACACCAGCACCCCCAGACGCGCAAATGCGTGCTTCTATGCCAACATTATCACAATACCCTCCTAGCCAGCCTCCGTCCCATCGAAGTCCCGCGCACCGAAAGTCGCAACTCCTACGATCGTACGTCTCCCTCCTGCAAACAACACCACTCATCGTCCTCTTCCAACACACCAACCTTAAAGCGACAGAATGGGTGGGCATTCGACGTGAATTGACAACCGCTCTGCAAAAGATTGATCAGCAACTTGTCGCCCAAGGTGCACCGGCAGAAGATCTCATTGGAGAACATATCAAACTACAGGTCATTAAGACGAACATCTTCGAACCAGCTCTCCGCATCGCCGAGTATTTCAAACCTAGCAACCTACCTCATGAACCAATGGAAGAGCTATCCGGGAGACATTCAGAAAAGGAAGATCCGTCATTGAGACATGCGCTCTCTGAAGCGGCCTATCGAACAGCGCAGGAACATCAGAACGAACATCCCTTGACCCCTCTTCTGTCGGGTGCGGTCGCTCTTTTAACCTTTCCGGCTGTCTCACCTTTGCACATCAAGACTGCCTTGTCCATTTTGTCACCACAAGCACCTAATTTCCCCGCTCCTACACGCCGAGCAGTTCCATCCCTATATGACCCTCCAGTCCAGGATGGATTAAAGAAGCTGCTTCTTCTCGGCGCAAGGATCGATGGACAAGTCTTTGACATGGAAGGAACTCGGTGGGTTGGGAGCATTGATGGCGGAATTGACGGGTTGCGTGCTCAGTTGGTGGCTCTCTTGCAAGGACTTGGTGCAGGAATTACGAGTACCCTTGAGGGCGCGGGTAGGAGTCTGTGGCTTACGCTGAGGAGTCGGAGAAACATGCTGGAAGAAGAGAAGCCAGTTGAAGGGCGGAAAAAGGAATGAATCCGTCCAATTCTTCTCCTGGGTCAACTACAGTTTTGTGTGTTCTAAGCGCCACGTTTGGTAAAACCACTCGGCGGAAGAAAAGTCTGTCACAATGCTAGATTTCGAGGTAGATTTGAACATGGAACAAGACCCAGTCATATGGTCCTATTTCCTTTATGGCCAATTTTGTGCGCTTTGTCATATTTCCGTGATATCCATTTCCGATCCATAGTCTCAAGCACAGCACACACCAAGCCAGCGCCCTGCTGACGAGATACACCATTCCCCGGTCCCTTTGTACAACGAACACAAGACAATTTTCAAGTAGTAGTGGAGATACAAGCCCTGTGCACCTTTGTCCCATACAAATGGCACACCCTTAGGTATGATACAGCGAAAAGAACTGTCATCCTTCCGCAAAACTCCACGTACTTGAATTGTGAGACCGAAGAATCCCAAGAAAATGTTTGTCGGACGGGAAGAGAACACATTTGAGAGCGTTGACGGCTCAGGCGCAAGAGGCAGCAACCGCCCATCCCGATGCAATTTGGAATCGAAACGAAGTGGTTGGAACGATGTGGAGACGATCGATTGTCTGAGACGAGGATATTTATGTTGCTCTAGATCTGACACGAGGAGCGTCGATGCCGTACACAGTTTTATATTCTTCCACGTATCGATTTCTGTCCGAGTCGGCCTTGTCATTGTATATCTGATGAAGAAGACCATGAGTACGGCTAGACAAACCAAAGCTGGATAAATTTTAAAGTGAGACTTACCTGCTTTTCAGAGGATGACAGGCTCTTCCACTCCTGACCAACCAATTTCCCTATCTCTCCAATGGATACTCCTTTGAAGTCGCCAGATGCATGACGATTTTGGAAAAAGTAGGCATAGGCTGTCACTGGAAGTTTCACCGTTCGGTCGTCCTTGATACCCGAGTACGTGGTCTTCTTTCCATCCGCTTTGGCTTTTCGCTGGAGTTGACGTCGAGCAGTGTTGGCATTCTTGATCTCAAGTGGAGTGTAACTCTGAACCCATTGCTTGTATGCCTGTGCATTCTTCTCTTTGTTCGCATTGGCTTCGTGATTGTATCGCTGGAAATGCGTTAGCACGAGAAGATCCATTCGCCGGCAAGATCGCCTTACCTCGCGCTCTTCAGCTGACAAATTCTTGTACTTGTCAGCGGCGGCAGCAGCTTTGCTCTTGACATCTCCATGTTTCTTTGCTTCCTCCGCAAATACTAGTGTCCACGCTGTCTCAGGAAGCAGTTTTGGTTCATCGAGTAAAGCTGTGGCACGCAACTCGGCTTGTTCTTTTCGTGCTTTCTGGAGGAGAGCAGATTTGCTAGGTGGCTTTCTACCTTTCGGCTTGGTCTTCTTGACAGTGTTCTTTTTGGCTCTTTTGGTGGACTTCTTTGCTGATTTTGCTTTTCGGGGGGTTGTGATCGCAGTGCGCTTTGACTTCGCAGGTACGCGTCCAGTGTGAGCCTTTGGCTTGCTCACAGGCTTCCCTGCAGCTGTCGCGTATGATCTAACTACTTTCGAGATCGATGAGAGGATTACGTAGCCGCGGCGATGGTCGGAAGGTTCATTGTTGGGGGTGCAGCTGCAATTAACGCGTAGAAGAGAGTTGGTTGCAAAAGGTCGCGTGAACGCCCCAGTCGACCTGGCTAGAAGCTGTTTGGACAGCGTCCGGGAAGAAAGGTGTGCGGCCGTCATGGCGACCTCGCGAAGAAATGATGACACCGAATTTGGAAGAATGATTTCAACCCAAGGAGGTGGGCATTGAGATGGTGGATGATATCAGGTGCTGGCAATCCCGCCCTGAGAGGCTGGGGCCTTACGACGGAGACTCCACGCGCGCATGTGGCTCGGGGACGTCACAGTCACGTGAAGAAGATCTGCTTAAGTAACCCATGCCAAGTCCTGTCTTAGCAAATGGCTCCGGCTGAGCGGGGACAGCTGAAGAAGTCTTTCAACCTTCCCATCTTGCAGCCATGATAGCAACATCCTGCGTTGCTGTACATTGCGGACATATATAACGGCGGCGGAAAGGCAGTCTTCATTGGCTCCATACCTTGACTCCTTGTCCATCAATCCTCCATGGGCATCATAACCCTGCTCTCCGATTTTTTTGTGACAACCTAAAAGGAAAAAAATAATAAAAATTAAAATCCCATTCGAGCCTGGTCCTGGTTGCGATTCAAGCAGTAAAGCTCACTTATCTGCAGCCATAGGAATGGCTAGGCACGGGGACACTCGCTCACCATCACCTGCAGGCAGTTCTTATTCCTCGTCAAGGCGCAGTCGAAGAGATGAGGATCGATATGAGAGGAGTCGACGGGATGATGACCGAGGTCATCGGAGGAGGCATTCAAGGTCCCGAAGTCCTGATGTATGTTCTCTTCCACCACTCATTACTTTGTGGAACCGATGCTTACCATTTTCTTTCATCAGAGACGCCACCGCGATCGGGAGCGAGACCGAGATCGTGACCGTGACCGTGATGGCTATCGCCACCGAGACCGCTCCCTAGATCGCCGTTATGACAGTCGAAGAGATGACGACTATTATTATTCGAGACGAGATAGGTCAAGGGATCGAAGACGCTCAAGAGATCGAGATGATCGACGACGCAGTCGAGACAGAGATACACGTTTCAGACGGGAGGATTCTCACGATGGGGACCGTCGATTACGAGACGAGTCTACCGAATCCAGAAAAAGAAAGCGAGATGATAGTCGGGATCGAATTTCAAGACGCGAATCAAGTAATGTCTCCAGGGAGGTGAGTTACACCATGCTCCGCCATGTCTACAGGACTCATCAACTTGTACAGGCTTCGAAACCCTCTACTCCTACACCACACACAGCTGAGGAACAAAAAGCGGCTCGGCTTGCAAAGTTGGAACAGTGGAAAAAAAAACAGGCAGAAGAGCAGGCGAAGAAGCAAAGAGAGCTTGAGGCGGCTGGAGGTGCACGAAGTATTCTGAATGAGATTGACAGAAGAGCAGGAATCTCTCCAGCTGTCGGTTCCCCACAATCACCTGCAGCGCCTGACTCGCCATCGCCCGCTCCCACTCCTTACGCAGGCAAATTCGATCCGAAAGTCATTGTGAAGAAAGCAACTCACCATTCGTCGGCTTCAAATAAAGTTCTTGGAGGCGATATCGCGGCGCCGGCTCTCACCAACGGCCATGTTACCAAAGGAGATCTGTCGCAGCCCCCTCCAAAGCCACCCGCAAATGGGCCACTCAAGTCGAAATCTCTCAAAGCGACGGGCAACTTGGAAAAGTTTGGTCTCGGCAAGGCGGCGACCGAAACCGATGTGTCTAAGAAAACCTTGGATCTGGAGGAGAATGAAGAAACCAAGAAGAAACTTGAGAAACTCCCGAACATGGCGCTGGAAGAGAATGCGGACGCCAATGGTGTTCACCTAGACGCGCATGACGATGGTGATGACGATGTCGACATGGAGGACGAAGGAACGGAAGAAGAAGCCATGGCAGCCGCACGGGCTGCAGCAGAACAACGAAGTCAAGCTGAACGCGGCGATGACGCCACTATGGCTGGCGTGCCTCAGCCTGCGGAGGTATCCAATACGACCGTACAAAACGAGGAAGAAGAAGTCGATCCATTGGATGCTTTCATGCAAGATTTGCAGCCCAAAGCCATGAAGTCATTTCCTCAGAAGACGAAATCCAAGTCTCGGCAACACGAGCCAGAAGCACTTTTCGGTGACGACGAAGTTGAGCTTACTGCCGTTGATGACGAGAACCCCGACAATATCCTCTCGCTTGCCAACGCCAGCGCGAAAAAGAAGAAAAAGGATATTCCAACCGTCAATCATTCCAAAATCCAATACCAACCTTTCCGACGTAATTTTTACTCCGAGCCCGTTGATATGGCTGACTGGACAGATGAAGAAGTCGCAAATTTGCGGATGGAACTTGACAACATTAAGGTCCGCGGAGTGGATGTGCCGAAGCCTGTTCAGAAATGGGCTCAATGTGGACTAGGTGTCCAGGTATTGGAAGTCATTCAGAAACTGGGCTATGAAGCACCAACCAGCATCCAGGCTCAGGCCATTCCGGCCGTCATGTCGGGCCGAGATGTTATTGGTGTGGCTAAAACGGGATCCGGAAAGACCATTGCATTTCTCCTTCCCATGTTTCGACATATCAAAGATCAGCGTCCTTTGGAGCAACTTGATGGACCAATTGGGCTAGTCCTGAGCCCCACGAGAGAACTTGCCACGCAGATCCACAAAGAGTGCAAGCCGTTTTTGAAGGCTCTTGGTTTGAGAGCCGTCTGTGCCTACGGAGGTGCGCCGATCAAGGACCAAATCGCCGATTTGAAACGAGGGGCCGAGATTGTCGTCTGTACACCGGGCCGAATGATCGATCTCCTTGCCGCCAACGGTGGACGAGTTACCAATTTAAAACGTGTGACCTATGTTGTGTTGGACGAAGCCGATCGCATGTTTGACATGGGGTTCGAGCCTCAAGTCATGAAAATTTTGTCGAACATTCGGCCCGATCGTCAGACCGTATTGTTCTCGGCCACTTTTCCTCGCCAAATGGAAGCCCTGGCGAGGAAGACGTTGACCAAACCAGTTGAAATCGTGGTAGGTGGTCGCAGCGTTGTTGCACCAGAAATCACGCAAGTTGTTGAAGTTCGCGAAGAAAACACCAAATTTGTCCGGCTGCTTGAACTCCTCGGGAAGCTCTACGAAGACGACAAAAACGAGGATGATCGTGCTCTCATCTTTGTCGATCGACAGGAATCAGCTGATGGTCTTCTCAGAGATTTGATGAAGAAGGGGTATCCATGTATGTCGATTCATGGCGGAAAGGATCAAATCGACCGCGATTCGACCATCGATGATTTCAAAGCGGGTGTTGTTCCAATCCTTATTGCCACCTCTGTTGCTGCACGGGGTCTTGATGTCAAACAATTGAAACTTGTCGTCAATTACGACGCGCCGAATCATTTGGAGGATTACGTCCATCGAGCTGGTCGGACAGGAAGAGCGGGAAATACTGGAACCGCTGTGACCTTCTTAACAGAAGAACAGGACAGATATGCGGTGGACATTGCCAAGGCATTGAAGCAGAGTGGGCAGCCTGTGCCCGAAGCCGTTCAAAAACTCGTCGACTCGTTCATGGAGAAAGTCAAAGCTGGCAAAGAGAAAGCTGCCGCTTCCGGCTTTGGTGGAAAAGGTCTGGAACGACTCGATCAAGAACGTGATGCCGCCAAAGCTCGTGAACGCAAAACATTCAAGACAGGTGAAGAAGGTGATGAGCAAGACGAGAAGGACGACGGCAAAGAGGCCAACGTTGGCGACGATTTATTTGCCAAAGCAGCTTCCAGTGTCAAAGCTTTCGACGCGACCCCTTCGAGTAATGTATCCAATGTGCCCAAAGGAATCGACCTCGATGGCAAAATCACCGTCCACAAAACCGAACGTGAATCTACATCGTCCTCTGCGCCGAAGAATCAAATGGACAAAGTGGCAGCAGCCGTTGGAGCCATCAATGAAAAACTCTCTAAAGCGGGAGTCATGCGATCCGGTGTACCTATCGACAACAAAGGTCCTGACGCCGGTGCTTTCCACGCCACCTTGGAAATCAATGATTTCCCTCGTAAGTTCCCCTTCCCCCTCTTTCTTCGTGAATCGAATACATGACTGACTTGTCTCGTTCTCCAGAAAAAGCACGCTGGGCTGTCACGAACCGTACTAACGTGGCCAAAATCCTCGAAGCCACGGGTACCTCGATCACGACGAAAGGCTCGTTTTATCCGGCGGGCAAAGAACCTGGGCCAGGCGAGAATCCGAAATTGTATATTTTGGTGGAAGGAGATACTGAGGTGGTGGTGCACGACGCGATGAGGGAGTTGATGCGGCTGCTGAAGGAAGGGACGATGAGTGCTGCGGATGCTGCGGAACGAAGTGGTGGGAGATATTCTGTTCTTTGAACAAAGACCAAAGAGGATCGATGGAATGGAGTGCCACTGATATGGAAGGAGATAGAGTTGACGAGAATAAGGAAACAGTAAAGTATGGCAATCAAGAAGCAATTGCTGAACATTGAATTCTGACTTCAGTCTTGGCTTGATATTTACACATATCTACATTGGATCCATTGTACCTCCCGCCTTATCCATATACGATCATAGCTTATAAGGTGGAGTTCCACGTCCCGCAAAACATTTCCAACATGGGCATCCTCCCCCACCTCAATTACCTTGCTCATTCATCTGTCCAGCTTCAAGTTGACAATGGACATGAACATCTCGGTCAGCTCAAAAGAAGTATCAAGACATGACGTGGAAACCAGCCGAATATCCAAATTTGAGAAGTTATGAAATGAAAAGTGGTTGAAAGACGAAGAAGAAAGGAAACGGATAATGCCTGGGCTCTCTCCCTCTATCAAGAGCCAGCATGACCCTTGACTGGAAGAACGATCCTGCGGGGCTGCTAGTGCCATTCCTGTATTCAGACCCGGTAATCCATCGCCCATACGGCGACACAGCCCAAGGATCAAGTTACCACTTTTGCTCAGTATGCCTAGGTTGCAAGATACCCATGCATGTTTAATCTGTGACAAACACGTTTACAGGGAACAGTAAGGGAGTGCAGTGCCGAGATGTCATAAGACATGAAAGAGAGGTGGACAAGTGGGGCGACAGGGGTAGAGATGAGGAGCAAGAAGACGCGCGAACGGGGAAGGGGAGAAAATATGAAGAGTAGAAGAGTGCTGAAGGAAGCAGAGATATGGTGTAGAAACGGTGCTGTGCACACGACATTGAGAGATAAGAAGAGAGAACTCGCAAATGTGAATGATGTGAAGCAGGGGAAGATGGTTTAAATATTCGAGAGCCGGCCGGTGAGAGAAGCGCTGAAGGTGCAAGAGATCAGAGGCTCTATCAAGGTCAGGTGGCCAAAGGCAGTACCAAGACATGGGAATGAATTGATTCTTGGAAAGGCAGCCTAGAGATGGTCCAGTGATTGTGGAAGTCTATTGATCGTCTTTCATTCAATATCCCAGCCGCCGAAGGTGGACATGTCTGCAGGATTGTTCTTGAGTTGGGATCAGGCTGCAGTATACCCGGTGTGATATATCCAGAGGTAGGGGATCTGCAATGGGAACGAGAGGGCATCACGCGGTGTCAACAATGAGATGCAGCTCTTTTTGGGAAGGGGGGTTTGGTGGCGAAATGTTTCCTATCGGAACCCGAAATGTTGCTGCCTCGAGTTGAGAGAGCTGCTATTGAGCCAGAACGGCCTGTGACCTGAGTGTAACTTTGCCCCAGGGTCGAGGTTGTATTACAAGAGAAATGCTGAATTATGAGGGAGACATTGAAGGCAAGATACAATTTCAATGTATATCATGTTTCCCTGGGCTGTCCATCCAAATCCCCATGCATGCCCATGCATACCAGGGAGCTTCAGCAAGTCTAGATCTTAAATACTGCATAGAGTAACACAATCCCAGAATCCCAGAGCTGAAAAAGCCAAAACCCGAGCCAAGTCTAATGCATCAGATGCAAATGGAGGGCATCGTATCGAGGACTATTTGTTGACTTGTCCATGTTGATGTCGATATCTGTGATTCCTTTCTTTGTTGTTGACTGTCGTTCGGCATCGTGGCTGACTCTCACGCAAAACTCACTTGCCACGTACCTCAGACAGCTCCCATGTGGCGTATTCCCCATATCAATGTATTCTTCCTCCTAATTTTCCGCAACATCATAGCAGCCCGGTCCATTTTCTGGGCCCCTGGATACAAAATATAATGATCTTGGGGTCCACATATCGCAAAGGTGGATCTATTTCAAAATCATAGGTGGGGAACGTTTGCTGTTGCTCCTGCTGCCCCTACTACCCAATCAAATCCACCAATGGCTGGAGCATGCCAGCATCAATATCTTCCAGAAGAAGAGCGTTGAAATTGGACTGGGGCTGCCATATCCCAAAAGCCAGATTCCTGCTGGCTCGTTAACGATGAAAGGGGGTATAAAGAATCACCCACTCCAAGAGGGCTGGATTGCTGTTGCGCCACGTTGGTTGGTGGTGGCACCTGAGCCAAAGCATTTTGAGGAGTGTACTCCCCTTGGAAAGGAACGTATTCCTGGATTGGCAAAGGAGCATATTCCCCGACACTGTTAACTGGAGCGTACTCCTGTGGAAGAGGAGCATCCCCTTCGATAAAGTTGAAAAGAGTGTGCTTTTGGATATCGTGGACAGGAGCGGACGCGGACTCCTGTACGATAGGAGCGCACTCCTCTGCTCGTGGGGTTTGTCCTCCCCTGCCCACGGCTACAGGGCCATTTTGTCGTTGCCTCCCACCAACAAGTCCTGGTGGTGGGACTTTCTCCCCGGCCACTCTCTCCTTGCAAAATTTCATGTGTCGTTTGGCGTTGTCGATGCGGACCCCAAGGGCCCTTTCGCAGCCTTTCCAGCCACATTTGTAGTACTTGGTGGCCCGGGTATCAGCTGGTCCTCGGTTGCAGGCTTTTTCGTGCCGGCGCCTGTTAGAGGCGTCTGCGAACAGCTCCCTGCAATATTTGCACGGGAGCTTATCCTTGTTGTGAACAGCCCTCATATGGGCAAGGAGGGTCCATTTGGAGGTGTACCCGTTGTAGCACCCAGGCTCGCTGCAATAATGGATTTGGAAATGAAATCTTCGAACCGGAAAAATTGACTGAATGTCGATCAAATGGACATTGTTGCAAGATGGGAGCTCCGGTCCAATAGAAAAGTATTGCCAGTTTAGAGGACATTACATGGTGCCCAATCAGTTGTGACGATTCAGACGTGGAACAGCAGAAGGCAGGCATCAGAAGAACTATTTCTTCAGCGTGTGCGCGAAGAGAGTCCCCACATAGATTTATTGAAGGAAGGCGTTGGGATTCCAACATGCAGGTCGTTGTGAACGCAAACGCGTCGCTGATTCGATGTCAAGAAATCTATGCAAGGTTGTGGGGATGGTACAAAGTTGCCTAGTGCTCTCGTGAGCGATTAACCCATTTGACAACATGATCGGACTTAGACCAGTCCACTTGATGAATGGGATAGACAGTCTCGTTTCCTTCTAGGATGGGAGGCCGGCTCCTCTTGGACAATGTGGTGGCAATGGCCAGCGATGGCAAGAGCAAAAGTACTTTTGCTAGATTCGCCGTTGTCGTGAAAATCCGAAGCTCTTTCGTTGGGGGAACCATTGACCATTTGTGTGTGAGCGTGACCACGGCAAAAGGGTGATCGTCGGGACAGTACCATCCATACCGGCGTAATTTTTAGAGCCATGAGGAAATGAGTCATTTAGCTGCCTTTGAATCACCTTGAGTGAAGACGGCATCCTCTGCATTGTGTTGGTTACTTTGTTGATGACGGTCATATCTATTGAAGTTGAAATAGAGTGTAGCATCTCAAGCCTACAGAATTGATGCTGGGCGTGGGAGCGTGTGACAGGACGTGACAGGTCGAGTCGTATTGTGACAGGAAACATACCCAAGCTCTCCCTCACGATAAACGTCATTTGAAACAAACAACCGTTACGGGTAAGACGGTAATGTTCCGCCAACCTTTGACGAATCTCCATGCCCTTCTGAGAGAAATTTCTTCTCTTCAACTTGTATCCCTGACCTTTCTGCCCCCTTTTTCCCGATCACGGCAGTCCACCGTCTTTTGCGCACAAACTGTATTCCTCACCACCATGGGAAACATTTGCTCCAAGTCCGCTAACAAGCCGGACAACTTCTCAACTCCGGGAAGAACTCTTGGATCCAGTGCTCAGCCCAAACCCAACTCGACCACCGTGCCACCGAAAATCACCGCTAGTACCCCTGGTCGAGCACTGGGAGGAAGAGATGGAGCCTCAAGTTCGGAAGATGCAAGAAGCGCTGCAGCAAAAGCCGCCGAGGTAAGCACGGTTCTGGCCGAAGCGCGCATCGACTGTCCAGAAGATTGGCACGGACTTTCAGCCTCGCGTAGAATCGGAATACGATGTGGATTCGAGATATGCTTGACTGACGATCTTTATACAGGAACGAGCCTCAAAGGCCAATAAAACGGGTGGCAAGCTCTCTGCCCAACTCAACTCGCAGAAAAAACAAACTCAAAATCAGCTACTAAATTCGAGGTCCGAAGAAGAGCGACTCGCTCGAGATGCAGATGAACGCGTTAAAGATCGCAATTGGAACTGAGTGGAGACTTTTCCTGTGTTTTCCCTTAACGTCAGATCTCAAAGTGAGTTCCATCTCATCTATCAGATGAGATGCATGGATTTGGTTGCCTTTTCTTCGACGGTGGATCTTCTCTTATGGTCCGTGTACCGTCTTTGATATCCTCCCTTGTGCAAAATTCGACCGTTTCTGAACTTTAATACACTCTGAGAACCTCACTGTGCTCCACCTCTACGTTCAGTTTAGATCGACGGGCTCCGGCTGAACCGTTCGAAAAGATCATATCCGAGACCACAAGGTTTTTTTTTGGGTACTGTTTTTGAATTTCACGATTCACGAAGTGGTGAAGATGAGGGATTTTGGCGCTCTGAGATCGGTGGGAATCGACTCGAATTCGCCATTTTGGAAGCTCGGCTAGGACTCACCGGCAAGCCGTTCTCAGATCTACATCTGATCTCACAGCAATAATCGTTCTCATTGTATACAGCAATCTTTGAACACGTTTGCCAGGTTGAATTTCGGAGACGGAAACTTGTACTTATTCCTTGAATTCCAGATGATCTTGCTACCGCTTCAGACAGATCTAGCATGGAAAATGTGAGTGACGAGCCGACATGTCACGGGCTGAGCAGGAGCATGACCAATTCGTGCAGGAACATTTCTCTCTCTATATTGACTCCTTGGGGGGAAGACCCGACCATACCCATGACCAACAGCGAACAAAATTAAACCCAGAAGTACACCTGAGCAGCAAAAACCACTACCCACCCCTCATCCTTGGGCTTCAGTAGAAGCCTCCGGTGAAGAATTACAGGTACTCCGGCTACTATTGCCACCTATCTCCTCGAACAATTCTCCGGACGAAACGCGTCACCTATTCCCTTCCCATTTGACCTCCCCGTGTCGCGCCTGCGCGGTACACAGTTTCCCTCTCCAGGCCGATCCCAAACCTTGTTTTCTTCGTCTTACCATTCCGGAGCTACCCACTCGCGCTCCCAAGTGCTCCGCTACCCAACTCGCCCCGCCGTCCTCTATGAGGTACTGACTATGTCGTCATGCATTACCGGTTTCCTTGCAAGCTCCACACTGTTAACATTGCCATACCATACAATCTCTCTTCCTGGTCGTCATTACGATCACCAACAGGCCGAAGAGAGAACCACAGTCCCATCACCGCCCACCACCGTCCGCTTCTCTCTGCCTCTTCCTCTTTTCTGTCCCATAATCGCACCGACGACCGCGTCCCAATTTCTTCCGACGTGTCAACCTCAGCCCATTCCATCACATTATCTGACATCTCATATCGCGGAATCAACCTCTCTACCATACCGCATCGAGCAACGGCCCAAAAGTGTCGAGCCTCGATACGCGTCCGCCTTGGAGCCAAGTTTCCTTGTCACGCGGGATTCTGTGCCCTATCAAATCCCGGACTCGTTGCAGATACGTGAACTTGTCTCTGGATTTGTTTGTTCCTGGACGTGCCGACAGCGAGAAACCGGAAGGAACTTGGATGAGACCAGAGGCTAAAGACGACGATAGTGGCCCATAGAGAGAAAGAAAACGCAATTGGGGTGTAGTAGAAGAGGAAAGAGCTGAAACTACTACAAGTGAAAATTAGGTCGAAACCCCACCGACCACGGTTCACAGAGGGACAAGAATAGGGACAGGGATAGCACTACATGAGGAACAAGGTGACCGCTTGGATGCTGGAAATGAGAGCAGGAGAAGGGAAGACTAGGGATTCTGGTAGCGGCACAGGAAAGAGGAGGACCGAGAATGCAGGTAAGGCATTACTCCCGGGCGAGTATAGGTTTTGTGTTTTGCATCTTGTTGGACGCTTTTATCTTTGTGTCTGTCATTTGTCTGTCAAGATCACAAGCGCAGCATCACTTTCGGCTTCGCATATGCGCAGACTTGCTCTACGCTGGAATCTCCAGCATGATCTTTTCAGGGAGCCCTCTACTCCCAACTTTTTATTTCCAAGGAATACCACGGCGTCCTTTCACACGGTATATATCCAGCCCTCCCCTGTTATGGCCGGGGAGACTTCCACCAACCACCCCAGATGTTGTGCGTCGGGTAGTCCTCAGTGTTATATTAACATTGACACAAGAGGCGAGGCCGGCCTCAGGCCAAAAGCTCATCTTCGATTCTTTCACTTCATGAAGCACTTTGCTCTCATCAATTCAGCTCATTTCGTATCGTTTCAGCTCGGGTTCATTTTTCGGAACCATCCACTGTCCAAATTCATGTCACGTTCATTCAGGATTGGCATCACCTGGAAGCAAGTTTCCTCTAACTGCGAACATCTTTCCAGTCGTTCCGGCGACGTATCCATCAACCTGTCTTGCATACTGTTCCACCTGTCTGCTGTTCAGCATGCTCTCCAAACGACTTGGCTCAGTCGGCAACTTGAATAGTCTCTGCCACTCGTCCTCTGGCAATGGCGGCTGCTTTGAAAGCGCCCGTGCTGCATTTTCCGCCTTGCGCTTGGCCTGCCACTGTTGGATCTTGGCTTGCTCTCTGGCCAGAGCGCGAGAGTAGTATGAGAAATTGTTCGCTTCCACATGGTGCGTTTCGATCGAGTCGAGCAGGTTATCGCAGGTTTGGGAGAGGAATGGGTCGATGGAGATTGACAACTTGTCGAAAGACGGGGCAAGACTGTCGTTCTTGATGATCGGATCGTTCTCGATTTCGTCGACGGAAGTGGGTGGTTTCATAATCCCCGACGTAAGCATGCGGGGGACTTGGTGAAGGAAGGTTGTGACAAGGTGCGAGTTGTGGACGGTGACTGGAAGTTCGACCAGGATATCAGTGTATTTCAGACCGGATTTGAGGAGACTACTACATTGTTAGAATGTGGCCCTTGGTTGCAGGATGAGGTGGTTTATACTTCTCAGTGGTGAACTTGTTTTCCTTGTAAGCAGCCACGAACTGTGGAGACAGTCTGAAGGCTCGAATGCTGAGAATTCCTTGCGAACTTCTGCTGACATCGTGGACAAGAGCGACAGTCCTCTCATTCAATTCCTTCTGATAGTAGTATTGGTTCTCGATGAAGTTCATGTTGACGAAATTGCCCAAGTTTGCGCTTGTATACCATCCCACGTTGTTGGCGTCCACATTGACCTCACGAAGCATTCTGATCATTTCCGCCTGGTACGCGGTATTGGATTTTGCACGAGGAGCAGCAGCCGCGGTGTTAAAGTGTTGTTGTTCATATTGTGCCTCTGGTGGCAGATCGACGACAGGGAAAGGGAAGCAGTTTGTGACTTCGAGAGCGCCATTGACGTCCATGCCGACGAGGCTACCAGTGGCGGTGGTAGGAAAGCGGTTTGCGCAGTGCTTGATGACTTTCATGACGACCTGTTCCCTTGTTAGAATAACTTTGCTATACAAGAGAAGTCGACTCGACTATGAACTCACCAACGCTTCTAGCTGGACCGTCTTGAGCGGTGCCTCTTTCCTGCAAATTGTCAGCAATGGTGAATCTATATGATCCGAGGTGCAACATACTCAACGGTAGCAGCCATGGTTGCGTAGGTGTTGAAAAGAAAGAGAGATTGGATTGATTTGGTCTTGTCGACCGATTGTGTGGGATCGGTCGACAATTTTGCGATATTTGGAGAGGGAAAGTCTACCGAAGCAATGGACGGGAGATCAATGGCAGGTTTGCCGAGAAGACGTGAAAGTTGGTCCACGCCGAGAGAAGGAGCATGACGAAAGCCATAGACCCCTCGTGATAATTGAACCCAATTATCACAGCCCAGGAAGTCACACCCTAGACAATGAGGAAAAGCATGTGCAAGCGAGAGTCTCATTGGTTGGCAGATTCATACTCTGTCTCTATCGAGAGAAGCGGCATTCCCACAAAGCAGATTCCTCTGCGTCATAACCCCAATTGGGTTTGAGGGTCACCTTCATACATTGAGATTGCTTCACATACCGCTCTATTCCCCAATCGCTAAACAGATGGTCAACATCTCCCTCTGGCAAATGCTTGTGCTAGGACCAGTTTCCAACATCCAACAGCTATTTTCCGTTATAAGCAACGTCCAGGAACTCGCCGATAGCCGATGTCTTATGGGTATATCCGGGAGGAATGTTTGTGTTCTCAAACGGCGCCCCAGAGACCAGATGATTCACACATTTGGTCCAATTCTCATCCGCATGTTCTTAGCGTCATGTTGCGTGATCCAACGCCCTGTCATCTCGCCTAACTTTTCCGGGTACTTCATAGCCGAATCAAAATCGGTGTGATGATACATTTCTCGATTGCGAAAACCATTTCGCTGGCAGCACGCCACGCGCGGGAATCTACAGAACCTCAACCGCATGCCTCACCAAGCGGGGATACGAGAGACGCAGATTTACTGCAAATTATTGTATGCGCTGGTCGCCAGAGGCAAATTGTTCTTTCCCGCAAGGGCTACGAATGATGCTAGTGATATATCGTCTTCGAAGGACTGTGTTCCACCATTCACAGATGTAGGCGGAAACGGATGTGCCGCGTCTCCCAACTGGATCACGAGTCATCTCGGAGATGACCATGTCGGATTCGGATTCCGCCGCATCAATTTCCAATCAACCACGCTCTCCCCGGGCGTTTGTTTGACAAGTTCCAGAAGCTTGGAAATCTAACTGGGTTCTGATTGAAGTTCGTGAAGCGCGTTATCGACATCTACACGGGACGACCACGATTCTGAAGCCGTATCTGTGACCTGTTTTGGTGAAATGCCAGTTTAGCGAATCCGCAGTGCAGCAGCAGGGCACTGAGGGGTACAAACGAGTGCTTACCCTATGGGTAAGAAGCTATGTAGTTATTTCTTTTGACACCACTGTGACGGCATGTGTTTCGGGGCCGAGGTACGCGCCTACATCGTCCTTTCCGTCATGACAACCCCAGCTTGCGAGTCAGCCCAGGTGAAAGATTGACGGCCAGTATGTTCTTAAAGGTACAATTGTGTCTATCAATACCTGGGTAACATGGCATGTTGAGGAAACGTTCACGATGCCTTCAAGTTCACTTCGGAGCGATGGTAGAAACCGGAAAACAACGATGACAAGGCTGATAGTCAAACTTTCCTTCTGGGAAGCGGGATCCGCTTAGACGCTAGTAAGTGTCTGTTTGCGAAGGCGCACCATGTATTTCTGGCCCCCAAACTGACATTGTAGCAACAGTCTTGCGATATTAGAACTGCGACTCATTTTGGCCGAAATCCTGTGACATCTGACATGAAACTGATGGATGACGGCTTCAAACTGGGTCAAGGTCAACAAGAACTTCATATTCTGGAAGAAGTCTGAGTTACTGATTCAATCCGCTCATCGAGCCGGTTCTGGCACCTCCGCCGGGTTGGAAGAGCCTTCGCGGTCTCGTAAAGGAGAAGGTCTTTCTCTTCCGTGCACCGACGGCAACGCACTTTCTGTTTTCGGGGATTGTGGATGGAGCTCCTCATTGTGGCAACGACTATTTCGTCCAGGTGCCATGCACCTTTTACCAACTTGAAAAGCGCTCAAAGAGCGTACACACGCTGTCACGACGTCGCGGTGGCACCTGTAGAAGCTTTGATGCTCCTGTTGATGCTGTTGTCGTCATTGTTGGTCTTCCTGGCGCACTTCCTGTCGCTGTTGGCTTTTCTGACGTCCTTCCTGTCGTCATGGACTCCGTTGACGGCCATCCTGACTCCCTATTCGCTCAATCTTGGTATCCCATTGAAGCTAAGTTACGACCTCGTCGACAGGAATTTCAAGGGCTCCCGAGGCTTCAGAGACGGCGGAGTGGGGTATATCGTCGAGTCCCTCAAGTGATATTGAATTGACACCAAATGGCATTGATTTGAGTGCTGCCGAGGGTGCTGTTCTTGTGTTGATTGTAAGCAAGGTGGAAGCGACGGGACACAACGTTTTTGGTTGGCCTGTCCTTACTTGGTTAGTTTGCCGAGGCGCAGTCAAAACCGTATCTCACTGGTCAATTTAACAAAAAAAGTGGAACCTGAGCGAAATACAGGAGTATGTCTCCAAATATGGTTAGCGTCTTACCATGTGAGCGAAATACGTATAGCCTTCCTCGATTTAGTGATAGCCATCGTCATCCTCAATGGTGAGATCGAAACCTACGCTCATTCGTCTAGGTGCTGTGCCAGAGAACATTCTAATCGTGGTTACCTATGAGAAACTACAGCAAGAACACTAAACCGGTCGTCTCATCAAATTTCCACTGTTGGCGTCTTCTACCACCATATCTCCAGATCCATCTTCTATGCGTGCACGCGAACGGCTCCGCCTGATCTTATTAGTTGTGACAATTTCCCTGACAATGGATAGATAGATCTTGGGCTGCTAGCTAACTACACATTGCCAACCGATTGACTTGACGATGACAATGCTGGAGATGCAGAGGTGGTATGTCTTGACCATATTTTGCAAAATATCTGCTTCCTTCACTGCCCGTCTCCCCGCCATTTTATTCTTGGGCCTTCACGAAGTCGATGACGGCCACATTCGGACCCGGCCAATGTTTCCGCGCACGCAGAAACCATGAGGCGATGGCAAAGAAAAAGACAAAGAGGAATATCGGCCCCGCGTAGTTCATGTTTGTTGCAGTCACAGGGATCGTGCTTGGAATTGGCAAGAACACCATAATATACAGCGTATAAACGAGGGCAAAACAGTTGATATATACTCCGGATCGACCCAGGTTCCAACTACCAAGCTCAAGAGGCTCGCCACCATGCGTAGAAGACCACCGCGCCAACAACATGGCTGAGATTGCTGTCCCGTAAGAGAAATACAGTGCCAAGGACGACAGTGCTGTGATGGCTCCAAAGGCCGTGGTGGAGCCAATGTTTAGAAGTGACAGCAGCATGACGACGATAAGCGAGAGCCATATGGATCGTATTGGTACAAGATGGGTGGAGTCCACAAGTGCAAACCAGCGAGGTAAGCCTCCGTCTCGGGACCATGCCCAGGTCAGCCGCGAGACTGAAGCGATGGACGCAATGTTGACGCAGAATGAAATAACAAACAATCCACAAACCATAGCAGTGGTCGCTTTGACAGAACCTGTGACTCGGAGGAGGATGGTGATCGCGGGAAAACCGGAGTTGAGGACTTCTTCGATGGGACCCATGGCACTGAGGATAGCAATGACCATGGCATATGCGAGTACGCCGTTGACGGCAATGGACCAGAATGTTGCTCGTGGCACCGCCTGAGGAGCTTTCTTTGTTTCTTCGCTGAGATGGCACGAATCATCAAATCCCGTGAAACTCCACGCACAGGTGAGCATTCCTAAATTCCAGGCAACATAGGTATTGGACCAGCCTGATGATATGGATCGTTCTAAAAAGATGAATTCGGCACTATGGCGGCTGCCCATGACGATCAGAACAACAAGGAACAGGACAAAAAGACACACGTGGAGGATGCCGGCCACCAGCTCAAGCCAGGGGACAATGGCGAATGTCGTACCGAAGGAGTTGATGAGACCTTGGACAAACAGGATAGCGATCATGATGAGTGTGATGTGCCAAGTTTCTGCTACGTAGCTAGGATGATTGAGCATCGCCAACTGCTGCAGAATGATGGCGGTGATATTGGCAATGCCAGCGAGCAAGGAAACCCAGCCGAACCAAGTCATCCAGCCTTGCATCCAGGTGATGAATCTTTTCATGTGCGATGGAGCTAGATTGTATGTCCAGTGGTATTGGGCGCCGGCAATAGGAATAGTCGAGGCCATTTCGGCGATGGATGCCGCTTGTGAGATCGCCCCAAAATAGACAATCATCACGCTCCAGGCAAATGTCTGAGGGCCTCCGTTGTAGAGAGCAAAGAACATATTTCTGTCTAGTGTAAGCTCCTGTGCGTCCCCTGCAGAGGGCATATTGTACTCACGTATTCATTCCTTCCCAGGTGCTCATAAAGGTGAGAGAAAAGGCAAAGATCTGAGAAAAACTGAACAACCTCCGAACCCTCGTCACACTCTCAAGATTTTGTCCATTTGCGCCGATTTGTGAAACCGCTGCGTGACCAGACTTTGCGTTATCACGACTGTTGCAACTTGGGAAACGGTTGACAGTTAACTGCACATCTTTGCCCACTTCGTGCAACTCGTAGTCTTCACCGCGGTCGACCATGGTCTATATAGGGAGAGTTCCACTATCAATTGATAGGAAATATACTTTGTGATGGATAGGAAGAGTCGATTGAAAAGGCATAAACTTGGAATGCAGGCAAACGAGAAAGCAAAAAACAAAGGAAAGGAAAGGAAAAAGAAACAGAGAGACGAGCCAGGAGTGAACTCCAGGCCGACTAATCGAGGACTACACCAGATCAATCTTTTAGCGACGATGGCAGGAGCTTGGCCAATGAAGCCTCTTTGCCCAAGCCATCTAATCTGGATGGGAAAAAGCAGCAGCAGAAGCAGCAGCAGTAGTCACAAGTTAGACTATAGAGTACGGAGTGTCCCAAACAAATCCGTTCACAATGCCTCCCACAGAGGAATAACCCGTCACGGTTTGATGGCGGACCCTTTTTCAGTGTTAGGGCCAGCTGCATACGTTAGCGCGACGGGGAACATGCTCCGGTCGCAAGCTTCTAGCAAGGTTATTATAACTTGCATGGGGACCCTTTCCCCTCTTATCTACTACGGAGTGTTCTTTTGGCGTTTGGGCAACTGGAGGTAATCAATACAAATGGTCATAGAAGCTTCGATATTCTTTGCCTCTGAATAGAACACCTCGCCCGTTGCCAATTGTTCACGGAGGTCTCTGTTATCAGGAGCAATATGGGACCTTCGACTCTTCAAGGCGACAAAGCAGAAGTTGGATCTTTTTAACCTGGAGCGTATGAAACACATTGCTTTCGGACTTCACTCCCTTATTTTAATCGTCAAGTCCTTGTTCGAAACTCAGAGCTACACATGAGATCGTTTTACACTCCAGTGCCCTGTATTAGCGCAATGCTAAGTTATTTGTGGCGGCTTCGGCTGTCGACAATGGGCGCCCGAGTGCCCAGAAAATGCAAGATTTCCTCCCCTTGTAATAATGGACGGTAGCGGGTTCCTGAGACCATAGGAGAAAGCTTCAGGATCGACGTACTTGTTGCAGACCGTTCGGACACGGTATGGACAGAGCACAGCCAGCCCTCCAAGGTCAACCATAAAAAAAAAAGAGAATAGAAGCCATATTCTCACCCGCTCACTGTTCTCTCGACCTTGTATCCCTTTGCACTGTTCAGCATCCTTTTCTTATCGTTTGTTCGTATCATACCGTGATATAATGACGGCTGAAAAAGAGGCTCCAGCATACTTCCAAATTTCGGCAGACAACCATTCGCCATGGGTGGCGGTGACAGCCTTGGTGTTCCTGATATATTCCATCATGGCTGTGGTTTCCAAGGTTGTCTCAAGACTTCAACTTACGTTCATGAAGCTGTACGATTGGCTGATCGTCTCATCGACAATCACTGCTCTCGTTCAGACCACTTGCGTTATTGCAGCATGTAAGAATGGCCTCGGACAGCACCGAGATGCAATCTCTCCGGACAGGTTTGCCATTTTTTCAAAAGTATGTTGAATAAGCAGTTGGTGGCTATGAATCTGCTGACATACTGCAGTATATGTACGCAGCTCAAATGCTATTCATTATCGCCAACGCTCTGGCAAAAGCATCCGTTATCTTCTTCATCATGGCTATATCTCCACAGAGACAAATTCAACAGTCATCCTACACATTGTTGGTCATCATCGCTGGCTGGACAATCTCTGGAGTGTTTGCTCTGGCCTTCCAGTGCCCACTCCCTCATCCTTGGATGTTTGTGGAGGGAAAATGCGTCAGCCGAGAGGCACTGTCCCTCTTCCTCGGGATTGTGAACATTTTGACGGATATTTCCCTGATCGTCATACCATGGGTTATGATGTGGTGGGTGCAGACACACACGCGCATAAAGTATCAAGTCATGGCTTTGTTTGGATCTAGAATCATGTATGTGTCAGACGTACATGCATTTGAAATGCTCCGCTGATAGATCGTCTCAGAGTTCCAATTTTCGTTGTCTTTCAATTACTGACGTATCGCGATTTCTATGAATCCGACGACAGGAGTTGGGCAATGACTGCTCCGGCGATCTGGAGCCAATTAGTTATGAACCTCTCTATCCTCACCGCATGCATACCAAGTTTGAAAACCGTGCTTGACATGTTCAAATCCGGGACTTCATTGTTCACGGTACCAGCGCAATATCAGTCAGAAATGGACAACAGTTCCCAGGGACTGAGATCAAGGCTAGCGACCGCCATTTCTCACAGATTCGCATCGAAGAGGAGCGCCAATAGGAGCCAGAACGACACAACTCATTCATCCAGAGACTGGCCCACCAAACCGATGAAAGCTGTCAGTGGCCAACATTCCGTACAGGTGTCAAGTGCTGTTAGAAATCAGTCCAACGTGAAGGATATTCCTGAACGCAGTGAGAGCCAGAGAAGTCTGACCGAGAACACGATCATGAGAACGGTAGCATATGAGGTCGAGTACGAGGATATGATCGCAACACCACATGTCGGCGAGTTAGACGATCAATCTCGGGTTTCGATGAGCAGCGAAGAACAACACTCTCGTGCTAAGGCGAAGTGAAATTTTGGGAGATATCATGTCTACCTAGCACACTTCATCGTATGTCTCTGGGACTGCACAAGCACCAAAGGACTGGGGGAACACACACGGGCGCACATAGTATACTCCCAGATTCTCGTAGGATGAAAGTCTTACGGGCCCCACAATGCAAAGTTTCGGCCGTTCCTGGTGCCTCATCAACGCAGCTCCAGTGCATCGGCGGGTCTATCAACTCTAGGAGGTACAGCTAATGAGGGACGCCCATTCTCGGCGGATTTCTGTAACAACAACAGAATTATTAGGAGCCTACCGTACACTGAGAAAGTCTTCAGACAACACTGCCGGCCTTCTTGCCAACCGAGCTTGCAGCGTCGTTTGTAGCCTATATGAAGGAACAACCTCGTACCTGGTGATATGTCGGGAGTTCCAGCGACGACAACTAACTAGGGACTTTCCGAAGCGAGACTAGAGCCTAATGGTCACTCTTGGGATCTGCGGCACGGCACTCTCTGGGTCACATCCGTAGTTTGCACTTTTATGTTAGGCGGCTCAAACGCTATCACACCAGCGCGACTAGGCAATGCCAATGTGGTAGTAGAAGAGCAAGTGGCTTGACATCCGTCATGCACTGATTGGGCAGGCCTAGTGTGGAGAAGGCACAACCCTGGGCTTTTTGATCGAGCTGATGATCTCTCTGCCCAACGAGCTCCCAGCACTTCTTGCATCAATGAGGGCTAAGGATGCCCGGCTCCGCCTTGTCCAGAGACACGATCTCTATAGTAAATGTACTCTGCAAGTTGCGTGCTCAATAGCGCACAGGCCGGCACCCACCCGCAATTCACAACAAGCCTCCGGTAATCTTCGTCTATCTGTTGTACAACCAGAGAGGTTGACTTCTGTCCCGTGAAAACGTCATGATGTCTCTTACTCTAGCGTAAATCTGCGAGTTCACGTCAATGTCAATAAGCCAGTTTCCTGTCAAGTGCATTGTGCGATGGAGACTACATCGCTGCTCGAGCCAGAACGAGCTCTATCAGGATGCTGCGAGGACGACCGAAATGGCGACGACATTCTCACGGAACCAGTCACGACATGGAAAGCCGAGACACGAATAATGGTGTCCCACTCCGTGCCCTTGATTTTGACGTACATGCTACAATATTTCTACAGCCTGATTACCGTGCTGGTCGTCAGCCACATCGGGAAGGATGAGCTCGCCGCCGTATCACTGGGCGTGACGACCATGAACATTGTCGGCTTCGCGATTTTCGAGGGCATTGCCACGAGTCTGGACACGTTATGCGCGCAGGCTTATGGGTCCGGCAATCTGAAACTGGTTGGATTACATGTTCAACGAACGGTACTGTTGCTTCTACTCGTGGCTGGTGCCATTGGCACGTTGTGGGTCTGTTCACCGTGGATTCTTGCCAGATTGATTCCACAGCCGCAACTAGCAGTTGTGACGGGGACGTTCCTGAGGGCCTCGCTCGTCGGTGTACCCGGGTACGCCGTATTTGAAGCTGGCAAGCGGTTCCTGCAATCTCAAGGGAACTTCACCGCTTCGTTGGTCGTGCTTTTGATTTGTACGCCAATGAACCTCCTTCTCAATTGGGTGCTGGTGTTCACGCTTAATTTGGGAGTGATGGGGTCGGCGTTTGCAGCCGCCCTGACCAACGACTTCCGGGCCATTCTGCTAATCCTATATGTTGCTCTTTATCTCCCGGAAACGCTTCAATGCTGGCCAGGATTGCTCCCCAGAACCACATTTCAAAACTGGATGCCTATGATCAAGCTCTCTGTGCCGGGCGCAGTCATGACGCTGGGCGAATGGTTTGCCTTTGAGCTGCTCAACTTCAGTGCTGCATACATCATGACTCGTGGCAGCGACCACGCAAACTCGGGCCCTTTGGCAGCCCAGGCGATCCTTTCGACAACGTCAGTGCTGGTATGGCACATCCCCTTTTCCGGCAGCGTGGTGGCAAGCACCAGAGTCGGACATCTAATAGGGAGAGGCTCAGTCAACGCGGCCAAGAGATTGTCCGAATTCTACGCTGTATTCTTTACAGGGATAGCTACGTTGGACTTTGCATTGGTCATCGCCATTGGCGATATTATCGGTCGTTTCGCCACCCAGCAGTCGTCCAGCGATGTGCGAGATCTGGTCATGACGACTCTTCCTTTCGTTGCGATTTTTCAAATCTTCGATGCCGCGGTCTGCTGCATCCATGGAATACTGCGTGGACTGGGCCGACAAGCTATCGGCGGCTGGGCTACCTTCGCAGTCAACTACGGGTTGGGAGTTCCTCTGGCTTTGGTGCTCTCTCTTGGTCCCCCTAAACTCGGGTTGGTAGGTCTCTGGTCTGGGTTGGCCATTGGGCAGACTGTCCTGGCGTCAGTGCAAGCAATAGTCCTACGGATCATGAAATGGGAAAAGTGTGTAGAGGATGCGAGAAAGAGGGAAGAATTTTGTGATTAGCCGGCCGGAGTCTGGAGCAAGGAGGGCGAAGATAAGGGGGAGATAGAGAAGCGACGCTCGCCCGCTCGAACGGGAAAGGGAATCCGGAACGTCGTTATTGAGAAATAGTGGGAGTGTATTGGCCATTTCCAAAGCAATGTCTTCGTACAAGTTGACGGAAAGGAAAAAAAAAAGAGCCCCAGGAATTATGTTTTTTCCGGCTTGCTGATTGTAAAAGCGGCAAGGAGATCGGAGAAAAAGGATCAATGATCTGACCCTCGCCATTTATTTTTTTTTTTTTTTTTAGTCCGTATCATTGAGGTCGCTGACGACATGGCCCACAGCATGTTCACATCTTTGCCCCCGAGTTTGTATATAGACCTTGTACACTAATTCTTTGCTCGGCCAATTCGGCCATTTGGCTAATTGTCGATGTCGTCTAACACCAACTTGGACATCTGGTTTGTGAGTTTACCCCTCAAAACACCACTACAATCGTTTCCATCTAATACTCTGCAGGCTGGTGCATTTGCTGCTTTCACTGTCGATTTGCTTGTTTACCCTCTAGATACCCTCAAGACCCGTCTCCAGTCACAAGATTACCGAAAATTGTACACGAATGCCAACGGCTCAACAAAACCCTCCCTGTTCGGCGGATTGTATCAAGGCGTTGGCTCCATCATCCTTATCACCATTCCCTCCTCGGGCGCATTCTTTACCACCTACGAAACTTTAAAATACCTTCTGAAGGAAAACATTCCTCCCAACTCTACTATTTATCTTCCTCAACCTGCCATACATGCCGTCTCTAGTGCCGGAGCAGAGCTAGTTAGCTGCGCCATCTTGACACCTGCAGAAGTTCTCAAGCAAAATGCTCAAATGATCAGTTCAGGAAAACGGCGTTCCACGTCTCTGGAAGTTTTCAAACAGTTCCAAAGTCATCCGACCAGATTATGGAGGGGCTATGCAGCGTTGGCGGCAAGAAATCTCCCCTTTACCGGGATACAATTTCCAGCATTTGAATCATTAAAATCCTATTTTATGCAAAGACGGAAAGCCCAGAAAGATGGAAAACCTGTCGATGGAGTACTTGAACGGGCAGGGGTTACTGCCATGAGTGCTGGCATAGCCGGTAGTGGTGCGGCATGGATTACAACTCCAATTGATGTGGTCAAGACAAGAATCATGCTAGCAGCGGGATCTGGAGATGATGGTTCAAAGACGGATGCGAAGTCAAAGCCGTCAAAGTGGCTCCTCCATGGTGCTTCGGGATCACGTAAAAGTGGTCTTGTCGTTGCCAGAGAGATTCTCAAAGCAGAAGGCGTGCCAGGATTGTTCCGAGGCGCTTTGCTTCGAGCATGTTGGACATCTCTTGGTAGTGGACTCTATCTTGGATGTTATGAAGGCGGTCGATTCTATCTTGAGAGTACAAGAGAGAAAGAGAAAGAGGGCGATCACCTTATGCAAAGTGACTGGTCGAAAGTGAAAGTTGGGGTCGGGCCAAGCAGATCTCATGGCGTCGTGAGGAAGAGTGCCTGGCAAGAAGATTGAATGCTTCGGAATCCTTCTCCCGGGAACGGCCGGAAATGTCGAGAGGGTTCCCGATTCGTGCGACAAGTAGTTGATACGCTGGTATACTTGTATGTACCTCTGGGTGACCAGCCAGCACCTTGTCCATTCCGGATCCCGTTTGGTATAATCCCAGAACTTCCAATCTGGAACCTATCAGTGTCCGCCAAACGTCAAGATTTGGAGTCTGTGCCATACCGACGCACTTACAACAGGTTCCATTTATTGTTTCTCCCGGGCATCGGACGCCTCCCTCCTGGGAGATTTATGTATCTGAAGCGGAAGCACTTCCAAAATGGTACAAACAGTTTGCAACCTAGTGTCGTCGCTTATGGCCGACTATTCGAATGAGCTCGCATTACTACAGTTATTAGTGATCGCAGGAACTCAACCAGGACCAGATTCCGAACACCAAAGACCAGAAAGGGGAATAAACATGGCTCTTCCCAGCGAGTATTTATTCGCGTTAATCTTTCCACTCATCATCAATATATGTCAGCATACAAATCCTTTCTGGTTTCAAACCCGTATTCATGAATTGCGACTATTTTCGACGCCTGCTGTGTTGACTGCTATGGATATCTCATGGGGAAGGAGTATATATAGTCGACTCTGGGGCAGCTATCGACAACTTTGGGTCTTCCTGCTCGAAGTTCTACGCATTCGCCACACACCTCTACCACGACAATCAGATTCGCGTTCGCCCTCCCCGTGACAGACATCTCAGCCCTCCTTGTAGGGGGGACGGCGCCTTGAGGAAGCCTCTCCTAGAAGAATTCAATCGTCAAAAGCCTCAATCCAAATGCATCGACATCCTTGCAACCTCTGAGAGAGCCTCCAAGTTTAACAGCGCCGGAGTTGAAGTCGTTGCTGGTTCACTATATGACTCAAGCTCATACAAATGTCATTTCTACACTCCATTCTCCAGCTTCACAGGCTAGCACTACCATGACAGGCTTCAGCCAGGTCATCTCAGCAGTAGACAACGTTCATTCAACCCCTCGAAATGGCACAGCGACATTGTCCAGCGCGAGATCCAAAACATGCGATACTTCCGCGACAAACAAGCCGTCAGTGCATTTCTCTGCACCAAAGCAGCACCCACACCAGGATTTCAATACACACTCATGGTTACAGGCATATCCACGGAATGGACACTTGACGAATTCTACGGCTTCAATCACGAAAACTCTGACAGCTAAGATCTATGGCCAGCCAGGTAGCTGTGTCGGTGTGACCAGCATCCCAGATATTGCCAGGAAGTGCCAGTAACTCGCTGCGGATTGGATTCGAGGGGGCTCAGGTCGCACGTTGAGGGTGCAGGTTTGGACGGCAAGACTGGGGAGTTGATCTGCCAGTCAGAGCAGGCGCGAAGCGTCAAGTATCAGGTCAACTAGGCGGTCGTGAATGAGGCGAGGAAAGAGGAAGAGCAAGGCGGGGTCAAAGATGAGGATTGGCCTGAGATGATGTATAGTATCAAGACGCTGCTGGCAAATGAATATAGTGTGGCGGATAGAGTGAGTATGCTGGATAACGGTCGGTTCAGCTTTATACCAAAGACCCCTAGGGAGACGTACGAGAAGGTGTTTCAGAGCGATGCGAAATGAGAACTGGTATTTTCTTATCCCAGGTGGGCAAGATGCTGGTTGCAACTCAATGGCCACGCCTCTAAATTTGATTTAAGACGTCGGTACTCTTCATGACCTCGGAATTGTTCTTACCAGGCCAATGCACTACAAGTTGTGAGAAAAATTCTAACTCATCTCAACGTCCCCATCGTCGTTGCCGACATAACCATTCGCTTCGACTTGCAATTCAGTATCATGGTCGTCTTCGTCTTCTTCGTCTTCCCACGCATCCTCATCCTCATCATCGTCCATTTGATCTTCCACCCCCAGCACCTGATTTAACTGCTGTACCAATTCGACTGCATGCTCCTGTAATCTCTCATCCTCGTATTCCTGCGCGCGATACAGTTCGAGACAAGCATCCAACCACGTCTTCGCCCGTTCCTGACTCTTCGTCCGCTCCTCGGGACTCGTGCTCGGTTTTCGGGAGATGAGAACCTGGCACCAGCCTCCAAGGTACCAGCATTCGACGCTCTGGTCGTCTTCGCGGGTCAGTCCTTCAAGGACCGCCATGGCTTCCGTCTCGGCCTCGACTTCCATCAGCAATCGGCTCAGGCTTACACGCGTCGCGAAGTCGGGTCGCGCCTCATCGTCCACGTCGAGCGGGATGTCCTTCCAGATTGCTAAGCTCCGTTTGAGGGCTTGTCGCGCATCGTCCACACGCGTTTGACTTATCCTCACGCTCGCCAGTGTTTGCATTACACCTGCACTCAGGCGCTCTGGACACACGGCAACAGCCTCGGTCACGAGCGTCTCGCACCGCTGCTCCGCGTCATCTTCCCAGCTTAGATCCGTCATGTAGACCTCAGCCATGGCGCAGAGCGCATCCGCGAGCTTAGCTTTCTTCTCATCGAGCACTCTAGCACTTTGATCCATGACCGTCGCTTCCTCGTCTTCCAGAACCTCGGTCTCATTCCGCAGTACTTCCGTCGCCTTCTCGAAGTATGATATACTCTCTTTCCCGCCCTGTTCGCACAGTTGCGCCAACCATAGCCATGGCTCTGCACTTACCAGTGCCCCATCGGGATCCATTTGCGCTGCCCGCGTGAAACTCGTCCGCGCGGAATCCGCATCGCCCAGCGCAAGTTGGATCTCTGCCTCAAGACTCAATGCCACGGGGAGCGTGGCTTTGCCCTGGGCAGCCAGTTGGAGCAGTGTGTCGATACTATCATTCTCGCTCTTTTGCGTTTGTCTTTCGGCTTCGAGTCTGCTGAGCGCTTCTTCGGCTAGCGGCAGAGCAAGTTCTGGTTGGGACTGTTCGAGAAATTCGGCAGCTTCAGTGAGGAGGTCTTCAATAGGTTTCAGAGACTGCTGGGACTTTTTAGGCGTGGACTTGGATTTGACGAGTGGGATGTTTGTGGAGTGAAGGATATCTTTTTGTTTGGACTGTGATTTTGCCTTCGCTTTGGCCATATCTTCTTCCTGCAGGAAATAAGTCCGCAAGACGGTATGTTAGATCATTTAATGAAAAACGTGAAAGACTAAAGGCGTGCCCCAGAGCCTGCTGGTCACTGCTGGTCAACGTTCTGCTGTTTTTGGAGTTGCCCAACTTTTTTTAAGGAATCTCTTGCGTGCATTTGGTACCCAAAAGTGGACCACGAACATCGCCGCCCAAGTGTTATCACGTGACCGAGTCGGATTGTGGACTTCTGCCAAGGACTCTAGCCCATGCTTGACTAACATTTGTTTACGGAGCATATACAATCCTAGAGCTTTATCGCAACTGATTCCATCTCCAGGCAACTGGATCTCAGTCCTTTCTGAACCTAACTTTACCCTTCGTCCGCATTCAGATTCTACGAGCACTCTCGCAACGCTCCCCGTGAACAGATTCCGACTTCAATCCAAAGAGATATGTATTCTATTCAACCTAACCTTATCGACTGCGCTTGGTGTGGCAACCGGGCTAATAACGCGAAGGATCGATAGTGGATTTGTCATTGGAACAGGCTCACTGGCTGTTTTCTCCATCTCTCAGAGGCTGGCCTTGTCACGAGGCCGCGGCAGTGGATCAAGAGAGTCGACTGATGTCCCAGAGGAACTTGTTTAGCGACCTTTCATCCGATGGAGATTGCTCTACGGGGGAACTTCTCACCACTTTCGCTGGAATTGGAAGGAAAGTGATGCAAGACGTCAAATCAGCTGGGCGCGACACCAGATCATTGTATACTCAAGCGCCCCTTCCTATCTCCCACCTAACAATAGGATTTTCAGAAGCCTACTGTATTACCCTGAACCACGTCCCTGCGCTCTTCATCGAGCCAGAACTTATACAACCAATTTAAATACCATGGATATTCCACGTCATCCTGATCCAGTCACGTACCACATCCGACGGTCTGCCACATGGTGGTTTCCTGACAACGGAGGGGGCAATGGTATACCGAAAAGGAGAACTCTGTGAGGAGGTCTGCATAGAGCGAGTCGATGTACCAACTGGTAGGGGTATGATTGAAGACTAAATTGGCTACATAGGAGGGCCATGGAGCAACTGTGGTTATATAGGGACGAGGGGCCCCCAGGTTGCTCTGATCAAACCGATCATCAAATCACATCACGTGATCCAGCCTCGCGTCTCGCCTCCCAGCTAATTCCTTTGCTATTTTGCTTCCGTGCTCCTCGCCCAACCTTCCTTGATCATGTCCTGGTCTCAATCACAACTACAAGGCTGCGCTATGTATGATCATTGGACAGACCCAGTGCCCCGTCATCTTCTTCAACATGAACGGAGATGGAATATGAAACATACATAGACTGACGTTTCACCGGAAGGATTCCAGTTCTCCGACCGCGGCAGCGTTGATTAATAGACTCCGCTGGTCCAATTTCGCTCAATATCTGATATCGCCTTCTTTGTAAGGCCCGTGTTGACTCGCCGGGATGACTATCTGTTCTCTGAATCCCATAACCAAGTCTGTCCCACGGTGGTCATCATGTTAAAATCCGTCCTCATGAGACCGTCGTCGCTTCCACCGGTTTGATTGATGTATGAGTGCTCTGTATTATATTGATCACGATTCCATGGGCCTCGTTGTGTGCCGTCATTCATCAACCGATTCACATCAGGTGTAGCCACTGCCGAAGCCGGGAACATGGCTTTGCAGAGGTCAGCCTCAGGTTGAAGAGGATCGAAATGGCACGAAATACATCAGACTGATGCTTACCTTGTTGCAATGTAACGATTCCATTATTGAAATCCATGTTTTCGAGTCCGGAAAAGTCAAAACTATCGGTAAACGATGGATCCTGATATAATCCACTCAATATCGACTCGTCACCGGTCCGAATTGAGTTTTGAGAAGTCGCCATATTGTCGGCATCAGCCTGGAATTCTCGTCCCGGTCCAGGTATTGCTGCGAGAGAGGGAATCATTTCCGTCTGTTGTTTCGATATATGGCCACTTGGCATGGTACGGCTTTCCGGTACGTCTGATCCTGAAAGCATCGCTTTGATTTCTTTCTCTCCAATCAAGCGGACGAGATCTTTCAGAATTTTTGTTGTCTGTGCTGACAAAAGGACTTTGCCTGACAAAAAGCGAGAAAGGGACATGATTCGTGCAATTGCCTGTTTTGCCATTTGAGCTTGCGCGGAAAGTGGCCGTGATAATGCTACCACGCACAATACCATTCCTGCGGTAAAAAGATTGATCCCCAAGAATGCGGCCGCATGACTCTCTCGAGCAGAGACCAAGCATTGATGATACTTGCCAAGTTTGGACGATCTTATTGCAGAATCCCAACACTTATCTCGACTTGAGAGCAATATCTGATGAACATCTGGATATGCTGTTTGACTCTCATGACGTGGGTTGTTCAATTCCGAAGGATATTTAATTTCGTCAGGTTCAAGAGGTCGAGAACCTACCTTGAAGCTTCTCAAATCTTGCGACAAAAGCGGTCGATGCAACAAAATTTGAACATTGTCATAGGCGATTTGGAGAGCCAGGGCTTGGAGCATGAATGGTCGTGTGCTAGGAGTTGCTGGTTCGACGGGGTTTCGACACAATTCTTCCAATTTGAGTTCGGGGGGAAGAACATTGAACCAGTTGACAAGCTCATCATTAATTCGAGAAACTTTTGCAGCCAATGCCGACACGCTGGGACTCCGATGGAAGTACAGATCTCCAATGATAGGTGATGAGATTTGGTAAAGCTTGAATTTATACTTCATATATGAGAAAGTGGTGACCGGTTCGATAGTCCCGTCTGGCATGGCCGCCGTTGAACGGAAATTTGGATGCTGTGTGGTGGTATCGCCAATATTCTCTGGAATTTTGACATCGATTTCACCGTTGGGGATACCACAGGGCCGACCAAATATTGTTGCAGCAAAGCTGGGATAGTTGTCAGGCAATATTGGTCTAGGGGGGGGGGCAGATTTCCTACCGATCGAAAACAAACAAAGCCCAGAAGGTTCGTCTCCGTTCTTCTTTGGCCATCTCTGACTGCCATCTCCAGGCTGATTCTTTGTGTAGGGACATGAGTTGGGCGCATCTCAACCCAGCTCCCAAAACAACAAATGCCAGGTTTGGACGACCATGGTACATGTAATAAGAACCGAGCAGCACACAGACTTGCACCGATTCAAGCTCGGCAGCATCATACAAAGTATGCAGGCTATCTTCGACTCTTTTGAGAGATAACCTCTGAAAAGTTTCCAACTGAAAGGAAGGAAATTTTCGGTGTACTTCCTCCTCGGGAGCATAATGTGCTCCAAGAGAAAGCAACAGGACCATGAAAATGATATGATTTGAGCGGGCACGCGCACACCTTCTAGTGGCCATTAAAGCCTCATAACTGGTGCGCAATGTCGGTTCGTGAAAAACCATCATAAACCAATGAACGGCCCCGAGATACGTGCTCAGTAAATAATCGGTGACTCGCTTCGAAGGCAGTTCAAACCCCAGGAGGTCTTCCACCGTGATCTCATCTTTTGTATTTCCCAAAGAGGGCTGAGATCGTCCTATGCCTCCTGGGAGGGCCGACGTTGAACTCTCCAGAACAGTCTCGGGACTAAAGTTGTCGATAATCTAGAGAGCGAATATCATCAGCAACTGTCCAATGTAAAGCCATATGATCCAGTTTACCTCTTGTGTTAGCCCAACGGATGAAATCCTTTGGTTGTAAGAATGTGGGTCAGTCGTTGAAATTTGGTCAAGACTGACGGCAGTCTGTTGTCTATGAGGTGCGGTTGATGGCTCTCCATAGATAGACTTGGCCTCATGGCCTTCCCCATTGCTAAAGCGAGACTGGGGTGATTCACTGTCCGGATGTAGGAGCGGGGGCCGGGCATCTTCTTCCTGCTGAGGGACATGGGCCCGGTCGTCGCGAGATCGCAGACGATGAATTTTCCTTCGTCTGCGATTCGTTAGTATGCAAATTGTCGTCGATCGACTTGTAATATCGGTAGGGGGAGTGTCAGACCGTTGGCGAAATTCTGATATGCAAGCAACTTCAGAACGCAGACACAGCGAACATGGTCGCTCTTGATCGCACTACCAATTGATGTCAGTCAGAACCTGTATGAAGACAGGATTTCAAACCCACCTTCAATTTTTGTCTTCGACATCTTTGACAAGCTGACTGTACACGAGACCGCCGCTTAGCTCTGGGGATGTCTGGGGCATGTTGAGTCCATTCAGCGTCCATAGTTCCAGTGCATCATCCATTTATGAGGTCGGGGAACATTGAAGAGTAGATTTCTGGTTCATGAATGTTCCGAATCAAGCATCGAAGATACCATGGAATGTATTCCAGATCACGGCTTCACGGCAACAAGAGTCATTTGCGTTGGGACACTCTTAATGTGATGAAAAGTTTCAATTCTCAAATACGTGGGGTGCTTGATCGTGGAGAACTGATAAAAATCTGTGGGGTGTTCGCTCTTGGTGCATCCTGGTATTATCACTAGACTCTGCTGATCATTAGAGAGGGTTCAGCCGCCACTGCTAAGTTGCAGACGCAGAAGGACATTTATCTTGAAAATGCGCTCTTGCGGGCAATTTTCTTAGAACAGACCGTGTTTCAATCACTCTCGCTGGTTGAGGAATGTTCTGTTCCTTTGCTCTAGACCTGCTGCGACCAAGAATACGTCTTTGTAGAGACCAGGTACATCAAATATTTATATAGTCTATGAGGGCTGGATTGATTCAAAGAATGTCTTGTTCCGTCCGAAATACGAGGTCAGGTTCCGTGTGCGCCGAGGGGCTCGCCGTCTTTGTTGTTGGTCCAGCGCCGCACGTCAGCTGTGACCAAGAAGGTGTCTCAGTTTGTTAAATTTGCCAGTCGAGCCAATATATCCAAACTGAGCTTGCTGTCCATCCATTCCTCCACTCTATCTGCAAGAGTTCCTTCCTCGTTGACTGTAATGGTAAAAACATATTCATTGTGAAATGGCCCAGCCTTGGTTTCTGCGGTTGCCTTGGCGTAGAGAACAACCTTTCTAGTGACTTTGTCCACGACGCATGCATCTTTGTCGTACATCATATTGAACCCGTTTGGTACCACAGCCATGATCTGTTCGAGCCAAACCGAAAGCTCGTCATTGCTGAACGGAGGTTTTTCGAGTGAGGCGGGAAGCATATGATGGATGCAATTTTGACTGCGGGGTGCCATAACATCTTCGATTGTCCATTTGGAAAAGCCATCTACCACCGCAGTCGCCACTTGAAGCAGTTGAGAGCGGGTTGGAGCCATTTTATCTCGCTTTGACGGGAGAATTTCGACCAGGTGTTGATAGAGAAATCAACTGAACTGTGGCAAATTGCCCTTTGGAGTGCTTGCCGTCAGCCTTATAGCTAGATCCTCCGTCTTCATGCCTTACGCACAGATCGGGATTATGCACATGACCAGTATCTCCATGTCCTTATGTCCTAATTGCGATGGTAATGACGGACATAGAGTGGTCGAGACTTCCGCGTCCCAAGGAATCGACGACAACTGGATTGGACATGGTGTGAAAGACGGCGTTAGAACCCCACAAAAGAGAAAGAGACGTGCAAGATGGCCAGTGTTCTGCTTTTAATGAACGAAAAATCTAAAAATGTCTCCGATGAGGCTATTCAGATCGGAGCATCTTTCCGCCGCAGCGGACCGTCCTACCTCGACGAGCAGCCAGCTCTGCTGTATCTAGTGAGAACGCAGTGTTCTAGTATTGGACCACGTGTCAAGTAAATTAGGGAGTATCGACGTGTTAAGGGATAGGGAGAAGAGAGACATTTCAAAGATCAAAAATGGAAACACTGCCACAGCCTCGGCCATCGGCTTATATTCGGTAGAACCTAAGCGTTTCCCTCTGCCAAACGGGAAATGGCTGTGGATAGAGACGATTTGTCGTATGGGTTAATTTCAATCCAGTGCATCTCGGCATGGGTATAGACGAGCAAAAAGAAGAGCGGGAGGTTCTTGACTCTATCTTTCCAGATGAAATCACAGGTTTGCACAACCACATTGGTTGGAAATTACGAGGCGTCAAATCTAACATTCAATTGCGGCAGATATTTCAGATACTTCCTACCGAATATCCATAACTCTGGAGGTTCCGAATGAGACTCACGACGAAGGATTCGAGCCTCCAGTCCTCCTTTTGAATGTCACATATCCCGAGGCCTACCCTGATGTTGGTCCACACCTTGATATTACTTCCCCACCCAATGGCGTGAAACATCCTCGACTGGACATATCAGAAGACAAGGTTCAATTATTAGATGCATTACGGCCCACGATAGAAGATTCTCTAGGCATGGCAATGGTCTTCACTTTGGTGACGACATTGAAAGAGGCGGCAGAGACATTGATTTCTGATCGACTGCGTCAAGCAGAAGCTGCGCGGGAGCTTGAAGTCCGTCAAAAGGAGGAAGAAGAGAACAGAAAATTCCACGGAACATTGGTAACGAGAGAGCGATTTTGGGAATGGAGGGCAAGGTTTCGAAAAGAGATGGAGGAGAAAGAGAGGAAGCAAAAGGAAGAGGAAGAAGCGGAAGACAAAAAGAAAAAGGGGGCCAAAATTGAGGAGAAGAAATTGACCGGCAAACAACTTTGGGAGAGAGGTCTTGCTGGGAAGGGTGATGAAGAAGATCTGGAGGGAGATGATGCCGTCGCTGCGGTGGAAAAACTCAAGGTCGATGGCTAGATGGGTTTGGTTGACTACACCGAAGCCAGGACAATTTCCGGTTGGCAGAACCACATGCTGTTGCATATTTTGTGCCCAGAGGCAAATGGACGATGGTTGGCGAAGAGCTAGCTTCCCATTCTATCTGCAATCGGCTGGAAGTATCTCTTGCGAAACGGATTCAACTCATCAGCTGTACCGTCCACTTGTCCTCCCGCACAATCGACTCCATCCATGTCTATCTTGGGGACCAACATTCCGGGACGCCTCTCGTAGACGAGCAACCTGCGACTCCATTTGTTGAACTTCTGGATGCATTCGTGTTTCAACTCTAGGTTAGGATGCATGGGTATGACAGTCACTTCTTCTGCCACGTCGTTCTCGTTCGCACTGGGCATCCAGAACGCAAGCCTACCTCCATCGACCAATGTTCTTGCAGCAAATGCTAAGATGTCATATAGCATCCTCGCGAAGGAATAAGGTTTCTTGGGTGCAATATATCCGGGCAATGTGTACGCTGGAACACCGTCAATGCAGTGTATCGGAGGTCCTGTTGGCGACTCGGTTGCCACACTATTCGACTCTGTTGAGGCCGCCTTTCTCGTCCCGAGCACCTTTAAGCCCTCCCGCACGCCATATGGAGGATCACAAACAATGCCATCCAACCACCTACCGTCTGAAGACTGCTGGGTGGGCGGTGAAGCCCGAAAAGGCGTGTTGACCAAGTCCGACGTGAGGCAATCTCCAAACAAATGGGACAAACCATACTTTTTGAAATTGGCGCCCACCCCTTTTTCCACACCACCGCCTTTGCCTCGATAACTTCGACCATCAATGTCTGAACCAAGCACAACAGCTCCCAGTTCGGCAGCCGCTACCATGAAACCCCCGGTGCCGACAAAAGGGTCCAGGAAGATTTTGCCTGGACACGCCAGTGCGAGATTGGCGGTTAGAAGGGCAAGTTCAGCATCCATCGAGGTTGTGGAAATGTACGGTCGTTTCTTCAAATCATGCTTCTCCCTCAGCCAACGACGGGAGTCACCGATCTTGCGAACCAACATGATTCGCCTCAAACTTGTCCGCGCCACGGGATCATAAGGGGCTCCATTCCACTCATTGGCGTTGTCACCATTGATTTGGAGACATGGAGTAACCCACTCTTCCAGCACGGCGAACTCGACGTCTGGGTTCTTCATCCTAATTTTGCCCTCGAAGCCAAGATAGCAGAATGAATCGATAATCTTCTTCTGCTGTGCCACATCTCGCGTGCTCCCGTAGCAGTCCACTGAAAATTTGAATGAGAGGTGTTTGTAGTGAGCCCATAGATGGCGGCTGCGAGTCGACACGTCTCCATGAAGTTCGTCGTAGTTACAGCCGATGCCCCAGATTTCGTAGACGCACTTTGAGAGGATGGCCCTGCTCTCGAAGCCCCGCACTCTCTCATCCACGTCAATATCGTCACCCGACCCAACGTCGTCCTTTCGTGCATGTTGTAGGTCGTGAAACCTGACCACACAAAACGGCGAGTCCTCAATGCAAGAGACGACCTCGCAATGCACGCCCGCGAGTTTTGACAGGGCCTCGAGTTCAGGGCGTCGAAAGCTTTCGTGCACCTGGACAAAACGAATCAGGTACTCCATGTGTGTAGAAAGCGGCAGTACTGCGAGCAGCCATGGATGAAGACTTTGTGAGCCGTTTGATGGGATTTGGGAAGAGGCTGGCCTCTGTAAAGTCAAGATGTACGGAACGGTTTCTCGTTTCCTCGAGCCGGCTGGACGGTAAAATTTGTATTGGCAGCAGTTCTTGGCAAATGTATGGGGCTCTGGAGGCACCCTGTTCTCATCATTGGTTGTCCTTAGAACCTAGTACCTCAGGGAGTATCAGTTGCTGGGTCGAGCTGTGCAGCTTTTACTATAGAAAGAACCTCCTGCTTGTGGTCTGCTACAACGATCTTCATGCATGATGTGAGCTCGTCATGACTTTGATATGATTCCAGGTCCCAGAAGGACCGGACCCTTTTAGCACTGCCGGGGCGTGCCGTGCAGCCTCCAAAGCCTACCTCTCTCTCTTGCACCAGTGGCCCCAGCCAATTTTGCCTCGGTACCCAGGATCTTCCCCAAACCCCACCATGGAGGCTAGATCTTGGGCGTCCCCGGGCTCAATCCCGCTGACAACTTCTATTCGGGTGACCATTTATTCGACTTCTGACATGCATCTGCACGGACTCCGGTGGTGTCACCCAGAATGTCAGAAGACAACTCCAAACAAATTGCTTGTGATCGCTGTCACAGACGCAAAGCACGCTGTGACAAAATTCAACCGGCTTGCTCTTCGTGCATCAAGGCAGAGACGCAATGCGTGTACAGCGCTCGAGATCCGGTCGTGCGCCGTCAGGATATGGAAAAGCTGGAAAGAAGACTGCGACAAATGGAAGCCAAAAATGACGCTTTAACAAGTCAGCTGCGAGAGGCCAACCTTCGGGCAAATGCCAGCAACTCACTAGGTGCTGTACGACCATCCTCCAACATCCAACGGACCGCGGAACCAACTGCAGGAAGCACCAGCTCCACCAACAACGAAGTGGCAAGTCAAGTTTCATTCCTCAGTCTGAGTGCTGGTGGGGAGCGACAATATCTGGGATCTGCAAGTGGACTACTCCTTGCCAATTTGCTTCAGGCTGATAATCGTGCCAAAGTCCGAGGCACGCAGGATGAAGATCATTACAATGCATCACGCAGATTCGGTGCCGGTGGTCGTGGAGGCACGTCGACACCAGATGTCAGTTCTCTACCACCCGAGACACTCGCACGAAGTCTGGTGTCGGCATACCTGGCCCACGATCACTTATGCTATCCTTTTCTTCATCCACGAGGGCTAATAGACAGCCTCGAGTCGATTTACAGCGATCATTCCTTTTACAAAACGCATCCCGTTGAGGCGTTTACCGTGGATATGATCTTGGCGATTGCCACGGCGCAAGTCTCTAAGTTTGATTGGCAAGTCATGCCCGATGCTGAGACTCACCATGACCGAGCAATGAGCAGGCTCGGTACAGTTCTCAGCAAAGGTGGCAGTGTTGCCTTACAGGCCATCCTACTGATCTGCCAATACCGGATTGGAAGTGGTCTGTATGATGCTTCTGCGAGTTTGTGGCACCTGGTCGGTATAGCGGCAAGGATGTGCTTTGAGCTGGGATTGCATCGGGAATCTGTTTACTATTCTCCGGAAGATGGCGCATCCGGAATCGACGAGAGCGCATTCGAAGATTCAGAAGTAAAAAGGAGGTGCTTCTGGTGCGCGTTGGCGATGGACAGAATCACGAGTGTCACTCTGGGGAGGCCCCTCGCAATCCACCTGGACGACTATGACACCGAATTGCCACGTTCTGAAGGAAATCTTGTCGTGAGCCCAGACAACAGTCTCTCCCCTACTGAGCCTATTGGCAGTCCTCCCTGGCAGCTCAGGACGGCCATATTCGTGCAAATTGTACGCTATCGCCTGATCTGCGGGAAGATCCTGAGTTCCTTGCACAACGTTATTCGTTCGAGGATGAGCGTTCCATACGACTATGAAAGCACCCGCGGCATGCTCATTGAGGAACTCGAAGCCTGGCATGCCGACACGCTGATCCTGCCACTCGGAGAGTCACTCGGCGACACGGATCGATCCAGCTTTAGGACCCGGGAGTGGTACGACCTTCTTTACCAGAATGGAATTCTGATGCTCTATCGACCATCTCCGTCCCTCCACGATGCTCCTCACAATCGTGGGACCCTCCAAAGGATCTTCGATGCAGCACAAAAGTCTATCAGCATCTATGCGTATCTTCACAAGTCACGCCGGATCAACTATTCTAGCATCACACTGCACGCGGTCTTCATTGCAGGGCTTTCTTACATTTACGCTGTCCGCTCCCATTTCCAAGGCCGAAGACGACAGCTCAGAAGCAGTATGAACCTATTACAACAAGAACCCGGCGCCTGTCTGTCGACGGATCCAACGATCAACCAGATAGTCAACACCACACGCGATTGTTCGAATGTCCTGGTCGCCGTTTCGGAAAGATGGAGTACTGCCCGGAATGCCCACCACGTATTTGGCCGGCTTAGCGACGCACTGCTCACCGATGTGATTGAGTTTCAGACACAGTCACGAGGTGCATTTGCTGGCACACCACAATACATCATGCCAAATCAAAGCCGGGCACAGAACATGTCAGACATGGCAATGGCCCCTACCACGATGCAACAGCAGTCTTTTTCATCTATCACTCCCAATGGAATGGATTTCAGCTACCAGGAATGTTTTGACGATCTTCAAAATCTTTATACGAGCTATGACTTTGGCAATGTCTCCATGATGCAAGTCTCGCAAGATTGGTTGTTTGAGATTCAGTCTCTGGATCAATCTTTGCCTGGAGTGGGAAACTGAACGATGAGGACTGCTGCAACAATGTACTGAGTTTCAGTTTATGGTATGAATCATCCTCCCTTCCCCTTGAATGCCCGGAAGTGAAGTCTAAGAGCTCCGATACTAAATGCGACCCCGCTCCAAAAATTTGGCAGGGATGTCTACATGCTTGCTCCGGAGGTATTCGCCAATTCCCTTACCCAGACCATCTATACGATCGGAGGATGCTATACCACCATTCAGGTTGTCAAGAACTCGACTAAATGTCCGTTAATGGCTTTTTCACACATTTGGAAGCGGAGATCGGCACACGATGAGATGACTTACAAATGTACCGCGAGAATGTTGGGGAATTCGACTCGCTCGACTCGCCGGAAAGGATTGCATTTAAACCAGTCTTGGCCGAATAGTGACTTGAGTCTCTCCACCGTTAACAGGGTCCTCAACCACGGATATTCATCCTCGTGTCGAACGAAGAAGCCAATATTGGAATTATCGGCTTTATCGCCCGATCGGGCGTGCACAATGCTACCAAGCGGAGCCTTGACCATGGGCCCAAGCGAGGTCACATCGATCGGGTCTTGCGTCTCGTATGAGGGCCTGGGTGTTGGATATTCTGCTGTCTTGGTTGGCGGTGAGATTTCGATGATTCTCCCGTCTCCGACATCAATCCGATGCTGGACAGCAGAAAGGGGAATGATCGCGGGAAATATTTCCATGAATGGCTTGGGCTCCATTGTCCTGAAATCAAGGTTCATGTGGTATCCTGGATAGCTTTGCATTCTCAGAGCATATATCGGAGTCTTGAAATTGCGCGCCGAGATATCTTCCCTTTTTCGAGCCTGCACAAAAACTCGCAATTGTACAGTTCCGGCCTGCTGGCTCTCAGGGTTTTCGACTTCGGACCCGTACAGTTCGATACTCAACTTGCTAAAATTGCTCTTCTTGAAGACGTATTCCAGTTGCCTCTTCATCATTCGAGCTTTCGCCTCGACATCAAGTCCGTTTATGAAAAAGGTAGCTTCAGCTTGATATCCTCCCGGCGCGGCGAACATGACTTTGGTGGTCGGTGGAGGTGGAAGACCAACAACCCCCGACACTCGAACTCGATCTTCCGAGTCTTCTTCCGCTTCGATTTGGATCAGAGAAAGATCTGCCACAACGTCTGGGTTGAGGTAGAGATGGCCTTGCAATTCATACAAAGTCTGAGCCTTCACCGTTTCGGGCGTAACGTGACCACCTCCGGTTGATGTCTTGGTGATCACACATCTCCCCTGAACATCGATCTCGGCAATGGGAAAGGCCATATCTACCAACTCGTCCAGAAAGTCCTTGAAACCAGAGAAGTTAGCCCCCACGACGTAGGCGCCGCATTCAATCAGATGCCCGGCAAGCAATGCTCCCGCCAGCTCGTTGTACTGCTCTTCCACATTCCATCCGAAATGCCACGCAGCCGCGCCCATGACAGGAGAAGCATCAGTGCAACGTCCACAGATCACGATACTTGCTCCGGAGTTCAGAGCCTCAACTATTCCCCGGCAGCCGATATAAGCGTTTCCGCAAAAGGGCTCCAGCTCCCAACCGTCCAAAGTCTGCTCAATGTGATCCAAGTGTGGGAAGGACAAGTCTTTCCGGCGCTCTGAATCCCCTAGAAGGTCTGAAATGTCGTCTCCAAGTACAGCAGCCACTATGACCGAATCATGACCTTTCGCTGTGACAAGATCTCGTACCTTCCGCGTCAAAGATAGAGTATTCAATGCTCCTGCGTTCGTGATGACCTTGATACCTTTGGCCACAATGTCATCGAGGCATTCTTCAAGCTGCACGAAGAAGCCATTTTCGTAACCGAGGTCTGGATTGTCCCTCTTCGTGATTGCATTCCAGGCGATATTCATTTCAGAGAGCCAATCACCAGTAATCACATCGATATTGTCTTCAGCCACCATTCGAGCCATGGCGGTGGGCATGTCACCCGTTGCACCGGAAACATTTCCAATTCGAATCGGGCCTTTACTGATCATTTTCAAACCGGTGATTCTTTTGGAGACTCTGGTTCGAGGTATGAACCTACCAGCAATCAGTTTTCAAAGATATTGGACACGATGAACCCAGTATGGATTTTCCTTCGGCACGTGAGGACGAGAGCACCACAGACAAGTTACATGTTTACTAGAACCTAGGGTTTTGCCATCGGTGCCACCTCCGATGAGCCAACAAATCTAGCCCTTCTCGGTCCACCAACCTAAAGGAGAGGGGCCAACTGAGAAATGTCTACCGAGCTGGTCACGACAAGCACGGCTTCGTGAAAGACCCGGAAATTCAAGCCGATGCTTTGATTAATCATTCGTTCTTCAACCTCTATCCCATTCGAACAGATAGAATTACACATCGATCAAAATCTGGAAGATCTAAGTCTTTCAGAAACAATGCTAGCCAATACATACAAGGATATAACACGTCCATCAATTTGCTTCAATGGCATATTTTTTTGGTGGGTTCTCACGGCTCCAAAATGACTTTCCGAGCAAGCTGTTTCTCAAAGATCTCATAGCCATGAGCGGCCTCTGCCAATGGAAGGCAATGTGTGACCATGCTGGCAAGCTTTTCCCTGTTCGCTATGACAACTTCCAGCGCCTCATCAAACACGGTTCTTACAGGAGCACGCCCGAGGTTAATACTACGAAAGTCAGCCTTACATAGAAACGTTCGAAATGACGATTGACTCACTTCAGATTCTTCTGATAACTCTCGAGAGCTGTAAATGGGAGGTCACCCTGGTGAAAGCCAATAGATGACAGCACACCGCAGGGTCGGAGGAGATCAAACGCTGATCTCAAAGCCGTGTTGTTGCCAACCACTTCAACGACAGCGTCGGCACCACGACCATGTGTCGCATCCATCACGGTCGCCTGGATGTCGTCTCGTCCAAGATTGAGCGGGATACCTCCCAGTTTCGCGGCCTGGTCGAGACGATCATCAACGCTGTCCACTGCGTAGATTGTTCGCACTCCCTTGGAGCGTGCGGTCAAGATCGCACAGAGACCTACGGGGCCGCATCCCAGACACACGAAGATCGCGTCTGCAAGCGACGGCACCTTTGACAGCTGAATAGAGCCGGGCACGCCGAGGTCATGATGATTGACACCGTTCGTTTGATCTGGCGAGCGGAAACATTCAATAGCTCTCATGGCGCCGTAGTATCCCGTGGGGAAAATATCACACATCATGATTAAGAGCTCGTCGTCGAGATTATCAGGCGCCGACTTCAAGGTACCGTCTGCGAACGGCACTCTAACGTACTCTGCCTGACCGCCAGCCAAACCTTGCGTACCAAACGGCGCCAGACCTTTAGGACATCGATTGCTATAGCCATGTTGACAGAACCAACATGACATACTGTGATTCGGGGTTTGACCCCCGTCAGTCTACCAACACCGAGGTGCTACCCCAAAAGGCATAGTAAGAGCAGCGAAAACTCACCAGACCGGAGAGAATGTGCAGACGACTTTCTGACCGACTTTGAAATTGTATACTTCGGATCCTATCTCCTCGATATATCCCACAAATTCGTGCCCCTGAAGCAATCAGTCTCCCAAGACAGGACGAGCGATTTTCGGTCGAGCAATTGTATTTTCTTACCATGATATGCCCGGTTGCCGTCTTCTGATGGCCCCGATACATGTGCAATTCTGAACCACAGATGCCAGCGAAGGTGACCTTTACGATAGCATCCGTGGGATCTGAAAGAGTCGGTTTCGGACGCTTCTCCACGTCAATTTTCCAGGGTCCGTTGAAAATCACGGCGTCCATTTCTGTGAATTTTTTGAGGGATTGAAGTCCAGTATGATATTGTCTTCTTGATGTTTCTCTGTTTGATAACGTCAAGTCTTCAAAATAGAGGGGAATCTGGAAAAAAGATTTTATCCAGCAGAGAAGGGACCGGTTCAATTGAGGCCGAATCTAGACCCTGTGTCCAACATATAGATTTAACGGTTTCTAGGGTGTCGACGTGCATCACCATCACCGTCGAACATGGGAGAACATTGACCTTGGAGAAAACCGCGAATGAGACGCGGATCGAAAAGCTGGCCTTACGCATACCAAGATTCGAGCGGAAATCATCTGCAACCTTTTTTATTCGTGGAACATTCTCTGCGTTTCCCGGCGTAACTGTCCTCACGAACGTTCTCGAGCCAACCTGCTAAGTGGAGATATGGAATTGATGTCCGCTTCATCATCCCGGTTCGGCTGGGCTTCGGAAAGTCACAGGGGGGTCAGGTTGAAGTTGCCGTCGGCGTGGAGGCCGGCTGCGAGCATCTTTGACGGCCGTCACTCCGATCGCGCTTACTCCTTTGTGGAATATTTGGCTCATCCGTTCCATCCCCCTCTGGAATCAATCTCGTTTCGCACGCTCTAATCCGAGTTCTCACACCTGGGTAAAGTGCCCCACAGTGGAGCCCCGAGGGCCCCGTCATTCTCCATTGAAGACAGGATAGACGCTGATGGGTGACGGTATCAACTTTCATCCCGGAGAAACCCCACTGAAATCGATCAACTTTGTTCTTTGTACTAACGTTGCCTGCATGAACCTGCATTGCTGTCGGATTGCCTCTTTGGTTATGCAGGGACCACGAGCATTGTGCCTGAGAGCTCCATCCACGTCACAAGTCACAGTTTAGCTGACAGGATAATTTTCGACGTGACTTATGCCTCGATGCCCATCGCCGCCCTTGAAATACATGATGCCGTACACTAAGTTCAACAACGACGGTAACAGCAAAGTTTCCTGCGCTGAGTCCCAAGGACTTGACCAAGTTCTACATCAACGGCCAATACGCCAAACCAGTTTCAAAGGAGACGTATACTCTGCGAAATCCCAAAGATGATACTGTCGTCGCCGATGCTGTTCCCATCGGAGGACCCGAAGACATCGATTCGGCGGTAGCTACCGCAGAAACTGTCATTCAGGGCCACTGGAGGAATTTCACCGCGGCGCCACGGTCACCATGTCTTCGACGCTTAGCCGACGTTTTAGAAGACAAGATGTTTGACGTATTGACCCTGGACTCATTAGCAACTGGAAATTCGGTCTCACTGATTCCCTCGCGTGAGTATGATATCACGGCAAAGATGTCACCGATTTAGTACCTTTGAGTGATCAAGTCTAATATGAGATTCAGCCGGATGGACAGACAAGCAGAAAGGAGACTACTTCCCGGCAGACAACGACTTTATCAAACCGGTGCATCACGAGCCACTGGGGTAGGCTCGAGCCCTGTTCCAATGCAGCCGGATTTCCAAAAGGCCTTGTTCAAGTCGTGACTGGAGATAGACGGACAGAGGCTCTTTTTGCTAAGCATATGCGTGTGAGAAAGTTATACCTATTCAATACTTTCGACCCGCACAAAAATGGTATGGAGACATTGATGGATTTTTCGTCTCTTGGCAGATTAGTTTTACAGCCAGAGTTGCAACCGGGAAGACACTTCGGATAGGCGGTAAATGCCCAGCCGTGATCTTCGAAGACGTCAATATTGAAAACGCCCTTACGTGGTACGGTAGGCATATCAGATCCCCTAACATATCCAGTATTATTGACCGCCTTATGCTCAGGACGGTTAATGGAATTCTGATTCGATCAGGACGGGTCTGTGTAGCCGCATCACGAGTCCACGTACAACGATCCGTCGCGGAGGAATTCATCAACGTATACATACAGAGAATGAAAGACGCCATTTCAAAGCCGGGGGATCTCCAGGATCCTACGACAGCACTGGGTTCACTCGCCGCAGTCGACAGCTTCGCCAAAGCCCCGGGGAAAAAGACAAGACGAGAGCCGGGACTGGTCGTTGGGGGCGTCAGATACGGCGCCAATGGCTGCTTCATGGGACCAACAGTGTTCTTGAACCTCAACCGGATGCAGATATTGACCAGAGAGAAATCTTTGGTCCTGTCGCGGCGATTAAGACCTTTGAAAATGAAGATGAAGCTGTTGAATTGGCCAACGATACCGATTTCTGACCGATGGCCGGTGTATTCAGGAGAGATATTAATCGTGCCATGAGGGCGTCCTGATCAAGTGAGTATCCAATCATATTGGACGAAAATGTAACAGTTCTCAATTATTGACATGTGGAATAGTATGAATGCACGATAAGATGCCGGCGGCCGAAACTGATAGATTTGCTGGAATTCTGTCAAACCTTCTGTACAATTTGAATGGAAAGAATGCGCTCTGGCTCTCCGAATGAATGCAGGATAGAGTCCATCTATACACCTATCTAAACAGTGTCAACGTTGCTGCCTGTGCTACCGCCTGTCAACGTGTTGTACCGTCGCATACAACCCACTGACATTGGATCAACGGATTCATCCTCCATTCGCACTCCTTGTCATCCATCTGAAATGATGGCTCTGAGGTTGATATTATCATTAATCTCATGACTTCTGATAGATCTGGTTAGTGAGAACAATTCTTCGGAGGCTATATCAACTTGCGGCTTGGATGAATGCTGCGTAGATTATCCTCTCTCCAAAGTAACTGTCTTCACCATATACTCAAAAAGTTGATAGCTGCAGGTAAAGAGGCTTCGCCGTAGACGACCGGCCTGTAGAACTGGAGCTTCTTTCTCCTCGGACGTAATGAGATAGGAGTGGGTACCAGTGATTGCTCTTCATACCACGTGGTCCTTCTAACCGTTTGGATTTCGGGGGCTGAGTGGGGTTCGGGGTTCGTTGACCCCCTTTCGCCCGTCCAGTATCAAAGCGAAAAAGGCTTTGCCTACAGAAACAACCTAATTCACTTCAAGTACATCTGAAAACGTCAACAAAGCAACATGCCATCTCAACCCGTAAAAGATATAAACCTCCCCAAATTCGACGAACTTCCTCTCGACCTCAGTCACCCACCTCATTCAGCATGGTACCTCTGGGGCAAAAATGATCAACTAGGCTGTCTGAATCTATTGACGCCAGAACGAGTAGTACAAGCCGCTACGAACGAGATCAAAACCGGCATCTCAGTCGGATTGAACTGGGGCATGGACCAGATGAGAGTTCCGCCTTTCTATAGGACGAAACTTGAACACGAGATCTTCGGTATTGGGGAATTTATCAATGTACGGACCAGATACGAAAACTTTCTTTGAAGATCGAAATAGCTGACCCTGACGACTTTGAACAGGATGATAAACTCGAGTTCAACACGCAGAATAGTAGCCAATGGGACAGTTTTCGACACTGGTCTTTTCCTGACGGACGGTTTTACAATGGAGTGACACAAGATGAAGTTCGGGACGGTATTTCTCTGAGAAATGGGATTCATGGTAAGTTTTCATCACCTCATCATCTTGCTCAGTCGGCCTGCCAGATTTCAGGAGACTGGTATGTGCCATTGTGCTGTCTCACGTGTGGGCGGTATTGACTCAGCATATAGAATGGGCCAAGCGAGGCATTGTTGGTCGAGGCGTCCTGATCGATTTTTACTCGTATATGCTAGAACGACACGGCAAAGACTGGGATCCGTGGATGTATCATAAAGTCCCCGTGTCAGTGATTGAGGCCATTGCCAAAGACAAAGAGATTATTTTTCAGACGGGCGATATTTTATTTATACGGACAGGTGAGCAATGCAATCCAGACCCATCATATCTAACCACAGCTTAACCCTTTTGGCCCTGCTTCTCCACGGTATCTTGAAGAATGCGTTATTAACCACGGGATTCTGTCTGTATTTCAGGCTTCGTGAAACGCTACCAAACCATGCCACTCGACGAACTGACCGAGAAAATGGACCAGCCCGAATACCACTACCCGGGCCTTGAAGGATCCAAAGAGTCCCTACGCTGGCTCTGGGATTCGCACTTCGCAGCCGTGGCCGCAGATAGCCCTGGCTTCGAGGCCTGGAGCGCCGGACTAAACGATTCCGACGAACAGTTTCGAATGCATGAGATCGTCCTCAGCGGATTCGGCCTGCCAATCGGCGAACTATTTGATCTTGAGGCTCTGGCGACAGAGTGTGAGAGACAGCACAGATGGAGCTTCTTCGTCACCAGTATGCCGTTGAACGTTCCTGGAGGGGTGGGTAGTCCACCAAATGCGGTGGCCATATTTTAACAACTACAAATACAACTATTTTCTTTGGACATAACGTTGTTCAATCGGGGGATACTGTAGATGTTGCGAAAGAAGCGACTTCCCGACAAGGACGCCTTGGAATGGATCTCGGAGCGACAGAAATTGTGCGTGAACAATCCTATCGCTACAGTCTCAACTGTCCTCGGGCTTGGGAGTCTGAATTGAATCCGGGAATCAAAATCCGTAACCCTGAACTCAACTTACTCAAGCAGCCCAATCAAGCTCAGGATCGGCGGCAAGGCCGAAAGATGCGGCACGCCTCCGACTGTTCCATTGAGAGGGGGGGTCAGGGAGCGACATTCACGAACTACCGACCGATCCACACATGATTACGGCATTCGTCCTGAATGAAGGCGTTGCGCGACTCGGGAGTCTGTTCATATGGACAAAATCAATCAGGGCTCCAAGCTCTGTTACTTTTTACTTCCTCCCACGTGAAAGAGGATTCTTGAAATTTGCGCGATACGGGGAAATTGATTTTACTCCAGAGCTAAAACCTGGGTGTCGGATGGCAGCAGTGCATAATTCACAGATCTTTCTCTGTTTAGCTGCAAATGTCATTACACATATTCACAATCGGAGTGTTTCCATATCTTCAAGACGAGGCTGTACTATCCATCCTACATTTGTATCCACATTAACGAAGATACTGGCATACTCACTAGAATACGAACGGAAGCGCCATTCTATGGATCAACCAAATTTCTAACATTAAATCTCAACCTCGGAGCCTCCCCGCGCTGTACCAAACAACAAACTCTCCGGTCCCACCTCCACGAGTCATATTCCGCTTTATCTGCCCCATATCGTTGGGGGAACGATGTCAGTCCTTCGGAACCCGGTCACCTCCAAGCCCACTTAATGTCCATGTTCAAGCTTCGACAGGCTTAGCTATCTTCTGTAGCGAAAACTCGGTTGACCGGCCGAACCAGCGCCTTTGAGCGCTGCTCCACCTGCAGTAGCACGAGTATCTAGGTAAGCAAGAAAGATGTTCGAGCATGGCTCCAAAAGACTGGGGGTTCATTACTCGACCACACCGCACACCGCACAATCGACGACCCTGGATTGATCCCTTTTTTTTCCTTTCCCCTCATCCCACTGGATTCCTATCTTATCCTATCAACTTCACAGCTGTCGGTACCCCCTCCGACCAACACACCTCTATAAAATCTAGCCCCAGACCCCAGATTTCTTTCCCCGGTCCAGCTCTACTCGGTTCAAGAGGAGGATTGAGAATTTCTCTCCTGCTCATCTCTTCCGTCTGTATCAGACACATTTGATCATCCTTAAGGTCTGGGTCGCGTACAAAATGGCTGCTTCACCGTCTCTGATACGGCTCTTGGTATGGCTTATCACCATCATCCTCTTCTTCAGGCCTTTATGCAACAAGTCAAAGAAGGGGAGAATAATTCTAACTCGAAATACTACGTATCCAGATCGTTCTCTTTGTCGCTCTGGGTTCCTTAACCTATGGCTATTGCAGCAGTATCATAGCCACAACCCTTGGCCAGCCTTCATTCATCACATACTTCTCTCTCGACACGCGATCCAATGCCACCGATCTCACGGGCGCCATTAATGGATTATATCAAGCAGGCGGTCTCTTCGGGTGTTTGTCCTGCATTCAATCGGCAGATTGGCTGGGACGAAGGAAAGCCATCTTACTTGCTTCAGTCATTACAGTGATTGGCGGCGCGCTTCAAGCTGGCAGTGTCAATGTCTCTATGTATATCGTCATGCGGTTCGTGACGGGAGTGGGAATTGGTGAGTTCCAGTTTCTTTTCCCTCTCCGGACTTTCATTCTTTCCCTCACCATTATCCACAATCTGAAATGATGATCTATACCTTTCTCGTTTGCGTCGAAACACACAACCAGAACTGACGAGAAGTATCCGTCCAGGCGCCCTCGTCACACTGGTCCCTTTATATCAGTCTGAAATCGCCCCTCCCAAGATCCGCGGCTGGCTCGTCGGCATGCACGGCGTCCTTATCTGCGTCGGCTACAGTCTCGCCTCCTGGGTCGGATTGGGCTTCTACTTTGTCAACGCGAGCGGCGCACAGTGGCGCCTCCCACTCGCCATCCAATGCTTCCCGCCTTTCTTCTTATCCTTGGGAGTCCTATTCCTCCCAGAATCCCCTCGCTGGCTCATCGACCACGACCGCATCGAAGACGCGTACAAGTCCTTCAAAGCCGTAAGGGCCGAAACGACAGATTCCATTGCCAACGACGAAGTGGCGATCCAAGCCGAGTTCAATTTACTTCAGGGCCAGCTGATGCATGAGAAAATGGAGGCGTTAAGCTTCATTGATTTGTTCAGACGGCCGTCCATGAGGAAACGGTGTACTGTGGGATGGTTGACGATGTTCGGAGCCCAAGGGACGGCGACATTGGTTATTAATAGTAAGTTCGCCCTCCACCTTATCGAGCCTCCAAGATATATGATATCCTAACGTTGTAAATTTTTTTTTAGACTACGGTCCATCGCTATATGCATCTTTGGGGTTCAATACTGTTCAACAACTTCTCATCCAATGTGGATGGATTTCGGTTTGTCCATTTGGCAACTGGATCAATGCATTGGTCGTTGATAAAGTCGGTCGAACTCGAATGCTCAGTGAGTCCCACACTCGTTTCTTCCCTACTCTGAAATCCCTCCTCACCATTCTTTTCTCCTTCCTAGTGTTCGGCTTCGCGGGCTGTGTCATCGCCTTGATCGGCGAATGTATCACAGTGGACGTCTTCCAACGAACAGGCCACCGTGGCGCCGCCAGCGCCGCCGTCTTCTTCCTCTTCCTCCACATCGCTTTCTTCTCTTCCTCCTGCGACGCGACATCATATATTTATGCGTCTGAGATTTTCCCCACCCCGGTCCGAGCCAAGGGTCTCTCCGTCTCCGTCTCAGGACTGTTCATAGCGACCATCATCTTCTTGCAATCGGCTCCACCAGCCTTTTCGAACATTGGCTGGAAATACTATACCGTGTTCATTGCTGTGACTACCGTCATTTTCTTCATCGTTTGGTTCTGGTTCCCCGAGACCCGAGAACGTTCGCTTGAGGATATTGGTGAACTCTTTGGTGATTCTGTGGAGCCTGCACCGCTGGGCGAGGAAAAGATTCGCTCGGAAAACATCGAGGAGGTGCCGGTGCGAATTGAAGATATGCGCGACAAGTCTTGAACCAGAAACCCGATACACTTAACATTCGAATGCTCATCAGAAGATTTTTGGTGGCTTGGTCATTTCTGGAAATCAGAAGATTGTCGTATTCTTTGCCCAGTTTGTCAAATGTACATATAAAGTGGAAGACTGAACGCATACTCCCGCAGAGCGTGTCCATGATATCTCCTACTTTGGCACTTGATAAACTCGTCACTCCCGCCACGGCTTTGCTTTGTCTTCGTCCTCTCCTCGTCCACCATGTCTCAAAGAGAGTGCCGAAAGGAGTTCTCCAGATTTCAGTGGCCAAAGGCTAAAGGCAACCCAGCTGAAGAGGTGTCTGACCAGAACACGTTCACTGTATCTGGCCTCGTGTTGGATTTTAGCCCAGATCAGACCGCGTCCGTACCGGTCAAAACAGGTGAAAAGCAGATGTTTGAGCCGTCCATAACTTGCAAGCTTGGGATAGCTTTTTCGCTTACTGCTCGGACTTCATCAATTGACTGCTCTAAGATGACAGACACGCGTAGGCGTGCTCGCGAGAGCATACAACACTCGAGGTAGACAATGCCCGATTTCGAAGATGTTGACCCATGGCATGGTTGCCCGCCAGGCTGCAGCACAGGCAACAACACTAAAGGGCACTGTTCAGATAGATATATAGATGGGCTCTATCCTGCACTCATTGGAAGAGCCAGAGCATTCATTCAAATTCAAGTTGCACAAGAAGTTTGACGGAAGATCACTGCTTACCATCGGCTTTTCCTACCACTGCGCGAATGATCTCATCATGAAAATCATTGCTGGCGGGCCCTTTCAACTTCACCACCTCGTTCCGAGTCAAGATCATTATGTCCCTCGACAGGTGCTGGATCTCACCACTGAACGAAAGTGACATTACCGTAGTTCCGCTCTCGTGAAAGCAGATAAGGATCTTCGGAGTTGGCGAATGCCAGTCTTCCTGAGGTTTGGCAAGATCGACAATCTCGTCCAAAACTTGAGCTTGAAAATCGCTAATGGCGTTGTCGAATTCATCAAATACGAAGAAAGTTTGTTCAGAGAATTGAAGAAGCTCTTTCACAAGCCTTCTCGGTATATTTAGCGAAGGCTTGCTCCTTAGTTTCGAATCTGGGTCACGGAGGAACAAAGACAAATCCGGCCGCTTTCTCAGCAATCGTCCGTATGTCCCCTTAGAGTCAATTCCCGGGAATTTTCATTGTCCATTCCGTAAAGTCATTACCACTGTAGTAGAGAGGCACAAGATATGGGGATTCGGGAAAGAGGAGTCGAATCAACGAAGAACGTCGCCAGCGTTGTCTTTCCTGATCCAGGTTTACCTTGTAGCCAGGCAAGTTTATGAGGGTCGTCCGGGTCCAGCCAGCCACGGTGCGATTGTGGGATGTTCGAGAGGCCATGCACATGTATCCCTTTCTTCTTTTCCTGAGATCCCTGAACCTGTCTTCTCCAGCCTGGAAATGCGTCTTTATCCAGCCAGACGAGTATATCCTGTAGCTGCTCCTGATGAATGTCTGCTTCAGTTCTATCCAGATGCTGTAAGATCTGCTGGTGGTATCTCCGCATTTCAACGATCTCCGGTGTCGGTGCTTCCTTAGAGAGTAGGGATTTTTTCTGTCGAGATTTGGAGGATTTGATCCTAGCAAGATTCAACACTCTTCCATGAGTCAACCAATTAGAGACTCCGGCCGGTCCAGCCAAAAATTTCATGTGAATATCAGTGAAATGCAAGTATATCTGCGAAGGTGTGTCCTATTAGGACTGAGTGCTTGTCCAAATAACTAAATGGTATTGAACTGGGAAAACGTGGGAAGCTGTTGGAAAGCAGTATGTCGGTTACGCTCACGTCCTTAGGACAAGCGATCCCAAGGAAAGGTTTGATCGGAGGCTCCGAGGAGGCCAGGAAAACTTGTGTTGCAATCTCCTTTGAGGAAATTTGCACTAGGCAAGCGCGAGGACATCTGCCAATTGACCGAGATCTGTGAGGAAGCAGCTGATAAAGCGCTCATGCCGGAGCAGGCCCACCTATCTCCAATCCTTTCGTGCAGGGAGTTCTCAAATCCTTGGCTTTCCTCTGCTAATGTCTGAACCTTTTGGGCCTGATGAGTTCTCCATTGTTTTGTCAAGCTTCAAGGTCATGGACGCTCATGCGTTTGAGACTGTGCGTCGAGAATAGGTAGTCTTCACGAAGTCCCTCATCAGAAAGTTCGCCGAAAACAACTGCTAGCCCTAGTACGGTTCACGTGTCCGACTCCGCTTCTGCTTCAGAGGTTCCAAGAGGGGTGGGATGGTCAACTTCCCCGACAGTTATATTGTTTATCAAGAGACGAAGTCGGAATGCAGAATCGCACTATAGTGTAATGCCCTAGGGTGCGCGCGGCGAGGCCCGTTGGGCAGCAATCTGTCCAGAGAGCAGGACTGACGATTGGCGGTGAACTCGAGAATTAGAGTGGTTGCGAAGGCTCCTCCCTAGCCGACAGCTTAAACCCAACGAATATACGTATATACAGGTCCACTAGGCCTTGGATTTACGAGATTTCAAGGCGGACAAGAATCTGATCTCTTCCATGTGCTGTCCATACATCCAACAAAGTAGAGTAATGGCAGTCAGTGGGATTGTAATGACCCAATATATCCAGAACCGTTCTGAAACCAACCATTCATGTTCGCCCGTGTTGTCATCCACTGAAAGCGTGAAAAAGCTCATACTGAACACAGTCTGTAAACTTCGTTGAGCATTGACGATCCTGCAAATCTCAAGCTACGGGGCACTCACGGAGACAAATGTGGCTGGTAGGAGGGCCAGAGTGACTACAGCGATGGTCTTCATTGAAGCACTGTCACTTCGTGTGGCTTGGCTGATTTCCACGGTTGCTTTGCTGTCTCTCTGAACGACAACATTGAAGCCCTTTGCCAAGTTAGCATATATTCCCGGGACTGAGATGCATCTAACCAGATTGATTTCATTAGACAGTCTCGCGTTAAGGGATTCTGCACGGCCACGAAAATTTTGTAGTATCTTGAGCCAGAACGAAATTCGCTTGTGGGGGCACCTTTTCTGGAGGGCGGCGGCAGTCGGGTTGATGCATTTGCAAGAACCACGGGCGTCGAGCTTGGATTCTTCGATGAGCTCTGTGATAGTATCGACGGCAACGCCAAGAACTTCGCACGTATGAATGATGTGCCGGGCAAGGTTATGGAGTTGGGCAAAGTCGGAGTCTCTAGCCGTGGTTGCAGGGCGCCCCTAGAAAATTGTAATCATCTCTTGTTAGCAGAACCAAGTGCTTCGGCTGAACTCAACCTTTCGATTCTCACCTTTTCGATATTCCGGATGCAATGGCGAATGGTCCAAATCGATCTGTCATAGAGCTTTGAAACTTCCCCAATGATTGTGCTTTGAAGGAAGACTATCGTGTTCTTTGGCGGATCACATATGGTGAAGTCCATTTTATCAACAAGGCCACTCTGGAAATGGCTCGGCGTGTCAAAGCAAAAAGCCACAACACTCCCCTTGGTGAAGGAACAGATGTAAAAGCTCATTTCGTACCAGTCATAGAGGTACCATTCAGCCTCGCTGGCTGATTGAGCCGAGCTGTCCTTCAGCTGCTTGACCAAAAATTGAAACCATGAAGCTATCGAAGACCTCGTTTCAGTATCAGGCCTCTATCGAAGAGGAGAGTTCAGAGATTACTGTCAATCACCGTTGTTCCATCTGTGTGAAGATGGCGATCATTGCCCACATATCCGTTTGAGCGGTAGCAGACATCGTCCCATAACATCGACGGATAGGCCCATTTCGTGGTCATCAGACTTTGAAGTAGCGGGGAATCTAGGAAGGGTTTCAATTTGGAAAATCTGAAAAGTGTCAGCGAGCCTTCTGCCGGAGAATCATACTCGGGTCGTCATACACAACCTGCACTCCCTGCTGCGGCTCAGTCTAGCAAGCAATTAGTGACGTCGGACATTCGGCCTAGGGCAAACTCCCCTGAAGAAATGCATCTGTATTGAGCTCGCTTTTCTTGACTTGTCCATTTACTAGCCATCAATGTCAGTGGTCAGTCCCGGGCTTCTAGATCGCTCCCCAACCTTGCCCATAAACATCAAGCTTCGCCATTGCTTGAATTTGGGTCATTTGGGACGGCATGTATATTCACCTCACCTGAGAAACTCATCAGGAAGAGAAAAGATGAAGATGACTTGGGTGATCAGGCTGAAAGCGCCTTCTGTAGGCTGGCGCTCTTCATGGCGAATTTCACCGGCTGCCGTGTGATATGAGTGGCTGGCCGCCTCGGAGGCGGTGCCTTGGGCTAGAGAGAAATACGATGCATCGACTAGCCTCTTTGAATTGGTTTGGCCGTAGAGGCGCAAAATCAAACACCCTTCTCGATAGGATTGCACAGCTATCGAAGAGCATCAGTTGCGGCAAGAGATGGTGCATACCGATGGCGACCTCGTCCGGCAAGCACGGAGAAATGCCACAGGACCGCAAAATGACGACGTGGACCGTAAGCTCTTGAGCTTTTCTATCTGTTTGTTCGCCTCGTCCACCACATCCCTTTTTCCGCGACCGATGTTTTCAGGTACGAAGAGCAAGCTTGCACTTGGAGCTAAATCTTGCGAAGTAAATTGCTTTCGACGAGTCTGCAGATTGCCTGGTACCAAGGAAACAGTCATCTGATCTCGCCCAAACATCGAATTCGACATGATGACCGAGTCTCCCCCTACCTTGCAATGAGTTCGCCGTCCTACACGCTAAGAAAGTTGTAAAAGATAATGAATCTGCCCAAGAGCGTGGGAACATTGTGCTCGGTGGCCCAAGCTGCGTCGGGCGCAGCTGTGGCAAGATATTACACATGTCTCTGGCAAGAGAGAAAACGGCAAATCACCGTTCGCAATGGAGCTCACGCGTCCAAACTCGTTCTTGAATGCAAAAGTGGTTTGAAAATACCCCATGAGCGATGCTATGAGCACATTCCAAGACTCGACTTGACATGCCTTTTAAGGTTTTCCCTCTGTCACTGATTTCAATCCGGTAATATCGGCCGGAATGGATCCTCGCTCACACTACATGGCACTTGCTTGCTTATGAACACAATGTCTTCTTCAAAAATGCGACCTCCTTAGGATGCAAGATTTCCCTTGCGGGGCCCATCAGTTCATAATGGTCTGCATCTACAATGGTCAACTCCTTCGGTTCACTCAGCTTTTCGTACTGTCTCAACACCATATCCGGAGGGCCATTGGTATCTCTAGTGGCCACGCCATAGAAGATGGGTGTCGGAGTCACATCCATCAAGTGTGACATTGGAAGCGAGTACGTCGAGATATCATCCAGACTTCTCGCCTCGTTAGCAAGTATTCCTAGCGCAGCAAAGCTCACCATCCAACAATTAGCGGTTTAAACTCACCTTCTCAGTGTTAGCTCGTTCTTCCACGCGGACCCGTTCTTCTCCCACTGCGAGAAGAAAGCGAACGATTCTGGGCTGGGCAGCGCGGGCTGGGCACCAAGCTCACTTGCAACCACAGGGACAGTGATAGGAGGTTTTCCCTCGGCCCTGGCGAGCCTGTCTATCTCAAACAAGCTTTGCATTGCATTTATGGCGTGAGGCGGCGCTAGCCTTTTCACGATCTCTCTTCCGTCCAACGCTGGACCCAGCGCAATGATCGCCTTCACCCGTCGATCAATGGCAGTCACATACATCGCTTCCCCCGCTGACAATGAATAACCCCAAAGCGCAATCTTGGATTTATCGACCTCTTGCCTTGTTTGGACGTAAGTGATTGCGTCCCGCATATCGTTCGCTTGAAGCCAGGTGATGACTTCTTGCCTGGGTGCATGTGGTGCGGTGTCCGATGTCCCGAATCCTCGATGATCGTACACCAAACATGTCACCGGCAACTCTGATACGAATTTTTCGGCCACCTCGCCCAGGCCCATTTCTTTGATACATGATAGGCCATGTGACAGGATGACGCAGGGGAGTTTTGTCGAGGCAGGCGTGGAAGAAGGGATGAAGAACCAGCCTCGCAGCGTGACACCATCGAAGGTCTTGAATGAGACGTCTGTTCGTGGCATCGCCACTGTCCGTTGCTCGAAGATGACTAAGAAGTATAGGAAGTATCGTGTCTCTTCGGCCTCGAATCGGGGCAGCGGACGTTAATCAGTGAGCCAGACTTGGGAGTCAGCTTATAGATGAATATATATGTTCCGTCACACCTTCCGTTTCCGTTGCCTCTTTCTTCGCGCTCACCTTCCGACGGGGGAATACAGACTGTTGGGGAAGTCCAGTTGAGGTGAGATTTTGTTCCCGTCTCGGCGGTCGCAAGCATAACACGAACAGAGAACAAGAGAGATTGGATACTCTGTTCCAGAGATTTGGCGGAGAAATCCTCCCGGATCCCAGAAATCTCCATGATCGGTCTCACGGACTCGAGAGGTCCAAGTTCCAAATTCAACTACTTTTGCGATCTGGACGGAAAAGATATGCACTACACGTTGGACAATAGGTGAGAATATTTCTACTCTATGAATGACAGGCTTCAAGCATTGTCCAAGTCCAAAGGCCAAAAGCTTTTCCCGATCGCACAATCGGGGCCAGCACCGCCGAGGCACGACACCGGGGATGCATGGAAGAACGGCATCCCGTGGACTGTGGGCCGTTGGCATCGTGGTGTCGGAAGCTTTCATAGGACTTAGGGGGCGAACAGGCACCGGGGCCCAGGGGAGACAACCAGGAATTTGATATGGCCATCATCAACGGCTGTTTTCTCTCCTGGGTACAAAATCAGATCCACCATACACGGGACAACCCTGGTCGATTCGTCCTCCAAATTCTCAATCGCGGTGACAACGCCTCACCCTTGACCGTAACCTGAGTTTGTTCCATAGTAGGGAGATCGGCAGTTGCATTACGAATTTCTGACGATCCCTTTCATGGCGACCAGGAGTATACGAGGTGCTAGCCTTTAGTATGATGCATGATTGAGGAGCCCCCATGGTGCGTGGGTGTCCAACGGCGAGCTTGTCTGCCAGCCCCGTGCGAATTACGGAGTTTGAAGGAGTATGAGCTAACGTCTCACCGTCTACCAGAATTCCCCTAACCTAAGAGTCTGGTCGCGCGGTCTCTGCGCCCTTTCAACCTCCTGACTAAGCTAGGTCAGCACGATCTGATCCTCCTTGTCTTTCGAGGCTTACCAGTTGTCTCCGTCCCATAAGAGGATTCGGCAAGTTTGTCTGACCAGAGTCTCAAGAAATTTGAGTTCTTGACGATTGATCCGCCGCAATGGACATTCTTCAGAGCCAAACGGTGCGGAAAAATGCCTGGCTTTGCTTAATCTCCTCTGCTACGCGGGTCAGCATCTCTGAGCTAACCGGTAACCGGGTGTGCCAGGGTCAAAGCTGGAAGGACATGTACTACGGTGCTGGCAGCCGACGAATCTCTGCAATATTTCCCCGATAGTTAGACGCCCGTGCGCATGTGGTGCAGAACTGTGGTCTTGGAGGGTATGGCAAAAGGCGATGTTACATCGCATTCGAAATCATGTTTGTGATCTCGACGAGTGTTTGTAAGTCGACTGCGTCGGATTTCTCCTGGCCGAGTCACGTTCGAGTCCTTGTGGAGCGTCCGTCAGAAGCTTCTCAACGTTGGGCTAATCATCCTGACGGGTGATGGGCCGAAGGTGGAGAGCAGCGGCTGATGGGAGAATTCCATTTCAAATTCTGGGATGAGCCTCCGCCTGGTCGACTAAGGATTGTGATTGTGTAGAAGCGGGTATGGATGTAATGGGTCCTAAGCTCATAAGTCTTGGGCCCTTCGCTGGATCTCCTGTTTATGGCTTTTTGTCAGTTTCACAAGGGCGCCACAGCCCTAGACCAGGTCAATTTTAGTATTGGCCTGCTCTATCGTGATTTGGCCGGAACCACAATACTTCTAGTGCTAGTAAGCATTATCAGAAGGATCAGATTTGTCAGTGATTGCGCCGTTCTTTCTGGCCCCCAAATGCAAAAAGCAGCGTCGAACGAGGTGTCAGTTCGCCATTCGACCAGCAGAAGTACCAAACGCGCTTTTGGGCCCATTGATATCGTTTATTGGCGTGGTGGGCAATAACATTCCAGGCTTTGCAAAACCAAAGCCAATCAAACCATGTCCCTTGACTCTACAACCAGCCCACGTGCGAAAGGGTCCGATCGCTGCTTTCCGTATCGGTGTAGTCTAACAAACTCAGAAGCAAAATAAGGGACCTGTCCACGGACCGGACCTGGATCGAAGCAGGCAAACAGTCCGCCGACAACGAAGCAAGGATCGACTTTCAAAAAAACCTTCGTGCCTTGCAGCAGGGCTGAACGCGGGCACGGCCATATTTCTTCAAAAGAGCGAAGCTAGGCCAGCCTAGAAGCTGTGCCGTAGCATTCTACAAGCTTGGAGTTCGTATAAAGGGTAAACACAGCCAACCACGACGTGGTGGTCAGTTTTCGTCGACCTGGCTCCCTTGGCTTGGATGTCGCTGCTTTAAAAAGCCCTTAAGAACGGCCGTAAACTAGCATCCAGAGGTGTTACGTGTTGCACTGGGGCTTTGCTTACCCTCGGCCACAATCCTGTTTTTAACAGAACATCGCAATAGTGGCCCGATAAGGATAAGTCTTTCGATTGCTATCCTAGAATAGACAGGAATCTGGGCGTATTTCTGACTGCCTGCTCGTGCAACAGAGGTGAAATGCATCGTTAACTAACAGAAAGTCGCCGGAAACCTTGGCTTCCGACGCAGGCAGCGGATACTATTCTGGAACGAACTCTACAGGTAATGCTCAGCATAAAACCCTATAAGGGGAGAACAGTGCTTTTCTCTATCTCTGTATGGAGTTTTTATCGTTTTGTCCTTGCCACTGTGCCCTTCGTCTTGACAAACTAATCAGAATCATCAGAAAGCTGTGTACTGTAACCCTTTTTGGTAGCTTCTTTTCAGCTATAGCGACGGTTTCCTCCTGGTCAATGATGATCATCACCAGCTGCTACCTCCCAAAGTGAGCAGGATGAGTTTCAAAAAAAAGATCTGTCCTCTCTTCCGGCCCGCAGTGGTATCATAATCAAAAACAATAACTCCCTTAAACGTCCCATGCATATCCCCGTGTCCGCAAATCATGCTGCTCTGCTGGACTGTCGCAACATGTCCAAGAGTCCCTCTGATTTCTCATCATATCGAAAGACAAAACGTATCCCAATGATTCCCCCCTGGGTTTATAAAGGGTAGAGACCTCTTCATATCTACAATGACAGGAAGAGGTAAAAAGAGAAAATCGATTATAGTGTCACACACACAAGAAAAAGACCGAGGCCACTTTTCTTGGGAAATAGTTAGATGTGGATAACGGAGAGAGAGGAGACTCATAAAAGACACAAGAATATAGATATGGTCGTTAAGAAGTGGTAGCAGACGTTGACATTTTTGGCTTTGGGGAGTCCCCCATTCGATTCAGCGAATCAAGTCTTTTCAGGCATATGCCTTTTATTTCGTGTGCATTGAGGGTAAAATCCTCCCTTTCTTCTTCAACCTTTGAGATTCTCAGAATCTGTCTAGCTGAATAAAAAGGGTGGAAGAAGGGAAAGCGAGTCGTCATGTCATTGTTTTTCTTTGGCAGTCCCATTTTTAAGAAACTCGACGGCGTCTTGGCCTGTTGTTCTTCCTCCTCATCATTTCCTCTGTTGATGAGGAGAGTGGCTTTGGTTTTGGGTTTGGTTCTGATTTTGGCCCTTATTATGAATGCGCCGGACATGGTCTTTCATATTGTCCATGCGGGAGAAGACACGACCGCACTCTTCGCCTTCGGGGCCGCGCCATTCGCACTTGATGCCTGGATTGTGCTTGGCCTCGTGCCGGGCGCGGTCTTTCTTGCTGCTAAACCCGCCGGTGAGTGGCTGGTCGGCCGATTTTGCGCGAGCAGCGGCGGCAGCTTCGCTTTGCGGGCATCCATCCACTCGGCAGAACAGGTGCTTGCTGTGCCGGTTATAGTGCTTTCTCAAGTCGCAGCCTCGCGTGAATGTGGCTCGAGAAGTGCAGCCTGGGTATGCACAGCGCCAGGATTGAGGGGCTCCGCCACCGACGGAGGAGCCTGTTGAGGTGGCGAGAGATGAAGGCACCCCCAATCCCGCTGCCGATGCTGGGGATTCAGTTACAGGGATGCCATAGGCGTGAAGGGAGGTGTTGGATGAGGCCGAGCCTGAACGGACTGATGATCTGAGTGTGTCTCCATGACCCCTACTGTTGTCCCGGTAGAGAGAGGAGATGGGACTGCATGATCTGGACAGAGAGGATACGCTGCCCCGGTGACTGTGGGAGCTGGGGTGGGAAACTTGGGAGAAAGATGGCGAGGCCACGAGGTGATGGTTTGATGGGATGATGGCTGTCGGTGCTGCGTTGAAGTCGAAGGGGTGGGAGGGTTGGATGTCCTGAGGCGTTGGAGGGATAATGTTGGGTTGATGATGAGAGTCAAAGGGAGAGAACGACGCAGAGGACGTTGGGTCGTACGGCAGTAGAGAGCCGGGTTGAGGGTAGCTAGAGTACGGGAACCATTGGTTCTGTTCATACATGGCGTATGAATTGGCAGTGGTGGATGTGTTGGTGGCAGTGGTACCGGCGGTGTATTGAACCATGGATATGGATGGGTCACCAGAGACGGGTGGGAAAAAGGAGGAGGCGGCGGCGACAGCGGAATCTGATGAGGTATCCCCGAAAGATATCTGCTGTGCGAGGTCGTGCTGCCCGTGACCAGAACCGTCGTGACCTTGGTTCTCAGACATGGGCATTCCTGGAAGGATGTATATAGATTCTGATGACACGGATGGGGCGTGGCCTCGACTCGAAGGAGCTGGCGAAGGATAAGTGAATCCAGGGAGGGAAGGTGAGCAAGTCAGCAAGCCGCCTTTATCGAATTCGTCAAATTCGCTGGGCGGGGGGGTCATGGAAAAGATGGCATCCTGGGTATCAACGGCCATCATGGCATGGGTTAACTATGCTGCTGCTGGCTGTTGTGGTGCTCGCCTTTGGGTGGTAGACTTAGTTGGATCTTATTGTGGATGTAGGCAATGGAGTGGGTGTTGTCGATGCATATATATATATCTCTCTCTCAACACTTCCCACCGAAATGCTAGTTCCCATGGATTTCAGAGAAACTGAAGTCAGTCGAGGACAATAAAAGCGAAGATGGCAACTCTTCTGAGTTTTGAGAATGAATATAGAAACTAAGAACGTTGATTCTGGGGCGAGGAAGGACATATGAATAGGTTCGGGTCAAGCTAGATGGTATGGACTGACGACCAACGGATCATGGTTTAGGGTGGACACCACCTCGTAGGGCTACAACGGCCCCCGGCTCGTTGCTGACGGCATCCCAGAGGTAGATCGCTTTGGTGCCATTTCACAAGAAATGCGGTCATGAATGCTATGCTAGTAAGCCAGTAAGAGCGGGCTAAGCTGGCCCCCGGGGCAGCTACTGGAGCTTGGAGCCAGGAGCCAGCTCCCTCCGATGATTTGCGGGTTGGAGCAAAAGTGTGTACAGATTCAGGGTGTAAGAGGAGATTGAAAGGGGTGGAGAATCTTCGCAGTTGCTCCTTGGTCCGGGGGGAATATACAGGGCAGTGTCAGGAAATAGATGAAATGGGGACCAAGTTGGCTCGATTGGCTCGTACCGGTAGGCCGATACCCATGCAGACGGTGGTACCAGCGAGAGGGCCAGGCGGTTGTTGATCCGGTGCGGTGAGATGCTGGGTAACGCGGTATCGACGACGTTCTGAATGTGGGTTTCGTTTACTAGCGCGAGCCGGGAGGCCGACCAGTCGTACGCCGCTATTTCCAATTCTTCAGGCTCCAGGCTGCAATAACCAAGGTAAAAAAGCAGCGTGTGTGAGTCTGTTGCGAGCCCTCTAGCGCCAGACCATGCCACGGGTAGGGCTAAATTTGACCTCTGCCAGCAGTCAGCACCCTCCCGTCACTGGTGATCGGTACCGAGGAGGGTACCTCTAAGCTTTCGTCGCCTCCAGTTCTGTGGGTGAGACTGCCCACCTGTTGGGGCTTGCGCTGGGGACCAACCCGGCTTTGATTTGGCGTTCTGAATGAGCCACGCATTGCATCGTCGTTCGTTTCAAAACAAGAAAAGGCAGTAATTAGACCCCTCCCCCCCAAAGAGTAAGTGTTATAGCTAATTTCGGCCGAAAACATCCATCTCCGGTTCACTCAGGTGAGGAAAAATCCCAATTGCTAAAGGCCGTAACTTGGCACTCGACCTGGAGCAAAGCTTCTAGAAGTGGTTGCTTTGCTTTGACGTTTTGCTTGTTCGTGCGGGCTTGCCTCTATAGACTTTGATCGACTCTTGTTTGTCCAAATCCCTGGACGGCCCCGGTGTCTTTCTTCGTGGGGGCTTGACCCAGAACTTTCTATAGTAACTTTTCTCATAGCCATTCTGAGCATTGTTCGATCGTCAAGCTGGAATGTACAAGTAAAAGTTTGATGCGTCATCCGGGTTTGCTTTGCTCCGTTCTATTCCCTGTTGCAAAAGTCCAAAAAAAAATTCGCCCCCCTTGTCTCGTATCTCCGAGACGGAGGTCGGAGACAATTGTTTGAAAATGTTTCCGGGGCAAGATGATCCCCTCGCAATTCTTACTCGTCCACTCGCCCAGCCCTCTCGGTCCTCCCACCGATTTTCTGACTCTTCTGACTGCCCCCCTGACCTGATAGTTCTCAATAACCAAGATATGCTGACTCATGCAGAAAGTCTCTACTTTGGAGACATGCGAATCTTGTCAGAAAAAAGGCCGAGGGGCAACAAAATCGCGATCCTCAACCAATCAGATTATCCCGCATGGAACTCTGCAAGTATGAATAATGAGATGATCGGCGCGTCGACGTGTTCTTGGAGGTATATCGCTGCATTCGTATTGTGACGTTGGGTCGCCGTAGCATTTGATTCTTGCTCTGTAACATCGGATCATGAGTTTCAGTCTATCCATATTATCGGACCGTCCGGGGTATACCGTCTAGTTCCCGTGATAAGGCCACCCATCCACTATTCCACATCGTTCAGCATATCGACTTTTCCTACTGAGTATTTCCTGATCTGGGTATTTTCAACTATGAGGCGATTTCCGATGGAAATTGTAGTCGGTTTGAGGAACTTTTAGCGACCAATGTGGCTGAGTATCCCCGTACTCTGTATCTTCGATGATGGGTATCATGAATTTCCATATCCACACGGCCCATCAGCCATTGGACATTAGGGGCGATCACAGAAAACTCGTGCCAACAACCGTATCTGGTATCGGGTTGAGCCTTTTTTAGACATGATCTCGTTTGAACTTTTCAGTTGAGTTGACTCTTACGACTTTCTCCCCTTGTCCAGGCCGGATCTTTCTTTTGGCCGATCAGTCTCGCTCTCTGAGCATGGTGCCTGCAAGCAAGTTTGTATACTGTCTATCATTCAATGGACTGCAACTGTCGATCTCTGGACATGCCAAGCGATGTAGCATTAAAACCACGCTAGTAAGAGAAACGAGGGAGGAAGTATCGAAATTGGCCAGACTCAAAACACTTACCTTGTCCATGTCAATTATGCTGTATGTGGTGAGTCTGAACGAGATGTAGCATTTCTCTGTCACAGTCTGGTCCTTTTGTGAGATCATGAACTTGTGAATTTGGGGGCGAGATTTGGCAAATGTCCATGTTCAAACATATCCCCTACGATTCCGGCGTTAACATTGTCCCCACGACCGCAATATCACCAAGTCACGGCTCCTAGTGTCTGGGGTTGGTGCGTTGCCACATTCAAACTCAGTAGCTTCTGACAGCCTGTGGCTCTCTCCATGTCTGTGTGGGTGCTTGTGAACTTTGGAAGTTCTCCAGAATTACGTGCCTGGGTTGAGCGGCACCCACACAAGACGTAGCTGGCGGATTCGCACATGTTTGTTCAATTCAAACGCCGCATAGTCCAACTGGACAATCTCAGATGTGACGAGTGACATCTCCTGTTTGCAAGATCTGTGAAGACGGGTCAGTTGACGTCACGGTATAGATGTTCCATGCTGTCTCGGGGGGAGTGAAAGGGGACGCTGTTGTCTCTAGGTACGCATCTCCATGCACATATCAAGGGAACAAGTCCTCTGGATTCACTCCTGAGATTTAGGGTACAACGTCAAAATCCTGTTGGGAGGCGATGATTCAACGGGGATGAAGAGGCAGGATATATGCTCAAAGTCTCCGTCCGCGTGTATGTGCAGGTAGAGCGGGAGGAGGGTAGAAACCATCAGACATCCTGTCCCGACATCTCGTTTACCGATCTCCGAGAACAGAGCTCATGGTGTCGGTGGGAATGGTGCCTGACAGAGCCATTGAGATTCAGGAGCATTCCAGTTAATCGTTCTCAGGAGGCAGTCCACGTTAAGATAAGTCGATTAGACAAAGTGATGATCCGCTGTCCTCAGATGGGATTCGGAATCTGTCTGACGGGCAGACCTTGCTTTTCATGTCATAGATGGAGCGATGTTCTGGCGAGGGAAAAGAAATGGGGACCCAGCAGAAGGGCCCCAATCGAGAGCTAGCCTAATATGGTTCCCTTATTTTCACGTGATTTGCTTGTCATGTTTGCCACTTCTGCCGATCTGGCCTGCTCTGGACTTCACCTGTTCAGCTCACCAAGCCCCTACACCGATCGCTAAACGTTTCATCGTCGTCGTCGCCGTCGTCAGATGTCCCTTTGTTACATATATTGATCGTCCCCTCGATGTAACTTCTTTCAGTCGTGGACTCTCTCCATACGCAGCTGTCACAACCGAGATGGATACCGTTCAATCTGGACCAGTGGACCCTGAGGATCGTGACATTGTTGAGAAGTTGGCCAAATTGCAGAGCATGCACAATCAAGTCAGTCTCTCCCGCTTCCAGATTTTTGAAGGCTGTGTCTCTATACCTACCAATGAAAAACCAATGGCAAAATGCTGACCTCCATGGAGATTGGCGCTCTTCGGACTCTTCTGCCCGAGAAGTTAATCAACCCAACCAGATTTGTGCTCGACAATCCCGATGATTATAAACCTGAAAAACTTGCCGCCTATCTGCAGAGCGCAGCGCAAGCAGGTAGTCGGGACGTTGAGAGATTCAAAAAAGATTGGCACAGCGACGACGTGCGTGACCTGTGGCAGGCTGTCAACACCAATGACTTGCCTCAGGGTGGAGATGCCTGGGCTTTGGACTATGGCGCTCTTCTCCAGCATGCCGGTTCAAACGAGCAGCCCTCCACGACTGGAAGTGGCTCTGGCCCTCAAGTTCAGCCCCCGAGCAAAGCCGAGACTGCGAAGACGGTCAAGGACTTTCAAGTCAGGCATCCAGCGCTGAAGCTACACGTGCCCGACGAGGCAAACCCCCTGCCCCTTGAGATCACCGTTGCTGAGCTGGAATTTTGTGTCGACCGAGATCGAAGTCCTGGTGCGACCGGTTATACGGTGACTGGCAAGCCAGGCAGCGAGGCGTTGGCCAACTTAGCAGTCATCCTCCAAGCCATCCAGGACAGTAATGCTAAAGCCAGTCTGGCTACTCTTCTGGTAATAAGCAACCCCCCACATAGGCCGTTGTGTTTCAGCACTGACTAGTCGCAGGACCAGCTGGCAGCTTATGATGATATCAGGTCAAGACCTTGCGATAAGTGTAACAGGCTCATTGATGGGAAGAAACTCCAGCTACCGTACATTCGGCAGTTGAAGACGGCAACCGGAGATGAGCCCGCACGATTTATTGCACTCCATCACGATTGTGCGTGAGAGGTCTCAAACCATGACTGCTCAGGCGGCTCGCTTGAGTGGGACGCTTTTGCTAAGCCCACCACGGCATGATTTGAAGGTCGATACGAGCTGCCACACTCAACACCTATCGTGATTGTGATGTAGCTGGCTATTGATACGATGTTCTGCAGTGACCCACTTGAAGAGGCACTCAGAAGGATGGTGGACGACAGCGTGATTCTCGTTCATCTCCCGCAGAAGGGCAAAAGGCGTAGGATGATATTCTCTTAGCGGGGTCTGTTTCCAGAACGAATGGCCGTCAATGTGAAGCCATTTGGGAGAGTCCTCAGCATTCACACTCCGCCTCCATAGCCTGTACGTGGCTTCTGAACTCACGCATAATCTATCCCTTGTAAGTATGAAAATTGAAGGCGTCTGGATGTGGAAGAAGCCTCAGCATTAACACCAGGCAGGTAACATTACAAGGACTCTGGAATACTTCATATTCGGTCTAGAAAGCTGGATCATCTTCTTGATAGGAATATGGGGCTCAATTACTGATCTCCTCGACTTCGGCCTTTTCTGCTGAGCAACAAGAGATCTTGGCCAAACCGCAGCCTTGGCTGGCTTACAAGATGTGAACGAGCATTTGAAATGGCCGGCTTGGAAAGGGTAGCATCATGAAGCGAAGACAACAGCTTCACGAAATAGGCCAAAAGCAGTATCAGTTGTCAGTTACCGCCGAATCAAATGTTTGAGCCTTCTCAACCAAGCCTGACGGCATTATGCCAATTCGGCCAAGTCGGGGTTCAGTCCCTTCTACATTTGTCTAGGACACACGAAAACCACATTCAAAGAAAAGGATGCGCAAACCTCACATCGAGACCAAGCCAACACAGGCAACCACAAACTAGATGTCACAAACCAACGCGGAGAAGCACGGTTCGTCCCCGAAAAGACGAAGATCAGACGGAAGCATCAGAGACGACCAAATCTGGCCCATGGACGACTTCAAGGATGGTCTCCTACCAAAGGGTAGGCGATGGACAAGCTTCAAAAGCGAGGCGACAAATGGACATGCTCAGACGACGAATTGCGGCAATTGAAGTACACAAAGCGGGGCAGGAAGGTGGCCTCAGGAAGTGTTCAAGCAGTGTGGAAGCAGAAGGACCGCAGTTGAGTCACAAGACTGAACGCCGCATTCTGGAGGAGGACAGCGCACACTCAAGAGATGGGGATATCATTGAATTGGATACGGGTAGGGATTTTGGGTATGGGCTCAGCTACAATACTTGTACTCTGCCGGAATTATTGGGTGTGGCTCAACTCTACGCCAAAATAGCCAACCTGCTTCTTGTACGGACCAAATTAAGACATGATCATTCCATGTATGGTTAGACCACGGGCTTATTAGACAGCATCATACCCAAAGGGGAAAAAGAGGCTGAGGCGCGCTTTTTTTGTTGTGGTCCCAAGACCCTTCGATGCCCGTCGCCAGGGTGAGACATACAGACACCACGACTGGGCAGAATCAGACCTTTCTTTCCTACCAATTCTCTGTGGCATTTACATCCCTTCGCTATCCTCCTTGTCTTCAATCCTTCCATTCAATCGTTACTGCAGCATTCACTGCTCTCAACTTTCCTTGCTGTTAGACCGCCTACCCAACCCAAAACCAGTCGTTACCCAGGGGCGGCCTCTCTTCATCCCAACAGCCCGCGCACTCCGAACCTCAAAATGAAGGGCTCCGGCCTCTTCTCTCTCCTCTCCCTTCTCCTCCTCGTCTTTATAGCTGGTTCTTCAGCATGGCCGTGGCCTGACTCCTTTGACCACAAGATTGTGGCACGACAAGAGGAGGAACCCACGGACGAACCTACGGACTCCGCCTCTGCCACCGACGATGCGGCGGCCTCTACTGCAGACAGCGCCGCAACCACATCCGCCGACGAATCTGCAGCAGCATCAAGCTCAGGATCCAAGAGCGGGACAAAGACCACAAGCACCAAGACGACTGCCATCGACCCCCGTCTTCCTCCGGGGGGGATTTCTTTAATAACCCCTGCAGCCATTGATGGAGTGCAATATTACAAAGTGGGAGATTTCGTCACATTCGCCTGGAATTATACCTCGCTATCAGTCACCCCTTCCGCTATTGACGTGCTGGCCTCGTGTTCCATCAATTCCGCCACATACACCATAGCCGCCAACATGTCCGTCGAGGAGACAGGAGCCGTCACTTGGGATACGGGCGAATTCCAGTCTACGGCCACGAATCCCTTCCCGGTTGCCAGTTATACCTTAGTCGTCCATGATTCATCAAAGGACATCACAGATGTTCCGTCGGCGGGATATTTGGGTGCGTATCAGCAATATGTCTTTGGAATGTATACAGGGTGGGTTCTGATTCCATGGCTCGTTGGCACTCGGCATGTTCATGCTAATCTGGTAACAGGCAACCTTACACTCCTCTGAACGAATTCAAGTGCGCCACTTGTAATGGCGCATTCTCGCTTCACGAAAAACAAGCTCTTGGTGTTCTCTTGACGACCGCAGCCATTACTGTTATGTCCTTTACGTGGTTTGCCAGCGGATTTGGCGTATTCTCATGAGTCAGCATGCATGAAAAAAAAGAAAAATTAATTGCAAGCATCTAACGAAATACCAATCAGATGACAAATCCCCATGAGCCGAATTTTATACCGTATAGCGGCTAAAAGAAACCAGGGAGTTCGTGGATGGTGGGGCTTAATGGGACAGCTTTGAAGCATGGTCGGCAGCGTACATTGGGGGAAGGGTATTGGCGTCCGAGTGATCAAAAATTTGGAATGCACCAAAAACGACATCGACTTGGACGGTAATGAAGAAAATTTCCGGATGTTGGAGCAATCGTGAACGTCTGGATTCTCTAATGCTGTTGGATGGGAAATATTTACTATATCAATAGTGATAACAGACTGAATCTCCAGCCTTCCGCCATTACCAAAACACAGTCAGCGAAATGCAGACGACCGTCCAATGTGATGACCAGCATTCTCAAATCGACAGCTAAAAAGGTGTGGAGGCCGATTCCGGGTCTGATGTCTTCCAGGTATGATTGGCTTGTGCCCATGGGTTTTCCTTGTTCATTTGTCAATTACGACTCTTCCCGAGGTGAAATCAGTATCAGATTGGTCCCCGAAGTCGACCCTACTCAAAGCAGCCTTGACTAGGCCCCGGTTAACAAGTCATCTAAAGCGGAACACACTTTTCTGCTTCCGATTGAGATAATGCCATGACGGAACATGCGTTCTTGCTCTACAGTTTTTGTCAATGGCTCCGGTTGTCGCTTCCCGTATCTATCAAGTGGCCTCCTTGTCCCTTTTGACGAACCAAATCATTCCATGTCTCCATCCTTGACCTGCTGTCAAATGTGAATATGCAAACACTCGCAAACGTTGCCACTGGGTAGAAAAGGGGTAAGAACAAGAAGTACTAAAGCCCCCAACTCGGTGCACCCTTTTTACCTGAACATTGAAGTAATCATTCCTTTCCCTGCCTTTCACCAACGCTCTGGACCGACTACCAAGGGATCTGGGGATCTTGAAAACATTTCATCTCGGCTATCGATCGCCCCTGCACAGGGTTGAAAGACCAAAAAACAGATCTGTTTGGATAAGTCAATCCCATCCTCAGCGAATTGCTTGGTCACAAGACTCGGCCACCGGGCCAACCATCTTTCGTCCTAAGCGGAGAGAATCTATTCTTGCCTTGCACTACCTTGATCCCATATCGTCCTTTGCAGAGCTTCAACCAAGGCAAGCTGCCATCCAAATTTACCCTCTTTGCGTCCAACTGCTGCACAACCCGTCAAATCGCAATACGTCATACCGCCCCCCAACCACGATTACAAGCTTGGAAACAACAAATTCCGTATGTCCAACATGCCTTCCTCTTCAAAATCCACCAAGCCAAAGAATTGGCGCCCCGAGCACGACGATTTCATTCGACAACACGCTCGCAATGGCGAAGATGCAATGAGCATTCTCATCCTCTTTGAGACTGAGTTTCCCAATGTCATGTTGACGCACGAGTGGATTGCCGAGAGGGTGAAGGGATGCGAATGCCGCTAGGTTGGCAGAGCCAGGAAAGGAAAGGAGAGGGAGATTTCCTAGGCTTTGAGTGTCGGTCTGTGATATGTTGGTGGAATGAAATGACCTAATGAACGAACTGATGATGGTGTTGTTCGGCGTCATTGTTCAGGTAGCTTCAGCAAAATGATCCAAGAAGCTGAAGCGAAAGTGGAGAGTATAGAGCTTCTGGCTGAACAACATTCGGAATGACTTGCGGGATGATAAAAAGCGCCGACATGACTAGAAGGACGGATATAATTAGCTAACCTGGGCGTTGAGGATGAGTATGTATTTCATTTAGACAGTTTTCTTGGCATCAGACGGCAGTCTCAAAAGCCATCTCGTTTCGGTGTGAACAGGGCGGGCTGGCTTGAGGTTGTGACTGTGGCTACTGAATTGTAGTGAGGGAGAAGTTCGATGGTAAGAGGAGGAACATCCACTTCAACTTGGCGGAGTTAGAACTCGAATCAGAGGGTATAAGAAGGCACATGGTACTTGACGGGATATCAGGCAAGTTACACAGGGCAAGGCTGCCGCCGTACCTTAGGTAAGCAGATCCGTTCTCTTTGCCTGCCAGTCCACTTCCCTGGAGAGTTCCGGAAAAGGAGGTAACAATCAATATTTGACTCAGTGATTGTAGTAACCATCCGGCCTTGCAAGGCGGAGTTCTTCGATCCGTCCTTCGGATCGTACACAAAGTCAATCAGCCATCTACATCGGCTCCCTCCTACGTGGACAAGAGTGAAAGATGGTTTAAGAATGTTGTCTGATCCTGATTGCGCCTCACCTCGAGCTTATTGTCTACAGCACAACACAAGTTGAAGGGAAATCTGCCGCCAAATTTAGGAGCTGTTGCCGCCGCTTTTGGAGACCTTTTTATCCCCCTCAATGCCAACATACCACCCTGCTTCCAAACACCCATCTCCTTGACATAATTACCTGGGCGCCAGATATGGTCGTCTTCAGAATTAGCAACGGAATCCTTTCACTCTCTGGCCGAATGATATCTTCTACCATACCACCGCCAGTAATGGCGCCTCTAGTACACACATGCAGAGTTCCTCCCGAACCTCCCCCAACGCAGCCCACCCTCTTCAGCCTGCCCCATCGGGTCCATTCAATGGCACGGCATCACAGAAGGACTTGGTGTCGCCGTTGAAACTTCCGGCCCGATATCTGCTGCCTCCTTGGGAGTAACCCATTCGCGGACTCTTTTCAAGGAGTTGTCCAGATTGGGGTTAAGGTCCGGAACAAACCAGCCATAGTCATCATCAACACTTTCGTCATCCAAATCCAGGATTGGCCATCCGGCGCCCCCTGACATTCCCACGAGACGTTGGAGAACCCATTGCATCTCTAAGAGTTCCGCGCTTGGTAACGGCAAATTTTCGGGGTCTTTGGTAGTGAGAGTAAACAGCTCACCGGAACGAATAAGGTGCGAAGGGCCATCCTCTTCAATGTGAAGTAACCCATGTCCGTTTGCGACGATTTCCAAGCCTTCTGACGATGTGGGTTCCGAGAGCAAATCGATCCGGCTTACAATGTCGTAGTTGCCAGGAACTTGCCAGAAGAATTGAACAGTAAGCTCTTTACGATCGGTTGGAAGTTTCAATGGCTTTAGCGCGAACATCCCCTTCGTCCACTTAACATAGACGCCGGCATCGAGGGAGATGAGATTGACGCATCGATCGATACCAGTATTCGGATTCTGAGGATCTGGAAAGATCGTCCCTCTCCATTTCTTGATCCGATCCTCGTCCCAGAAGAGATGTAACAAATCCCAAAAATCGGGCACCATCTTGGAGACTGGGCTTCGGCTGCCTTGTAGCGGTGAATTGAGTATACTGTAGGGGAATATATGGGCTGCCTGAGGCAATAGCTGATTTGTCAGGACGCATTTGTAATCATCGCGCTTTTTGTACTGTATTGTCAGACAGAAGTTTGTTGGATGATATCCACTTACGTTATCCGCCTGATTCGCTGACCGTTGCACCCACGATTGTCCGTTAGCATTCAGTTTGCGCTTCCTTGCACCCCCTGAATGTTGCGAGACTGCCTCTGATCCTGAATCTTTAGATCGCTGACTCCCTGTTCATAGTGAGCATATCCATAGTTACGCTATGAAGTTCTGGCACTCATATTTTAACGGCAAGAGAACCGATGGTCTATCATATCCAAGAACCATCTTCGGATTCACCTTGGCGATAACCAGCAATTGGTTCAATTGGTTCATATCGGCGGGCTGAAAGCAAGCCCAGAAAGTAGAGGAGACGGGAGTGTCGCCGATTGCCTCCTTAATTTGGGTCAGGAGCTGGGTGCGCTCCGGTGAGCGTATGTTGTAATCCTTATTGTTGAAGTCGACTTCAGGCGTTATTGTCTTGGTCATTCTCTTTCGTGTCTTCTTAGGGCTCTTTTCGGATCTCATAAAGAAGGGGCCATTGTAAACAGTTTTGTGCCCTTAGGGCCCAAGTGGACTGATGAACAGAAATAGATGAGTCACATCGGAGCAGGCAACAATCACGTCAGGGCCTGGGGTTACAGGCGGGGGTCAAAGATGCCAGGCAGAAAAAGTAACTGAAAGGGTCGAAACCATGAGTCGAGATTGTGTTCGAAGGTCGCAGGGTTCCTCCCCAAGACGAGTGTAGGAGGAGCCGATTGTGGAGGGCTCAAGTTGTGTCATATGAAGTAGGGTAGGAACGCAGACAGAGACGTCGACGTCGACATCAGAGAGGATGGAGGTTTCTTATAGCCGACGTCAAATGCGTGGAGGTGCCAAGCCAAGGCGACCAATCAGAGGCAGATTTCCCATTATAGTTTGAACGTCTTAGCCACCCGCACGGGCCACCTTCATCTTCCCCTTTTTGAAACCTCCTGAACAGAGGTAAGTTCAGCTTCCTGGACGCTCTCTGCGCTCATACTATCTCTCATCGTGTCTTCAGGCACCTCGATGGCTTCGGAATTGACTTAGGGGGAACGTATGCAACTTGTAATTAAGGATCTAGAAGATGGCGCCATTTTATCTCAACGGAAAGCAGCCTCCCAGTTCAACATACCCAGAACTTACTCTTCGAGCTCGATTTCATGGCCGACGCTCTGCCAGAGAGGCTCAGCAGTCTCAACAACGCCTGTCAGTGCAAGAGGAGGACTCAATTATGCGGTGTATCACCATCATGACATCCTGGGTTGGCCAGCCAGCATCAGATACTTCAATCTTTTGCTCTAGGCCTTCCCCAGTCTAAAGGAGATTATGAGCCGCTTGGAAGGAAGGCTATCAAATAGACACAGATGTATTCAGTTGAGATACCCGTCGAATTCGAAGCCGTTACCAACAAAGGCTCTCGGTCTCTGCTGGCACAGTTCCTTTCATGAGTTAGAAGGCAATCGCACCCCCTGGACCAGTCGGCACCTTCGACAACAACCGTAACAGACCCAGATACATCCGTCCCGTGGGTAGAGTTGGTCCGTGGACTGGATCCGATGAGCTCGTTCCCCGTGGGTAGAGTTGCTCCATAGACTGGATCCGATGAGCTCGTCCCGTGGACAGAGTTGGTCCATAGACTGGATCCGATGAACTCACCCCTGGCTAAAGACTTTAAAGAGTACGTCATTCGAATCCACATGATGTCGCTTGTTCGGTGGAGCAGGCATAGTATAGGGGGGAATCAAATGTAGTATATTGGATTGTCAAATACGAGCATGGAAGTGAAAAGTCGTTGGTGTGAACCAAAGGCAAGTTCCCGTATCTCATGTACCATATCCCTCAACAGTGTGTCCAGCGCCACGCTTCCATAGATCCTCTGGTGTTAAATATGAGATTGATGTCCTCCACATGTGCATCCCAACATCACTTCAATTGATATCATGAGGAGATCCAAACTTCCATCTTCCCCATCTCACTCCTCTCTTTCCTGGCTTGATTGCGAACACTGCTCAGCAACATCTCCAAATCATCTTGATCGGCCATGGTGATCATGTCACCATCGTCCTGCATCCGAATTTTCAATTGTTCTTTGATTCCGAATTTTTCTCGTATTTTGCTTTCAAAATCGCCAAAATCTATCACTGCGCCAATCATAAGGTATCTCGTATCTTCATTAAAGTGGCATTTGACCCGGATCTTGCGCATGTCGTGTCGTCTACTTCCCCGTCCAGAACGTGAAGTTGGACGTCTAACGGGCTCGAATCCGGTCATGTCTTCCGACATTTCTTCCTCGTCTATGTATTCGTCTTCTTCGTTGATATACGCTTGTTGCTCTTGACGCCGCTGGCGTCTTCGTGGACTCGCGTACATCCGATAGACATCGTCCACCGTATCGTTGGGATCTTCGTACCTCGACTGTGTGGTCTCTCGGAACAAAGGCGCTGGAGCTCTTTGGGAAAGCGATCGATCTAGCATCTGTCTCCGCGAGACAGGGCCACGAGGTTCGGAGGCCGTCCTTTGAGTGCCGTAGCGAGATCTTTCTATCTGTGGCCGGTCCATCATCACGGGCTCCTCAGGCCATGAATTTTCGCGTTGGGGTGGTTGCATCCTCCCTATCCCGGGCGGCTGATTTCCATTAACATCAAATGTAGCCGAGCGCCCGAGCATGCCCGGCCGAGGCTGGTCCATGTCCGGTTTGTTCGCATTCATGTTTCGGGGATTGCGTAAGGAGGTGGTTCGCATTGGCAGATTTGACGATCCGGTACTGGACACTCTCGGCTTCTCACTCTCCGGTGGTGGAGTCGGGGGGAAGACATTCCTGTTCATAACTGGAGGGGCACTCTGATCTCTCGGAACTCTGCTGGAGAGATTTCGTTGCACGAGATTGGTGGCAGCGTAGCTGATATTTTCGGGAGGCCGGTCATCCTTGGGAGCCATTTCGGTAGCTATGGCTTGTCTCCTTTCAATGCCTTGGAATCCCGTACCCGTGTTCTGGCTGTTGGACGTTGCTATCAGTCGAGCCTTGCCGAGATAATCCTTGGCTTTGAGATTCTTGACTTTGGCTTCGTTTGGTCTGTAGACACATCCGACAGGTCTAAGAGATCGGAAGTCAGTAAGGTATATTTACGTGGCCATCTGGTGGTGTGACTATGGATCAATATGATGCTCGCACAGCTCAATTGACCGGGGCAAAAAGTAGACGTCACTGAAAACTCACATGCTGAACACAACGTAGCCCTAGGAGATGGGTGTCAGCGAGAAGTCCCTGCAAATAGCGAACAGAACACCTACCGAAGCCCTTTCCTTGATAGCATCATCAATCACATCATGGTCAGGAGTCATCTTTTCCTTCTGGGCATAGCTGAAATCTTGCAGACCGGCTTCCTCTTGTTGGAGGTACATATAACACAGGCCACGGTTGAACAGAACCTCACAGGAGTAAAGCTTGAACTTGAGGCCCAGTTGCTCGTAGTCGATATAGGTGTTTCCTCTCAGGTAGAGCAAGGTGTCGTTGAAATTGGCCAGCGCTTCTTCAAAATCACCGACGAGAAAGTTGGACACGCCTTGCTGGAAGTAAGCCACCGCCAGATACTGGTCAAGCTTGATGGCCCGTTGGTAGCATTCCACCTATTTCCAACACTCAGTCTGATTGTGTTTCTTCATGTTTTGTTTCGTCAAAAGACACCCACCGCTCTGTCATGCTCGCCAATGGTAGCATGAATGACACCGCAATTAAACAGGATCTTAGATGTGTCGGCGATTGCATCAAAAGCCCGCAAGGCTTCTTCGAACTCTTGATTGTCATAGTGACCGAGAGCCTCGACCCAGGTTTCTATTTCCTATCGAGTGTCAAATGGCGGTCACCTACACTGTCGAGACGAGCATACCTGCTTGAGCGACATGGCGCCGCGGCGACCGCTGTCGAGGTTGAAACTGTCGAGATCTTTGTATGTGTAGGTAGATTATGCAAGGCGAGGATATGTTTGATTGAGTGAAGAGAGATGTTCTGCGACGCGGGCAGCGGTACCCCGAGGCGATATTGAATAAGTGGTATGGTGACAGACTCGGTCGAATTAGTGAAAATCAATGGCGGCGAATGCTCGGAGGCAGCAAGGGCCGGCCCTGCCGCAAAGTTCCTGGAGACCCAGGGATTAAGCGCCCTTGGGTGGTGGTGGGCTTGCTCGGCGCCAATGCGTCAACGGATTGGCGCCAATAGATGATGTTGTCAACTTGACAGCGAAGTATTAGGTTGCAAATAGTGTCGATAAGAAGAGGTGAAGAAGAGAACCGGTTCGGCAGGCTGGTAAACGAGAGTATACGGAACAAAAGAGAAAGGTGTAGGGTGCGAGGGAAGGGAAAGGAAGAAACAATTGAGGGAAGAAAGGAGGAGGCGTCGGGGGTTGGTTTTTGGCAGGTTCTGTCACATCTTAGTTCTTCAGGCTCTGTACACCATGGGCTGTATTATTCAGGGTTTTTTTTTTCCCCCCCCCCTTTTGCTTTTTGGGATCCCTACTCCATACAACAAAGGGACGCAATTCGAGAAAGTGGATAAAACTGGGAGGGGGATACGTCCCCAATACGGAGAGTTCGGCATGGGGAGGAGAAAATCGGATGTCGATGTGCCTGGTGCCTGAGAGTGCAAACAGGGGTCCCCCCAAGTCCACATCGTGAACTCAGCTGGTAGGTGGCCTGCACAACCATTGCAAGGTACCAATTCCTACTTCCTGCAATCGATTTCTCCGCTATGGAATCACCAGTGGCCCAGCAGGACACCTTAACCCTTATTGGTGCTCCTCGACATGATAAGTCTTTCTTGAGTACCTGACTAACCTTCTCCGTGCAGTTTCTATCAGCCTCTCGCGTCTCTTTTCCTGCCTCGCCTGCGTTTCGAAATCCATCCTCACTCGTCCAAGATGTGATCAAAGTCGAACCTCTTCTGTCAATTCCTGTCAAGTGGTCTGAGTCCATCACCTGAGATCTCTTCGCCCTCTCGTTCTTCTTCTTCTTCTTTCTCACCCACCGGACTGTCTCACCCGAAGTCCGCAGTGCGCAATGGGTGGACTGACGGGGCTTCAATGTCTCCAATACACGCGGTGGGACCGATTCGATACGACGACATGAGGACGACGTTTCGTTTCAGAAAGAACTTCTGACAACCAATCAGCGTGGTCAAACCAATACCAGAACCTGGGAACGCTCTCTGGCGTACAATCGACTTTTCTCGTTTCCAATGCTCCCCATGCAGGGGAGTGCTCCAGAAACTGCATCATCGTGCAGCTCAAACCGCGATCCTCAGGATGCACCAAAACACATCCGAACAATATGCATTCCTTCGAATTTTTCTTTTTTTCTATCGAGTGCTACCGAACAATTGCTGCATACGGAAAAGTCCGCACCACACACTCTGTATAGATCAGTGCATTCCTTTCTCAACCTGTTCTTTACGTTCCTCCCATACCGTCTTCCCCGAACAACTACACACCGTCTTATCGTTGTCCCAGACTCCTGCGCTGCGAGCAATTACCCCGACCAGGGTATCAGGGTCCTCGGTTTGAAACGCTCCCTCTTGTTGTTTCGACACGACCATGCTGCGACCGATAATTTCCCAAATCGACACAGGTCGGTCCAAAAATGCGCTGCCTCGGCCATCCCTACCCACCTGGACGGTCCCAAACACCCCACGAGGCTGGCTGAAGCTCCCAGCCAGAGCCTTGATTGCTTCCCAGATTCCACCCGTAGAAGCCGCCCCACGTGAAATATCTCCTGTCTCCCGCACCGTGGCATGATATGTTCCCGGTGATACACCACGCAACGTCAGGTCCACGAGCGTATGATTGTCAGAGACTTGAACCATCCGTGCCAGGCCTCGGACTGGATCTGACACAGCTTTTGCATGAGTTTCTAGTATGCACACTCCCGCCGAATTCGACTTTCCGCTCCCCCGCAGGATGGCATCTCGTCCGGTAGATTCGATGGCTGATACAATTGATGAAGGGGCGGCCGTCCCTTCAATATAAAAAAGTTGGTCTTTGAGATTGGCTTCGATCTTGGTTATGCCTGACAATGACCACATCAGTCTTGTGATTGCATATCTTGAAACGGACTCGTGAATATCTCGTACCTTCGACCTTTTCTAAGATCCCAGAGACATCTTTTACACAGGATTCGCAGTGGAGCGGAACGGCAAATGTCGTCTAACGGTTGGAATCAGCACAGTGAACAGAATTAGAACGGGAGACGGCATTACCTGAAAAGGCTGGATTCCTATACTTCCCATTGCGCAAGAGTAGAATCGATATCGATATCTGTCGGGTTCGGTGGTCAAAACAAACTGGTGAGGCCACGGTAGATGGAATTGGACTCCAAATTCATGTCAGCTTGGTAAGAGAATGATATTTGGGATCTCCGAAGGGTTCCCGCGTCTTGAACTGCCCCGCGCAGGGCTGGCCCGTAGGCACGTCATTTGTAGGCCAAGGCTCCTCGGACTCGGAGGCTGAATATTCCCAGTCACATGGATATCGATTGTGGAAACTATAAACCTCCAAAGCATTCGACTCTCATTGAACTTGACCCCCTACAAAGGCCGTCAACTCGTGCATCTCCAATTTGAATCTCGCCTTGCCAGCATCCGCGACCATTCCAGGTCGCCATGGCCACTAAACCCGCCTCGAAATGGGCCACCGATGATGACGAGGAAACTGCCGCAGCTCTCGCGTTACGAAAGAAAGAGAAAGAGGAAAAGAAAAAACTCAAGGAAGAAAGGGCTCGCAAATCCGCAGCTGCCGCCACCGCCGCCACCGCAACCTTCGCATCGACGACCTCCCAAACTGCCGCTGAAGACCGTGAACCTCCAGCTAAGCGGCAGAGAATATCTCCGGTGCCAGAGAATGGAATGACTGTAGAAGAAGGCCTCAACTTGCTACAATTCCCCAGCCGGCAATTCGGTCCTTCTGGCCATGTCGACCAATACGAACTTCTCAACGACATAGAAGAAGGCTCTTATGGGTTCGTTTCACGAGCGAAAGCGAAGTCCTCCGGCGAAATCGTGGCACTGAAACGATTGAAGATGGATTACGCAAATGATGGATTTCCCGTCACGGGACTTCGAGAAATCCAAACCCTCATGGCTTGTCGTCACACCAATGTGGTTAAACTGCTGGAGGTCGTAATGGGAGATAGCTTGAGAGAGTAAGTCCGGCCCCCCAAAAACATCCTTTGTCTCTGAAAAGCGCCGGATACCAGACGTTGTTAACCATGTGACTCTACCTTCCATAACAGTGTCTATCTCGTTATGGAGTTCCTCGAGCACGATCTCAAGACGCTTCTCGAAGACATGGCGGAGCCGTTTCTACCCTCAGAGATCAAATCGCTCATGCTGCAGATCGTGTCCGGGACGCAATATCTTCACTCCAATTGGATTATGCATCGGGATCTGAAAACATCCAATCTCCTTCTCAACAACCGGGGAGAGATCAAATTAGCGGATTTCGGCATGGCAAGATACACGGGGAACCCTCCGCCCAAGCTCACCCAACTCGTGGTGACACTGTGGTACCGAGCCCCGGAACTTCTTCTCGGCGCTGAAGAGTACGGTTTCGAGATTGACGTTTGGAGCCTGGGCTGTATATTCGCGGAACTCCTTATCAAAGAACCCATTTTCCAGGGAAAGAATGAAGTCGATCAACTATCCAAGATCTTTGCAGCACTGGGAACCCCAACGCAAGAGACATGGCCGGGCATCAGATCTCTCCCGAATGCAAAAGCCGTCTATCCAGTTCTATCGAAAGTTCCGGCTCAGCCGTCCCTCACGACCTCCAAATTTCCCTACCTCACCAACTCGGGTCTCCGTCTGCTCTCCTCCCTGCTCTCTATGTATCCCGCCGACCGACCCTCAGCGAGCGGAATCCTTACGCACACATACTTCAAAGAAGACCCACGACCGAAAGCCAAAGAAATGTTCCCAACGTTCCCGAGTAAAGCGGGCCAAGAGAAGCGACGACGCAGAGCTACTCCACAAGCACCTCTACGCGGTGACGCGCCGAAACTTGACGAGCGTGAGTTCGCGGGTCTCTTCACCGGAAGAGCCGATGAGGAACAAGGCGCCGGTTTCTCATTAAGGCTCGGATAATGGATAGATTATGCGAGTAGAACGAGATTGAAAAGGAAGGGGATGCGAAAAAGTCAAGGGAAACAAATGAAAAGCCTTGAGACGATCGGAAACAAACGGTGAAACTTGTCTGTTGCCCGATTACCCACTCGGATGGGTGTTGAGACGCAGACAGTCACAGAGAGTCCTGAAGCATGGAACGAGCATCCTCTTATCCAAGGCTGACTCAGTTGCCCAAATCTCTCCGAATCTCATATGGACATTCGCAATCTCAGAACCGAAGTCCTTGGTTTGCGGCCGCCAGTTAGCCTACATACCTATCGCGACTCTGGCTGTCGACTTAGGTAGTGTCCTGATCTCGTGGCAAGACAGGATCGAATGACTTTGCCCAGCAGAAATCAAGGGATGCGCCAGAAGAAGAAGAAGTCTCCCCTTCTAAATCCGCCTAGACAGAACTAGTGCTTCATGCAATGCAAAGCAGTCCGCCTGGTACAGAACTCACAGAGAAAGGAATCGACGCCAAAAAAGAAATTCTAAAGAATCTCCGATTTACAATAAATCAAAAAGTCGCAGCAATCTTTGATGTCAGACTCGTCGAAATCTCAATGCTTGATTGATTTCTATTCAATTCAGATCGATTCAGGATTCTTCCCTCCTTACATGAATCAAATCTTTTTTCTCGTGCTCTTTTCTCTCCTTTCCATTTCTGTTTCCCCCCCATCTTACACCACGGGCTCTTGCCCCATTTTGACCCCATTCGAAGCTTCATCGCTTTTTGTATCATCACATCTCATTCCATAGCACATCCCTGCCACAAACGAGTTGTTTTTGTTCTTTCGCCTCACGTCGTCACTTCACATTCACTTCCCATCACTCCAAACCCGCTCTAGAGACCGATCTAAGTCACGCCTCGATATTCTCGAACAAGAAACTCGGCGAGCCTGGCACTGCATGCTCAGCCATGGGCGGCAATCCAGACTTATCCTCGCCAACACTGACAATGACAACATCCTTGCAGCCGGTAGTCTTCATGAGACCCTTCTTCATATCATGCAACACGCTCACTTCATCGAAGGGCAGTTTACGATTGAAGACGGCCTCGGGAGACTCTTTGCCAAAGGTCAACCGTTTCTTCAGCGCCTGCACGAACGGCATGGCCTTCTTCATCTCCGGGCCCTTGCTCAGCTTGGCGACCTGGCCGTTCAGCGCTTTGTCGTCGTTAAGCGTCGATGCCGCTAGCATCTCACGGACCAGTTCGACATATTTGTCCTGCCACGCCGGAAAGTTCGAGGCGACGAAGATGGTGATGCGCTTGGGTTTGCGTGGGTCAAAGGCTGCGGTTTTGCCCTTGGCCATTTTCTTCGCGGCCTGCGCCTCGGCGGAGGTGATGTTGCTCGATGTTGTTTTGACATATTCACGCACCGCGGTGAGGGACGGGTCGGGGACGGGGACTTCGGGCCAGCGAGCCAATTGGATCGACGAATCTTTGTGAAGGACCTCCAACCATATGTATTCGGCCCAGTGGGGAGCGATGGTGGCGATGAGGAGGGATTGCAATTCCACATATCGGAGTATCAAGGGTCGGGACATGGGCGTGCCGCTGGAGAGGCAGGCTTCTCGGTAGAAGTCGCGTGCGGATTGGAAGTCGTATAGGGCAGACTTTAAAGCGAGCTTAAAGTTGGTGCTGAATGGAAGGGCAAGTCAGTAGAGTTCCTGGTCAAGGCGGAGGAGGAGAATTAGACTTACTCAGAGTAATGTTGATAAGCTTCATGTACCAAGAGATCCATCTCATCTTCGAACAGCTTGTCCCAAATGACTTCGCCCTGTGTGTTCCGCAAACCACTGTCCTTCAGGGTATCCTCGATCCATTCTTTTAGGGTGTACATACGCATAATTGCAGCGTTGGCACCCTTCTCTTCAAAGTTCGCGTCTTCCATACCATCACCTGCGTCAGCGAGGGCTATCCGTGTAGCGTCAGCGCCAAATTTCTTCACTGCTTGGCTCAAGGTCAGGAAGTTTCCAGTGGATTTGCTCATCTTGTCACCGTTGAGCAATAAATGCCCATTCGATCGGACCGACCTTGGCCAGTATTCGCGAGGGAAGAGTGCTAGATGGACATAGAGGAAGAAAGTGAGATGGTTCGGGATGAGATCTTTTCCGGAAGATCTCATGTCAAGCGGATACCAGTATTCAAAGGATCGTCTCAGAGTTTGCAGGTCTTCAACTGAGATCTCTGAAGATTTGGAAACGCTCTCGACATCGTTGGTTCGCGTGAAGATGTAGTCCCAGACATCATCAATCATCTGCTCTGGCTTGATGGGGAGCAAGCCGGGCGTCACGCCAAATTTGTCGCCATGCAGGAAATGCGCGATAGTGTAGTATGACATGTAGATGGTGCTGTCGCTCAAGCTCTCCACCAAGAAGGTGGGATCCCAAGGCAATTTGGATCCAAGACCATATGTTCTCGCACATGCCCACTGATTCAGCCATTCCAAGTTCGCCACGAATTGATTTTCTGTTTCGTGCGTGTATGTTTCAAGACCGTCCTTGTCCTTGACGTAGTCCAGAACTCTCCCTTGCCACTCCTTGTCGTTCTCTCCGTAGTTCAAGAACCATTGAGGGACGTAAGCAACCACGCATTCATCAGCGCTTCGACTGATGACTTCGGCAGACGGGTCAGCGAAGGGGAATGCCTCGCCCGATTTGATCAGAGAATTCCGGACTTTTTCTTTGGCGTCAGACACTTTTTCCCCTTTGAACTCCCCAACCAACATTGTGCCATTATAGAAGCCCTCCTTGTACACCAAATCTTTGGCCTCTGCGAGCAAAGCCGCATCTTTGGGGGACTGGATCTTCATTGCCTCGACCAGATGCTTCGCTGCAAGGTTGCCATATGCCGGTGTATCAATGATGGGAATGATCTCGGGCTCCGCCCATTCTTTCTTGATGCCATAGAACTCCGCCTTTTTGGCCAAGTCACGCACAGTGGCGAAATCGTCCGGGCTGTCTGAGGGAACAGAGGTAACGACACCTGTGCCTTTTGTTGCGGAAACCGTCTCCATGGGCAATATTCGAACGCCATGGGGGTGTGCCGACAATGGAGCATTGACCAAAGTACCGACAAACACAGAGCCAGGCAGCTCCACAACAGGCTGTAACTCTTCTTGGTCTCGGGGGAAATGGGCTTCGTCGAAGAAGATACCCTGGAACGCCATATTCCACGCTGCTCTCTTGGTGACCACGTAATATTCCTTCTCAGACACCTTGAAAATGCCATACTTGATCTTGGGCCCGACGAAACAGCACGTTTGGCCGTACATAGTTTCCGGTCTCAAAGTCGCCGGCACGAAATAGACATTCGCGTCCTTTGGGATCTTCGACTCGACCTCCCTTGCCGCCTCCGGTGACCACTCCTTGACTCTCAACTTCAAGGCCGTGTATTCTGTAGGACCAACACCTTCGCCTTTTGTCCTGTCATGATCCATGCAAGGCTGGCCATCTTTCGGGCTGTAGATGGTATACCTCTTTCCATACAGAATCTTGTTCAACTCATGCAGACGGTTCATTTGCCATCTGACAAAAGCGTCGTAGTATGGATTTGCGTCGGTAGTGACGAATTTCCTCCTCCAGTCTATCCTCGCCCCAAAGTCGTTCAAATCTTGTTCGCAAAGAGGCGGGAAGTACTCCAGCCAGTAATTTGCGTCTGCAAACTTATGGATTTCTTCTTTCGGTATTCCCATAGCCAGCATCGTCTGGAACTGATAATGGGTTTTGATTGTTTTTGCCGCCTGTTTCCCCTTCTTGCTCTTGAACTTGGTGACATCGTCCCTCACATTGATACCTTGTGTGGGTGCAACGGGAGCCCCGTTGGACTCGGGTGGGATGTCTTCCTCCTCTTCGTGGTAGTTTTCAAAGTTTTGCCCAAACCTTTTCACATCTTCGACGAGCTTGTCTGCGCAGGCTTTAATCGGCATTCCCGTACAATGAAACCCTAGAGGGAAGAGGACCCTCTTTCCAGTCAAGCGCTCAAATCCGGCTGTGAACTCGACCTTACTGACTGTAAAACTATGTCCCGCGTGCAATGTGCCGTTCATGTAAGGGTAAGCGAAAGTGCCAAAGAACTTTGGGTATTTCTTTCGGATGTCTGCAGCTGGGACAGAGCCAAATGGGATCTCCGTGGTTGTAGGCGCATCTGACTCGAAAACTTTGTTCTTCTGCCATTCCTTTTGGTATTTCTTCTCAATCGCAATCAAGACGTCTCGATTATGAGTCTGACGAGGTTGTGTTAGCTAATTTTCACAACGCTTCTGGGCAAGACTCACATTCTCCAGCCTCAGAGTGTTGGCCGAATTCAAGGCCGGGTCCACAGGTATCTGGGTCGCCATGATGGCGAGATGGGTTGATGTCCGACCAATTCAACAAACTTAGCACCTCGCTGGCTAATAAAATATGCCGTGGCTCCTCACCGAGAATTTCGCACGTTGCATTTCAAATGTTGGCTTCCTCCACCGCTTTGCGGAGTTGCAAAATAAATACTCCGACGCAAAGCGCGAAGCCTGAGCGACAAGACGCAGTCACGTGGAGATAAGATAAATGGCGAAGAAGGCCGGGTTGGATGGAGGCACTGGAGACAATTCAGAATCAGAAGAGCTCTAAAAGTAGTTGTGCATTATTTAGAATTTACAAAAGGCTAGATCATCTCGTACGTGGTTCGTCGTGAAATCATGTTGTATGGCTCCTGCGTTGGCAAGGATCCGTATTATTCACCTCCTCCACATTGCTGTCAGATGCATTTCCCTGCACTCCTAACACTCAGGCGCCTCCCAAGATTCTCGATCGATCTTCATTATAGCAGACTGCTTGTGCGGAAAGGACACTTCGCCTTGCTTGTAAAACCCGCAGTCTTTCAAATAGTCGATAAACCTTTCGCATAGATTAGACAGAATCACCTCAACACCTGTTCTTGACTTACTTTGTATTATCGACCCTTGGCTCCAGTATCACAGTTTCGGTTCGAGAATCGGCCAACCAGCAATAATGTACCAGAGCTGATAACCAAACCTTGACTCGATGAGGGCCACGGAATTCATTCTCCCCCACCAACGCGTGTAATCCTCGCGTGTAATTGCCGACATCGCCCCCCAGAAGCCGGCCCAGTCTGTCTTCTTTGACCCAATATATCTCAAAATAGCCAAACGGTTTACCGTCCCAGCAACCGTAGACTGGGAACGAGTGCCTGCTTATAAGACTATCCACCAAGAATTTCCTCTGTGTTGCTAGCGACCCGGCCGCGCCCCACGCTGCATTCACTCGAGGATCGTTCATCCACTTATGTAGCAGATCGAGATCAGATTGAGAGTCTGTAAAGTTGGCGACTGTGGGAAGGGTTGCTATGGACGCTCCTCCTCCGTGACTGGGCGTCATTGTCGGCATCGATCCTCCCATAGTCCCGAAATGGGGATGAGGACATGGTTTGGGAGAAAGTGTCGGCACCCGGAAGGAGAGCCACTGACCTAGACTGGGGATGTATCGATTGTAAAATGTTTCGCCTTGCCGAGGCGGTTTTGGACGAATTGGATGACGTATGTGGTTTGTGAAGGTGAATTGGGTCGGCGGAGCAGGATAATATGTCGGTAGATGGCTTCCTGAATTGAAAGGGCCTCCAGGAGAGGAGATCCCTGCAGTAAACCCTTCTGGTATCGCTGCAGCGGTCGGCACGACATAGTCTGCAGGCAGAGGAGAACCTCGTTCACCGGCAGTTCGCTCTGGCGAGGAAGGACGTGAGGGATACGGCGATGCCTGAGGGTAGGGTGAATGTTGCTGAGGCGCCATGGTATAGAGAAAGATTCTTGCGTCGATCTGCCAGAACGACCTCCTACTCACAAAGGTTTCTGCCCAACCATTAGGCAAGCGAATATCAGTGTCGGTGCCCACACACGAATCCTCGCTTGCGATGAGACCCATCCGCTCAAGCTTTTGCAGGGTATTCTTTCCTTTGAAAATGCCTTCTCTTTTAATTTTGATGCGCCATTCCAGCTTCGGTCTACCCGCCTCCGGCGTCAGGGCCGATGCATCGGTAAGAGCATGAGGATTGGGAGCTTCTTTATGGAAGTACCAGCACAGGGTTGCCCAGAGCATCATGGCAATATGTCGGGTGGGGCTAGCAGTATTCTTGAAATCTGCGCTGGCAGGCATCGATATGGACGAAATGAAAAGCGAGTCGCTCTGGATTGTAGGGACGGTAAACCGATGTGCGACTACATGCTTGTGGGGGCCCATCTCTTCGGGCTCTTTCGAATATTGATCCTCTGGTACTTTACTCTTCCTCCGCTCGGGTTCATCCTCGACTTCGTCTTCTGTCTGAATGATCACTGTCCATCCCGGCGGCATCGCAGAGTGATGCAGGTCGAGGTTAGTGGATTTGAAGGCGTAACCACCAAAGACAGGGGTAACGGTGTAGATCTGCCCATTGGGCAGACAGACCTGTTGGACCATCTTCGCACCAAGTTATCCAGGCATTACAGCTTGGAGCATTGTAGCGATGAGAAGAGATGGAGGGACAACTCTGTTCGGAAACAGGAGGAAGAATTAGCTATAGGCCGTCGGGTAGAGGCAAATGTAGAACCTCGGATTGGTGCATGTCTTTCATGCTAACTCCAACGCGATCGCCAGGGCGAACCGCGCCTTACAAGGATGATGGACGGGGAGCGGGAAGCAATGAGGTTGGAGCGAGCAAACCAAACAAGGCAAAGAAAAAGCGGCAGCGGCGCGATTGAGTAGTTGGCATTGCCATGTCATTGTCCGTCTACCACCCCGAAACACGGACATTGCCTCAAACGATTCGCCTATTAAACCCCCAACCAGACTTTCGGGAGTTTCCTATTTTCCTATATCGAGCAATTTGACCTCAATCAGCCTCTGGGCCCGTCTTTCCGTTCACCAAACTAAGTCGGCGGTACAGTTCGTTTGTTGATGGGCTCCATCCATCAACTAGAAATAACAGCCTTATCTCGTTAATTAAAGCTCAATGAACTGATCCTCGCACATGAAGCGTCATTCCGCCCCTCGGCTCGATCCCACCCTTTTGGCGAGCGCCGCAATCGGCTTAAGCCTATTTATGCTAACCCAACGACGACCGCAGACAAAATCCTTCTTCAGAATCGCAATGTATTCCACACCCTGGGATCACTATTAGTTCCTGATATGCGCGTATCGTGGCGAAGAGATTTCTGAGTTTTCCCGTCCCAACTAGAACAGAGCCTCGTCAAAATTCTTGAATTGTCACACCGACTCCTCGTTCCATCGCAAGTCTGATCAAATCGCCGGCCACCACGAGATCCATCAATCCCATCCCAACGCTCTTATACATGACATTGCCTTTAGTTAACCAATCCAATAGGCCTTGCTCACCCGGTCCTCCCAGTTCGATTTCCCGGGTTGTTGCCTTTTTGATCATCATCAGCTCTCCGATCTCGACGAGGTGCTCCGGCTTCAATTTTGCCTGGATGATTTCGCCCGCCTCTTTTAGACACGACTCCAAACTATCCACAACGATGGCACCGCCCTGCTGGGCATGTTTGTGATGATGGTTGTGGTGATGTGGTTCGACGGCCCTCTTGAAGATATCGGGATGAATCTCACACATATGCGGGGCGTACGATCCAATCGCAGAGATATATCTGCCCTTCCTCTGTCCCTCGCGAGAGATCAAGAACTCCGCAGGAAACAATGGTTCCACCGATGGCGTACAGCAAAAGATCACGTCTGCTTTTCGAACTTCCTCCTTAAGTAGTCGACCGTACTCTCCAAAGTCGGGGCTCATGGCTGAGAATTTGATGTCCTTCCGCCATTGAGCTTTAGACTCGTCTGTAATCTGAAATGCATTCATTAATTTGATGGCTCTCGCGAAGGTTCGATTGATGATATTGACGTGGCGAATCTGGTCGCCTTTGAAAAGTAGCGCGAGCCTGATATGCCAGTAAGCTTGCTTGCCTGCACCGAAGACAGTCACCGTATGCACGTTCTGTCGCTTTTGAAACATCACGGTCGACGCTAACGCAGTCCTGAAAGCTGTAAGCTCTTCGGCATTGACAATACCCACTGGGTTGCCCGTGGAATCAAGTATTGTGACTGATCCTTTCGGTGCAGTGCTCCGAGTACTAGCAGTTGACGGCGGAGGTTGAAGCGAAGTGCCACCGATGGAGTCTCTGCTTTCTGCAGACATTGTAGAGGCAGGGGTTAAAGTCAGGGAGCCAAAATCCAGGCTTGAGGATTTGACTGAAGCGCCCGAGTTGCTCTCTGTAGTGCCCGATGACATCGATGACTTTTGACTTGGGATCATTTCCGGCTGCTCTAATGATACGATCTTCATCCCCACCGACGTTCCAGTCGAAGCAGGCATGAAAAGCGTGGTGACGCCATTTTTCTCGATAACTGTTCGGGCCGGCTGGAAAGACGCAGCGCAAGGCGAGTTGGTGTCGCCAGTGGAATACGAGTGCAAGGCTTCAGCAAGATTTCGCTGCAATTCTGCTGCATCATCCTTCGTCAGAGACAAGAGGAGTTCGCGCACCTCTGAGTCCGTGAGCGCAGTGAGAGGCATTTTGAGTCGAAGGAGGGTAAGATGGCCGATGTCAGACTTGGGAAGAGGTAACCAAAAGGTGGAGACAAAGATGCGACCTCGTCATAAAGATGAATGATCTGTGGTATTTTGAGATCGGCTTCGATTCATTTTTCACTCCGGTGTCACCTTCTTGGGTCTTTGGATATAAAGTTGCTTGATGGGCCGCAAATGCTTCAGAAGCCTCCAACAACCAGTGGCGACAAGCAATTCATGAATTCATCCCCGTTATCCCTTGTACCACGGCCATTGGCCCAGTTGCCTCACATGCTTCGCCGGTTTGTCTTGGATTTTCTTGTCTATTCGGAGATATCCTTTTCTCATACCGCCGACATCGTGATGTCCTGCATATCCCATTCTTGAGTCCTCCCTTATCCACGTTGACCGTCATGGCGATAGACCGGGGATATAGATCTGTAGTAAAGCAAGTTCTTCTCTTGACCGAAGCCGAGAATCTTCTCCATCCAAGTTTCTATTCAGGCCCGATGAGCTCAAGGGCCATGCTCTCATCAAGACGATAATTTTCGAATTGTGTGGGACGTAAGAAAACTAATCTTGGTACCAGCCCTCAGGTCCACGGCATGGTTGCTTCAAGGCGAAGGCATCAACGCGGCACACTCATTCGATCTCCAGGTGCGGCTAGTACAAGAGCATGAAGTTTGAAAAGACCACAGGTTGATTGTTACACAGTTCGTTGACGTGTCCCAATACCACAGACGTCTGTCTTTGGCCGGGTATCTATGATGTCCAGGTAATGGCGCTAAGTATACACTTCACGTCTCATGTCCTCATCTCGAGTTAGGCTAAGGAAAGCCTGCATGCTCAAGCCCAAAACTAGAAAAGAAAACAGAACGGAGAAAAAAAAAAAAAAAAAAAAAAGGAGGGGGGGACGACGAGCATTCATTGAATCCTCACTTCATCTCTCCCCACATGTCCTCATCGCTCATGACCATATCATCCTCGCTCAAGACCTTCAATCCTTCTTTCTTTCGGTTCTTTTTCATCTCTTTCTTGGTCACTAGCGACCGCGGCGTCACAGGCGTCATTGGCGTAAATGGCATATAAGGGCTGTATGGAGTCTGAGGCATTCCAGTCTTGGGATGCACACCCAAAACGCTCTCACGTCGATCCACGAACGTGGTCTTCGTGGGTGGTGCACTCTTCAATGATTCATTATACAATTGACGGAATGGTAGGCTGTTTGAACTGTTCGAAGCCGCGGTACTGCGTAGGGACAAAGGAGCCGGAGGGCCCTTCTTCTCCACTTCATTCGCCGTCACCGTAACGGAAGATTTCTGGCCAGGCGTGGGCGGAGGGGGTCCGGGATTGTAGATTCGGGGAGACGCAATGCTCTCCTCGGTATATATTGACGCCTCTGTAAGTGTTGCGGATCCAAGAGGTTCCGAAATTGGCTGCCCCCGTACAGAAATGCGGCTTGGCCGTCTTTTACCCTGATCTGCCGAATCGCTTCGACCAGATATAAATGACAAAGGGGATACTTTCTTTCGGCTGCTAGTTTGAGATGCTGTCCTCGAGTCCTGTGCCTCTCCAGCGGGGGTAGGCGCCAATGGGTGGACAAGTGTCTGTGTAACTGGCTCGATACCGTGGTTTTCCTCCTCTGGTGAAGCGTTCCTCAAGTGTTGGAATTCTGGAGGGTAGCGGGGCGAAACAGGCCCATTCAGATAAGGTTGATAGTACGGTGATCTTGGTGCGGGGGGAGCCTGATGGGGAGACCTAGGCGTCGGAGGAGCATTGTATTGAGGCGGGAATTGGGGTGTCCGAGGAGAGGTCTGGCCGCTGCTACGAGCTTTCTGGGATATCTCCTCATCGTGTGCCATGACAGCAGCATAGAGTTTGGTCATTTCATCCATGTTCTTTGCTTTGTCTGCCGCGAGGATTTTCTCATCAATTGTCGAAGTGACGCTCACATTGGACTGTTTATGATCATGGGATTTTCCCCCGCTTGCCCATGACTTCAGGCTGGCCATCTTGCCGGGGCTCTTCAACGGTGGTTCGACATTCATCTTGGCCTGATTGGCCAGAGGCGCTGGCTTGACGATTTCCATGCTGAGGGTGCGGTTGGAGGTCTGGGTCTTGCGGCGAAGCCTCTTGCCAACGAAGAGAAGGAGGATAAGGGTGAGTAGAAGCCAGAAGACGTAAGCCCCCGCAATACCGATGATTTCGTACTTGAGCTTGGATTGGTCTCTCAGAGCACCAGCCGAGAGAGGAGGTCCTTGATCTGGTGGCGGGGCAGGATCAGTGTCGATGTCGAAATCCCAGATGTCGGCAGGTCGAGCAGTGGCCGGAGAGGAGATGAAGGCAAAGATGAAGATGATTTGAAGAATTGGGGACGAGCACTTCATCTTTGTAGGCAGATCAGCTCTTCAACATGATCCCACGATTTCGTGCCTGAAACTGCTGACCCCCTGGCCGGAGGGACATGAAGCAGCTTGTTGCACACAAACAGCGCTCACGGCGGTAGATGTACCTGACCATGATTGCGAGAGGAAGGCGACGCAGGCGCTCACCGTGGTGATTGGTAGAAGCATAGTGGTGGAAAGCTGTGAAGAGAGAGGATGACCACTGCATGAAGCACAGTGAGGGACGAATCACGAGGGCGAGCGGGGGAGGGACGACATGCGAAGCCCGCGCAGTGGGTTGCGGTGCCTGGACGGCTTGTGCCCTAGTCTGCTCTTTAGCTGCATTCGTCCAAGGCACCGAGGGTATTCCCCACTTCTCGCCGCCCGCGTCCTCCACTCACGATCTATTTTTAAGCGCCCGGAATATCAAAGTGGCATTTTTTGGTCCCGTTCTCGACACCGCTTTTCTCCATCCGTATCACCCTTGGGCACACGGGACTATCAATCCAGAAACTCTGATTGCTGCTTCCTGGTACTTGCCCATCAGAGGGAGGCTGGTCTCGGTTGTCCTCCCGCCACAACGGCTTTCTCCCAACGAGGTAGGGCTATTCAGCACAGGGTCTCATCACCAATACTTTTTTCACAAGATGTTCCATCACATCGACTTTTCTGGATCCGGCCATCGACCACCAACACGACATTGGCATGCCCTCTACTTCTCAATAGCGTGCGGACCTGCATGACCCCGAGGTCTCTCTCGAATCGAGCCGGGAAAAGTGAAATCTCGTACCTTGGCAGGACAAGTGATGGCAGTGAACTCGCCGAATTATATTGATCCCGCAAACGCCGTTGCCAGGAAACCTCCTGAGAGGTGCATCTGGAGATGGTGATACCGTGCTGAGATGAACTACTAGGGAATACCGACGCAGGGTGTGTTCGGAAGTCTTCTTCGTGCCGTGGTGTTCACCAAGCGAGTCCATTCTTTTCTGTAGGCTTGTTGACCGAATAGTGACACTATCTAGCTGGCTTGCCTCATCATAGACGTCCGACATGTATCTCATTTCATAGTGATAGCCTCCTCGGGAATATAGTCTGATTGGGAATCGACAGAAGGAGTGCATACACGTGGAATTGATCATTGGAACAAAGAATGCTGCTACATTTGTCAAACTTTCAGATCGTGTGGCCTGGAATGATCATGGTCACGTGTCAGGCTGTGAAAGTGATAACCATGTGTTGAACTGTGAGACAATATGTGGCAACGTTTTCAGCGTGACAATGAATGTTCAGCTAGACAAGGGTTTCGTCTACGAGCTGAACACGGAGACACCGAAAGATGGCGACAATCTTTGTCTATATAAACATGCGAGGCAGGACCTCAACTTGATAGAGAACAGAGCACTCCTTAAACTCAAGTTGTACCACAAGTTCGACACCATGCCACTAAAAGATGGACCAGCTTAATTATTCTCCAACTGCCAGTGTCGTCGAATCTCTTTGATCCACTCCGACACAGGTACAGTTTTCCCACCACGACGCACTTGGGTCGGGCCTCTCTCATCTGCCTCCCGTTGATCCCAAGCGGGAACATGTAGAAACTCGTGAGTAGGGCTGCATCTCTTCACTTCAAGCGCATCCCTGCGAAGAAGTTCATAACATGGAGTAGCGAACATAACGTCTAGACAGCATCTGCAGATCCAGATATTGTTTCCATACGTCCATCCATGATCGCATGACCCACCGTCGCAACCGTAGTCCAACGGCCCCTCACTATTTCGGACAGTGCTTGATCGAGTTAGAGGAGTCGGGCTGTCCTGCTTGTCCGAATCTTCAAGGGTCGATGTACCATTTGCCGTACAATTCTGATGACTTCCTTCTTCTTCTTGGTCAGCGGCCGGCGGCTCTGCAATAGTAGTTTCGTTGGTGTCATCGACCCCATCGATCTCCTCCTGCACATTAAAATCGTTTGGTCCAATCAGTGACCACGCAGCGAGAGAATTGTCATCGTCGCCGTAATACATGAGCGCCATTCCAAGTCGCAAATATCCTTGCCAGTCGTTGCTTGGGTCCTCATCAGAAAGTAGGTCGACTCCGACTTTGACATGAGATCGGAGACAATCTTTAGCTTCCTTATCCATACCAACCTTGGTATAGTAACGCCCGACGATAAGCCTTGTGTCGAGAGTGCTCGCATATGCATCCGACTCCGAAAAGTCATTGCTGGCCACGGAGAGCTGCAAGAGCTTATTGATGGTTTGGGTCGTCTCTTCCGAGCCTGGAGATCCTTCACACAGCTTTTCGTAGTATACCGGCGAGAGAGATTTGCCGGCAGCGTATCGCGGCAAGGAGAAATCAATGTCGACCGCATCGGCTATACAGTTTTCCCACAAATTGATGGCCTCTTCGCGGTCCTCCGAATCATGCGGGTTCTTGTAAAGCATCTCGGCGAGTTGACAAGTCAGCATGACACGATACTGCGCCTTGGCAGACTCTTCGTCGCTCAAATATCCTGGGTCCATGGCTTCTTCTATTGCAGCCTGATATGCAGATTTGATGAAAGAAAGGCTATCAGTCCGTTTTCCGGCAACGATGATGGCACTATGGAAGTCACGCTCAAACACATTTTCGTGGAAAGTCAAACTCAAACGACTGATGCCTTGCGCCGGATCTTTCTCTGTTTGTAACTGTTGCAAGAATTCAATGACCTGTAGATGGTGTTCTTGCCTCCCCAGCGCCATGATCTTCTGGAAGACGGTATCGTAGTCATCGGGCGCACTTGCTAATTGCTGCTCGTATAGGGAAATCGCTTTATCGTACCGGCTTGACTGGGCATAGGCATATGCCAATGACAGGCGTAATTTAGTGGTGTACTGCTCTGGAGAGGGTTCTTTTGCCTCCCCCTCCTCAATCCGCCGACGAATATCTTCGTATAGCGGGATTGCTCGATCCCAGTCGTTCAGTTCCTGGTATGTATTGGCAAGTCCAAAGTCTGAGAACCAGTGATCCTCTTTCAGGCCGGCTGCTGTCTGAAAGGTCTCGATGGCCTCTTCATAATGGCCGAACTGTCGATAAGCTCTAGCAATGCATCGAATCCACTCATAATCAAGCTTTACGACGTGGAGTCGCTCCGCAGCCCACTGGGAAATATTGTTAATTTGTTTGGCAGTGATGGGTTTCGTGGCCATGTTGATCTTCATTATAGGCTTGGATGGGTTCTTACGCCGACGGAGCTATTGTAATTGTTAGTTTGTTTTGAGCACCTGCCTAATGGGACATCGTGGGATGACGATAGAAAAATTGGAGCGACTTGAATCGAAAGCCTCCCTAGAAATTGAATAACTGAAGTCATGTCCATCAGGAGACTTCCAAATGACACCGTGCCCAGACATACCTTGTTTAGAAATGCATGTAGAATGCGCACCAGAGTCGGCGGGTCACCTCCCAAAACCACGGGGCTGCGAAAGAGGCATTCTGACAGATATGTACAGATGTGTTCCAGTAGATCGGCTTCGGGAAAAGAATTCGACGTCAGGGTATTCACCCAGTCTTGATCTGCATTGGAACACTTCTTAACAACAGCAGAATCCTTCAGCCAGCCCAGAACTATGTCGACTTTGTCTTGGACATAAAACCATCCAGGGCCAAGTGAGGATTGTTTCATAGGAGTCCACCATTTAGCAATTGTCTCTTTTGCGGCAAACATGTCGACGAGGTATTGACCGACTTGGGCTTTGTCACCGGGACTGCTCGTTGCTAATTCAATTTCCTGCAAATGATTCACAAAGAAGGTGCATGCATAGTCATGGAGACACAGTACATCCGCTTCCGAAGATCGTGCAATAGCCTGAAAGCAACCGAGAAGAACATTCAGGTGTGCATTGTCAAGGTCAACATGAACGAATGACGCATTCGACGACATCTTATGCTGGAAGAATTCTTCGAAGCCAAATTTGTCGTACAAGTCTTCTTCACAAACTTTCTCGAGGAAATGCCGAATGATTTTGACTTCAGATGGGTGAATCTTGCCCTTGTAAGAGCTCGCTTCCTGTTGCTCGGAGTGGCCAAGGTTACGAAAATACTCAGAAATGGAATCTGACACCATTGTTACCAAGGCATTCTTGTGCTCAAGCTGATTGGCCCTGTCCACATTGAAAAAGGCTGAGTACTGAGATCGGATCTGATCGTAGAGGGGTCTCAAGGGAGTTTCTCTGTTTTTGAGAAAGAGTACAGCCTCAAGCTCTCCAACAGTCAGTGTCCTTTTCGAAGACATCACCCACGTGAGGAGGGTATTGAGATCACGAATATCTCGAGGATGGAGCGTTTGATTGCAACGTTTGATCTCTCGGGCAATGGTGTCAGATCTCTGGGTCTTATTGGCAAGGACTTCACGAATCTCTGCAGGCCAGCGTTTTGTTCCTATCTCTTTCAACAGGAGATCCACGTTAATAAAATCCCCGTTTGCCCCCTCAGACAAGTTTGCGAAAATTTCTTGTCGGAGGTTTTGAACCTGCGCAGAGGACCCCTGCAATATATCCATGCGCTCTAGTCGATCGGTGATGAAGTCTTCGAGATCCGGACGATTGTTGGACGCTAGATCGATCGTCTCCGTCCTCAGATCCACAGCCTCGGTGAAGTCTTTGAGAATCTGTGTGCGGCCGGAGAGTAATATCCGCAGACGAGTTATTTGATCAGGCGTGTTCTGCGTCTGCATTGCTTTCAAGAGTTGAAACAGCGCCTTGACGCTTCTGTCTCCCATTTGGTCGACACCGTCAAGAACAAAATAAAATGTCTCTCGACTCCGAAGACATGGTGTGAATAGCCGCACAAAAAGCTCTTCGGGGTTGTCGGGCTCGATCCAATTTTCACAAGCGGAAGCGAGATCTTTTCGATAGACCGGCTCCTGAGCTAGTTGAAGAGCCGTAGTTTTGAGTACTTTCGTAATTGAATGAGTTCCCTGCATGCTGAGTGACGTGTCCTTTGTGTCTTGCTGCTGTTCCACATAAAAATAGGCAATGGTTGTTCGGGACGTATCTGCAGTTTGTTGCGCGTAGCGTTTCTCCAGATCATGAACGATGGATGTGATCAGGAATGACTTGCCATACCCTTCGTTTGCTGAGATGAGGAGAACTTTGTCGTAGGGAGAGGATCGATCGGTCCACTCTATAAGATTTATGTTCTCTTGGGTCCACTTTCCAGTACCTGGGACAATCTGGGACAGCAATTGGCGGTGAATTTTGATTTGCTCGTCGGCATCTTTTTGAACATCCAGCTTGGTCTTGATTTTTTCGAACAGTTTACGATCTATGCTGTCAGCTTCTCGCTTCCTGGTTTCTTCGGATATTTTGTCCAAAGTGACCTTGACACCAGAAACAGCATCTTTTGTTTCGCCGAAGCCTTCCTTGACGAGTTGATACGTAAGTGTCGTTTTCATCTGAGACTCTCGTTCAACAAGGGCTCTCAAATTGGCGATTGCGCCGTTCACTCCATCGTCTTCGTTGAAAGCAAAGACTCTAAGGAATTTCAGCACTTTATTGCCCTGGAGGACATGCACTGATAGTTCGCAGATAGACACAAACGACAGCAAGATTTGATGGATGATCTTCCGCATAGGCTTGTCAATCTCTTTCATCTTCAGGTAGACGACGAACCTCTCAAGAACGTCGGAAACTTGCCTGAAAAGCTGAGTCAGGCTTGCAAAAATGTTCCGGTAGTTCTGTCCGGCGGAAATGAGATACGAGACAGCATTGAAGCACAGCTCGCTGGGACCAAAGACCTGTAGCAGAAGTCCAAGTTAGTTTACGGTCAGACAGAGGGATCATATATGTAGAAATTGGGACGTGGTTAAGCGGAAGGCTAGGAACGTGCACTTAAACATAGAAGCACTTCCAGCATATCTGCAAAATAGTCTTCATGTCCGAGACGTCAGGCGTGTCTATAATTGGGGGGAGCATTTCAAGGGTGTTTACCATTCCGGCGCCTTGGGCGGCGATACCACCTAGGTTTTGAATGAATACGAGAGACTTCCCTAGGACATCCTTCAGAACTTTGAATTGAGCCTTTTTCTCTTCGTCTTCTTGACGTTTCAGCTTGAGCTGTGCAATTACCTCTTCAGGAGTCTGCGGTTTCCCCTCAAGAAGGTCGACTTTGGTTGTCGCCGCGAAGGACCGACAAGCCTTCTCCCAAGCTGCGCGCAAGTCATACTCATCGTCCGTCGGCGCTCCGTTTGCGACCACAGCCATATTGAGAGCGATGAAGAAGGATTAACCCCCCCGAAAATGACGGTCGTAAATTGTGGCATTTTATAGCGTCCTAGCTGGTCTGCAACGCGCCATCACGGGGGATGCAACGCAGGACGCCTAAATTCAGCCGGTCCCATGTTGGCGCCATCCCCGACAAGGCTGAGTGAAATTCAGCCAATTGCAGTACGGAAGGCTGAAACAAACCAACACCGATTGGACGTTGAGCAGGGAAAAAAGTTTCATCGATCTGATAATTCTTGACTAGTCAGGGGAAGCAGGTGAGGTTTGGCCCCATCTCGTATTGCACGAGGTGGCCAGATGATCAGACAAGTCGACTTCTTCATCGGCTCCTGGACAAGGGAAAACTAAAGTCTCACTCGACATGCAGTGTTGTATTAATGTAATGTATCAGTTACCCCCACACCTGGACGGCAAAGTTGGGTAATTGCATGGATCTTCTGAGTGGCGGACCTCGGACTGGGTTCTGATAGCCTTTGGATCCCATTGTTGGGATTATGGGTTGGGCTGAACTCGGCTGGAGGCAATAATTGAGTCGCTGGCTGCCGATTGACGTCTTCGATGTCAGTGTTATGCAGTGTTCGGTTTGTAGCGTGGGTGTCCTTTGATGTCCGATTTCTGATGATCAGGCCGTTATTCTGGATACGTTGGATTTGTCCAGGCGGACCGAGTCTGTTAAATCGTCTCTGCTGATGGCTGGGGATGATCACCTCCAGCTGCTTCCTGTGCCTGTAGACCAACCTAGTCCCGCAAACCCACTACCTCTCCCAATAGAGCTCCCAGGGTCGCGAGCGTTGACAGCTTTTCGTTTGCCCTTAGCGCCCTCACTGGTCTTCACTCCGTCAACAATCTTTTCGAGGTTCGTCTCCACCACAACACCACCCACAACCATCTCGCTAAGGACCGCATGAAGTGTTTCAAACCCAAAGATCAAGTCTAGTTCACAAACATTTTCGAAGAGTCTGTCCAAGGCCTCTACAAAGACTTGGATAAAATCGAGCAGCGCCAGCGGTGACTCGGTGGAGGTGGAAATTAGAATAAAGTACAGCGTTGCGTAATGTCGATAAGTGATTTGAGTCGGGGCATCAGGGGAGGTATTGCTGCCTGTGGGAGCCAGCAGCGGAGGGAGAGGTAGGAAATTACAGGCGGAAGCTGGACGAGCTGATACAAGACTGAATATCTGAGAGAGCAATGACTGCTGCGTCGCCGTGTCCTGTGATGGAGAGTCAACACTAGGGGAACACTGTTCCGTCGAAGGTATTTACCAGTTGAGAGTAGAACTTGGTCAGTCTTGGTTGACCATTGTTATTAAAGACCAGTACAGCGTTGATCATCGCGACCGGTGACTGACAGACGATAGATATGAAGGAATCACATTTGACGCATGGATGTAGCGGAATCAACGGGTGTGGGCAATGAAGCCGTATTGAGGGGGCCTAAATTTGGATACGCGTGGGGTGCAGAGTCTCTTAAAGCGCAGCCGCGGGGCGTAAGCGATAAACCTTGAAGCATACCAGCCTTCAGGTTCTCCAGTTGGCCTGGTTCGCCTACAACCTCCCCTGACAGTTCGAGCACGCGAAGTCAATACACCTACGACTCACCCTCCTGCTCACCTTCTTCCACTACCACTTTCCTCACCCTTCTCTCTATTCGTTCACAAGGATGGTCACCTTCATCCTGTAATCCTTTCTCCACCGGAAACGAGGTCTAAGAGCCGCGACCTACGACGTGACCGGCCTTACGGCTCTTTCGATTTGATTCTGTCTTTTTGCGAACCACGGGCCTACAGGCAGGTGCACAGCATAACCTTTCTCATCACGAAGATCAGCTATGCGGACCTACTAAGAGCATCCAAGAGGAGCAGTCGTTGGAATGTAGCTAATAAGCCCAAATTGTTGACGAATAGACCCGAACCATATCAAATACACTGGGTTTGATGCGCCGAATCTGGAGCCAGGGCTAGAGAGACTTTTCCGAAACATCATGCCTAACAAATGGCATCGGCAACCTGCAGATTGATGAGAGAGCGAGAATGCGAAGGCTCGAAGCTAACTTCATGGGAGTTGCGGTTGAGGTGGGAAATGTCTCTGAAAAACATAGTACTGCATAGATGTTTATCTTAAGTAATAGGTCAGAGGCTTCAGCAAGAGCATACTGAAATCCTCCATCATTGCATCAGCGACCTCTCAAACGTTACCTATTTCCTCCATCAACCAAGCATTCCCTAGAGCCCTCACATAATCAACGGGTCACGAGATCACACCTCGCGAGGGCCGACAGAATTTCGAGTCGTTCAGAGCAACAGCAATTTCGACCATAGGTTCAGGTCTTGCAATTTCGGTGGTTGCGCCGTCATTCTGTCGCTCTCCGCTGCTGGATTTGTCTGGTTTCAGTAGTGGGTATATCTCCAAGACAACGAATGGTGGGAAAGAAGTTCGATGCGATGGCATGTGGGTATTGAAGAGGTGAGCGGACGGTTCAGTGGAGACAGCAGAAGTCGATCGAAGCAATTCCAACTTCGAGGGATGACTGATGAAGAGCTTTTTGACCTCTCGGATGATGTTGCACAAGAGTGTGGGAGAACGAGAGTCAAACCTAGCGATCTTTGATTTCAGCGAGGTGTGGCATTGTGTGGAATGGAGTGTCAAAATCGGACGGTTTTGATACACACTGACTTGGATGGACATTGCGACGAAAACGAAGCTCAAAGCCACGGCCGGTGTGAAAGGCAATGCTCGGAGTGTGAAGGTGAAATCTTTTCGCATGCTGAGGCTGGCGCAGCCGACATATTGCTTTGTATTCGCGATCAGGACCATGGATCTTGAAAGATTCACACACATACACCAAACGGAAAATCCAACCAGTCGACAGCCTTGACGGGAGAAGGGAAAGGAGAGGAGAAGAAACTGCGCAGAAGACACCACCGTCTGGAAAGCAGCGAGCAAGGAAGTTGCGGCCCCATTCGATAGCTGGGAAAGCATATCGAGGAAGACGGACGAAGAGAAGAAGGTGCGATATCCCATCAGTACCGGATTCCCGCTAAGCTAACACCACTGCAGCTTCGAAGAGATTTGAATCATTGAAGCTCTCGCGTTCGGAAAGCGAATGGAACTCGCTAGAGTCCTATCAGGGAATGCAGGGACTACCGTTTGTATTCGAAGAGTGTTGCTGAAGACCGCTGCCCACCCTGCCCAATGGGATTCCCGTTGTCGATATGACGGGACGAGGTCCTTTCGACAAACCCTTGGGTATCGGCGAGCGAGAAGTGTGTTTTCCCCGATCAGTTTTGTCTGATGGCATTCTTCCCCTCTTCATTGGCGTTAAAAAGCAGAATACTCGTGGATGGCCGTTCAAATGGCAATAGTAGATGTGTACAACTCCTGAACCAGTCATTTCGCGACCGTCGATGAGATGGGGCTGTTAGCCGCGATTCGCCTCTTGTGGCAATCGGAACATCTTCCCTTGGATCATGCGATGCAGAATGCTCTCGAATCAAAAGATGTGTATTTGGCATCAGAACTTACCAACTTTTGAGAATCGAATCGAGGAAGAAGTCATAACATTGAATGTGTCCGCCCGGACATCAATTCGAAAACAAAAGTGAAGGTCTCTGGTCAATCATACTGATGCTGTACAGCCGACCTGCGGTAAGTATGAGAACATCCTGAAGATCTTCTGGCTCCGTGCTCGGGTAAGCATTTCTTGTGCTTTCATTGTTGATGACCGCCGAAGCGTGTTCGTAGATGGAACAAAGCTCGTAATGATGGCAGCGGCGAATCACGAAAAAGAACCTTCCGCATGTGTCAAAGTACATGCTGCTGCTTTGAGGCACAGCGACGCATTGCTCTTACAGACCGCCATCACTTTCGTTGGTTATCGGCCCACCAGCCCTCACCGGGTTCGGCGTGAACACAGGGCGGCGTCAGCTTCATCCCAAACGGGTAAGGGGAGAAGGGTGAGTCGGGTCGCAAAAAGTTACAGCCCATGTTCAAGTTTTGTCGCAGTTTGTTCTCGGAACATTTTCATACCCATAATTCATCCATTACCTTCTCTTCCCTTGAGCATTAGATGAAAGGACCCGCCCGTCATTCGTATCGACAGCGCCTAATCAAGCTTCAGGATGGACGGCGGGAGCTGCACGCGACCCTTTGTCGACCGAAGGCAAAATCACCTGTTTCTAAGGTACCTGTAGCATCATGGTACTGGCATACACAACCTCCAACCCGGCGGAATTTAGCTGCCGCTAAACACTTTTTTGAGTTCACCCGGCCTTCAAGACAATGGACTGGAGAACTCTGGCGAAAAGAACGCAGCTCCGAGCCACTCCTGCGGCCTGAAGTCGTCTTCCTCGGTCGTTCAAATGTCGGCAAATCCTCATTGATCAATGCCCTTACTTATTCCGACCTCAATCGAGTCAGTGGGACGCCCGGGGCGACGAAAGTCATGGCAGCTTGGTCGCTCGCAGCACGAACTCCGGACGGCGGAGCCATAAAAGGATGGGGCGGAGACACCAGCAACAAACTCTCACTGATTGATATGCCAGGCTATGGGTATGGCAGTTCTACGTCATGGGGATCTTCTATTATCTCATACCTGCGCCAGCGCAAGAATGTTCGGAGAGCATTCCTGCTCGTGGATCCGCTAATGGGGGTGTCGCTCAGCGACCGTCATATGCTGGAGATCCTGTGCGAACTTGCAATTCCATATCAGATCATCGTCACAAAATCGGACCGGATCTCTTTCAAACATTCCCCGACCGAAATGCGTTCCACCTTGAAAATCATTCGCTCCCAAGCAGATCTAGATGGAAACTCCCAATTGGGCTTGGGAGAGATTATTGCGGTCGGATCTCTTCACGGCACCACGGTGAGCAAGACGGGGAGACTTATAACATCGCCAGGTGCTTTTGGAGTTCCCAACGTTCAGTGGGCAGTGCTCCGAGCCACGGGCCTGGATACATACGCAATGGAAAAAGCAGAATCACACGGAATATTGCAGAACTTTCCGGCCGAAAACAACGCTCTTGCACCTTTTGGAACTGACGGCCTTGACCTGTTTGCGAGTACGTATCGGCCGTCTAACGAGAACCTTGATAGAGACTCCGCGTACAGAGCAAAGAGCTCTCTGTTGGACCCTGACCCTGATACGTCTCCTATGTCGGCCTCTGATTCATCCCTCCCAGCTTTAAGTGTGGAAGAATTCATGCACGAAATTCTAAATTCTAGCGCTCAATCATATGAGGTTGCAAACGAGGGACGCCCTGAACAAAGACAGACGGCAAAGATATACGAACCACTGCCAGCATCACATGACCGATCCCGATCAGGTACTCATGACCAAAATACCACTGTAGACGACATTGAGTCAAGAGCGTACAAGCTTTTCGCGGGCAAAGAGGAGAGCAAGTCAAATCAACAACAATTTAATGACAGAGGCGTCCCCAACCAGGTGAATCGCGTTCAAGAAGTCTCGAGCAAAGAGACACAAATCTCGCAGCCGAGCATCAATGGCCAAGGCGTCATTCGCGGGGTGGACGCCTTTAACGCCCTATTCGCCAAAGCACAGCCTCAGGGTCGTCAACGCGACAGTGGAAGGCCCAAGCGTGGTGTTGCTGCTCCGAAAGACGCAAGCATACCGCAGCCAGAGAAGCAGCAGCAACCGGCTCTGGTGGGCAAGGGGGTAACTCGGGGCATGGATGCCTTCGAGTCCATGTTTGAGGACAGTGTGTTAACCAGAAATTCTAAACGTTCGTCAAAGAGCCGACGTCGATCGTCCCGCTGAGTAAACAAACCACGCCAGAGGATAAGCTATTTGATGCCTCGGACTCTCAGAGCTCTGGCTCTCTGAGAAACGAGAATATCATGCTGAGATATGCATAGAAGGAGCAATTCGGCGCCAGCGGGGACCATACCACCAACATATTCGTGTGGGAACCATATGATAGAAGTGCAACAACAATAGACGCCTGGACAATTTCATGTACAGCAAGGAAACCAACCGACCCTCTGTTTGGACGTCAACGTACAATTCTTATTTACCACAGCACAGTTGGCTGAACCCAAAAGGACAATTCAGCCAGGAGAAGCGGATAAAGTGGGCAAAGATGAAAGCTGGCATATGCATGTACTCATTCATCAACTCAGTATGTTCACTCACTAAATCCAGTCCGGGCGCTAGTTCAGGACCTATGAACAGACACAGTATCTACATTTAGCTGCACCACAAAATAGGGGTGGAAAGCACTCGCACAGTAGACCACGTAAACCAACACAGATCCATCGATCCATCCAGTCCCAGGCAATAAAACTTTCGTTGTGCTCTCGAAGTCTTTTCGTCATAACAATTTCAATCATGTTCCCATTTTCGAGGGAACAGCCACCAACGCCGTCAATGTCCCGCTCACGTTTTGATCCGACTAACACAGCGCTAGCTCAAAACTGCAAATTCATCGTAGAAGTAAGGTCGAACGTACCAAAGACTTACAACCGAAATGAGCAATCCCCTATTTCTTCTGAGCGTTAGATGTCGTGAACAAATCGTAAAAATAGATGTGTTGATTTTGAGGCTCATTGCCTGTATGCTGAGTGAATTGAGTCGTAATCCGTCGATGGTCGATCAAGGGGTATCTCTCGCAAACTCCTCTCCTTTCTCTTGCGTCGTCAAAAATGCAACTGTCGGAAAAAGGGGGGGGGAATTCGTTCACAATCACGCATCCGCAGTGCCGTCCAAGTCAAGATATCCGCCGTCATCGTTTGCTTCAAAGCCGTCCGCGTCAACAACGATACGTCGACCGAGGTTATGTTCAGGGATGCCGTCGCGAGCTGCGCCGTAATCCAAAACCTGGGGGAAAAGTTAGTTTGAAGGGTCGTTTCGGCGCGACGACGAGAGCTCACCTCGATGTAAGTCAATCCATCTCGCTGGACGGCAGCAACACACCGACGTTCATCAAACTTGACTTGCCAGACTCCGCTGAGGTCCGACAAGAGATCCTTGATGCAGTCGCCAGTCTTGATATTCCACAACTTTAAAGTTCTGTCCGATCCCGAGATCACTTTCTGACCGTCGTGTTTGAAGCAGGTGATAGCACCAGTGTGTGCACTCAAGGTAGCTTTGCACTGCCCATTCTCCGGGTCCCAGATCCTCAGGGTCGAGTCCGCCGCTGCCGAAACGAGTTTATCGCAATTCAAATCGAGCAACCCAACGAGAGATGTATGTCCTTCCAAGGAATATTTGAGGGAGCCAGTGTTTAAATCCCAGATGCGTACCATATTGTCCATTGAACCACTTATGCAACGATTGCGCGCATGATCGAGAACAACGCTGTAAACCTTCTGTGTGTGGCCTTGCAGACGGTAAATAGTCTCACCAGTGGAGATTTTCCAGACGCGGACGGTGCAGTCATAACTCCCGCTCACTAAAGTGTCAGCATGGGCGGCTATAGCCCTTACCGAATGTTGATGACCGGTCAGTGTTCGGACGAAATAAGGACAGTCATCTACGTCGGTGTCATTTTCGGCCTGAATGTAGACAGGATCATCTGGCCGGGGAAGTTTCCAAACGCGGAGCGTAGAATCGCGAGATCCGGTGATGATAAGCGCTTGCTTAGGCATCATGATCGGCTTTCCGTCTGTGTTTTCGCCCACCTTGACGGGCATGACGATTTGAAGACATCGCACGGTTGAAGTGTGTCCACGGAAGACATGGGTTTCGCGCCCTTCCTGGATATTCCATACGCGAACTGATCTGTCGGTTGAGCCAGACACGAGAGTGTTCCCCTCGTATTGCAAAGCCCAAACTCCTCCCTCATGGCCAGTCAGGACGGCCCTCAGGATGCCAGTCTTGGTTTCGTAGACATTGATGTTGTTGTCGTCACTTCCGGTCAAGATCTTGTCGGTGTCAAATTGGAGACAAGTCACGACGTGTGTGTCGTGAGCACGGAAGGCGATATGCTGGGGTTTCGTGTCTTCGAACATCCAGTTTCTTCTGATAAGATGGTGTCTTCGATAAAGTGATTTGTAGAGATGGAGTCCTTTCAGGTTCGGTAAACCGACGTTGGGATGCGGCACGGCCAGAATTGCGGCATTCGCGGCGTTATTAGGGCCTTCCGCAGAGGAAACGTGATTCATCCAATCAACTGAAGCGACGTCAACCGTGTCTTCACGTGAGAAATTCTTGCGTTTGACCATCTTATTGCGACTGGATAGCATCGTTGCTGCCTTCCGCTTGGATCGGCGAAGGATGCCACTAAATCGGTTCTGGGACTGTGGGGTTGAGGGGGACGACGGGTTGGCCTCGGCCTCGGACTTCGGGTTGTTCGTATAGCTGAGATTTTGTTCATAGCCTTGTGGACCATACGGATCTTGCCAGCCCCAACCTTCCATGATGGCCTGTTGTAGTTCACCTTCCGGTAGAGTGTAGCCATCCGCCTCGAAAAGATCTCTCCAGGCTGTTTCATCGCTGTTGATCATCTGCCGCCACTTCTTGGAGACTTGAGCTGCTTTGCACAAAGTCTTGACATCCAGGAATTTCAAGACGTGAAGAGCCAGCTCGGGCGGCAGAAGCGTGAGGAAATCGCACTTCAAAGCCGGGTTGACGGCATCTGCGACTATCTGGAGAGTTGGCTTGGGGCAGCGACGAAGCAATTGGTGCATTACATAACTCTTGAGCTCGTCAGGAATCGCTTCAAAATAGTCGAGCATGGCCGGAATATCTGTAACCGATCCAGTTGCAAATCGAACAGGCCGCCGAGAGTCGTGCTGCGGAATCCGCTCGACAGCCTGAGATCGGCGAAAGGGGTTTGATGACCGTCGTTCAATTGCAGTCGCCCCTGCTGCTATGCCTTGCTGTGAAGCAATTTCAGAATTAGAATCAACATCGGCGAAGTATCCAGCATTTTGAAGCGTAGCGGCGGCCGTGACTGGCGAAAGACTCGGACTAGGAAGACTTCCATCCTGGGCAGATGGACTTTCTGCAACGTGTAGCCTGGCCGGTACGGAGGACAGCGTGCGTCTGCTCATGGATCTCGTCGAAGAAAGTTCAGTCCCCTCATCAATGGGAGGAGTAGGAACTGCAGTCTCTTGTGAGGAGCCCCTACGCATCATTCGACTAAGCGTCGTTCGATCAGTGGCAATGCTCGGTCCATCTTCCACCCCTGACGGATGCTGTTGGCTAGGCTTAGGCGTCATGGACGGAGGTTCTTGAAAGGTTGATTGTTGATCCATGCTCGGCGATGGAAGCAGTGTAGTTGAGTGTCTAAATGGATTCATATTGTCTCTCGCCATGCGTTGACGAATTCCTCTTGAAAGTTTCGGCAGGCTTTCCGGTGTTATTGGATTCGAAGTCTGCATGTCCCGAAAGCGGGAATATGGATGAGAGATATCTCGATCCTGTCCATCTTCAGGCCCTGCCGAAGGACCTGCATGACTTGATGTCAATGACGATCCTGGCAAGTCCCCATTCTCATCGTTATCGGTAATGGATTCAGGAGAGGCAGGTCGTTTTTGAGTTCTTCTATGGAGAGATGTGATCTCGGAGCCTCCATTAGGTACATCGGCCCAAGGTTGAAAGGTCTCGACGGTTTGGATAGTCCCGTTCGAACTTCGAAGATTACGCTGTTCTTCTTCCAACTGTTACTCTGGTGAGTACATATGTCCAGGGTTCGTAATTCAAGTCCTCCCATACCTGTTCCAATGCCAAAGTTGTATCTTCAGCCTCCTGAAAGACCGTCTGTTTCCCTCCTATCTCGAAATGAATCTTCTTTAGGTTGGTGGGTGTGGGGCTAGCCGCAAGAGGGTAATGCTTGAGGTCTAAGTCTTGCATACGTTGTGGAGGACGCATGAGGAATGGTGGGAACTTTGTGGTGGTAGTTGTAGTGGTGGTGACAACCGTCGTCTGTGTTGCTGGTGCGAAGGAAAATTGTCCCAGCAAGGTATTCGAGTCCACATCCCTGGGCCAAGCTTGAAGGTCTCTGCTGTATGGTCTCTGGCCAGGCCCGGCAGGCCGATGCCGGGACCTGGGATGATCTTGAAAACCAGTATCCATCATTTCTTCATCATCCATAGCACGTGTGGAGGTCATCGTGCGCGAACGTGAACGGTGTAGACAAAGAGCATCTAGTCTCGGTAAGCGAGGAGTCGCGTCGTGCAGTGTGCAATCTTGCACGACCAAGTCCCCTTTCTTCACCCTCCGAAAAATGTTCCTGTGGTACTTCCGGATTTATTCCCCCCCCCTCCAAATTAAATCGAACGAAGCACGGCTTATTGTAGGGCTGGGTTTGAGGGGACGCGGGATGGGTCGTGACAGTTGGTCGTTCAGTCGGCGAAAGATGAAGCGGAGAAGGTTGCGGAGTGTGGGTAATGGTCGAAAGGAGGCAAAAATGGAGATGGTCCACAAATCCTCTGAAGATCCTCAGGTCTAGCAGGACAAACCGTGGTGGTGGTAACGAAGGAATAAAGAAGAGATACCGAGTGTTCGGGAGAGTGGCATGGAATGGACGCTGCTCTCTGGACTACATGTAGAATGTAGATTATGGAGCCGGCGGAATGACCGAAGGGCCCAAGGGTTGGTTCGGCATTGCGCTTGACTGACACCGAGGCCGCGGCCTGTGAGTGAAACGCTGCAGTTCAAGACCTGGGTGCGGCTTGGCGCGCGCTTGAATTCTTTCCGCCGCCACTAGCATTATCCCTCGTTGGAAACCTTTTTTATTCCGACGCCACCCAGAGTCAGATATGTACGACGCCTCGAGGCAGAGGATGGAGTATCCAGCCATACAAGGCGAGAACTACGAGGGCGTTCCTTGAAAGGCGAGAGACCACGAAGATATTCTTGTGGATATCTACTTATGCCTCAAGCCCTCCACCAGTAATCCCTCGAGAAGCTGTAAGATCAAGGTGCACCTCAAAAAGGACAGCTACTCACCGAGATCGCTCGTGGATATGGCTTGATGTTTGAAAACTCATGTCGCTGGAGTGAAAACTGTCACTCAATGTGTCTAGATAAGTATCCTATCCCTTGTGCTGTACTTTCTCCGCTTGATACCTCCATCAGCCCATTTACCGGCCTTCAGTGCATACTCACCGCGCTCCCCGGTCGAGATTTGCTTCAGATTCAGTGGTTTGAGTACTTCAGCCCCGCGGTTGACACCTGGTAAACGATGTACCGTCTCCTGCCACTTCTTCAGATGTGAAATTCCATTGATATCAACTCTGGCTCAGTCAGAATATATTTCCCTGCTAAAGGTAGCAAAATCTGCGATGATGACGTGGTCGCCAGCAAAAAATGGATTCCCATACTCTCGGAGATGTGTTTCGAGTACACCGTACAGACATTTGGTCTCATTGATCTAACGTTTCTATGCTGCACTAGTGCTCAATGGTGTATGAAGTTGCTATTCTGTTCGCACATACGGCAGCCGAGGAGCTTGATACACTCTTGCATAAAGTTCCGAACAAGCTTAGAGGTGAATCCAAGGAGTCTGTGGAACACAACAGCTCAAAAGCAGCGACGATGGAAGAAATGTCGGAGTCGATGCCAAATCTCGACTTTTCGGGCTTTGATATAAGTGTCGATCCCTATCAGATTTCAACTTCTTTTTAGAGCATTAGGGCGAACCCGACGCTCAGGGCGAGCAGTGGGAGCCTTACCAAGACCTCCTTTCCTTCCTTCAGGAGTGATTGAAGAAGTTTCAAGAGCTGCGAATCTCGGGGTGGAAGGGAGCATCGACATAGCTCCCCTTGGCAAAGTTGGCCCCCCTTTTTAATTCTGTCTTTGGCGCTGGACTGTAACTTGGACATTCTGGGATTTCAATCCATATGTGTCTGCCGCTTACCTAGCTGCCAGACCGGATTTTTCCAAATTCCTCAGCGATACGCCCTAAGAGGACGACATGTTCATTCGTCAGAATACGAATTTTTCTCATCAGGGAACTGTCATTTCATCATCTTGACGACTCCTCGCTCCCAGCAAAGTGTCTTTGTGACGTCTTGATACGAGTTTCCGTCGAAAAGACCAACTCCTAACAATTTTGGAAACCTACCTCCAGCAGCTAAGTGATCTGCAACAGCAGCTGAGGATGCCACCTCCACAAGTTGTCCACGAGGATTGCCAGGAACTGGTTGCAGACCCCCGGCATAAGTTGCAAGGTCGTGTGTGGCTCATGCTAACTTTCTCATGGTTTCTATCAGGGATTGACTCGCTAGAAGGCTCCACAGGTGCACAAAAGAGGTCCTATCTGTCATATAGGTGCGAAGCGACATCGACTTCAACGCTAGGAAAGCCGCATAGGGGTATCCTTGGCACGGCTTGGCGCCCATGACCGTTTCAATCATTCTCCCGGGTCTCATTTCATGGCTAGTGATAGGAGTGTAGTGAGATGAAGTGACAGGCTATGGAGCTTGAGGGTCTGCTGTCACTGGAGTTCACTCTGCTGTTGGAAGGAGTCGAGCTTCGTGTAAGGTCCTTCGTTCTCAGACCGCATCATCAAAATTCAGATTGCTCGCCTTTCAACTAACCGAACCGTGATGTCTGAACAACTTCTCCTCCCTGCACCTTTCAAGCGAAACCTGTCCCAGACAGAGAGCCTGGCACTCGTTCAAATTTTTCTCAATGTGTCTCTCGCGTGTATTTCACATACCAGAGAACTCATCCCATGGATCTCTACTTGTTTCCAAACCCGATATATTCACCAGATAGATCCAGCAAGTCTAACCAGCGACCACAGCCTGTATTCTGCCTTCCAGACCAGTGACTCGGAGGGCGTCGGTCGTGGACAAGAGGTCAGAGTCCTCGCACGTGGAGGCCATCGAAGTGCTGACCGAATACTTGACCTCCTTGTACGGACCCACAACAGGTTCTACAAACTCGAACTGACTGCGATATATAGGAGTACGGCGTATTTGAAGCACTTCAACGCGGCTATTTAGATCGACTTCAGGTCTTCGTCACCAACAACACCGGAAGTGATCTAACTATCCTGGAAACCTACCATTTCTGCTTTTCCTATGACCACGGCCGTGTTCATGGCATCCAACTAAGTCCTCCAAACCACACTTTTGTGCTGGAAAATTTCCAGAAGAGCTTCAAAGCTGCCATAAGGGCTCTACTTCGTTCGCTCCAGGACTTGCCACGTCTCCCAGGTCTGGAGTTTCTGGTGCGGGTGCACTCGATTTCAATGCCATACTAACTAATGATAGCCCGCCGGAAATTGGGAATGAGTCTCACGTACACCGAACACTGCCCAGTAATTTACCAACCGCCGGGATTTGTGGACAAAGGGGACCTCGAGGAGGGGGAAGCAATATGTGAAACGTTACGTGAAGATGCGGGAGAGGCAGTTGGCACACTGGAGACCGGATCTCATCATGTTAGGGTTGGCATTTGTCTCCATCGGCCGCAGAATGCAGAAATGTCGGTTGATTGGCAGGACGCGGCCATGAGCAGACAATTGCAGGCAATGCAAAAGACGTCTTCCGTCCAGAGCACAATTTTACCCTCCACGATGAGAGATCCTGGCTCTAAAACGAAACGCCAAGCAGAGGCCTTGATGCAGAGAAGCAAACGGCAGAAAACTGATAATGCTAAAACGGTCCTGGATGAACACCAGGACAGAACGCACAAGAAGCCGGAACGCGGTAAAGGCCTTGCAAAATCAACAGGGAACAATATTGAGGAAGACAATAAAGGCAGACCAGGAGTTGAGCCTGTCACCTTGAAGCGAAGCTGGACGCCAAAGGATGCTCCTCAACTTCTCATTAGTAAAAAAGCCGAACTTCTTGTCCACTGCTATGCCATACAGTGCGGAGCTGACGGTGGCAGTGGAGATGCCTTTGATAAGGGACTTCTAGCTGAAGGGATAATCAAACGACAACGTCGATCGAACCAGATCAAGTGTGAGTGTGGAAGTCGGCACAGATCTAAGCGGATGGTAGGCATTTCGGAGATAACATCATGGCAGAATGCTAACCTAGACAGCTCTTCTGTGAAGTCTGTGACTGTTGGCAGCATAGAATATGCTATGGCTATGATGAAAGTTCACCAAACGCGGCACCTAGCGAGCGATATTGTTACACCTGCCTGTTGTATCCGGGATATGAGGAGACCGAATATAACCCTCCATTCATCATTCTGATGCGACGGGCAGTAAGATATTTGACTAGTCAAGGGAGGTCTGGACTTCGGATGAAGAAAGAGTCTCTGCAGAAGATGCTCGAACCTTGTCACTTGACTAAGCAGACCCTCGACAGGGTGTTGAGCCGTCTAGAAGCAGAAAGGATCCTGCTATCACATGGTGAGGGACTTTGGGAAATTCGAACTCTCGACCAATCCGAATTGAAGGAAGTCGAGGCGAAGTACATCAGCGCGTTCGCGTTCATTGGTCATCTTTTTGAGTCTCGTCCGGACCTCGGTGACTCGACACAGCGCCGACACCGCATCGCTTGTGCGACTGAGGCATGCGCTCGAGGCCAGGACCTCACCACAGCCCAAGGATGTGAAAAAGTCGTCACCTACAACCACTTTGGCGAACCTATTGCCCGATGGGTCTATCTCAAACGCTCGAATGGCTCTGTTACAACAAACAGGCCATCGGATGCACCGATGATAACCCCACAGCGTTGCCGAAAAGTCAGCATCTCCCGAACGCTGATTGACATTGATCGCTCACCTTCAGCCGCAGATTTGAGCTCTGACAAGTGGTCAAGTCAGCATGTTGGAGACGCAGCGTGCAACACTGATTTCAGTACGGGTACTTCTACAGCCACGGCAGACTGATGCAAGAATGAAAATCTGTCGTGGACTAGACTCAGCATATATTTGTTCTCGAAAGGTGATTGTGCACTGTGAAAGACGGGCAAGTGGCTGTAGGTGTGGTCAATTTTAGGATGAAACAGGCATGGGTTCACCACGAGGAGCACCACGTGGTTGGGCATGATGTTATCTCGAAATGGGGATGTGGCTTTGCTGTTGAGGACCCTTATCCTGAAACTGCCATGGGTTCCCCTCGCAGAATCGAATGTTAAGCGATGCGAGACCTGTGTGAGGACCCAGCGAAATCAATGGCGTTTTGTATCAGGAGCCGGATTTCGAGGCATTTCTTTGTGATGGCAACTTGAAGATTGTGGCGAATAGGAATCCTAGAATCTCGTTTCAAAGGGGGGGGTGTAGTATCAATGCTGAATACGATCTGAGAGGTCGCACCGAACGTGTATTACCTATCCCAGTCATGCGAATGCTGCCGTCCTTGCAAGGACACAACTCACACCTTGAAGTGACCAAAACTTGAACAAACTCCCTTGAGCGCCTATAAGCAGGCCATCATGCGGACTGCGGGAACCAAGTAGACGGCGCGACATTCAAGAAAGCAATCTGCCTACTGGCTTGGTATCAAGGGAACGCAACTTATATCCCAGACCGATTTGGTGGTAGGCATTTTGCCCAAATTGTATTTATTTCGGATCTTGGTTTATTGTCTAGTGCATTTGGTGACAATCAGGGCGGGATAATCTCGCAATCAACCACGGCAGCTAATCGATCCCTTTTTCGCTTCCCTTGAACTGGGCCTTGTCGTGTATCCCACCTCACTTGCCTTTTCTTTCCCATCTTCAAAGTGTTGGGGAAAGTTAATCACGGTTTCAATGTAGGATGCTGGTCTTCTCTAGAGAGCGTGCCCCCTGAGATTCACCCAGGTCTTAAGCTATGTCCCATCGCAACTGAGGCTCTTTGCTAAGATGCTGCAACCTGGCTAGCCATCTAGTAGTCCCTCAAGCCTAAATGCTGCCAGCTGAGGGGATTCCCACTAGCCCCGAGTCGTCCTTCTCTTTGGCGCCTTGTTGCCCACACTAGAAATCATCAGGCCGGCATCACCCCTGAATTCAAGTGCGCCGCCCACCACATATGGCGCTTCTTGAAGCTTCTGACTGCTCAGCACAGGAGTTCGAATCCTCTATTTCATAGCATGGAGCCTAATCAAAGTCCCTAACCCGAAAGAGCCCCGCGGGTGGGCGGTAAAGGCGTCTTCAGGAACCAAATCTGAAGAGTTTAGCAGAGACAGCACCACGATGCCGGCAAACGCCCTCAGTGGCTAGTAGAAGAATGGAAACTTCTCTATCACCGCCATACATATTATGCGAACCGGACTCCGTATTGAGACATTGAGTTTTCCTTGTTGATTGCAAGCCATCCCCTACCGTAGGCCATGGCGCATCCTGGCCCTGAGGCCGTTGTTAGCCTGGTACCCTGAACAGGATCGGTAAGTTGCGAAGGTCACCTGAAGAGTATATTAAACTCTGTTCACCACCGACTAGTGAGGACGAGTTCAGTAAGGCCCTGGGGTCTCTCCCATCGCAATTCGTCATCGCGCTTGAAAGGCCCCAAGGTTGTGTTGGGTGCGGTGAGTTGGCTGCCGGTCCACCGTGTCTCCATGTCGATTCCCCATCCTGGCAATTTTGCCTGCTCATCCTACATGATCGCTCCCAATGCTGGTCTCTTCATCCGACGGAGGTGAAACTGCACATCCTACTCCCGTTTTGACTGAAGAGAGAACTACTGAGACTACAAACCGCTATCTTTCTGTCCTGTCAACAAACCTCTCCAAATCCTCCTTCTCACCTCGCCTTGATCGCATCTCACACGACCCATTCTCACAGCGACAGCTTGTCCTATCTTCGGAGTTTCATCTTGCAACCCTCCACCGCCTCTGTTTAGCAGTGCGGATCCACCTGGGGTGAGAAAAAGCAAAGGTGCCCGCGACAAGAATTGACAGCGGGTGGCAGAGCGACGATTCGCACCAAAATATTTCTCTGAGCACTGCTCAATGATACCCTCCTTCGTTGCATATTTGAATTAGCTTACAAAACTCGGAATGAATACAGTCCAAAGACCTTTTTGCTCCGCTGAATACTGAGAGGGTTGATATGGGTACCGGTCAAAGATTTCATCTGCCAGGGCCACTGAGAAGGTGGAGGCCCAATGTTCAATATCAAGAATGGCAAACAGACGGGAAGGAATACAAGGCACGGCATATACTCGGGATCACAGAAACTGCCCTGAACACAGCCCGTAATCAGAGTATCAGCTCTTCTGCTACGGCGCGACTGCCAGCCTTGTCGTTTTCTGACGCCACGACCGAGTTGGGATCTTCTCAACCGCCACCAGAAAGGGCAGACACAACTCCGGACCTTCACCTGAAAGCCTCGTCAGTGCTGTTGCATGAGGAATTCCAGCTCCATGCTGATGCGGCCAGCTCTACTCGTTCCAGGCGACTCAAAACTTGTGGCTCCTCTTCCACTCTTAATTCACATTATGACCGCCAGGACACACCCCTTGCCATATCTCAACAGACCTCGGATTCGTCCAGACGCGATTTCGCTCTCCGGAAGGGCTCACCAATCGTCATCCAATCTACCACTCCAGACAAGGACTCTCAACGTCAATTGCGGCTCTTTAGATCGTCAAAAAATCGAGACAAGTCTGAAAAGAAAAAGCTCACCAAGCCAGGCCCTGAGTCTCCCTCTTCACCAGCTCGGACGTTGTTTGGCAGCCAACGGTCATGCGCATCGTCCGACCATGGTGCACACCCTGTCCCGGCCATGTCCTCGCAGCCTCCTCTCCCTGACCAGCCGGCAAAATCTCACAAAGGCGTTCGCTTCAACCATACTGCTGCCACAACTTCTATCAGCTCCAAGAAGTCGAAGGGAAGCTCCACAATGTCTCCGCCGAATGCGACCAATGTCAAAATCAATATCAAACGACCGAAGGCTGGGGCCAAATATTGGTTCGACGGACTCGAAGTCGAAAGTAGCGAAGACGAGAGCATTCATGAGCCAGAACTACAGCAAAGTTTCGTCGCTGGGATGGAAATGGCGTTCGAGGACGGCCGAATTGGCCTTCTATCCAAGGACGCGAATCGAGTCTACAATGCCACAGCAGATATGCTTGGTCAAGGTTCGGGTCCGCTCAGTTCCCAGACCAAACCTCCATCCAGCCACTTGCTTCCAGCCTCGGCTATTCCACCACGCATCTCAACCCTCAATGCGAAGTCGTCGAGGTCTACACTGTGTCAGAATGGGTCGCAACGGGCTTCGTCAACCCCGTCGAAGCCAAAGGCGAGTTCACTCGCGTCCATGGATCTACACCATACCAGCATCCTGGATCTATCGTCTTCGGATGACGACGAGCCTCCGCCCCGCGACACAGAAATCGTGGAAAATTCATTGCCACCACTGCGTGAGAGTATCGCTGTTGAATCCCTCACGGAATCAGAAATCGAGATCGCAACGGCCAAGGCTGTTGAGACTAAGCAACAGTCGTCATTCCTCGGTACGCCCAGTTTAAGGCGTGTGCATGGCGGCCAACCTAGACGGAAAGAGAGAGCAGCAATGAATGTTCACCATAAGCGACCGGGTCGACGGTTCACGTATCTCAGTGACCAATCATCGGACCCAATGTTAGACGAAACCGATTTGCTCACCTCATTTCCTGCGACGCCAACCGATCCGCCGTCTTCACAACGTGAGTCTTTTCAAGGCTCTTGTTTGTCTGATGGTGCAAGCATAGAAAGCCGAAGACTTATGAGCGTAACCAGGCAGGAAGAGTCACTGCTGGCTGCTATGAGATTGAGGAAGGCAGTCTTAAATCAGGGCCATGGAGGTACAGCTGATCGCCGAGTCCGGGCACTGAGAGGCGTACCTACAAGGCCACAGCGGCAACTACAGAGAAGTTCCGTGACCATGGAAGTCCTAGCTCACTCGCAAACTCGAAAGCCAGAACGTGTACAGTCTATCTACTCTGGAAATTTTGACCAAGCTTCATGCACGACTTTTCAGACCGGCATATCGAACGACCCAAGCGTGCGGTTCTCTCTCGCAAGCTTCCGAACAGAAACATCAGTAGAACCGGAGACTGATGTGTCTCCATCATTGGTTATGACCTCACCAACTTTTCTCGCACCAAACCCAGGCAATCGTATGAGCCGTTCGACATTCTTTTCGACATCGACCAATGACTCGAGAGACAATTTATGCAACCGTCGAGAGAGCCACTACCTTTCAACCCTGGAAAAACTCCAAACTGTTCCGCAGAGGGACGAAGTTTCATCGCAGGATTTCATCGACTGGCCATATCGTGGATGGGAGACTCGGTCGAAACTCGCGGCTGCGCATTAAGAACCAGGACGTATGAAGGATTCTTACTCTCCTTTGTGTCTTTTTCATTTTGTTTTGTTTTCAGCCTTTTCTATTGCAGGGGGTATCAGTCAACAACGTTGGGGATTGGAGGTTAATCGTGTATTATTTATAGTTCTGGATCAGATTTATCCTACGATGGGGCTTGGATGTGGGCACTGAATGTACAAATATGCAGACTTTCAGAGAATTTGGCCGTATGAAGAAGGCCTATGACCATTTAACTTATGCGCCGTGTATGTCATTGCTTGTTTTCGATATTCTAGTTGAGATAGTCGTGTTCACCCGAGTACACGGCCCAAGTCGGATACCGCGGAGCAATGCAGATAGCAATGCGCAAAGAGAAATTCCTCCATTTTGCTTTGCTTGTGCAGCCTCTAGTCGTCCTAGTGGGTTTTTATGCGGGCCGACACCCATCAACTATTTGGCACAGGGTCATGATACAGTGACAGATGTGGACGACTTGGGCATGTCTTGTGGTTTGGGAAAACACCAATCGACGCGCTACACACAATTCCCACCGTTCGCCAATCCGTTCCCAGCAATCCTTTTCACTCTTGATCATGCTTCTCGTTGTCCGTTGTTGCGGTGTCGGGTAAACCTTTGTTCGTTTTCACTCTACTAACTTACTTTTCTCCTCTACCGCTCGAGGTTCGACGTGTCCGAAGGACATTGACTCCCTCCCACACGAACCTGTCCACTCCTTTGTCCACCTTTTCGACTCCTCTCGCATGACGGACTTCCCCTGCCTGGCGCAGAGTCTGTTCCACGACGGCGGCGGCGCGGCGACAACGATAACAACAACGACGTCCTTGGGGGGTTAGCACCTATTCATTTGATATCAGCGTTATGGGGGTAGAACGGTTGGGCAACCAACCCAAGTTTATGGGAGCATCGTTACGGAGTATTACTTTGGTCACTGTACGAGTCCTCGGCCTGGAAAAACCAAAATCAACGGTACACAAGCAAGAGCTAATGAGGAGGCAGTTGACGATTCAATTTTCCGCGTTCATCTTGGTGTGCAGCTTGATATATGCCCTGTTCGAACTCGGGATGCTGACCGCTTACCGCAGCTCCTACATTATTCCCGTGTTATGCCACCGCCCGATGGCCATCGTTACCTCCCTTCGACCGCCGTCTTCTTAGTCGAAGCATTGAAACTTGCAGTGTGCCTCACGATATCCCTTTACGAAATTTCTCTCACTGTCCCGCGATCCATGCCGGCGACCTCTCTTCTTAGCGCGTTGGGAAACGCCATATTTTCTGGTGACAGTTGGAAAATGGCCGTGCCAGCCAGTCTATATACATTGGCGAATAGTCTTCAATACGTCGGTATTTCCAACCTGGACGCGGCGACCTTTCACGTCACATACCAGTTCAAGATCTTCGTGACAGCCCTCTTCAGTGTCATGCTCCTGCGAAGGCCGATCTCGGGAAGACAATGGATTTCTCTTATCCTGCTAATGGTGGGGGTTGCAATAGTTTCTCTGCCTCAGGACTCGTCCGCAACTCTGGCATCGAGTCATCATGCTAGAGTCTACGTACCGAGATCCTCCAACCCCTTGCGAGAACATTTTCGAATGGCAGAGCCTGGCTCTCATCTCCGAAAGAGATCGGCCACATATGAAGGTATCGCTGAAGACGAGCTGGCCTTGGATACACCGGGCATGGATGCTTCTGCCGGACTCCTCGCGGTGTTCGGAGTGTGTGTCTGCTCTGGGCTCGCTGGGGTCTATTTCGAGAAAGTCATTAAGGAATCACCGAAGAGCACGTCTCTCTGGATCCGAAACGTACAGCTATCAGTCTATTCTCTGTTTCCAGCATTCTTCATCGGCATCATCTTCCTTGACGGCGAGACGGTCGCCAAGTATGGGTTTTTTGCTGGGTATAATTGGATCGTCGTCTTGTCAATCGTCATCCAAACGTTCGGCGCCATTGTGGCCGCATTCTGCATCTTCTATGCAGATAACATCTCCAAAAATTTTGCAGTCAGCATCAGTATGGTTCTCAGCAGCTTGGCGAGCTTCATCTTCTTTGATTTCACTGCAACAAGACATGTACTTAACCTCCCTTTCCGCTCGCGATACCAGATACTGACCGCTTTTAGTTCCTGCTCGGGGCGTCAGTAGTGCTTTTAGCCACGTGGCTATACAACACTGAGGAGGCCCGGACTCAACGTCCTCCATCAATTAAAATATCCGGTGATGAAAAACCACTGCCATACACTACAGATGTGAATGATATGTCCATTCAAATACCAAAGACACCACTCAGCCATGAGGAGACCGCGCTGGCCACATCAAGGCCGGGATCTCCGAGTCACAAGAAGCGGAAGAACGACTCCATTGGCTATTTCATGGAGCATCACGATTGAAAGCCAACGCGTCTAGACGATGGTTCACGATTAAATATGCACGGACTTTTAAGATAGACAGTGCCGAAACGAACTACCTCTGTGGAGGAATTCTATTAATATCACCGTCTCCCACGCGGAGATCGACGATTTCAACGTCAGCTGCACAAGGCTAGGGTACAGATGTGGGTAACTGGTGGAGGTTTGCCCTCGTGCCGAAATTTGGGAAACTTCAAAAGAATTGAATGCTAAAAGAGTCTTGTAAGACAAGCTGTCGAAGAGCAAGAGGTCCCAGTCACGTGTCGGTGCAAGTTTGATTGAGAATATCTTTTACTTGATGTCTTTTGTCCCACCGTCATGATGTTTCTTGTTTTGCCCATTGCCCTATTCGTCCGGTCGCCTCGCTCCCGATTTGTGCCATGGAGAACGCCAACCGCTTTTTGCCAGCCTCAGCGAAACTCCATTTGTGGTTCCAGCCGTGATTTAAGCACAAATTTCCTGCCACGGATGTCTAAACCCAACCCGAGATCCCCTGACGAAGTTGCACGGCGGCATTCTCCTTTGGATGTTTTCCGCCGTTCCGTTAACTGAGTCCCCTCTTCAACCCGCGGTCGCTCCTTGGTATTGACGACGAGTTTGGTGAGGATCGAGAGTCTCAAATTTCAGGCTCGGACATTTAAAATGTCGACAGACAAAGAACTCCTTGCCGAGGGTCTACAAGACCGTGGCAATCGGTTTTCACAGACACAATCGAGGATTTCTCTTCCGTCATAACCGCATACTCCTTCGATGCGCAGTCGATACAGAAATCCATGAATGGTAAGACATTGCGCTCGAAGGACCGTTATCATCTCAATGTTGATCCAGATGATCCGCACAATACTTCGGTGCTGCATTCCTCCAGCTCTCCATCTAGCCCATCGATGACGAGTCCCACCGTATCTATTCTCCAGAATCACGAACCACTTACGGCGAACTCATACAGGACCATACGCTGCGACCCGAAGCCAAATTCTGCAGCAGAAGGATTTCTCCTGGTCCTATCCTACCTATCGTTCAAGGCATCCAACTTGTTGCGACCACTGCAGTGCCCGATCAACTGCGTTCGGTGTTTACGTTTGGGATATTCAATGTAATTCAGTCTAAGTGTTTCCCGACTGCTTTCCAGGTTGATGACAACCTTGCTGTCTCTGCCCCTACTGGCAGCGGCCAAACAGTCATGGTGAAACTTGTCATTTGCAGACTCGTGGCTGAATCTGCAGTGCGCCGAACTCACCGGAGACGCTGATCACAGCCATCTACGCAACGTACAAGGCGCCCGCATCGTCATCACGACTCCGGAGAAATGGGACCGTGGCACTTGTAAGCAGAAGGATCACCCCGGATACGTCCACCTTGTGAAGTTGCTCCTAGTGGGATGAGGCCCACATCCTCAAGGAATCGTGTGGTGCTACCTAGAAGCTGTCGTGTCGCGAATGAAGACCTGAAGACATTACAACCTGGCTTCGGAAACACTCCCGTTCACACAACCTTTGTCAGCGCACAAAGAAATCTTTGGAGAAAGTTTTCGACCTGTGACATTCGAGAAACACGTCTGTGGTTTTGATGCCAAGGTCAACGATTTTGCGTTTGAGTCGACCTTGACACAGCAGTATGTCCTCTTCCCCTGCTTTTCCTCACGTACTCATGATGCAAAGGATACCTAACGTGATATCGAGACATGGCCATGGAAAGCCGGTTATTATATTTTGCTCCACTTGGCGAGCGTCAGTCACCACGGCAAAGATGTCGGCACACATGTTGGAAAACTCGCATCCATTATAACGTCTGCGGAAAGGACTTGAGGAAAACCCTTGTTTAGCAGAACCGATCTTCAGGGTATGCGTTGGAAGTTAACGAAATGCCTAGCCTTTGCTAATTCCATTTGTACAGTCACTGCTGCTGCAGGGTTGTCCTTGGTTAGTCCCACAGTTCACCGTACTGTTGACCAAGCTTTTGAAAGGGACAAATTGATATCATATGCATCACTCTGGCTGCGGGAGTGAACATATCATGGCCCTTGGTGATTCTGCAAAGATCTACTGCCTAGACAGACAATGGCTTTCAAGAGTATACTGAACTCGAGGTCATCCACATGCTAGGAAGAGCAGACACACCGCAATGTGAGGCCTCAGCACGTGTGGTCATGCTTACGCGTCAGGAAAAAGTTTCCTGTTACCAAGAAATGGTATCAGGAGAAGAGATATCGGAGAGCCCCCTTCACCAAAATATCACCGAACATCTCGGTGCGGAAATTGTGCTGGGCAACTTAAATAGTGAGGCCGTTGCCTTATTCAGACGGAGGGTCGTTACTTCGTATACAAAAAGGATTCTTCACCTAGCTGTAAGCGACGAAGGCGTCAAGGTAATATTGGGACCTCGTTCTTTTCTTATCTGTTTGGTAACGCCAGCAACAGATTGTGCCAGCTTAGCTATTCTTTAGAAAGATATCATTTCCGATTTGTTATTTCATTCTTCTTTCCGTCGTCTTCCAGATCATCCAAATCTTCAGCCTTCGGTTTCCACCTTGGTGAAGGGTCTCTATGTTTGAGAGGGGTGGACACCACCTTCATGGCGCCATCGAGAAATTCTCTTCAGAGAGGCTCAATGGTTGGGTTCCGATATCTGCCAGAAAAGGGCATGAAGATGATTGATTGAGAAACAATACGGCTGTCCCTCGATGCGGTGATGGAGTACATGAGTCACCGACATGCAGCCTTGGCCAACATTACTATAAACCAGAACCGCGACAGGGTCGTTGATAACATCGCACTAACATCAAGACTGGCGAGCTCTCAATTTCCAAAGCTAGGAATGGATCGATGATTAAAAAAAAAAAAAAGCGGTGTCAGAGGTAGATGTTATGTTCCCCCCGCTTATCATGGCAAAGAGAATCATAGTGATGAAAAGCCTTGTGGGAGAGACATCACCCCAACGGAGTCGAAGGGTTCGAAGAAAGAAGTTCTCATAAGGTTGAATGGTGTGTTCGGATATGAATCTCCGAGCGTGTTGGACCATTTGAACGCAACAAACCTCTGCGAGACGGGAGGTCTCATTCGACCCCCCAATCAACCAGCTATCGTACAGGCCGAAACATCAGTGCTGCCAACATGTCAAACCACGCTTCTCCTCGGTTCCTTGCCATTAAAAGAATAGGGTAGCATTCTGGTGTAAATATTGTAATCATGCTTGATCAGAATCAGGGTATCGAGGTTCTGGGCAGACGTCTTTTTGTGAGGCTTCATCCTGTTGATTGGTGTTCGGGCATGTCTTCTCCGAATTCCTTGGAATGATGAATAATTATCACCCAAGGCGGGCGATCCACGGTCTGGCCGTGCTTAAGTAAATGTATAAAGGAAAGAGTTTCCTGGTCTTGTGTACACATCTAACAGATTCGGCATCAACAAACCAAGAACGATAGAAGAACAACTAGTACAATTTCTTTGCTCGAAAATTCCGTCCCAACTGGCAAAGACATCTTTAACATGGTCGATTTCACAGTCTTTAAGGGCAGTAAGGAGAGAAAGATCGTCGAAGCAGCCTCACACCGAGAAATTGGGCCTCATGAAGTCCTTGTGAAGGTCACTCACCGCGGCCTTTGCGGCACAGATATTCACTTCAGATCTCTCGACGTGGGTCTTGGCCATGAAGGTGTCGGTGTTGTCGAACAACTGGGCAAGGAGGTCACGCTGTTCAAGAAGGGTGACCGAGCTGGATGGGGGTACATGCATGATGCCTGTGGACATTGCAAACAATGCCTGCGCGGTGCTGAGACCTTTTGTGCCAAAGGAAAATTGTACGGGACTGCAAACCTTGACCGGGGCTCGATGGCCACACATGGCGTGTGGAGGGAAGATTTCTTATTCAAGATTCCCGATGCGATTGATTCGGCAGATGCCGCCCCGTTGATGTGTGCAGGCGCTACCGTCTTCAACGCCTTGCAGTTCCATGGCGTCAAGAGCATCGATCGCGTAGGTGTCATTGGAGTTGGAGGGTTGGGACATCTGGCCATCCAATTCGCCGCAAAGATGGGTTGCGAGGTTGTCTTCTCTGGGACCGAATCCAAGAAACAGGAAGCCATGACCCTGGGCGCAATGGAGTTCTATGCTACCAAGGGATTGACAGGTTTGAAGCCGGAACGACCTCTCGACCATCTCCTCGTCACCACTTCGCAACAACCTGACTGGAACCTTTATCTGCCCATCATGGCCCCTTCCGGAACCATTTATCCACTGACTGTCAGTAATGATGATTTGAGGATGCCGTATATGAGCCTGATCATAGGCGGATTGAAGGTCCAGGGCAGTCTTGTGGCTGCCAGACAGATACACCGAGAAATGCTGGATTTTGCCGCCACTCATGGCATCAAGCCCATCTCTCAAACATTCCCGCTGAATGCGGATGGTATCAGCCAGGCATTCCAAAGATTGGATGGCAAAATGAGGTACCGGGGAGTTCTGGTGGCGTAGAGGAAGGTGCTTGATTTGTGATTGTCAAGCGTTGTTTGGTATGTTAGATCGCGAGGCTAGAAGTATTTCCCTTTATCACGATCCGATGTTTCCAATCCACCACGATTCTCTTCTCAGAATTTCTTGGCGAAGCTCAGGGGCCCGTGCATTTGGCATTTGCTCTTGCTTTGGGCATGTCAGAAGCTGATAGAATTTCTTCACATGTCTCCTTTCTGTCTTAGGTAGACCCCGATCAAAGCGACAAACTTTGGAACGCGTTTCGAAAAGTCTTCGATAGATGGGAAATTGGCGTACTCATGGGTCGTTGACGACGGAAGGTTTTCCTCCTCTCTTCCTTGGACTGGATACCAAGTATCAACGTTGGAGATGATGTGTCGTCGAAATTCACCGTCCGAGCCAGCAGAAAAAATATGCCATGATTCTCGGATAAACACGTTTTTCCGCTCCGATAGCACGAGCCCCCCCGGATCTCCCGCTTTCGCGAGTCGAGTTTGAAAAGCGAACATTCACGGTTCTTCTCAAACGTTGGCTTGGGCCAATTGTGCATGCAGCAACAATGCTGCTGAAGCCCAAGGAGGAGACGGGTGACAGCCAAACCGGCGCCGATGTTCGCGGTCTTCGCAAGGTCCGAGCTCAAAGTCCCTGGACATGGCGACCACTTACGCTCATTACGACTGCCCTCGCGCTGTTGTCGCTCTCTCTCATCGTTCGCTCGTCCCTCAAGCTCCAGGTCGATCCCGAAGGATGTGTCATGTCCATGATGACACCGACCTACATCAAGCTCTCCGGTTTCGACACCGAACATTCGCGCTTCGCCACGAAGTACTCGCTCTATCTTTATCGGGAAGAAGGGGTAGATGAATACACGAGAGATAACATTGGTCTAAGAGGAGCACCGGTTCTTTTCATTCCAGGAAATGCTGGGAGTTACAAACAAGTCCGATCCCTCTCTTCCGAGGCCTCCCGTTATTACCACGACGTCCTACGACATGATGCGAATGCCGTCAAAGAGGGTATCAGGTCCCTCGACTTTTTCACCATCGATTTCAACGAGGACCTGTCTGCCTTCCATGGCCAAACCCTGCTGGATCAAGCCGAATACGTCAACGAGGCTGTCGCGTATATCCTCTCCTTATACCACGACTCGCACCGACTCCGTCGCGATCCCCGGTTACCAGACCCCAGTTCTGTCATTCTCATTGGACATTCCATGGGTGGAATCGTCGCACGCACTGTGCTGGTGACACCCAAATACCAGGCAAACTCAGTCAACACTATTATCACCATGTCCACGCCTCATGCTCGGCCCCCGGTCACGTTTGATGCGGACGTGGTGTCATTGTACCGACTGGTAAATGAGTACTGGAGAGAATCCTATTTGCAACGATGGGCCAGCAACAATCCCTTATGGCACACCACTTTGATTTCCATCGCCGGAGGAGGACGTGACACTACAGTGCCTTCTGACTACGCCAATATCGCGTCGCTCGTCCCCGAAAGTCATGGCTTCACTGTCTTCAGTTCGACTATCCCGAACGTCTGGACTTCCATGGACCACCTCGCCATCACCTGGGCAGACCAGATGCGAAAAGTCATTATAAGGTCGTTATATGACGTTGTGGATGTTCGTCGCGCCGCGCAGACGAAACCTCGATCGGAAAGAATGAAAATCTTCAGGAAATGGTTTCTGACTGGTCTCGAAGACGGCGCACCCAAGAATCTGCAGGACTCCGCACATGAAGTGCTTCTGACCCTGGGTAACGGCTCGAGATCGTCCGTGGCGAAAGATAACAGCATTACTTTGCGCAAACTCGGAGCTCAGGATCAGATGTCTGCGGTCCTGCTCCCCATCCCAGCTGTCGACAATTTCGCCTCGAAGCGGTTTTCGCTTCTGACAGACCAACAGATGGCTATCCACGGTAGCTTTGAGAAATTGGAGGTCTTATTCTGCAGCGCATTCCCGCTTGCAGGAGGGTTGACTTCTACGCCCTTATCGGTCCAGTTCGATCTCTCGACTGGTGATCCGAGCGCGACACGGCTGGCTTGCAAAAGACCCGTCGGAGATGGCATCCAGCTGCCAGCCTCGACCAGAATGTCCCAATTTGCGTTCGAACAACAACCGCCTTTTACCTATCTGGAGTATGATCTGAGAGATCTCCAAGACTATCAGTTTGTGGCAATCATCGACAAATCCACAGAGATCAGGAACGGGTGGGCCTACGCAGAAATCGCCTCCACCCCAGACTCCACTGTTGCTTCTGACGTGAGTCTGCTCATGCTTTTGCTCCGAGGACTCAACGTAGAACTTCCTCCCAGTCGCCCAGTGGTGACGGAGATTCGGGTGCAGTCCTTGAGATCGAGCTTGTTGGCCTTCTCTCTTCAAGTTCGACAACATGGTTGCGGTTCAGACAATGAACTATTTACGCCTTTGATCCGACAGCACATCGACAGTCCTTACGAGTCCAAGTACTTTGTCAACATCAAGCAAGGAGATGTCAATCTCCACGGAGTGGCCCCGTTCATGCCACCCCCCCTCGATGGTCGCGAGCAGAAAGCTGGTGTCGCTTTTCAAATTTGGTCTGATCCCACTTGCAATTCCTCCTTGGAACTCCGTCTGCGAGCAGATCCTGTTGGAAGTCTGGGTAAGCTCGTGGTCAGATATCGGACTGTCTTTGCCGTGTTTCCATTGTTGGTTGTGGCTATGGTTCTACGAAAACAATTCCGGGTATATGACAATTTAGGCGTCTTCATATCATTCTCCGAGAGCTTGGACCAAAGCTTACGATTGCCCCTACCGGTTCTGTTACTGTCAATGACTTTCTTTGCTACTGCATTCACAACAGCGAGTTCAGCAAATCTTGGATCAAACAGTCATCTACCGAATAATGGAACGACCATCAACTTCTCGCAAAACGACCTTCTCTTAGGATCTCAGGACACATTTTTCTGGTTCCTCGTTCCTCTGGCCGGGCTGCTTAGTATTGGTGCCTGTGCCGTTTTGAACTACGCCGTTTTGGCATTGCTACACGTTATCGTCACACTCTCTCGCCTAGTGTCGCAACGCTACGTTAAGAGCGATGACAGTGAGAAGGCAACTGCCTCTGCTTTTGTTGCAAGTACGCCGCGGCGCCGAGCAATCAACACAGCCGTCCTTCTGTTTCTCGTCGCCACCGTTATCCCCTATCCATTCGCGTATGTGGTCGCTTGTATTGTACAATTTTCTACCTGTTCGCGGGCGTTACGGCATGCCAAAGAGTCTAGATCTGGGCCGGCACATAATTTCTTCAACTACACATACTCCATACTCATTTTAATGCTTTGGGTCTTGCCGATCAACCTGCCGGTTCTGGTTGTCTGGATCCATAACATGGCGGTTCACTGGTTGACACCGTTCTCCTCGCATCATAACGTGTTGTCCATAATGCCTTTTATCCTGTTGGTCGAAACCCTTTCGAGTGGGATGATGGTGCCCACGGTCAGATCCTTCAGATGGGCGACGAATCTATTGTTTTTCGTTCTCGCTGTCTATGCCGCCTTGTATGGCATGACTTATGCTTACAGATTACACTACATTGCCAACATCATTGCCTTGTGGTTGGTCTTATTACATTTCTCAACCTACCATCCACGAATTCCTACCTAGACAGAAACCACACTAATACTTCCGCTTCAACTGGATCATCAAAGGACATGAGACATTGGTCGGAGGGTCGTTTAGACCTCCGGTTGGTGGGATTGAATTCCCAATGGCGTTGGCATGAAAAACTTCAGGCAATGAGCCGGACTTGTTGAACAAGGTCTATGCGGGATGAAAGGGCCTGTCACGCTAGAGGAGCAGGAACTGGTCGTTTGCTTCCTTTACTGGATCTGACTAGATGTGCATTGTCCTGGATTGATCATGGCATTCGCAAGTGACAGAATTGGCACAACTTGTCGAAGGCGGCTTCGACAACATCACCATTGTCAAATCGAATGTCATAGATGGTTCGCCTTCGACTTTCATGTGGCTCCAGAGATGTACATATATCGAGGGCTCACGATGGCTCAAATGAACATGGATCAAACCACTTTTAGATCTCAGTTTTGAACCCTGTATCGTTCTTTCTTACAACTTCCAACAGGAATCATGGTAGACGCGATGGAATAACTTACACTCGCAGGATGAACTTTAACCTGGAGAGCAACCCTGCCTCTACATAAGGCAAAAATATTCAAATGGTTGTCATTCGATTCACATTACTAGTGTGTCGACTTGAGCCTTCGCTTCCCACTCCTCCTCTCGCTCACGAGCTATCAATATGGCCATGCGTAGGGTTATCCCTATCTCAATCCTATCACATGTCTCACATCAGCGTAGCCGCCGAGGTCAAATGCCACAAAGGTCGGTCCTCACGCAGGAAAATACCAGACTTGGCACCTTTTCAGAGGAGTTTTGGATAAGTGTTGGGAAATCCATGGTCGTAGCGCTTGCCTGGGGGTTGAGATACTCGTATTTTGTATCGCCATTTTGACTTCATCGAATAAAGCGCCGGATTGCAATTTATCCCAGCGTCCAGGCCACGACATCTTACTATTCATTGAGCATCCAAGCGGGACACTATACCTTGCTCGGTCAGAACCAACACACCTTCTCGTAGAGTCAAAAGACACATTGTCTTTCTATGTGCCGACCACCAGACTTTATTGACCTCGGAGATACCAGAGCGCAGCTCGCGTCCGCTATCTCGTAAGTTCAGATTATCGCTGGAATACCAGAGGTCTATGAGGGATACGGCACCAGATGTCGAAAGCCAAGGGGAGAATGAACAAGAGACAAATGAAGCGGACACAGATGTAGATGGAGGTGGAAATAAGAACAAATCCTCAAGTCGACGTCGACACAGGGTATTGAAGACAACGGGGGAGATCTCCTGATCGACGCTAGGCCCGTTGTGACCATCCCCCGGATTTCCAATTAGGCGAGGCGTACTTGGCATTTCATAATCTGAGGCTTAAGCTTAAATTCATTTGAGCCGAAAAACTCCGGGTCCCTCATTGACCAACCCGCTTAACCGTAACCATAACTGGCACCTGGTACACGGGCAAGTCAATTTTCTCCATCTTTCTCCAATGCTCGTGTGCGTCAAATCCTGCTTGACATCACATTGTCACACAACTGCCTCGACATCTACGACCTTCACCGAGTCCTTCTCTCCCTCACTTGATGTGTGGTGACCAACATCTATGACTTCTACCCACTGATTTTTACACCGCTTATCTATCTTCCCTCAGCTTCACAGCTTGCAAATTCTCTCCCTGTCCGGCCGCAATGAACCCATCGGACACCCCCGCCTCCTCGCCAACCAGGTCAATAACTCAGTCCTCACCCGGAGCATCTGTCGATTCATGCAGTCAGTCCACCACTCCATTCCTGCACAACCTGACCCAGCGTCTGCGCAAAGGATCAAACGCCAGTTCCCAAAGTTCAGATCTGCCTCCGCCACCCGACCCAGTGACTAAAACCGAGTCTACTCGAGCTGCTCGACGGACGCTTCTATCTATCGTAAAAGATGATTGGGAATATCCTTCCACAGCTGTCAAAGAAAACCCGCAAATTCCTCATCGAGAACCAATCTCATACCGCCTGCGGGAAGAATCACAATCTGACCTCGAGGCCGAAGAGGTCTTCTCCAGACGCTGCACCAAAGTCGACCCATATAAGTTTGAAGACCCCGATGCCGTGGGCAATGTGATTGCGGAGCGCAAGAGAAAGCGCCGCAGACTGTTGGAAGAAGAAATGCAATGGAACGAAGGGCTCAGAATTTGGTCAGAACGACGAGATGCTTGGACGAGGGCTGTCAAACATAGACCTCGCGAAGACCAAGCATCGCCACACTCCCCTTCTTCCTCTTCAAAGCGCCCCTCACATAAATCTCGCCTCTCTCGCTCCCTTTTCCCGGAGCGCAACACTCTCCAATCCACCGATAGCTCAAATAGCTGGCCTGCTTCCCCAACCTCACCGACCCCAGAGTCCTCATCTATCGACAGCATTGAATCCACCTCGTCCGGTGAACTCGGCCCTTGGCTACCCATATATCCCCCCCTACTCCCCCCGGACGACACACTCCGCGACCGCATCAAACCAGCCGCGTATCCAACCATCTACAGCAAAATTGTGGTCCAGTCTATGACGCCCAACGTACCGATCCCGCTGACACACATGATCCCCGCGCTGGTCGAAGGCTGGAAGGCCGAGGGCAATTGGCCACCTCAGCCGACGGCGATCTCAGCCGCTGACGCGAAAAAGGGCCGTCGCTCCTCCGCTTTCTCCAAGTGGCGGAAAGAGCATCACCACGATACCAAGGCCGCGGAGCTCGCCACGGGCAACGAAGATGGCAAGTCCAGAGTGAAGCGCAGTATAGGCATGATGCGCCGTGTGCTCGGTGGCATGCCGAGCAATGGCCTTGATGAGCTGGGTATTGAGTTCTGCGAGCAAGATGAAGACGAAATGGAGAGAAATGTCTTATTGAACAAGGGTCTTATCACACATTAGCATCTAAGATATTTCGCTATTGCATGGTCGTGTACGGCGCTGGGACGGTTCGGAATCAGGATTCGAGTGGGAGATTGGTTTTGTACCCGGTTTTTCCTTTCAACGACAAAGTTTTGCATTTAGTTTCGGCCTTGTGAATTGTATTTTATGCCTGATGATGAGAACGAGAACATGATTGGCGGATGGGTATGCGAAAACAAAAAAGGAAAAAAATACCGGAACGACATGATATTGAAAACCGGGGATATGGAATAGGTTACAAATGGCGAATGATTGGTTACCTCCGTTCAGATTCATCACGTTAAACGTGTCGTGGTAATAATCCATCAGGAAAGCACATCCATCCACACCGTAGCAACTCCTCAGAGATACCCATACAATTTTGGATTCCATCATGCCATCATACGATTCGTAGCCAGTCTCAGTTGCGCCGTTCATGGCATGTGCCAATTACGGATTGTTGTTGAGCGAGATCTCAGAATACGTAGGATCGCGATAAATTCCTTGTAACCAGGTCCCAATGCCGATGCCCGACGTGATTCCGTTGCCATTGCCGTTTTGTTCAAGGTCCGAGTCAAGTCCAAGAAGATCCCGGTCACCGTCTGAAGATTCTTCTGTCCTAGATCGTCCGGAGTTGCCGATAAGATCTGCCCACACTGATCTCTGAGACGCAAAGGGAGCCTCTTGATGAGATCTAACTTCGTTCTCGTTCTCATTCTCAATCTCGTTCTCAGCCTCTTGCTGATCCGCCTGATCAACCTCGCCAGCAAGATTTCTCCACACAGTAGTCAAAAGCTCCAGTTGAGCCTGGGAGAGTTCATTTGCGCGTACATGCATCGGCGGCCAGCCAGGTGGCACCCCCATGGGAGAATCGACCGGTACGTCTTCATCCTCGTTCTCAGCTTCATCTTCATCCTAATCGTCATCATCCTCACCCTGATTCTCAGCCTCATCATTCGCTTCCTCCTCAGTTCCTCCGGTGATTTCCTTCAGGATTGCTTTATCAACACCGGGATACCATTGAAGCATATTCGGGGGTATTGGCTTTTTAGGTTGGTCAATCTTTTCCCACTTGAACCTGATTCGCTTCGTTGACATGTATGGATCATCTGTAACATCTAGTGCAAACTCCTCCGACACTTTCTTCCACGCGCAATCTCCAATCAGACACTTGTGTTCTTCAAGTTTCTCGAGGAGAAATGGATGGATTTTCCCCTTCACTCTGATGACGCCAAGATTAGATGTGTTTGACTTGGTGATGAAAGTCATTGTTTGGGGCTCATTGAGGTCGAGAATATCTGACAGTTTCGCCTCTTTCTTGAAAAGGGCACTGTGTAATTTCCTCACAGTTGGCCAGGTATCCTCTGCGGCGCGGATTTTGTCGTCGAATTGAAAGAGCGAGACGGCCAGCTCCAGATCGGGGCCCTCAAATGCGGATGAACATGGAATCACGGCGTGAGAGAGTTCCAGAGCTGCGGCCCCCAGCCTGCTTGTACCCTGGAAGTTCAAATTGATCTCTCGAAGGCCCGATGCCTTTTGCACTAAAGAATTAATAGATTTCGCGTAACCCCATACCTGCCCGAATGTGCAATCGATATCGATCATCCGAAGGAAGTCACTTATTCCATGTTGCAATCTGCCGACTCTGGTGAGAGAGTCCCAACTCATTCTGTATTTATTGCATTCATACATGACTGGAGAAGCCTCCAAGAAGATTTTTCTGCATGTTTTGAGCAATGATAGCGGGAGTTGAAGCTCGAGGTCATTCTCATGCATCAAGTGGCCATCAATGGTAACTGCTAGTCTGATTGGTTCTAGGTGCTCGAAGAGGATTTTGTAGATGTGAACCCGTATCTCGGAAGGAATACCGAGGAGGGACGGCTGGTTGATAGCCGGGTACAGGTCCATGGTAGAATCATCGCCGCTATCGTCCTCGGATGTGCGTTCAGCCATCTGTGGAGTTGGCGGCAAGGCTGAGTTGCTACCACGTTGAGGATCGCCACTGCTCAACCTCTGCAGAAACCGGTCCGACACAAAAGGAGTATCTTGCCCTCACGAATTTAGTGGCACAAGGATTGCATCTTTGAGGAGGTACTGGTGTGTATGAAGGAGGACCTCGAATCCGTGAGTGTGCTGGTACGGCGTTGAGTTCTGCCGCACCCATGGGATATTTTGCAACCTCAACCTCAGCCTCAGTCGCCTCACTCCGACCCCTCATCGTAGACGATTCATCAAATTGAAATCATCTAGAAGTGTCCGACCGGCCCTCAGAAGCCTTTAGGGATCGGAAGTAAGTCTCTGCGACCCGTGCCTCTTTCAGCCAGAAAGTTCGGAGATCTGGGAGATCTGCGGAGCACCAATGCAGGTTACCGGATACGGGGCCCGCAGCCCCTAAAGACACGGGCCACTTCTGCCTTCGGCCAGCTCCCACGGTTGAGTTTCATCTAATCAGGACGTTACCATTGTTGCTTCGGTCAGAATCTCATTTATGAAGATCAGGCTATTCGTACTGTTCGATTAGACAATCTGCCAGATTGTCAATACCAGCAATGTCGAGGTCTACGCGGGCGGCATCAAATGCGGCGAGGGTCACGCGGAGTACTGCCGCTGCCACAGTTAGGAACAAGAAAGAGTCGAAACAGGAAGAACAGGATCCTTTGATCAAGAAAGAGCTGGAATCACCTCAGAAGCCCTCCCGGGAACTTCGAAAGCGAACATCGTCAATCGCAGTCAACGACACAAAGAACAGGAAGAGGGTCAAGACTGAAGACGACAAGACTGGTCTGATCAGTCCATCTCCCTCTGATGACCTCTCTACATCCTCAACGCTTCCTGCAGAGTCGAAATCTAAGAAATCAACAGGGTCAGATCTGCAGTCGAAAAAGCTGAAGTCCTATACCCAATTTGCAAATCAATCTCCATTCCCTGACTTCCCTCACCCCACGCCCGAAGAATGCAAACTAGCACACCGAATCCTCGCCTCGCTGCACGGCCCACGCACACGCCCAAAAGAAGTCGTTGCATCGACTACTCGAGCGGGATGCGGCGACTCTCCCTCTGTCCTCGACGCTCTTGTCCGTACTATTCTCTCACAAAACACCAGCGACGTCAACTCGACGCGAGCGAAATTAAACATGGACGAGGTGTATGGTGGTAGTGATAAATGGGAGGCCATCGTGGCAGGAGGCCAAACAAAATTGCAAGAAGCGATCAAATGCGGTGGTCTTAGTGTGGTGAAAAGCAAAGTCATCATCAGCATCCTCAAACAGGTGTATGAAAAGTACGGGAAATATTCGCTAGATCACTTGCACAGTGCGCCAAGCGAAGAGGCAATGCGAGAGATGCTGTCTTTCCAAGGTGTAGGCCCCAAGACTGCCAGCTGCGTGTTGCTCTTTTGTCTCCAGCGAGAGAGTTTTGCCGTCGATACTCATGTTTGGCGTATCACGGGTTTACTGGGCTGGAGACCCAAACATGCCTCGAGAGATGAGACGCATGCACATTTGGACGTGATGATTCCAGATGAAGATAAATACGGTCTTCATATATTGCTAGTGACGCATGGGAAAAGGTGTGAAGAATGTAAAGCTGGAGGGAAGAATTTAGGAAACTGTGAGTTGAGGAAAGCGTTTAGGCAAAGTAAGATATTAGGGGAAGCCGGTGAGGCTGCGAAGAAGATGGAGATGGAGGAGACCCTGAAAGACATAGAAGTAGATGAGGAGGCTGAGCAAATCAGGAAAGTTGAAGAGGTTCTCACTCAGCGGTAAGACTATGGTTGGAGTTCGGTGTTCCATATTGGGCCTTGTGATTCATATAATGTAGCCAAGCAATCCACACTGTGTGGAAAATCGCTAAGGCCTCCGATGGATATGAGGTGAATCTCATTAGAGTCTGGCGGCCTCCTCATACCCTCTTCCCATTCAAAGGCTACGTGGGTATATCTTCTCGTAAATCCAAACAACAAATTCAAGCGGAATCATTACACATTTTGAGACCTAAAGATTCCTACTTCGCCCCCTCCACGTCCGCGACCTCATCCACCGACATAGGCCTGTGCATGTCCCGTATACTCCTCTTCGCATGACTCTTGTACCTCCCCCCTCAGCCATATGAAGATACGGCCCAAATGGAAATAACAATGATGGCTGCCGCGATCCCGAAGCAGTGGGATGTCACTTTCCCGTTGCCGGTGGCTAGGTCAAGAAAGTCGTAGACGTAGAATCCTTGCGTGGCATGCGAGAGATCCTCTAGTGATCATGATTTCGACGAGGGCAAATTGGGAGTTGCGGCCGTGTCCGGAGATCCAATGGTTTTGTAAAGGTGGTCAGGATCGGACGCACGCCTCGCGGCGTCCTGGCATGAAGGGGAATTTCAAAAGGCGAAGGATGGGAGAAATTCGAGTCTAACGGAACAGTCACAACTCACATTCGACCATCAATCGAGCACCAGAGGGAACCAAGGTCCGTCATACTGAACAACCCAATCCACTACCGTAGCCAACAAGGGAAACGTCCCAACTGTCGTATAGAAAAAAGAATGGAGCTGCTGCAAGGCCCTTGGGCCGTCGTCCCAACCGGGTCTCTCCCTTGATGCTGTAGCCGAAGGTGTAGACACTACAGGAGAGATTATAGAACAATATGTCCCAGAAGGTAAGGACTGCGAATAGGAGAACTCCTGGCCGATGAGGCTGGCGGAGGAATGGGTGGCGTCGTAGATCCAATTGGACAGTTGGGTCGCGACACAATAAATGAATACGAGTATTCGCCAGAAGGACAGGAGGAGAAGAAGCAGCTAGGATGTGGTTGGTGAATGTTTGGGTGTCAGTGGACGGAAGGGAGGTGAAATTGTGTTTGCGCATCCTTATATGCTCAGCGGTGACTTATCAATGTGAGCGGAAAGATGAAAGTGGAGAAGTAGGATTGATGACGGTACTGTGGAGAAAAGGCGTCTGCCACGTCCTGCATATCGACGCAATGACCTCTTTTTTGTGTTTCCATATCTTGATTTTGCGGGGGGAGAGTTTTGCTGCCTGGAGCCTCGTATTGGGGGTCAAGCCAAGCATTCCTGGAATGTCGGAAATACAGTCTGATGGAATTAATAAGAAAGTTACCTGGCAAGGCTGCGATCAAGATACCCGAACTCGGTGTCGCGTGCCCTTCCATCAGCAGGAGGCCGAATTTAAACACTTGATAGAGACTAGACCAGGGTTGGATTTTATGCTGTCATAAAACCACCTCCGAGATGGAGAGAGATGAGAAACCCGATGGGGAGCTTCAAGCTTCTCAGACGGAGTTTGCGGCGGCTAAGACATAGCGGGAGGACCGAAGTTTTCGAACAGTAAAAGTATCATCCCTTTCACCCAGCCAGCAATAATTGCTTTCGCTGGTTTAAACACCGGAGCCGGCTAGCGACAGCTTTTGCAGTACTCCACCACCCGTTAGAATACGAAGACTTGAGTGGATCCATTGCCTCCGATTTTAGACAGGGCTGTTTTTGGCAATCAATCACCACGTACCGAGCACTCGTTCTCCACTCTCTTGAATCTGGTGTTTGAGGTGGTACAACTCGACAAGGACCTGGCCTGTTGTTACGAGAAACATCGGAGGTTTTCTGTGTCGCAGGCTCGGAGAATCGCGATGTTATGTATACGGAGGAGAGGATAGAGGTATTCAAAATGTCGCACCACGCCTGGCATGCCACACTGCGCCCACTGACCGGTGCGGCCTTCTGGATCAATTGTCTTTTTTCTGGATCATGACCAAAGAGGAAGCTGTACAATAGAAACAGGCTGGAAATGTTGGAGTCTGGAAACGTGGATTGGCTTCAAACGAGTTGTCAAAGCTGTCAGCCAACCTTGAGCAGCTTTCAATCTCTCAATCTCAAGTTGGCCCACGACCATGGCTCTGATCGTATCCTGCCCATGCTGTCGTTTGCCCAGTGTGTGATCGGAGGAGTATCCCGACTCTGCTGTTGGTCGAGCCAGGTCTCGTCTTAAATTGGCCCCTGATTTCACGGAACCAATGCGACCACCAGTGAGAGGCCAGATGGTGAGGCACAGCCTGGAGCGGAAACCCTAGCGGACTGGGCAGTGGCCAGGTAGAACCGTTAAGGACTGCCACTAAGCTGGCAGCTGGAGTGCAGCATGTGGCGTCAACCATGCAATGAGCTGCAAGTTAACTGCAGCTTCCCAGCACATTTGGGCTTCTGGGAGGCTGCCTCTAAAGGCCCGGTCAGGGCCCCAGCGCCTGAGAACTCTGTACAGAGCTGGGCTCCCCATCGCCTTGCGGGGCGCCAGGGGATCGCGACCCGCAAATCTGCAAACCTGCAACCCGCAACCTGCAACCTGCGTCTCTGCCTTGCATCTGCCCTTTTTTTTTTTTTTTCCTCCTCCGACTTGGGCTTAGGCCTCTGACTTCTCATTCCTTTTTACGCTACCAACTATCCCTTCATTCGTTCGGCTCACCAGAAACCTGAGCATCAAGAAAACAAAGTAAAAATATCCCTCCTTCTATAGCTGCATGGCTATTGTTGTCTCTCCCTGTCATCAATTGCTCTCGGCGTCTTTGTCACCATCGCTATTACCGTCACCCTCACCCTCTTGGCTACGTTTATCCCCACGCTGCATCACTCATCAGCTGCAACTCCTCCAGCCCCCAGACTCTCCTTCACCTACCATCTCACAATTCAGGAAACCTTTGCGTTTTGGGCCAACTCAGCCACCTTCCTATCGTGTTCGATATAATTCATTATCTTTTCCGACCGACCGACGGACGCTCTTTCCATGATCTTTTTGGTCTCCTGTCCGACTCCGTCAATCAACAAAACCAGGCAAGATTCGAGCTGGTTCCTGCACTCCACAATTGATCACTGATTCTACGAAAATACCGGTCGTCGATGATGAATCGCCCAAATTTCATCGACCTGCCCACTATCAACTCCCGCTCTACCAGTTCGCTCTCAAAAAAAGGCCAAATCTCCCCTCGAATTCAGCATTTTGACGGCGATGTTCCCCCTTCGCTCTCACCCCTGGATGCCATTGCGGCTCGAAGTCGCAGACTTGCCAAAGAGTTGGAAGAAACAAGAAAAGCGGGCGAGAGACGGATGAGCAGACTGCCGCCTCAGATTGTGACCGATTCCCTGACTGAACATCAAAATAGTCGTCCTCCCATCTTTCGTGCCTTGTCCGATGGCGTTGACACTGTTCCTCCTCTACCAACTTTGGATAAAGACCGAGCGGGCAGTTTTCCTCGAGTGGCCAATCCTTTAAATCGCCCGACCTCCCAACATGTTCGCATGAGTGGTGTCATCAAGCCCGCCGACGACGAAAAAGACAAAGAAATTTCACAACCAGAAGACTATTTTGGAGCTCCTCGAGTTGAGTCTCCTCCACCTCTGGACGCTAGACAAGCAACGTCACCATCTCAGAGTGTAGGGAGCTCTTCGATGAACCCCCCGCCCGGAATCTCTCGTCAAATATCAACCAATTCCCAACCGGATTTGAATTTGGGCCTAGTGCCACCACCTTCCCACGCCAGCAGATTGCGGCCGTATCAGGATGCCTCCGATGATGATTACACCAGTTCCAATGCGGGATCGACTTTTTCCCAGTCCCGTAAACTTTCCTCCAGCAGTGGAATGTCCGCTCCGCATTCTCCAGTCTCACCATATGCACAATCCCATGGCCGTACCAGCTCGAACCATTCTTTGAATTCCCCACTTCGAAATAATTCAACTCGTAATTTTTCACGACCGACGAGTTCATCTAGTCTGAACAACCTGAAAGGCGACAAGAGTCCTTCGAAAGCTCCTTTGGTCCTTCGCGTGAGCCACCTCCGAACCTCGAGTTCATTCGACGACTCCCAATCTCCAGACGGCTTCATGTCTGGTGAAGTATCTTCTTACACTCACGCTACCTACAGTCTACCTCGCGGACGAAGAATATCCGATCGAAACTCGGCGGTATTCTCCGGCCTTTCCACTCCACATTTTGAATGGCAAGAACCAATGTTTCCTTGTACGCCCCCTCTGGAAGGGAAAAACAGCACTGAACTCGCCGTTCCGTCGCCTATGGTGTCTGCTCGACCCAGCAGGGAGGATCAGACTCAACAAAGATCTGGATTTTCGTTCGAATTCAATGGAGAACGTTCGCTTGCCCCCCAAGATCAATTCGGTCGACCTCCAGCCTCATACACACCGACGGGTTCCCTTCGATCAAATGACTCGTCCGCTCCAAGACCATCAACCGGCCAGTCTCCGACGGCAGCTCTTTTGATGTTGCCGCCTACTCCTTTGTCTCCTGTCGAGGAGGTATCGCAGTCTTCGCGATCCAATAGCACGGTTCGCCCTACCACTTCTCGGACAGTGAGTAATTATCAGGGTCTTTCAGCCGATGACCATGTCGCCAAAGCTATTGATCTTCATGAGCGCGGAGATTTGAAAGAGTCAACCTACCATCTGCGGATTGCAGCCAACAAAGGTCATGCGACGGGGATGCTTCTGTACGCTCTCGCCTGCCGTCATGGGTGGGGAATGCGTGCAAATCAAAAGGAAGGTGTTCAGTGGCTTCGTAAGGCTGTGGACTCCGCCATGCTGGAAGTTGCTGAAGATGAAGATCCTGCGACTCAGAAACCAGGGACTGACGTCGCCGACAAGAAGACACATCGTGCTCAATTTGCTCTAAGTATATATGAATTGGGAGTGTCACATCTCAACGGATGGGGAATTGAACAAGACAAAGCACTAGCTTTGAGATGTTTTGAGATTGCCGGTAGCTGGGGTGATACCGATGCATTGACCGAAGCTGGTTTCTGCTATGCTGAAGGAATTGGTTGCAAGAGAGATATGAAAAAGGCGGCCAAGTTTTACCGAATGGCAGAAGCAAAGGGAGTCAGCATGATTGGAAACAGTTGGTAGGCTCATTTCCCACATTTTGTGTACATCTTCTTTACTGACCTGCGCATCAGGATCCACAAGGACAAATACAACGACACTGATGACGACACTGACGGTCGATACAGATCCTCAAGAAAGACTTCATCCGAAAAGCCACGCAATAAATCCAAGTCGCGTAGCATCTTTGGAAGGAAGAAGTCGGCTCAGGCATAGCTACATTCTGATTGAAATTGACGGCCGATTTCGAATTTCGGGGCAGTAATTTTAATACGGATTAGGATCAAACTTACACGACGTTCAGAGACATTTCGACGATGACATGTATTATGAATCTTTTCTACTTGGCACGCTCTTGATGAGCATTTTGAATTCCATCAAGGAGATTTTCTTTGGCGGGGTTTTGCAGCGGATGGATGAAATTCGATGAGGGTTTGGAGAATTTCGAAGATCTTATAGATTTTGAGTGGCCATCGCCCTGGTCCTCTTTTCTAATATGGATTGTAATTCTTCATCTTACAAATTACTCCATTTGCGCCAGTTGGCAGCATGGGAACTCTGTGGCCTTTACAGGAGGCCGAGATGAGAACAGGGATAGTGGGCTGTTATTGGTTGAAATAGAAAAAGAATTCAGCCTTACTAATGAATTACCGAGTTGAGCTCCAAGACGTCAATGGCATTTAAAGCTGAGACGAAAACCACGGACAATTTGTCGTCTTTTCTTGCCCACGAGAAGCTTTCGTTGAGACGGTCACTAAGAAAGGACTATTGCGCTCGTCATTCCAAAGCAGAATCATAGCACTTGATATCCCCACCGGTCGGCTTTATAACATACAGACCTGAATTCAGCGAAACACGGCCGAAGGCGAACCTCAGATTGAAAGCGGTATCCTGCTTGCAAATCAGATCCCCATCTTTGCTGTCTCGACTGGATCATCTGCTCCCGTACTCAATCCCGTTGCTCAGGAGATTGCAGTTTCCTGTGGCGTATTCCGGCATTTGAGACCGGGAGGGTCTTTGTCGCTTTTGCTACGCCTCAACCAAGGCTTAGTGAGGGAAGTACTGGGGGAGTGAATGTCAATGCCAATGACAATGCCAACGACAGTGGGGACGCGGCGCTCGATGCCTGGCTGAACGACACTGACAACAACGCCGCGACAGACCAAGAGCGCCAGCCAAATACGAACGCGCCTTGGATCGCGGCACACATTGACCTGATCAATTACGGCCAGACACAAGTCTGGGTCTTCGCGAGCTGGGAGTGTCCGTCTACCTCAACCTCTTCTTCTACCCCTTTCTCCCCCAACCTCGACAACACCAACAAGGAGGACATTGACCTCATCCACAACGCCCTGATGGGAACTCTTTTCCAGTACATATACACTTCCCTCGTGCCGAGCATGGCCATCACCCCTCCTCCGGACTGGCTCGAACTCCAACGCACCGGCAAGACGGTATCAATCCCGTTTTCGAGGACGAAAGTCCTTTTCGGACCTGTGAATGAGGGCCTTCCACACTACTTCCCTGACCATGCGCGCGCGAGGATAGATGCTGCAAACTTGAAGTATGTCTTCTCTCTTAACCACGACCATCACAACAATGGCGACGATACTGAGGGTCAAAATCAGGTTCAGAGCGGAGGAGAACAGGAGAACAATGTGTTACCAGAAAACTACTCCTTCGCAGACCTGCGGGACTCGGACCTCCAACTCGCACTGGACCGCACACATATTCCGCGCACATTGAATACGTTGCGCCGCCTCGTTTCTGTTGGCTTATTTTACAACGCCAAGTCCTCCTCGGATTCGAACTCGGGTCCTCGCTCTCCCGTGGGCTGGGGTTTCCTTGGTAAAGATGCGAGTATTCCGAGCCTGCATATAAAACCTGAACACAGGGGGGAGGGGCTTGTGGTGTGCTTGAGCAAGGAGCTGATTAACAGGCAAGAAAAGGAGAGTGCGTTTGCGGTTAGTGGTAAGAAAGGTGGAAGGTGGGCACATGCAGACGTCTCATGGAATAATGTCAATAGTCGACGAGTGATGGAGAAGTTGGGCGGGAAGTCCATGTGGACTGTTGCGTGGACGGAGGTGGACCTGAGTGTGTTGTGTGGGAGTTGATATCGGTTTGGCATGTGTTCATGTCAATACTAGAGTCCTTGGACCGTCAGTGGACTACAAGGAGGATAGAATAGAGGAGAGAAGATGGACCCCAACGAGGCAGCCACATAATATAGATGGAGAGATGCCGGCACGGATAAGAACTGCACCGTCGATTCCAGGCTATAACGTAACAGCAAGTTTGCACTTGCTGACGAAACAGGATGAGAAAGCGGCAAAGGGACAGAGAATTGTGTATGAAGCATTATAACAGTTATTGTCATTTAGATTCTTTCTCGAATCTTATAAGTCATGTCTTTGTTCCAATAGTGTGTGTCTCTCTCTCCTCTCTGTGGATGTGCTATCCCACACTTCGAAGTGTGTCTTCGTCCTCAAGACGAGACGGGTATAGACAGCGTGCTCGATATATTGCTATATACGGCTGAACCTGAAGTCCTTGTTCGTTTCATTATGTAAATTAAAAGATCGTCAGAAATTTGATATGTGTGGGGGTATCTCCCATCATCGACAGCAGACAGCATCTGAGCAGATCCAAAAACACATTTTGGGGTGTGTGCTCAAAGCGAAACAGATCGTAGATTCATGTCGTGAGAACGGGGTCGGTGAGACAAATCATGAGATCGCAATTCGACTTAGTATTTGTCGAGAAGTATGACCGCAGGCAGAGACGTACGGGAGGTGCGATATCTCTCAAGAAGCAGGTTCGATACCTGTGGAAAGTCCTTCGGACTTACCATGCTCCACCGTCTTCAGTTGTTCCTGATGTTCAACATTCGCAATGGCAGATTGCAGTGCACTGGTCAAATCGATGTGGAAGAAAGGTCGATTCAAGCCATGCACAACGGCAACCTTTTTGACTGAAGTCCTAGTGTATGCCTTACTGTTGCTGATCTGTTTATTGAGATCATTGCCGTTGCTGGAGCCCGTTGTCGAATCATCGGCATAGTGCTCCTTGATTGCCTCGGATTTGATAGCCTTGATACCACTACTACTGCTCCCGGGTCGTGAGCCACCGTGTTCCTCATCACGATGGTGTCTTGATGATGATCTCCTATTAGCTTCATCTTCGGCAAGTGCAGCGGCCGAAGCCGAGCCTCCAATTTCTGCGACACTGAAGATTGGTTTCCAGCGATGCCACTCTTCCGTGGCAACAGTTGGGTAGCCAAAGCCTGCAGAAGCAAGAGCGCGCTTGGTCCAACGGTTGTTGATACAAGCCAAGTGCCATTGAACGACATCGGGTGAGGCATAGCGGTCGAGTTGGTTGCGGACATCGATCAGAATCTGGATGCTGGTCACGTCGACATTGTTGACTGATGAGAAATCAAGGATAATAGCTTTCAAGGTGGGAAGATGAGAGCGATTCGGCTCTGTTTTACCTGGTCGAGGGCCAGGATTATTCCATGGGCGGTCACCAGGACGTGGCCAGGAGTCAGGGTTCGTTCGTCGTGTAGTTTCGAAAATGTGTTGCACAAGATAATCGGTGTAATGGTTTGCATTGGGATAGTTGAAACCTTCGCTGAATCGGTAGATGAATATACCAGGGTAAGGAGATTCGACGTTGATAGATGGATTCGAGCCATCATTGTGATCCAACGGCAAGAAAATATTTCTCAGAGCGACATCATCACCCGGTAGTCGTTGTTGGTCATGGAATTTGTCTTCAACCAAGTGATCACCAATGACTGAATGAATCTTGACCTTTCCAACGAAGTGCCCACGGGCTTTCACGACACGGAACAGAAGAATTCCAGCACTTACACAAATAGTTGTGTAAACGCCATTTTCAATAGAGGAGAATATGGTGACAAACACTCCCGCAAAGAAGACAACGACGTCTAGAGGCGAGACTCGCCAGAATTGGTAGACTGTGTTGGGAGGAGTGATCAAATCACCGACGGCGTGAATAATCACGCCGGCCAGTGAGGAGTTTGGAATGTAGTAAAACATCGCCGGAAGAGCGTAAATGGCCAACAGAACGACAATCGCTGTGATGACACCTGCAAAAGGGGTTCGAACACCAGCTTTTGATTTGATGGCTGTTCTGGAGAAAGATCCAGTCGCAGGATAACCTCCCAAGAACGGTCCAAGTAAATTCGTGACGCCAATAGCGACGAGCTCCTGTGAGGGATCGATAGTGTAGTTATTGATACGGCCGAAAGACTTGGAGATGGCAATGTGTTCGATAAGAAGGACAATGATTGAGGCAGGCAGTTCGCCTGAAAAATAGCTGATGATGTCAGTGTTGATTTTTGGGACTTGGGCGTGTTTGAAACCGCGAGGCACAGTCCCAAGAATCGCGAAGACGTGGTCATCACGGTGATGTCGATTGACGAGCCAGCTGACCAAAGTGTAGAGTAGAATAACAAATGCAGTTCGGAGGGTGGACAGGAAAAAGAAGAGTTTCGCTCGGTGTGGGTATTTCTTTGCTCCGAACCCGCATGCCCATCTGATGAGGTAGAGTAAAAATAGCGCCGTCAAACCCATCGCAGCGTCGACTTTGGTGTGGCCCAGGTATTTCAAGGTGTTGATGATGACCAGATACGTGGAATCGCGAGTATTGAATCCCTTGACCTTGATACCCATCATATTTGGAACTTGACCAGTGGCAATATTGATTGCAGATCCAGTCATGAAGGCCGAAATTGAAGGGAGAGGGATAAAATCGACAATCCAACCACATCGGACAAGACCAATGAAGCAAATGATGGCGCCAGCAATGATGGCGAGGGATGAGGCAATAACGTAACCCGGGATCTCAGGATGTTCCTTTTGGACCTTAAGGACAACATTTCCGACGATAGTGGACATGACAGCGACTGGGCCGATGGTGATATCTTTGGAAGTGGCGAAGAACCAATAGATGAGAACCCCCATAAACGAAGAGTACAGACCAAATTCGACGGGGAGCTCGGCTAGTTTGGCGTAGGCCATGCTCTGAGGGACGACCACCGCACCGACGGTGATACCAGCAACCAAATCTCCAATAAGCCATTGAACATTGTATCGTAGAATCCACTTAGTGAAGGGAAATATATCGCGAATGTAGCTGCCCATAGCGGCTCCAGAGGGTATGAGGTCTCCCAGCCATTCAATGGTGGTTGGTTCCTCTTCAACATATGTGTCGGCAGTACTGACTGAATAGGCGGATTCACCACGTGTCACGGCATCCTTTTGTGCCTGGCGCTCATTGAGTTTGATCCTAAGGAATTTGGACAGTCCATGGCCAATCTTGGTGGAGGTGGACGCCATTGGCACGTCCGAAGCTCTCTGACCCAATACCAAAGAGAAGAAGCAGTATGATGGGAGAAGATGAAGTAGAAGGTGTTCAGGAAGACGAAGGACGGCTGCGGAGGGGCCCTTTGTACCACTGGAGGGGGCGTCGGAGCGGACTTGGGAAGGTTTTTGGATCGTGCAGATTGGCTCGGCCTTAGTTCTATTTGGTCACACCGGGCACCGGGACGAAGAGAGGTTGGAGTTGCCAAGGCGTGTGATAAACAACAGGCGGATAGGAGGCGGAAAGGACCAGGATTCAGGTAGAGACAGAGGCAGTTGTGGCTTGCAGGGCCTTCGAGCTAAAAGCAGAGAAGCTCGAGTCCGAGGCGGAGGAAAAGGGGGCCGCAAGAGCCACCGATGCTCCGCCTAAGGGGAGGGAGGTCTATCGTAGGTGAGATATGAGGTGAGACCCTTGGAGGGACACAAGGGCTGCTCTCAGTTCAAAGAGGGTAGATCTCGTGCTGAATTAAGAGAAAAATTAAAAAAAAAAAAAAAAAAAGAAAGGGCCTGATATTGAAGGGAGGCGGAGGAAGAGACGAGACAGGGGGGAATGAGAACACGTGTGGGATGTCAAAGATTGACTCAACGAGCGAGATCTGGCGTTGTTCTCTTCGAGAGAGCTTATTTGAATCGAGAACAGAACTTTTCCTGCCTTTTTCCAATGAATCTGGGACCATGATGAAATATGGAGACGAAGGAGGGTCGGAGAGCGATGGTGCAATCGAAGGCGTGATGGAAATAGGGCAACGCAAAGGGGAAGGCTCGAAGGGGTTGACTGGCCCCTCAGAGTAACACCACCTGGAGCCCGGTTCCTCATGTTCACGCGATGACCACGCTCAGACGTTGAAATGGCTAGATACAAGAGTCTCGAAATAAGGCTCAGTACCTTGTAGGTGTTGGGATTTGATAAGATTCGCTGAAGGGGAACCAAGCTTGCGCTCTCGTTCGCCGGGCGGGCGCAGCTGTTGGGCGCCGTCTGACGCCCTGCCAATAGAAATCACCCAACTCTTCCCGTCATATGGGATTATTACCTTTGTGGTTCCATGCTCTCCTTACTCAATCTCTCTTCCTACAGTGGAGAACAAACCTCGCTCTTTTCAGCACTCTGTTGGCACATGCAAGCGGTGCGCCATCCCTTCTTACAGGAGCAAAATGGCGTGCTCATCTGGCCGGCCCTCTTTTCGTCGATCCATAGCCACCCCTTGTCGCGGCCTCACGTTCCCATCCCTCGCACAACCTGTCGTTTTGCGCCACTATGCGATTCCCGGTAATATGCAATCTCCCGTCCAATCAACACAGACTCTGACACAGCGTAGCTCTGAGCTAAATGCTGACGCGATTGGCGCTACCATGATATCATCCTAGTGCAGCCAAGTGTTCACTTTGGTATTCAAGAGTGGTATCACGTTTTGATATTCCTCACCGGTCCTGTTGCGGTGCTCTCTCACAGTCAATGATTTTCTCTTTGTTCGATTTTCCGCCAAACATGGATTTCCTCGACGACCCTCAGTCGAGTTTGCAAAACAGAGAGCAATTAAGCCAGAGTCGGATGGAAAGGAATTCCACTGTTGGTAGCTAAGCTGTGTTGACCGCCTTTTGCCATACCATATCAAGTCTTTCAAACATCTGATACGGGACACATGTGAAGGTGCGCACCAGGGTTGGGCGCGGACTAGTTACTCGACAGCTGCCTTTAAGTTTTCGCTGCGTTGACTGCTCGCGACCGAAGGATCGCTTGCTGTTTGTCAAATCTACATCAAACCGAAATCTCCCTTCCCGGTGTGGGTGTCATCCTATTTGCCCAGGATGGGAGGTCGGGTGCTACGCGGCTAGGTCCGATCGAGAGTATCAAAGGGATCTGGGTGGGACTTGTAGACCTAAGATCGTCCCAAAAGAGAAAGGTATATCGGCGTAGGGAGCATGCTGTCTTATGATACCCTGGGGTAAGAAATCACAATGTTCATTCCTCGTCGATACTGTAGCCGGTGGAAAGTCGGCCTATCATCCAGCACGGTCACACTGCTTCGTCCCCTTCATCCTGCAACGTCAACAGCACAACCGCCCCTCGCCTGGTCCTGGCGAACCATGATTCCCTATCACGGCTTCCAGACCACAATCTATCGTGCAAAGCAAGGCTATCTATCTATCATCCGTAATGTGATCGATGCCCATGTCATAGTTGAGCCATGCCTTCCGCTGAAGACGGCCTACTGCAGTGCCCTCGTTTGCGCAAAACTTAGTCGCCATACTCCATGTGCCCTCTCCCCACTAAACACGACAAAAAAAAAAAAAAAAAAACCTAAATCGCCCGGAGAATGGCCTTCCAAATCCAGACGCCCCCATCCAATGCTGGATGCTTGAGTGATCGAAAAGAGATCGAATGCTTGAGACCCCCACGCTCGCTTTAATGGTCCCATGGTCGTTCGCACATGGAGACCAGTCCATTCTGTCACGTTTCTTGAACCTCTTTCAATTAACCTGGTCTTGTGTCACGTTCAAGTTGTTGCCAATCTTAATCTCGGGCTGTCTATTGCGAAGCGCATTGCATTCTCTCCGCACCAGGAGGTATGCCATCTTCGTCTTCATCTGTCATCCCAGTCGTACCATGTGCACGTGCTTGCTGGCGAGGGTCGACCTCTTCGAGATCAAAATCTTCAACCATAGAATCACCAGGAGGCAGTTTTTGCTGGATGCGTGGCGGGAGGACTTGGTCCAGCAGATCAATGTTTCGCAGCTGTGTCTTATCGGGGAATTTGACATCGAATTGGATGTACAGGTTTCCAAAATCGTGGTGTCGGAATGACGGCATGCCTTGACCTTTGATGACTTTGATGGAGCCTGGTGAATGTAAGCAATGCTCCTTAAACTAGATCACAAAAAAAAGAAGCAGGGATGCATCACCAAACTTACCGGGAGTGATGGGGTCGCCAGGGAAGATGTTCACGGTCAACCACCGATCGTCAAGATGCTCGATATAGATCTGACCTCCGGCCAATGCGGTTAGGAGATCAATTTCAGCATGGTAGAACAGGTCGTCGTCCTTGCGTTGGAATCTTGGGTGTGGTTTTTGCTCAATCTCAAATACCACGTCTCCTGCGAGAACGCCTGGCATCTGGTCACCCTCGCCACGGAACTCAATCTTGTGTCCGCTCTTGACACCACGGTCAACGTGAACGTGCAAGACCTTACGCTCCACGACCGTCTTCTTGCCCATGCAGCGTTTGCATCGATCGCGGTCACGAATGGTCTCACCCTCACCCTGGCAGTCGGGACAGATAGTCTGGAAGCGTTGGATCATGGGGCCCATCTGGCGCATCATGGTCTTCATGCCAGCTCCGTTACAACCAGCACAAGTCCTCACAGCACCCTCTTTGCCCCCGCGGCCTTCACAGACGGGACAGATGACAGATTTTTGAAGAGCGAGCTTGGAGATTTTGCCACGATAAATATCCTCGAGGGAGACTTTGTGGACATGGTGGATTGTCCTGGCTTTCTTCGGACCTGTGTCACGCATGCCACCTCCGAACATACCACCAAAGGCTGAGCCGCCGCCGAAGAATTGTGCAAAGAGATCCTCCGCGGCCATACCACCCCCCATCCCGCCTTGTTCTAGGCCCTCCTCGCCGTATTGATCATAGAGGGCTCGTTTCTGAGGATCGGAGAGGACTTCATAGGCTTTGGAAAGGTCTTTGAATTTTTCAGCTGCTTCCGGGTTGTGCGCATTTTTATCTAATACCGGTTAGACAGTGTCATGGTGTCATGGCCAAAAGTCGACTAGATTTCTTACCTGGGTGGTGTTTGAGCGCGCCCTTCTTGTAGGCCGACTTGAGTTGAGCTTCTGACGCCGAGGGATCGACCTTTCACCATTTGTCAGCTGCTGAAAGTTGTCCGTGAGGCTGGGCAGAAAGGGAGCCAACTCACCCCTAAGATCTCATAGTATTTTGTGTCCTTCACCATTTTGATAAAGGTCCGTTGGGACTGCGGCGTCCGACGAGGTCAAGTTGATGCTAGGGATAGAAAAGAGGGAGCGAGAAAGGGAGTCTGTCGACAAATAGTATGAAGGATTTGTTTGTCAAGTGGTTGGGAAGGATAGAGCCAGGTGAAGAGTGAGAGTACGAGGATAAGACTGTGAAGCACTATGAGGGGAGTTGCAGATTTAATGAACAGCCAGGCGCAGGCAAACAGCTAATTACCGTTTATTCAGTTTGGACGAATGCGGGCACGCTGGCAAGGGAATTGCTTTCGCAATAATACAAGCATCGATTACGGCGAAAAGGCTGAGCGAATAAATGCCAAGAATCCCTGATGTTCGATGGGTTTCTCTCGATTGCGATCGCGGGCGGACCTGAGTCTGTTCCGATGCGGGTGTCCACCAGGATAATACACATTGCCACAAATTACGAGAGCGTTCCGTTAGCTGGTAGTGGTTCGGGGATGCTGTCTACAAACAGCCATGCTTTGACCCATTTGCATCCTCGGTGTTTCCTCTGCATATTCCCGTCGGGCGAGAGCCATTTTTAGCCTTTGTCTTCTGAGAGAATAGACTTGGTCACATCCGAAGATCTGGAGGTGGCGATTTTTAGCCTGGCTGCCAATGAAGCAAGAAGCATCAAATCTGACGTCTGACATCCCCCTGCCAGTGTGTACTAGCCCCGATCCACCTAAGCCAGCAAATGTAACAAAATCACCAAGTCCGGCTCAAAGTAACATTACGCCGAAATGTAGAGATTCGATACTATGCTTAATTGCCTGAGAGATCGTTGTCCGAGACCTTAAATGTTAGTCTCCAATTGACGATTTCATTTCATTGCAGATCCTAAGAAGAAACGTCTCGATCGCGAGAGGCAGAAAGCACGGTACATGAAGAAGACGAAACGGGATGAAAGGGCCAGATTGGGATATCACAAAAGAAAGAATACTGACAATGCAACATGAAGGAATGGACATCGATGTCACAGGGTTTCATACTTTGCTATGTGGTCAATGGTGTAGCATGCATGTCTGGTAGGACAGTAGATTCAAAAGAGATTTGACATATGCGTATTTCTTACTAGACGAATAACTGACCCATTACTTAATCCATTCACATATCAGACAGGAACGCTGGGATGGGCCAAAGGAGTCCTTTCAAACTAGGACCAAAAGGGGGTCTGGCCTACTTGATGACTTGACTAGGCTAATCCTTTCATGGGCGCTCCCAGAGGAAGAGAATGAAATTGGTTGCACATTTTTGTCTACAGTCTACCTGGTGCAAGTGAGCAAAGCCCTATAATCTGAACGGACAAATGCACGAGGAGCTCACAGCTCCGTCAGCGTTATCTTTCGTCCAGCTTCTGCTGTACTCTCAGACATGCTTGAACCTCAAGATAAGCCGGTTGCTGGCTGGCCTAGTCGTGTAAGCATCGATCTCCTCGATGCCTTCGTCGTCTACAATTTCCGTGGTCCAATTCGAATAGATTGCAGCAACAATCAACTTGATCTCTTGGGTGGCCAAGTGAGATCCGATGCACATTCTTCCACCAGATCCAAAGGCCCAGAACCATCGGTGCATTTCCTTCAGGTGTTCTTCCGGGGTATGTGAGGGCAGCCATCGGAAAGGATTGAACATCTCCGGCTCCGGGAACACAGCCTCGTTGCGATGTAGTCCGTATGGCATGGAGGAGACGCGGACACCACCTGGGATGCCAGAATACGACCCCAGTGTGCTACCACCAGGAACGTGGGGAGAGATACGTGGCTCGATGCCCGGGATCGGGGCATGCAGGCGCAGAATCTCCATCAAGACGGCATTCAATAAGGGCAAAGCGTCGATCTGTTTCGGTTCTGGTAGTTTGAAATATTTTATGTCGAAACCTGCTGGCAACGGCCATTTGATAGTGGGAGATAGCGTCAACAATTCGTCGTGGAGTTGTTTCTGCCATTGCGGGTTCCTGCTCAGCTCCCAGTACAGGTAGGTCAAAGCAATGGCGGAGGTCTCGTGACCGGCACCCAGCTGGTCAAGCATTTCACTATATATCTCGGCCGTAGTGGTGTCGTCCTCGTCCCGCTGAAGGTCGTTGTGCCGGTACGTCGGGAGGATGACTTGACCGGGAACAGCTTTCCCTGCCGACGGGTCCTTTTCTCGCATTTTGGTGATCCCGGCTTTGAATTGTCTATATACAACCGGATCGTCGCCGACGTACAAAGATGAAACATCATTTGCGTGCCGTGAGAGATAATTATCCGCCGCTCGACACATGCGGGCATTCCAGTTCTCAAGAAGGACATTGGCATCGTCCACAAATTGGGGTACGATTGGGAACCCCAGTTTCTGCGTGATGCTCTTCAGCCAGGGGATCTCGGCGGAGAAGAATTCGTATTCGCGTCGACAGTGATAATTGTGCAGAATCTTCTGCCTCGTCGCTAGGTCTTGAGTGAAATTTGTGCCCGCGCCAAGTCCGAATTGGTAGGCGGACATGAAGTCCATGGTGAAGGCGTTGTTGAGGTTATGCACGTCTGTGGCCTGGGCTGTGTCGGAAAGAGATTGAAGGAGAGGCAGGAACCGTGTCGTGAATAACGTGTGTGAGTTGGCGGCGACTTGAGGGGACGAGGCTAGGTAAGACTTGGAGTAAATGTTGGCCATCGTGCGTTTCTTCTGAGAATGAGGCGCGTGGTGGATCGTGGAGAACATGTTCATCACTCTGTCCAAATGAAGGAACATTTTAGTCAAGAGGCCGTGTGAGAGCGTCAGTATCGGAGTCCTGGCACTTACCCGTACGAACCGAATCTTTGCGGGTACCATGCATGCTTCTCCCAACCACCAGCGTAGATGGTCCTGATCCCGTTTTCCACACAGTTGACGCTTAGCTCGTTGGATCCCATGCGGACAACGCTGCCGTGCTTGAGATGGGCGGCATAGGTCACGGCATTGTTCTTCTCAAGGTATCGTTGGTAGGTGATCCATATGTCACCAAAAATTGGGATTGACCAGTGTGCGGATGGGATGTTTCGGAGAGGATGGAAGAAGAGTGGACGGATGATGAACTTGTAAGTGGATAGCACGGCCAGCAAAGCCACTACCACGATTGGGAGGATTGGGACGGCCATGCTGGTAGCAGATGTAGCCTTTTCTTCTCAGAGTCAAGTATAAGGGCATGAGAAGAAGTGAGGAAGGCGCAGATGGAGAGGCGTCCTCTCGGAGCTGGCTTGTATGGAACTGTGATACTGCTCTTGGTCAGTCGTACGAGGCTGAGATCCCGCTGGGCGCCCGATAAAAGAGAAAGTTGGGAAATTTTCCAGAGGGTCGAGGGCACACAAGGTTTCGCCTTTTCAACTCAAGGGAATGCGGAGAAAGGTTCATCAATCATGAATTCGGTTCATCCTGTTCTCCTAATGTTTAAGAACAGACGAACGACAAAGCGTGCGTTTTCCAAATACTGAACTCTAGCGCACAAGTCCGCCGTATGCGTCGTGGGAAAATCCGCCTGCAGGGTAATTGTTTATATTCGGAGCCATCGAGGTCGAAGTATTAAAGTGTGCCATGGAGTAAAAAGAAGCGAGGACATAGAGGCCCATAGAATCTCTGAAAATGCGTTCGATGGCATGTGACAGGCGGTCTTTTCGAAAGTCCAGCAAATTCTATTAGCTACCTGGAGGCCCTTTGCTTGCCTTTGCCGTCCACAGTCTCTGACTCTTCCGCTTCATCCTCTTCGTCACTGGAGGAAATCTCATCTTCGTCGTCGAACCCTGCAAAACGCCGGACTGGTTGCTTGGGCTTCGGGAGCAGATGCGAAGGTATCTTGAGCCGATTCTCAAGAACCCAGATCGCGTCTGTATCCCCTGCCTCGGCCTCGGCCCTGAGCCGAGACATCTCGTTTTGGTCCAGCTCCATCACATCGTCTGCGTCACTGTCATCACTGCCAGGAAAAGATCCTACACTGCCACTGCTTTCGTCATCTTGTGTGGGAGACTCCGTGGCCCCTTCACTTTCTTGATCAATCTGCATGGCCATCTTGACAGCGTTCCTGACGTTCTCCCCAATATCTTCCTTCTCCTCCACCCATTCATCGCTTAACCCTTTCCGTCGACCATCGGGACCTTTTCCAGCACGCATGTCAGCTTCTCTCTGCTCGGCCAGTTCAATGATTTGTTCCCATCTCTTGCGTCTTTCCTCCTTTTCTTTCCGGTCCATCTCGGGCTTAGTTGCCAAATAGGTGGCTAGATTTTTAGCCTCCGTAATTGTTCGCAATCTCCGTCCATCTAGATTGCGGGCACTGCCAGTAGCAAGTTCTGCATTTTGTTTCTTCTTGCGTGAGGACATGCGGCCGCCAGCCGCCCGGAGCTGTGAGCCAAACCCACCCTTGCCACCAACTAGCGGGACAGAGAGCCGAAGCGGCAAAATTGAGCCATCTGGGGTCGGCAGACATGGGGGAGAGAGACACAGGTCAGCAAGCGTTATCGACGAGGATGCATAGATGGGGCAGTTTGAGGTTGAGGTAAGGATGAGGCGGGTGTTCTCCGGAAGACTTGATGGGAGCAGGCTCGCAATAGAGGCAAGTAGCTCTGCCGTGGTGGACGAGGCCGGCAAGGGTAGGCAGACGGTAGGAGGAAGTGATAAGCCGGGAAAGGAGTCCAGCAGAACATTGATAGCGGGTTCCATTTTGTGCTTCCTGATGGAGGGGTGCAAGAGATCCGCAGGCGGCAACTGGGGAAGTCAGGAAAATAAACGGCACAAACAGGCTGACCGGCGGTCAAAACGGGCAGATATCGGGCAGTGAAACCGATTTGTCAAGAATTGTGTGTCTTGTGGCTTGAGAAGGAGAAGAGAACTGTCTTGGGAGCGTGCCAAAAGGCCCAAAACGTTGACGCATCACACAGTACAGGGGACTTTGTATCAAAAAGACTGACTAGGGAAGACGGTCTAGCCTTATTCGGCTGGAACGTGTGGTTAAAGGTATAGATACGCTATTACTTCTGTGGACTAGTGCTCTAGCCGGGGGATTTGCCTCTACAACCTCCTTTCACAAAAAGTTTGGCTCCGCGTTCGGGTGCAAAAAAAGGATGTTGTCCATTCTACACACTTGTCGATTCTGCACCCTCGCCATCCTTTCCGTCAGCTCATGAATGTCCAACACCGCACACTGGCCGCTGGACACGATCCGCAGATCATCCCAAGGCCGAGGCCACGGCCAGTCTGACCCTGTCAGACCATATTCTCAACGGCCATAGCCGTCTTTATTCGATTCAAAAGGAATCCTGTGAACTTCTGTGTCTAACATGCCCTGGCAGCCGCTACCTCTTTCCTATGCGGTGGCCATCTACCCTTTTCAGCCCTCAACATCACCCGCCGAACTGCCATTACAAATTGGTGATCAACTATATGTTATCGAGCAGGGCGGGAAAGATGACTCCTGGTGTCGGGGCTATCTCGTTGCACCACCCACATTGTTGTCGGCCCTGAGTCCCGGTGGCAGGACTGCCGCCGACGCGCGTGTCTTTTCCGGCATCTTCCCCAAATGTTGTATCGAAATTCGAGAACAGCTCGCTTCAGATGTCCCATCTCCGCTGCAACCAGGCCAACCAAAGCCAGCAGCTCCGGTTCCCATGCTGAAAATTGGAGACGAGTCGCCAACATCATCAACCGAGCCATTAGTCGACGAGATTTCCTCCTGCCTGCGAGAATGGTACATTCTCCATCTGCCCGACCTGGTTCTACGGCGAGAGTACCATCTCCTTGATCGGATGTCTGAGATCACCACACGACTCGATTATGCGCGACGAGAATTGCTTAACGATGTTCTCACAACCCAGGAAAGACTGCGAGTTCGTGAGGACGCTGTGTGGGATTTGGTGAGGGGGAACAAAATGCTGAGCGGCGAGGTCATCGTTCGTGACCCCGCCCACTTAGGCAGGCTTCTGACTTCAAATGATTCTGCAATTGAGATGGCCAAATTGCAATCAGTAATGAGCGTTCTGGATGCTCCGCCGTCTGAAAAGTCACAAGCCACCTCACTTCACCATTGTCTAATGGAGGTCAAGTCGGTCCTAGGTTCGGATTTGGATGCAACAACGTTGAGTCTCGCCCTCTATCGAGAGGACACTGATGGAACAGCAGTCTCATTTTCCGAGACTTATAGCTCCGTCGCGTCCGCGAAGATGAAGACCCTCCTTTCAGATCTCAGCACAAGAGATATTGCGAATGATGGTCGTTTGTTTCTTGCCATCAAAGTTGTGGTGCCTGAACCTCCTCGAAAGGCCAAAAAACGCACCCCAGAGCGGCCGCCGTCGAGAAATGGAACTCTGTTAGGCCAAAGGCAGTTGTCGCTGAACCGTCGCAGATCCAGCCTAATGTTCGGGAAACGAAAGAATGCCGAAAGACCACAGCCCGGTCAAATCGGGCGGATGACGCCTCAACCGCAAGACAGAGCTTCAACTCCATCTATCATAGAAGAAGAGGAAGAAGGATCGAGTAAAGCCGCCGGCCCTCCTGTTCCTCGCACAATAGGAGTCGGGGTCCTTGATGTGGATAAGATCATCCGAGAAGGCCACCCTCACGAGGAGAGTATCACGATTTGGTCTATCTCTCAGCGGGAAGACGAAAATCCCCGGGAATCGGATTCTAGAATAACTCAACTCTTGAATAGTGCTGGCAAGAATCATGTGATCTCCCCTCAACTGTCGAATGTCACCGTCAGCCTCACGCCCTTCACTGCCCCAGACGCTGATACCCTTATCAAAAACAATCCAACTTCCATGCACTTGGTCATCAAAACACCAAAAATCGGTTTCTCAGAAGCCCCATCGAAACCGAGATCTGACATCTACCTGAGATTGAACAAGGCAGCAATAACACAAGGAGCTCATTTGTCTCATCCTGACTTGGGTGTTGCGCTGATCAAAGCCCATACATTACAGAACCTGCAATTGACCATGGAAGTCCGCGACGCTGCGGGTCGGCGTGTCGAACACTGCATATATCCCTCTTCTAATGGAGCTGGCGTAACCGCCTTTCGCACAAATGCCGTTGAGCTTGACTCGACCTGGGATCAAACCCTCTGTCTACGAGTGCCCACTGGAAAGGTGCCAGAGAGTCATTTGGTGTTGAGCATCGCAGATGCTCCCGAGTTCCCGTTTGCGCTGGCCTGGATGCCGCTGTGGGATAACCAAGCTTTCATTGCCGACGGCAAGCATTCTCTCATCCTACACGCATATGACAAAGTCACATCCAGTATTGTCCAGGGTCGGGGTGCTTATCTATCCTTACCCTGGAACAACTCCAACTACAGAATAATCCATGAAGGCGCCGTGGCCAACATTGCTTCATTGGAAGTTGAGACTCTCCTCTGCAGTACTGAATACTCACAGGATCGAACTCTGGTGAGCCTGATTAATTGGAAACATCGGACCTCGGTACAACTACTAGACATCCTACAGAAATTGACCTTCGTCCCGGAGATTGAGATCGTGAAGCAGGTGAACGATGTTCTGGATGCTCTATTCGGCGTCCTCGTCCACAAGTCAGGCGAATCCAAGTTCGAGGACTTGATTTTCAATGACATCGTCTGGGTTCTCGGGATTGTGCATGACAGACGATTCAATTTGGGCCCCCTCGTGGAACAGTACACCGAAAATCACTTCCGGTCACCCTATGCTGCGTCTTGCTTGATTCGAAGTTTTACTAGACTTCTACAGAGCGTATCGGACCCTCAAAGCGCTCGCGACATGAGAGCTCTCTTCAAAGTCGGCAGGAAGTTCATGAAGATTCTCATTGCTTCTTATCAGCAGAGAAGGTTTGGCTCTCAGACCAAAGAAAACGATGAGAAGCATTCGACCTTCAAAGAAGACATGCAAGCAATTCTCTTTGGACTACAGATGATGATGCGGAGCGAGACGGCCGCCTTGGTAGGAAGCAAAACTTTGCTTGTGCAGAAGTTCCACACATGGCTCCCCGAACTACTACCAGCATTCAGCAAGGAGGAAGTCATCAAAATTGCCATTGAATTCATTGATTCCGGCGAAGAAGTCTCCGGAAAATTGGTCTTGTACAGGATCATCCTCATCTTGAATTACACCAAGTTGGACCAGATTTGGGTCGATGAGAAGGACAAGAAAACTCTGGTCAAGAATTGCATCAGGTGGCTTTCGCCATATTGGACCCCAAACAATCGATCAGATGACTGGCGCGAGCAAGTCCGACTGTGCTGCTCAGTCGTCGCTGAGCTAACACGCTTCCCTACACATCATCTCCATGAATTCATGCCCAAACTCATCTCTGCCTACTGCACCATTGCGAATGAACCCGCTACGAAACGACGGTCGTTGTCGCTCTTCTTTTCGGATACTTACCCCTTCATTACCAAACCAACCGAAAATAACGATTCATTCGATGAAAATCTCCTCGAACTGTCTGCTCTCATATCCACGATCGCCAAAATGAAGACGTCTCCGAATCTCAAACTTCAAGGGCAAGATCTCTCGGACTACATCCTCTCCACACTCACTGTCTTACGATCTCTCTTGAAAAACGACGCTTGCCCCTCGACATGGCTCAGCCTACACATCTTCCACCACTCGTCCGCGCTTACAATACTCAACCACCTCTCCACCCTTCTTATTTCCTCATACCTCCCGACGCCCGAAAACGCAGATAGCTTCGACATGCAACTTTGGAAGTCCTTCCTCGACACACTTCTCGCACTCGTCTCCTCCACGGCATTGACCCTTGAGCTCTTCCCAGAACAAAAAAGGCGCGCGGTGTGGAAAATCGCCGGTGATGTGCGCCAGTCCGGCGCAGACCTCCTGCGCAAAGCCTGGGAAAGTCTCGGCTGGGAAGCTACGGCCGACGACCAGCGCAGATACAACATCCGCAAACTTGGCGGGTATCAGGTCCAGTATGTTCCAAGTCTCGTTGCTCCAACCATCAGCCTCTGCCTGAGCATGCACGAGGGACTGCGCAAAGTAGCTGTTGAAGTGCTACAAACCATGATCGTTAGCGAGTGGGCATTAAGTGAAGACCTCGAACTCATCGAGACAGAAATCATCGGCGCCCTCAACTCGGTCCTGAAAGCGAAGCCTGTGACGGCGAATGAAGCTCTGAGTCGAAAAATCTTCATCGCAGAGCTGCTCGAGCTGTTCTCGACGATTGCTAACCAGCCGGACGATGCACTGTGGACGGCTCTCGAAGAATTGGTCGCGACGATTGACGAGCTGGTCGACCTACTCACGTCCACGGATCCGGAAGACGATGTCGCTGGTGCAACAGCGGGCCATGCCAATGGGACCAGGGGTAGCAATGCCCGCGGCAAAGATACCGATTCGCAGACCTCAGAAGCGAAGGAACTCGCCAGGGCCCGCCGCAGCATTGATGGTCTCAGCCCTTCGTCCCAACAGCAGGGCCGGGAGCGTGAGTACGGTGTGCATGCGCTCGAGTGCTACAAGCAGCTCGCAGAAGAATATGAGCGCAATGGAGACTACAAACGCCTGGCGAAGACGCATCGGGCCATCGCTAGGATTCACGAGGCGAGAGCGGCGAGTCGCCTTGGGAGGAGGGATATTAACGGACGGGGCGAGGATGTTGAAGATGATGAGTAAGGAAAAAAAAAAGGGGGGGGCTTTGGATATGCGGATGCCCTGTATTGGCAGCAGGAATTGGGTTGGTGGATGGTTTTTTTTTTTGGTTTTGTTTTGGAGAAGGGGGGAGGCGAAGGGATTAGTTGGCTGACTTTAGACCAAGAAGATCAGACTGGATGAGTGAATTGATTGGGGTGTTTTTCCTTTGAACAATGGACCGGCAGAGTCTACTTGGGAACCAGGTTTTGGCAATAGCCCGGCCTGTTGGCGGCCCAGTACGGGAGATATTACGGTATGGATAAGTGAATGGCTTGGGGTTATCCAAGAGGGAACGTCATTCGGTTCTTTCAATTTTCTTTCCCATTTGTGATTTTCTAGCTGAAGCGGAGCGCTTTCGTACATAGGTTTTCCTAGTTGCTGTATGATGATTCCGTTGGGGGAAAACTGCAAAGGCCAAATGCCCAACTCTTTTCTATTCCGTCCGAGTCAGATGAGTATAAAAATGGACGAGCAGAAAAACTTGTTGGATTGTGTACCCTTCGTATGGTGAGTAACTACTGTCTCTGCTTCCGTGATGCAAGCTGTGCTCTTTTGACGACATCCTGAGGATTGAAGCGATCATCAAAAAGGATTGTGTTCGGCTTCACCAAAGAGCGTAAGTGATATTATGACAAGATGCACGAAGCAGGTGACAAATAACGTACAAGTCTCGATTGCAATGGTCAAGCGATGCATCCAACGCAGGCAATATTGTAGGAGTCATTGCAAAACAAAATACCCAAATGGGATGAATCCAGATATCCTGGCTGGGACCACGCCTCGAGCTCAAATCTGATAGAGAACAACATTTGAAAGCACGAGCTCACAACAAATTAGGGAGAGATGAGCAGCTTTTCACCCAGATGTAGAAGTCTATTGTTCAGTCGCCGTCGATGGATAATCTCCTTGTCGCCACTTCTCCGTGATTAATTCATCATATTGGACACCTCTCCCAGACAACGCGAATAATCGACGACAATCTTGGTCAAAGCCGCGTGGAAAGTACCAATGAAGTCAGGGACGTGCGTCTGAGTTGAGGAAGTCCAAGAATTGTATTGCGGTGGCCGAGACTATGGATTTGACAGCGTCAATACGGACATTGGTGTTTATCAACGGTTGAGCAATTGAGACGGGCATCTCGGATGCTAGATTGGCCTAATTTCTTGTAATTTAAAGGAAATCATATGCAAAGCAGAACCAAAGAGCTTATGAGGACACGATGGGAGAAAATGACCTGCTTCATGAGCAAGATTTTGGAAGCTGCCTTCTCCACGGATGCTGAAAGAAGGGGGGCCCAGTCAGTAGATGAAGCTGGTCACCGTCACACAGAGAGGGTCTTGATCGGCTGATATTCCAGGACTTTGGTCGAAGGCATGTCATTAAGTTATTGTCTTGCTTTTCCTTCTTAGCCATTCCTTTCCTGGCCCGTTCAGGTATAGCAAGGGTTGGTCGCTGGGAACGAAATTGCGTTTCTAGGACGCGAACTGTCAATGAACAGGAGCATAGGCAACCAAAAACAATCAAGAGCGAGTCCCAAGGCGGCGAGACCCATGTTTTCAGGAGTCGAAGGCGAGAAGCTTTGGAGGTCTGGGAAGTGTCTGTCTGTCGAAGGTGGAGGTGAAGGATATCTGACAGGACTTCTAGTGCAGGGGTCATCGTCTTCTACCGGTGCTGGTTATGTACGCACTCGTCGTAGTGCATGAACAGCAAGGGCAGCAGACCAGTAAGGCTTCTCCACTTTGCACCAGATGGGGTTGGTCGGTAGCGAGGCATTCTCTTCGATATTTGAGATGAACTGTAGGTAGATGGTTGTCTGGGCTGTTTAGTTTCATCTAACAAATTGGTTGAGCTTCTGAAGCAAGATATTGTGTTTCTGAGAAGAGTTCGCTACGAACTACGTCTGACATGAAGCCCGAAGCCAAAATGGGGATAGGAAAAGGCGTTGACTGGGTGGAGAGTGGACAGAAACCCAGGATGGATTGGGATAGGGCTGCAAGAAGGAGTTTGATCCCGGCGAGAAGAGAGACCGCAGACTCTCGGCGTCGATAAACATCGAGACGCCAGCTGGGAGAGGAGCCAAAGGAGACCAGCGGAACGAGACGATTGGAGCCAAGGCGTAGCCGCGTTTCGTTTTGCGGCTGCAATTCGTCAGCCGCCCCGAAATCCCATACAGTGCCATTGATGATCAGGATGGCATTCATTTGAATTCTTCTGCTCGTGCTGAATACATGAGAGAGAGCGCTCTGCAAATGACTGCTCCCGCCGCCCTCCCTCGACATCAACCAGACGTGGAACACCATCATCTCCCCCGTTGCTCACGAGATTACCGCGCTCGAGACCTCCCACGCTCTGTGCCTCCGTGCAAACGTCAATTCCCCCCGTCAACTGCCCATCACCACGGTCACTTCCATCACCGGCTTCGACGACATCCTTCGCTGCAAGATTGCAAAACATAGACTCCCTCCCGCTTGCTCCATCTTCGTCACGGACCGCCGCTCAGATGCCCAGTACAAAGACCATCTAAAGCCCGTGTTCATCTGTCGTTGTGTCCTTCACTTCTCCTCCACACGCTCGGATCGAACTTGTCCACCAACAGTGCTGGAAAGGCAAGAGTCACTGCTGGCACCGAACGTGGAACGAATCTTGGATCCAACAATCCTACCGGAGGACGTCTAGTCGTGTGCAGGATTCCTTGTGGTAAAGGACTTGGATTGAACATCCAACAAAAACACTACAACCATTAGCACGAGGTGTGTGAACGGAGGAAATAAAAACTCAGAGCCGACATTCTCTTCGAACCAAACATTGAAAGGACCCCCCACGGGGAGAATCAGACACCGCGAAATCTCCTCTCCTTCGACTCGGACCGGGGGAAAAAGGATAGCATCATTTGTCTCATACCAAAGGCCTGATCGACCAAGACCTAGAACGACACCATTGCGTCCGGGACTGGAGAGTCGCCCTCAGCAGACCCTCGAATTATTCGCTGGAAATCGACTTGTCTCGGAAAAGGAATTGTTGGTTGCCAAGGCATACATACCAGTTGCCCTTGTTTCTTACATTCCCACCGAATGCCGCCCACTCATTAGTCGAATTTCCTCTTGACTTCCTTCGTGCTCTTCTTCAGACACCTTCAACGTTGTATTTTTGCATCAGGTGAGTTCGAATTTACTCTGCTTGTCCTCTTTAGTCTATCCGAGCAATGGACTGTGCTTTTGCCCTATCAGCTGCCATCACGGTGGTCTCAACTAGTCCCACGGCGCTCGGCGGGAGCGCGCCTTGACCCTCCTCCACTTAGTCCTGATCCGTTCAGGGCTAAGGTGTTCATGAATATCTCTACTGCCATCTTTCTACATTGTTTCTTTTCCATTCCACTGCTGACGGCCAAACATGCAGGCTCCGAATTTTCATTTTAACGTCCCTCCATTTCAAAGAACTCGGAGCGAAGCTGTGTATCAGCGAGCTTTGAGACCACCGGCTCCATTTCCTGCAAAAACGGGCATGGACATTGGAGGTTTGCTGAACGCAAGGAATGCAGCGGCCGCTGACGCCGAGCTAAGACGTCAATTACAGCAGTCAATGCAGATGGACGGCGGAGTAGCATACGGCATGAGCCATAATCAAGGCCCAACTATGGCTCATCATCAACAACATCCTATGCAACAGCCCAACGGCTTGCCTTACGGTGCGATGGGACAACCTCAGCACAATCCTCAGTTATACAATCCAGGTTATATGCCTCGACATGACGACCAAAATGCGCTGGCGGACGACAACTTTGGCGCCATGAGGCCTAAGAACGAAGGGACAGTCAAAGCATTTCCTTGCAGCGTGTGCCAAAAAGGTTTTGCGAGACGAAGTGATCTGGCAAGGCACGGTAGGGGAAACTCTGTATTCTGCAAAGAGCTTCGCTAACGGTGACAGAACGGATTCACACTGGCGTCAGACCTCATGCTTGCGATCACCCAGGCTGTGGCAAACAATTTATTCAGAGATCCGCCTTGACCGTGCATGCAAGAGTACATACTGGAGAAAAACCACACATGTGTGAACGATGCGGCAAGGTAAGTGTCACAAGATTGATGCCTTACCACAACGAATCTTGCATAATAACGTGTCTAGCCCTTTTCCGACTCCAGCTCTCTTGCGCGACATAGGAGAATTCACTCTGGCAAAAGACCATACAAGTGCCCCTATGCAAATTGCCAGAAGACCTTCACCAGACGGACGACTCTGACAAGGCATCAAAGTCACCATACAGGCACCATTGAGCAAGCGGCAGCTGAAACTAACGCCAAACTATCGACCACTCAACCTCAGAGCCAATCCATCTACGGGTCCACGTCTGGCTCGTCGAGAAACTCCACGGCGTCACCCGCCGATAGGACGCTCTCAGTCTCGCCGAACTCTGAACTGCCTCCTATGGCCAATGGAATGCAACGTCAAGGGTCAGACTACGGATACCTTCCCCAAAGTCACGGCCTTCCTCCGCATATGCGATCCGATTTTCAGCAGAATGCGTCCCGCTCATCACCCTCTCTGAACGGTCATACCCTCCAGAACTACACGAGCGCGCCTCAACAAAGACCAACCACGTCGCATCCGACCACATATGGTCCACCCCAACCTTTGGAGCCTCCTGCCAATGGAACTGGTAGTGGCAGCGCTTCCCCTCACTTGGGAGCATTGGGATGGGGCTCACCGAGTACTAGCACTCTACCTAATCCACCGGCTATGGACAATTATTCTTACCCCGATGCGGGCTATGCGAGTCATCAACTCTACTATCCGGGAAGCAGCATTCGGAGGCCTCAGAGCACTGAGCCTGAAGACTATGGAATCCGCCCTCGCCATCCTCACATGGCCCATCACGTGCCTCTTACGGCAGACTGGAGTGCGATGCCACTGGCCGTTCAGGATAACCGGCAAGAACGATATGTGATGTAGAGCGCACGTATGTTGAACCTGGACCCGCTCTGAAGAAAGTTTCAAGAAATGTTGCACGAGCTCAAATACGGGCAGATTCAGCGATGGAGTCTCGAATTGTTCGATTGACCGGCCCTTCCGAACTTACCGGGAGAAGTCAAGATGCTCAAAACGTCAGTCGCTACTCATGATACCCCTCAAAAGGTCATTTTTGTTCATCGCGGCCCAATGAAATCGGAACCTCACAATTTTCACTTCTTATCTGTATGATAATGACCAGTCCCATTAATTGAGGCAAAGGAAGTGGGTCGAGTCTGGCCAGGTTTGAAAAGATCTGTACAAATTGGCATCGAGCAGCAAGGGAGTTTGGCGGTGTGGGACTCAACGAATTCGGAGCAGCAGTGGCTGGGAGACCGACGCACAGACACACTGGTGACCAAGGCGCAATACGCAATACTGGCCAAAATGGATGCTACGATTTTTTCAGGATTCTGGAGTGGTTCTGGTTGAACGGGAATGGGTAACATCATCGGGAGGGACAACTCGAAGCGGGCCTTTTATGCGAACACTATTAGTTTTATCGATTGTCGCACTTCAATTCAAATTGTCTATACTTTTTCGGTCATGGTTGATCAGCCTGATCTTCTGCCACGGTCGATCTGGAGTCGGACTTTTGCGAAGGTTGCTTTGGCCACCCGAACGGATCCATACCTGAATTGGTCTCTTGAGGATTCTAGGATTCACAGAAGTTGGCAATGAAGATGGTCCTCACTCGACGGGGTTGTTTCGGGCGAGCTTGACTTTCATCATGGATGCTACACTCTCTAATCCGATGGGCTCAGCTGGAGACCCGCTGCAGACTTTGTCGCCGTCTCGGCTTGCTCTGGTGGCAAGAAGGCTCAACTGTGCTCTCTGATGCGAAAGACTCCAACACGAGAATCGCAATTGGCTTGCAGTGAAGAGAGCGCGTGCAGGAAGGATAGGATGAGAACAGCCCGGTGAGTGGAATCTCATTGAGGTTTGCCTCTTTGTTCAGGATCGTACACATCCTTGACACCCTCAAGGTCAGAAGACAGTGTGCAACTCTAAAATCATTATGGGAAAGAAATCATGTGCGAAGGTTTCATAGGCCTATGTGATATTGACGATGATTCCCTCAGAACGAAAAGCTCTTTACTTTCTAGTCGATGACCCGCTTACTGAGTCTGTCCCTGCTGAAGCTTCCATGTGCATTTTACGTTCAATTTGTCTCACAACCACTCTTTTCTTACACTGTTCACCGATTTTACTAGACATATCTAGCATGCTCGGTCACCTTGCACATTTGTTGGCCACGGTTAGCCCTCGGATTCATCCTTACTCTTCAGCCTTGTCAACCCCCATGAGTACCAGGGCTGAGAGTGTTGCTCTAGCAAACAATCTCATCATCAAAGCGACCGGGACCAACAGGGCGGTGTTTTCCTTCTGTCCCTCCCGTCTGAAGCGTTCCATTGCCTTTTTTTTTTCCCTTGCTCCTTTTTGATTGTGGTTTCTACCGTCCATTGTCCAACAGATGCGGCGCAATGACTGCCCTCATATTGTGTCTAATATCGTGTGTTATCTGCAGGAGTGGAACATGCGAAGATGGTTTGTTCTGATTGTCTCTACCCGTGAGATCCTTTTCTCCTTCTCTGCCTCTTCATTGCTCCTGTGTATTCTAAAAGTCCAGCAGCCTCTTCACCCGCTCCCCATCCAAATATCGAAATTCCTGCATTGCGATTCCCCTTTCCCTCCCACTCCTCCTCCTCCTCACATTAATCTCATGTCCATCATTTAAATTTCACATCGCAGCAAATTATTCCTTGGAAGGATGGCATCGCCGGGTTCGCCAGCAGAGACTCTACTCACCACTGAGCCTCGCATTTAACTTCCGAGCCAAAACGACACGAGGAAAATCAGGATGGGCAACAAGAAGACAGCGTAGATGGGGACGAAGCGAGAGATTTTCCTGAAAATACATAGCTTAATATTGACGTGCAAACACAGCCGTCCCTTGTCAGTCTATCTCGGCCTGTCCATCTCCAAGAACAGGGGAGCTGCGAAAATGAGCAAGACGGGGACAACGAACCTGGAGAAAGCGAGTACTTCGTTCTCGGGGAGTCATCTACAATACCTTACACATTATCCAGTTCTTCGGGCATTTGAGCAAGTTGATGAACAAGGTTGCACCATTCACCCCTTGAGGACGCCTTTCAAGAATCTGAGTATGACAGTACTGACGGTGAATCAGATTCGCTGTTACTAGCTCCAGCACGCAGGAAGCCGCCTTCACTGATTCAAACGCATGAGGATCACCGGCCTCTGTTTATAAGAACACGACCATTATCTGCAGCACTTCCATCACAATCCACTCCAACACCTACACCATCACTCTCAGCGCAGCCTTCTCCATCCCCTCTGCCAGATCTTGCAGAGCCTGAACTAGGTCCAAACTACAATCCTATCCCTTCTACACTCCGCTTCACAAGGCGGTCCTTCTCATCTTCCTCAACCCTCTTCCTACCCAGTCGTTCACGACCATGCCAACACAAGGCCGGGCACCGAGTCCTGCTCCAAGTTCAGGTCAAGCAGGCCCTGGAGCACCACCATCAAGTCCCCCACGCCCTCTCAACCCACGGGCTGAGTTGACAGAAGAGCAAGCCCGAGCGATCATGGTGAACGACGATGACTTCGGGGCTATTCCTATTGAATACCGTCGGAATTCTCCCCATATTCTGCACAGCAATGACTTCCATGCGCGGCCAGCATTCATTCCAAACACAATGCCAGTATTATCACCATCCTTTCCCCCTCTAGACGTGCATCCGGGCTTCATGTCACCACACGCGATCCCTGGGTCCAGATATGGTCATCCTCAACCACAGCAACCACCAACAGGCCCATCACAAAGCCATGAACCCTCACGTGGTTGCAATGCCCACAACAATATGAATGTGAATAGCAATACCACACATACATCGCGGTCGCCTGGGGCTTCTCATTCTCTCCTGCCAGCCTTCGGGACATCTGCTCGTTCTAACCCTCTCGGCCTTACCACCGCCCTTGCTTCTCATGCTCCCATATCCCCTTCATACACACGTGGACGCACACAAGGTGTTGAACCTGGCTCTACTCCAGGCCAACGAGTCGGACGCATCTGTAGCCCAGGTGCGAGCTTGGTCGACAATCAGCATCCTCAGGGTTCAAATTCTCGCCCTGTTCAACGAGCGGCAGGAGCCGGTGTTGGTCGAGCAAACACTCACCCTACTTCTCCTATTGCTCCTCAAGAGGAAATTCGCGGCGACCGGACCCTGCCGCTGGATGTCGGCCCAAGATTCTGTCGTGTTCAACAGCAGTCGTCCACAGGAACCGCCGACAATCAACAACTTCCCGCGGAAAATCGGCCATTAGCACCGCATGCTGATGTAGTTCGAGGTATGCTCGAATGGCCGACCTCCCCGTCGACAACAGTGCTCGGCGTTGACTGCTCAGACTCCGGAGGACGCTGGCGCTGACGATCGTGCAGATAAAGATACTGATGCCGACGCTGATGGTGATGGCTCTTATGGAGTGTGTTTTGATTGTGATGGCAAACCCGGTGCATATTGAATGGTGCTACGAGGGAAAAACCTTGATAATGGATGGGACGTTGTAGAAAATTGAGATGAAAAGAGGCGATTTGTTCAACACAGGACTAAAATAAATTGGTGATGATACGACATGGCTGGCTAGTCGTGTCCATAACATGTGAGGGAAAGCATGAGAATTTGCATTGAACTTTGACTCGAGCTGGAGATGCAAAACCTGTATGAATAGGTCAGTAAAGAGCCAGGGAACATTATGAACTGAAAAATTAAGACCGGCAGCGGCAGTCGACAGGGAACGAACAGCTTCAGGAGGCCCCCATAATCAAAAGTCAGAGACCAAGTCAGAGAGGAGCGCAGGAACGAAGGATTGGATACTCAAGGGGGAGAAAGAAATGGCGTAGAAGAGACAAGAGTCAGTTGAACGTATCCATTCCGTACCACGCTCCATAGAATGCAAAACAAACAAGCGCCAATTCGTTCTGTCAGTCCATCGATCGTCATTCCCTGAAGCTCAAGTTTTCAGCCCATTCCATGTCAATTTCCACCACCTCGATAGAACCAATGTTTCAATTCGGTGGTGTAAGGAGAATTGAATTCTTTTTGTTTGTTCCAGCGGTATGATGAATAAATCAAGCTCAATTCACAGCCCCCATGCTAACCCCTCTATGCGCCTTTTCATGTCTTTCTTTTCTTCTCTTGGGAAGATTCGTCATCAACCATGATTGGGCCGCTTCTTGCTTGTTTGCTCACCCATCCGATAGAATATGAAGTCCCTTTCGCGTTGAAATGTGTATTTCATATATGAAATGGTCACGTCGCATTTATGCCGTATCTTGTCTTTGGAAAAGACGGTGAGAGAAAGAAAAGTAAGGTCGACTAGGACTCGGTGTAGAACTGCTTCATGAGACCATTGACGACCTCATAAGCCCGCTTGGCTTCGGCGATGCTTTCCCCAATGAGTCGAAGGCATTTCTCTTCATCAGGTTCATCGATTTCGCCGGTCTCATTCTTCTTGTGGCCGTAGTGCTGAATCTTCTCGCATTCGTCCTTGACTTTGGTGAACCCTAATGTGGCAGAAGATCCTTTGAGGAAGTGACCGAGGCTAGAGAGTTCTGGGAGATTCTTGTCCTTTCTGTCAAGAGAAGATGGTTAGTGGTCTTGTGTTGAAAGGGGTTGATAGCCTTGTGCGCCGAAATGGTCGTGACCCACTGGGGAGACGCCGAGCCCCAGGTGAGAACTCACATTGCGGTGTCCATCTTGCCAAAGGTCTGTTCAGCCTGCTCAAGGAATCCAAACACGATAGACTTGCTGAAGTCACGATCGTCCTCTTCGTCCATGTCAAGGATCTGCTCGAAGGTGGCTTTGTCAACATTGTCGCCGAAGTCGAAGTCTCCCTAGGAGCGAGCAACAGGGTCAGCAAAGTGTACTGAGAGTGAAAGGTAACTTGTATTGCATTCAATCCGTCGGCACCGCTGGGCAAGTGTCCAACGAGGCTCCGCGCCACTGTCCAAGCAAGCAATCATTTTTGGGTGGTCGCTTCGACTTTTTCACTTACTTCGTCGGACATGTTGACCTGGGTCTGGATAGACTTAGGGTGTGCTGTGATGATCCAAGACGTCAGAGAGGGAGTGAACTGGTTCAATGAAGCGAGTCGGTTTCAGGTGTGACGAATCGGTACGTGCGTCGTTGTCGATGGTGCGGACTGCAAGGAGTGCAGTAAACGAACCCAGGGGACCCACTAGGGGTGTATGCTGTCGGCACCTCGACAGAAGGCGGTCTCGGAGGCGGCCTACAAAACTGCCAGTACCGTGTTAGCATCATGACAAAGAATTGCGCACCGACAATTGATATGTGTCTCATGAGATGTCCAATGACAAAACAAGGACAGGCCACCAACCTGAACTCCCCACGCCAGATAAGGCCCAAACGTGGAACCGAGGCAGAACAAGGCTAGATGGAAGTCCCTCAGAGTAAGCAGAAGAACAACTCCTCTACGAAAACAAGGTGTGTTGGAATGGAAAGAAAAAGAACCTCGCCGGGATGAAGGAAGACTCTGGGGTGTGAAATTGACGAATTCCAAGGAGGGACATGACGTACAGCCAACGTTCGATGTTGCTGGCGCTGATCAACGAAGCTTGTTTCAAAATACACCCCCTCAGTTCCTCGATCCAATCCGACAAACAAAACTCTCTGGGAAATAGAGTCACGATAGTCGGGGTCCGTACCTAGGTCGACAATCCTCGAATTCTGAGGCTGAATTGCTGCGAATGATATCAGGAATAGGCCAGGAGCGGGGGCCACGGCTGCTTGCTGGAGGTCAACAGAGGGACGGAAAAAGAAAAATAAGAAAAATTCAATCATCCACACCCATCGCTCATGCGCATCCAGGATAACATACCAATCTCGGGGCTCAACCTCTTATCCTCTGTCTCGGCTCGACCGGCTCCTTCCAGCGATACTGCTGTAGACGAGCGCGAAACCGCCCCAAGATCTCTCTCCGGCGGTGCAGATCAACCACGATCGAAGGCCGTTGGAACGAAGCGAAATCCCACAACGGCAAAGCGACGGTGTATATCACATGGAACAAGGGTCAAGGCCCTTGGACTTAAACGGAAGATGGGGGGAAAACCTGTCCTGCCTCATACATACACCTGAAAAGATATTCTAGCTGTTTAGCTAGGCTCAAGGGGAAATACAAACACGCACAAACGATCAGCGAATAAAGGGAGGACTCAAAAATGCGCTACACAGTGAGTACTCAAACTCCAGTGACAGGTTCGCTGGCAAGGTCCCAAGAGTTCCTCTGCCCGCCACCACACCCGTTCTCGTGCCAGCCCTTCTCGGTAAGCTCGCGGGCGGCGCTGTGTGGGGTCTACAGAGTCGGGAAGCAAGTCAATTAGTTCAACTCTCCCTAATCACGCCTTTTAGAAGTTCATGCTTGCGCAAACTTCGGGGTGGGATGGTGGTCAAAAACGAGCTGTGGCATCTATCTCAACACGACTTACCGCCGTTTCCCTGCAATATCTGTTGGCGAGTGTCTCTGCTGCAAGTCCGTATTTAGAACCTGCGCAGAACCCCAAACCACGAACAGCCGCACTGCTGGGTCCGTCCCCGACAGAGCTCGCATAGACGTGGAACACGGCAGATCGACACTGATACCGCTTGAATAGGGAAGCTGACAGCATGCTTGTGTGCAACGACAAATACGTTCCCGGCGATGGTCAGTCCACCTCCTGCGCCGCTGGCGTTAACGTTTCAACGGGGGAAAAACGTTGCCGTGCGCCGTGGACCGACCTGGGGCTGGCGTTTTTGACGTCGAATTTTCGCCAGTGTGGTTGGCCCTGCGCGATGACGTCGTCGAGCATCTCAGGGTCCCAGCATTTATCTCATTGTAGCGAGATGAGGCACGAGTCACCAGCTCATGGGCAAAAAGCAAACAGTGAATATTATGAAGGCCGTGAGATGGGATGTTCTGGCTAAGCGGCGCTTTTTGGCCTGTCTAGACCCCTCCATGCATCTGCTCCGGCGCTGAAACTGCAAGAGCAGGATGCAGACCAAGCAAAGGGGGGACTCTCTTGGTGGCTCAACACCTGGGAGCAGATGATGTCAACCCGCAGTGGGCACCCACTCGGCTCCCATCCCACATCAGTCTAGCTCGCGCCGCCAAAGACCTCTTGAGATGTCGGGCCGGGCGGATGGCGATATGCGTCCGAATCATTTTTCTCCCCCACTTTATCGCAAAACCACTGCACCCGGGATAAACGGCATGGTTTCCAACCACGCAATTTGGCCGTTGTCCAAAAAAACAAAAAACAAAAACAAAGATAAAAGCTCGGGGTCAACGACAAGAAAATGAGGTCGACAGCATCCATGGGGACGAATATGATTATGATCAAGAATGAGTCGAGCGTACCTGAGATCAACTGTGAGTGAATGCGATCGAATAAAAGGGAATTCCAGCATTTCTCTACTTTGCTAGGACTGCCTATTGCCGAAAAGAACGAAAAGGCAAAATAATCCAGACTGAGCAAGTGCCATCGTTTTCATGGACCATGGTGCCTTTGGTAGGGGAATGGTGGCCGGGGGGAAAACGGATCCTTTCCTTAGCTGCAGCCGCCCACATGGTCGACGATTCCTGTATGGCGGCACGTAGGTTACCTAGTAAGGTACTCATGCCACGGCTCGTTGCTGGCGAACCACGAGTCAAAACATCAAACAGGGCATCTATTTGGATTTTTGCGTCATTGGGACTGGATACCAACAGGACGTGTCCCGTCATTTTCATAATCCAGTGGCAGGCCCAGTCCCCGGTTACCGACCACTACCAGGTCAGGACCGTGATATGCAACAGTAACCTGCACACTGCACGGCAAGAATCTACTTCTCCAGTGGCGTGGAGGCAATCAATCGAATCGAATCCCGCCTGCTTGGAACATATCATGTTGCTCCTTTTTCCATCCGCTGGTGACTCTGATCAAGGACATGTCACTGTTCCAGGCAAGACCTCTATGCCACATGGCCAAAAATATCGGTCGAAAGATACCCTGGCACATTTCGGAGATCTGGGACTTATTAATTGCTTTCCAGATATAGATTATAGTGTAGAGAATATGTTTACCGTAACTCATAGAACCTGGATCCATGCATACGGAGTACGGACGTCCTGTACGTGGCCCGAGACGATCAGTCGACAACTGCCGGGGACAAGGAGAGGAGCATCCGGGACATCAAATGATCTGGGTTCCTTTCGTTTCTTCGTTGGAGGAGTCAGTCCAGAAATACCCACTTATTCTTCAAGTCTCTATTCTGGCGATCTTTACCTATCTGTCCAATCTGTTTATTTTGCACCCTGTCGCATCCAATCAATGCCATGATGACAAGAAGATGGACGTTTTTTGTTCTTGCTTTGGCAAAAAGAATCCCTTGGTGGCCGCTATTCCGAGTATCAGTGATCATTGCGCAAGGTACAGTCTCCTGTCAGTATCGCACTTCGCTCCCCCCCCTACCCCTCTCTTTCGTATCCATTCACTTATCTAATTGCAAAAATACATTTTGTTTTGTCGGGTGTTTGTCGGGGTCTAGATTTTCTCTTCGTTTTCCTCATCGGACAATAGATAGGAAAATATATTTAGCCAGTGACTTTGAAGATGGATTCAGCAAGTCTCTTGACATTGCCGGTGGTGATGCCGGCCACAGAGATACGGCCGTCCTTGGTCGCATAGACGGAGTGTTCTTTGGCCAGGGTATCCATTTGTTCGGATGTGAGGCCTGTGTATGCGAACATGCCGATCTAGAATTCAAGGTGGGGTATGTTAGCACGTATTTGGTCTATTAAGAATAGTATATCGGGATTGGTATAGAAAGTTTGCCCATTGTAGCGCCCTTGTGCACGGAGGTGTTATATTGTCGCGCAACTCACCTGGTTAGTGATATGATCCCAGTTATGCTTTGAGCCGAGTTCTTCAAGGTTCTTCTTCAACAGAGCTCTCATCTCGATGATCCGGTCGGCCATACCCTTTACCTCGCCGAGCCACTGTTGGTTGAGCTTGGGGTCGTTGAGGATCTCGGAGGCAATACGCGCACCGTGGATAGGGGGGTTGGAGTAGAGCGGGCGCACGAGAATCTTGATCTGTGAATCCACACGCTTCTTTTCCTCGGCGGAATCGCACACCACGCTGAATGCGCCGACTCGCTCGCCGTACAGACCCATGTTCTTTGCAAATGACTGCGCGAGCACCAGACCGTGTCCTTGCTCAATGAACATGCGCACAGGGTATGCGTCTTTGTCTGTGTCGCCTGATGCAAAACCCTGATAGGCCATGTCGAAGAATGGGTAATGTTCCTTCTCCTTCATCACGTCGCTGACACGTCGCCATTGTTCCGGGGTAGGGTCAATACCGGTCGGGTTATGCGCGCAGGCGTGCAGCAGAACCATGGACTTTGCAGGTGCGGCTTTGAGGTCGGCGATCATACCATCAAAGTCAAGTCCGATTGTGTCTTTGTTGTAGTACTTGTATTGCTTCACCTCGAGCCTAGAGTCGGAGAAGACGGCCTTATGGTTTGCCCATGACGGTGTCGGGATGTAGATAGTTTTGGAGCCAGGGTAGAAACGTTCAAGGAAAGCACCACCTATTCTCAATGCACCGGTGCCAGAGATGGATTGTGTAATGGCAATGCGATCTTCCTTTAGAGGAACTGAGTCGGGACCGTAGGCAAGCAGGGCTGCGGCCTTGGTGAAGGAAGGGACACCTGTGATGCCAGCATATTCTTTGTCAAGGCTCGAATTAACGACTTTCTGCTCGGCGGTGCGGACGCTGGGGAGGACATAGGGTTTGCCTTTGTCGTCGCCTAGGTAGAAAATTGAGGGTTAATTGAGCGGATCATATTTGTCGACAAGGAGAAAGCACTGACGATATGCGCCGACTCCAAGATTGATCTTCTCAGCGAAGCTGTCTCTCTTGAAAGCCTCCGTGATACCCAGAATAGCGTCGGGAGGACCTTCTTTGACAGCGGCCCATGTTGAAGCGTTAACGATGCGTACGGTCTGGGTCGGAACTCGTTGTCGGATGGCTGATCGAGCCACTGGTCGCAGGGTGGAGAGCATGATGGGTGGGTAAACAAATCAATCAATGATTCAATCTAAGCTCGAGAGAAACTGAAGATCCTAATCTATGCAAAGAGAAAAAGAAAGAGACGTCTAGGCGGAATGGACTTGAAGAGAAGGTATTCAATCGACGCAAGGGGATGAAGACGAAAGGTGAAGCTCTGGCGTCAAATTCGGGAGGGATCTCCCCCCCCCCCAAAAAAAATTTAAATAGCTTCGTTCCGGGGGGCGAGCTCCGAAAATCGTGGGATGTATAGTAGCAGAGCCTGCGGTGCTAATTTCATGAACAGGCTCCCTGGATGCGTACCACTCCAGGCCCCCTTACGTTTCCGTTCAACCGTCCAATAAATTGGCCTCCTGGTTTAACGTCCCGAAGCGGGCATGGTGTTTCTACATTGTTCAGGCCAACCGGACACCAGCCTCTTTGTTCTTCTTTCCCATGGTGCCTTGAGCGTTATTCATGCCCGTCGCCTTACTGCTGTCCAGAATACTGGCCGCCTCTTTCTTCTTCTCCTCAGCAATCTTCTTGAGATGCTTTTCCGTCTTCAACTTGCCACTACCTTTGCCATGGAATTGATGACTGAGATGCTTGAATGCTTCCTTCTGGTTCATCAACCGACCATCATCATCGACGTATTTGATCTGCACGTCTGGCTTATATTCGCGATTGAAAGTAGCAGCCGCCTGGATCGAACTTTGGTGTTCTCGTAAGGTGTTCTGTCGTCGAGCATGTTCCTCTCGTTCCTTAACGGACATACCTGTCAACTTTCCAGACTGTCGTTCTCTCTCTCGCTGCATTCGAGCCTTCTGTTCGTTTTCATGCTCCCGCAAACGAGCTTCGATAATGAACCTTTGTCGATCTTTGTAAAGAGCTGTTCTATCAGAAGCATCACCCTCTTTCAGGATTCCACGCTGTCGAAGAAGGCTGAGAGCTGCTCCAACGCCCTGATCCAGGGTTTTTTCCTCGTCGAGACCAGAATGCGAGACTTCAGGAGTCTGTGTTGTTCGCTCCCGTCGTAGTCTGTCCAAGAGTTCTTCTTCATTCTCAACGCCGCCGTATGCTTCTCCCATATGGTGATCTCCATCTTCTTGTTTCACTCTAGGAGGACTCTCTGATTCGGGCTGTTCCACAGATTTCTTCACCTCCCTCTCGGGTTGCTCTTCTTTGGGGCGCGAGGACAGATTATCAAGGAACACCGCGGTGTCATCCAACACCAGACCTCCGTTCACTTCTCCTGCTGTCTCAGGCTCGTCGTTCTCCACTTGTTGGAGCTGCTTAATGATATCCTCGGGTCGGCGTTTCTGCTTTTTCAATACCGCTTTTCGGTTCCTGGACAGGGCAGATACTAAATCGTCGTCGTCATTGAAGTCATCCTGCGTCGTCCAGGCTTTGAGGGCAGGGACAGTAGTTCCGGAATCAATTCCGGTGGAATCACCGTTGGTGTCATTCCGCATTGGGAAAATGTCATCATCGTCATCCACGATCCTTTGTTTCTTGGATATCTTCTTGGCCTTTTTCGGTTTCTTCATTTTGATTTCCATGTAGTCCGACACCGGCTCCTCTTTCAAGATGTCGAGACTGACAATGTTTTTCCACTTCTCCCCAATGTGCTGACGTTTGGCTTCTGGTTCTTCCAAAGTAGAGCCCTTCCCGTCCAAGGTGAACGCCTTTCGTTTCTTCTCATCGTACTGCGATAGCAAGCCCTTCTCCGAGTCATCATTGACATCGTATGCTTTTCGTTTCTTTAGGTCTAGTTTCTCCTTGAGCTTGTCCCGGGCGAGGATATCTGCATTCTCCAGTATGTCTTCCTGATCACTCTGGTCGTCTGCCCCGATTTCAGTATCTTTCAGGGTCAAGATCTGTTCCGAGTCTCCATTCTCAAAATCGCCAATCTCGTGAGCGACTTGGACACCCGCGAGGTCTTTTGAAGAGTATTCGGCAGCGGCTTCTCTTTCGCGCTCGGCCAGCTCTCTGGCGAGTCTTTCAGCTCGATCTTGTTCGATCTTGGATTGTCTCTTCTTTTGACCTTTCAGCCAAGCCTTGGTATCTAAGTCACCCGCATCGTCAACCTCTCCCAGCCCTTTGCCTTCGAGTCTGAAGCGCTTCGCCGCAGCGTCTCTCTCCTTGAGGAATTGTTGTTTTCTCTTTTCCCGTTCGATGCGTTTCTTTTCTTCTTGACGCAGTTTATTCCAATTCTCATATCCAGCGGCTTCACGGGTTTCCAACGTGGACGCAGGCTCATGGTCGCTGCCGTCTTCGTCGTCGCTTGGAGAACGTTCTTTGAATGTTGGTCCCTCAGAGGCAGGTGGAGGTTGTCCACTTACGTTCAGTAACGGCAGGCCCAGGCTCTTCCTGAGCTTGTTCATCTGCTCGATGTCTGCCATGGTTGATTTCAATGGCGGGGAAATGCAACGATAGGATGGAAGATTTTACTGAAGACTTCGAGTTGTTGGTGAATCAAATATAGCAATTTAGCAGCGTCGTCAACGATCGCAGGCCAAAAAGAGACTGGAAGCTGAAGGCAGCCTTTCCGAATCAGGTATAGCGATTGGAAATCAGGGCAACACTACCCGCCGCTTTTACGTCATTAGCAGCCTTCGCAGCCCGGAGAACTAGGAACTGGGCATGGGGTCAGTCATGGAACCCATTTCTTCTTGTTTCTGAAGGACAAGAGGAACCGATCACAGGGCACATGAGGCTAAAGGTTGATGTGCATGGAATTGCACAACTATACGGCAATGCCGAGACCTCCACCGGCCATCCTATACTGGGGCATCCCAGTAGTCTTGATCAGCAGCTCAAATCCCGATGGAACTGTCAAAATAGGTCGTCCGATGGCATCAGCATGGTAGCTGGGGCACGGCTGTATGCTCGGTCTCGACACGAATAACAGGCATCGACCCTGTCCCTGAATCCCAAACCAGAGGATGTCACGCTGTCAAGGACATTGACGACATTGCCATCCAAACATGTCGCTGCTCCGGGGATCAAAGAGTATCCGGTCGTGATGGAAGCGGAAGTCGTCGCCGGGCACGAGATGTAAAGGAACTGAGCAGTTCAGGGTCTAGTGCTCGCGATTGAGGTGAGGATTCTTCGTGTGAGTATACATGAGAACCTCAAGGTGGAAGAATGCCGTAATCAGGTCAATGCGGATAAGTGGAAGTTCATGATCATGAAGAGTGGGAAATTGGATAGCAGAGATCGAGTAAATAACGGCAAGATCCCCTTCCCAAAACAGACTAGACTCGCGTGTCATCCTCAAAAAATTATCCTTTTTCTGGCATCCCATTTCTTCTCTTCCTTTCTTTTTCATCAATATAGTTCTGTGTCCAACGATCCCTTTCCTCCTCACCTCGTGATGGAGTGCTAAGGTCGATCATTGCGACGTCCATCGACTACCTCAGCGGAGCCATTACTGCACTTCCATTAATGTCTTTCATCCCGGTCGACAGAACTAAGAGTAACCCTAGAACCTTTGCTGAACGGCCTACTTTGAGCTCGCCCCGAGACACCGCTTGGGTTGAACGGGGTTTGATTAGCTTGGTAGGTCGAAAGGTCCAATGGGAGACGTCTTATTCCCAAGCTTGGTGCGAATCCTCGTCGAGGAATGATTATTGGGCAAAACCAAGGCTGTAGTCTACAAACATCTCCCCCTCTCCCGAAGGATTGATCAAAATGTACACGGATGAGAAAGAGATGTGATGCAGGAGAGAAGAACATTGACGTGACACAGAGAAACAAAATCGGATCACACTGAACCCAACTTTCTCGCAGCAAGCATTGAATTTCTTTCATTCTGTACTCTTTTTGTCTCATGCCGCACGCTCTGCCTCCGAATACCCATCAGCTTGCGCTGAAACCTGCGCCGAACCGTTGCGTTGACGATGTCCAGATCTATTCCAAACGCCACTCATCCCTTGTGACTTTCTACTGCCTCTACCAACTGGTCAACCCTCTCTCCCTGTCAAATCCACCTCTCAACTGCGTCTGCGGCTTAACCACCTTCCCCTGCAACACCGTATACCTCACAATATTCTCACAATCCTCCGGCCTGACCCTCGCCAACCAAATCAACTGCACCGCCTCTCCCCTACTGTCTTCTTGCCGCTGCCGCCGATAAATCATCACATTGGCACTATATTTGTGTCCTCCGACATGGTTGATGAAGTATATGCCCACGCCGCCTGGACGATCGTCTTGCAAATCTCGGTACAGGCCCATGGGGCGCAAGATGCGTTCGAATTCCTTGCGGAGGAGTGGTGCGGATTGACCGCAACGCGCATCGCGGGTCTTATGACTGCACATGAGAATCAGGTAGGAATGAGGAATGGGACGGATTTTGAACGAGGAGGACATTGAGGCCGGCAGTGTCGTTGGTTCGAGTGTTGCGTTGTGGTCATTGGATTGTTGCTGCTCCTGCTCTTGCTCTGCACCTCCAATCTGCAACCCTGCAACATCTGGCAGCGTATTCTGACCGTCCTCTCGTGACGCTGTATTTGTTTCTGTCTCTCCATTCGGAAGATTTTGTTCCCTTTCTGTTTCCTTGTCTTTCTCAATCTCCGAACCATGTGCCTGTGCGTGTGCGTGCGCAAGTCCATTGACCTCCTTCTCCCTCTTTGTCAGTGGTGTCTTATTCGTCACACTCTTCTCCACGACCTGCCTAAGCAATCCCTCCACCTGACTTGGCCTCACCTTCTCCACCACCACCCACGCTGGCAGCAGTAAACAATCGGCCGTGCCCTCTTCCTCCCCCGGGCCATGACACTCCTCGCCACTCGGTAAATTACTCGCACTGAGCATCAACTTGCCATTCCTCCTCTCCAACCCGGCTTTGCCCACCGCATGCATCACAGATCCTTTCTCGTCCGTGACATCCCTCACCCAATCTGTCCGTCCCGTCCCGACGATTAAATGCGTATTCCATCCTTTCACGTGCCCGTACAATTTATCTGATTCATCAATGGAGAACTTTTTCGGATAATGCGTCGTGCACGAGTCACAGTCCCGAAGACATTCTCCGCCGTCAACATCGGGCCGAGTGGGCGTAAATAGTTCAGTCTCGGTCTTTGCGGTGCGGAACCCTGTCGAGTGTTCTAAATTTGCGGACGATCCTGTGGGTGTGAGGAAGGTCTTGACGCTCCTCAGTAGAGACATGCTCGTAAAACCGCGAGGTGTCGCTTTAGTGGAGCTTAACTGTTCCGCCTCGTGGTGACGGTATTGGTGACGGGAGTATTGGCGCGAGGGCATTTTGTTTCCGCCACGCAGGGACGGTTATTGTTCTTAAATGCGATAATTTAACTTGTTTAGGTTTGAATTTGGTTTTCGAGGGTACAGTGCGATATCCGGGATGGAGGCCCCTTGGTCTCCCGGTCTCGTACCCGCCCTGTATGCGGTGGGCAATGCCACAGGCCGTTGTACGTGTACAGAGTACGAAGAAGGCGGGATAATTCGTCGCAGAGTAGCAAAAATGTTTCGTTGGAGACGATCCCCCCACCAAGGCCGACGCCCATTCGAGTCTAATCAGATCAATCTTATCAATCAAACGGAAATTCTTCCGGCAAGTGTGTGGCGTTGTCCGTTTTCGCGTGTCTCGTGTCGCGCTTCCGGAAGTCAAGTCAATAAGGTACAATCTAGGTATTTATTCTCTTCGAAGCAACGACAACACGATGTCAGTGTTGAGCCAGATTCGATCGAATGAACAACACGGCATGTCGAATCCAGAGAAAAAAAAGGAAGTAAACTCTCAGTTGAAGGTCGATTCAATTCATTCCTACCGGAGGTGGGAGAAATCGTCGTTATCAACAACTGGCAGGCTCCAGTATTCTCGGTCCTAATCCTGGTTTCGACCGAAAACGAGCACATTTGACCTCGCTACACCGAGCCCCTTCCGCTTCCCCTTCCGCGACGAAAATATCTGCCCGATCTGAAATGAGCTGACGAAAGCCTGAAGGAATGACAGGGTAAAGAGACCCAGGGTGATCTGCAATGCATGTGGCATGGGGATCTACACAGAGTTTACACTGGTCGCCACGAGACGCATAAAGATCACATGCCTGCAGGTACTGTTGAGCCTCGCTTCCACTCAGGAGACGCTCGACGATTCAGGCACCAGAGCTTAACAATACCTTGTACCTTACCTACAACGCCCACCGGAAGAGCTCCAAACTCAGATCAAATCTCGCAGTGATACTGGTATGTCCAATGCCGTGATACGATATTCTTCAATTTGGACTCTCATTTCGCCCCCAAAGTTCCCACAGCTATTTCGTGTTGGCAGTATGTGATCCGTTCTCCACAAAATTCTCGACACATCCCTCAATCGGGCGCTCGCTCGAAGACAAAGATAGAAAAGATACACACATGCGCACACTCTTTTATACAAAGAGCCAGCCAGCCAGTTAACCAACCAAGCAGCCAGCAACCACAGAACATCCTTCCCTTCCTCACATTCTTTCTCAATTCGTAAAGTCTTTTTTCCTTCGGTACGACCATGAATCAATCGATGGATATGGATGGTCCTGTTTCGCATCATCTCTTAAACATAGCAGTAGTATCCTCCTTGCGCCAATCTATGTCCAGACTCGAATCGTAAACTCGCTCAATCACAATCTTCATCCTATCATGTGCGTGCGCATATCGAACCGCACACTCATCAAAGACCCGACCGATCAAACTCCTGCTCGAAGTCGTCGGCTCATCCGCATCAGTGAAATGCTTTTCAATCCGTTTCTTCAACGTATCCACTCCTTTTCGGATCTCCTTTGCGTCATAAGCCGCAAGGATCTTCTTCGCCGAACTTCGAGAATGGCTAGGTTTGCTCGCAATGTTGGCGTATGAATCGCTCGATTTCATCAATGCTTCAGTGCTTTCCAAGAAATCTAACCATTTGCCAAGCGGTCGTCGAATAACTGCATCAGTGTATTGAGTCAAATGCATGAATTGATCGCGAGAAGCTCGGTCCACCCATTCTTCCAGAATCACATTGTTATGAGTCTTGACTTCGTCCACAAAGTAATTCATGTTTTCAATCAAGAGAATGTGATAGTTCAACGCTTCCTTGTCCTCCGGGTCACCACTCGAAGGCGCATTGGAGTGTACTGCTCCACCAGAACTGGTTGGGCTATCTTTGGCGATGAAGTTGACAGATTCCCACATAGCTTTGAGAAGTTTCCCATATGCATCATTGACTATGAAGCGCACTTCAAGCGACTCATGGCGTGCGAATTCTTGTGGGATCATCTCCTCTACCGCCGCCGTAAATTCTGGGAAAACCCTCATGAACGAGATTAATCCCTTTCTCTTCTTGACCTTGACCTTGGTTTCCTCGATAGCCTTGACTTGCTCTTCGACGAATTTGTGGAAAAGGCCTATCAGTCTTTCATGAAGAGTCCGGACCGTCCGAGTGATGAACTCTTGGTTGGTCTCCTCATATTTGGCCAAACATTGCTCGAGAGAGACAAGAACACCAACACCTTGCAGTTGATCCATTTTAAAAACCCACTCCACCAGGGCTTGCAGGTCAGTGGGCCAAGACGAATAGATTCCCTCTGTGGCGTTTTGAACAATTTTGGCCATGTTACGGTCTGGATCATAAGCTTGTTTCGTCTGTAAATTGGGCAGTTTGCGCTGTTCGGGAGGCGGTGATTGAATCACCTCAGCAAAGTCGGCATTTGACTGCGAATCCAGGTGGAAGAATTGGACAATGAAATTCTGTTCTTCCGAGATGGCCATGGCTTGCTGTTCGAGTACGGTATCGAATACGGCCCATGCATCGGGTTTACCGTCTTGCTTGCCGCCAATTGGCTGTCTCAACGTACTGGCCTTTACTGTTTTACCTCGTTTCACAGTCAGCTTTCGTGCAGCCGTGGTAGTAAGTGACTCTTCCGCCTTTTCCTTTTCCTGATGGGTGAAGAGAATTTCCTGTTCCTCTCCCGTCGGCCTTCTGACTGTCTTTCTGAGACTCATCACGTAGTCTCGGAACTGTTCCTGATAAATGCTCTTTACACTGATTTCGTAACTGCTGATCAATGTTTGCCATTCATACTGATTGACTTCTCGTACGAAGAGCATCATGGTATTATACACCCAAAGTTCTTGTCTTGAGGTATTATTTGCTTGGAGATTGAGTGGGAGCGATGTTGCCGATGAAAAGCTCGGTGCGCTGGCTTCCTCGCTCGCGCGCTGTTCGGCCATCTGGAACATTGATTTCATGTGTTGGTTGAATCGATTCACGAACATCATACTCTCCTGTTGGTACTCCTCCTTCTTCTGTTGGACTGCCCTCATGCGACAAATCTCTGTGTCGGCATAAACACCAACACCAATTCGATTCGTAGCTGAAGCTGCTGCCTGACGCAGCTTATTTTGGCGAATTTCTGGATCGATCGTCAGCATTGCCCTGTAAAGCAAAGCCAAGGAGCGTTCAATGGCCTGAACACCGTCAAAATTATCGATGGGTGCAGCTTGCAATGCTCGAAGATCTCCAGAAGATATCGTCAAAGTTTTCAAGAGACTTTGCAATTCGGCCTGAAGCAATTTCTGGTTGGCGGTCTGCACTTGCAATCCTTGGCCTTGAGCTTCGATGTATTCAATGTCGTCATGAAGGGTGTCAAGCTCATGAGCGTACAGGGTCAACAGCCCGTCCAGTTCTTCGCACTCTGCAATTGCTTTGTCGAAAGCTCTAGCGAGTTCTTGCACTTTGTTCTCCTGTTGCTCCACATGCCCGAGCCAGCCGCTTGCCTGAGCACGACCGATTTCCCGGCGAATGTCGGTCTCGAAATCTTCCACCTTTTGCTGATTGGAAAGCTTTCCGTCCCATCCGAATTCGGTAAGGAGCTCGTTGAAATCTGCTCCACGTCCATCCACGATGCGTGGATCAATTCCCAAAGCCGCGCAGTTTCTTTCGACTTCTGCCTCAAGCCTTTGTCGACGTTTTCTCTGAGGAGAACCAGACCGGGCTTTGTCAGGGGATTCTGCTCTGGCTTCTTTTTTAGGGGAATCAGGGCCCACAGGGACAGCAGCGGGCGCAGGAGTCCCCGCAGCTCTGGGGACGGTATCTGAAGTGGCGGTCCGTTCGATTTGAACTCTTGGAACCGCATCGCTTGATAATGGTTTGGGAATTGGCTGGTCTTTTTCGATCCCGGGACTGGCTAACTCAGGAGTTCCGCTTCTTGCGCTGTCCGAACTCATGCCTCTTAGCAATGGTGCTGGAACGACACTCGTGATGCCATCGGGCTCATTCGACTGTTTCTCTTGCATCGCTTTTAACCGAGCACCAGCACCGCCTTGGCGAGGTTGGAATACGCTTGCGGCAAGAGCGGCTTTTCGGAATTGATTGGCAATGTCCTTTCCTGATTTCTTCTTAACCATCGGGCCTAGCCCGGGCCGATGCTCTTCTTCAACTTTTGGAGGAGGTTCATTTTCCGTTGGCTCAGCCGTCACAGGCTCGTTTGTTATTTTGGATGGCTCAGGCTCTGGCACGATGGGATCGTTGATAGCGGGCTTGGGTGGTCCAATGTCGTTCGCCGGTTGTTTAACCTCTTGCTGAGATTTCTTCGAGACCAAATAGTTCGGCTCTCGTTGCGGTGGCTCTTCCTCCTTCATACCACTTGGTGTTCCCAGAGAGGTTACAAAGGTGCTGTTGGTTTGACTCAGGGGACCCGGTTTCTCCGATTTCAAATTCGATGTACCTAACCTTGACTTCTTCCCGTCTGGTAACAATTCCAAATCAAGCGCCGGAATGCTAGGTGCTGCTCCTGAAATCTTGTGATCAGAAGTTGCAGTACTCGGCCTCGAACTGAATGTATCGCTGCCAGGGCCATTGCGGAACGAATCCTGACTTGCCGCAGGCCCCAGCCTTTTCGCGGACAGATCCAATCCGGCCGGTTTTGCAACTCCAGACCCATTCGGTTTAAGAGGCGGTGGCTCAAGAGATGGGTCATTGCGCTGAAGTGATGTTTGTGAGGCCCTGGGACTGATCGACGGCCGTGGCTGTGTGGGTTGTAAACTGTCAGAGAGCGATGGAGTACGAGCATCGTCTCGTCTGAGATGGGCACCATATGGCTGAGCGCGAGGACTCTCTTGTACTGGAGTTCCCCTATCTGGCCTTCCCGGAGTTCTGTTTTCGCTCTGAGATGGTGGACGTGGCCCATCTCGAGTGGTGGGTCGATAATCTTGACGCAGGAAGGCGCGGTTATCCTGCGCGTCGAAACGATTGCCATCTCTACTCTGAGAGGCCTGAGATGTGTATGGGGACTGTGGTCGGTTGGCACTAAGTGCGGGTACAGATGGCGCGGCTGAAGGAGTCGAGCGATCAGGTGGCATGATGGGGGAGAAGGCGGTCTTTTGAGTGGGAGTATTTTGAATCGATGGTACTCCAATCAACTGCGTTACCTCCTGTGGCGTAAAGCCGACGAGATCTGGGACCTTTCCACCGGTGTATTTTCGATATATTTTGATCAGACTGGCAATGAAAAAGTCCTTCTCTTTAGGGGTGGGTGCGGACCAGAAATACGGCTTCGCAAGCGAGATGGTGAAGCCGGTATTTGATGCCCATTGCTTTTCCATCTGCTGCTGGGGTGTAGTGGGCGTCAAGCCCGAGTATGATATGATCGTAGAGAGCTCGTCTAAATTCCAGGTCTTGCCGATTGAAAAAGTGCCATTGGCGTTTTCGCGGGCTTTGTGGACTCTGACCTTGCCGGACCTTCGGACCGCGACCAGAATGACTCTGTTTTTCTTGTTAGCCTCGGGAGAGTCGGGTGGAGGAGGCGATGATGGATAGGAGCCATCTTCGAGAACTCGGACGTGTGTGATGTACGACTCGAGTTGCATGCCATCAGGGTCTCTTTTGTTGAAGCAGCTCTCGATGATGCGCCGCTTTTCATCTTCAAAACGCGCCGCACGAGACTGGGTGGATTCCTGCTGTTCCGGTTGCCTCGTCACCGGTCTGTTGGCAGCAGAAGAGTTGTAATCACCATTTGAGAGCGGCGGAGGCTGTCGAGGCCCCGGGTAAAGTGGTTGCTGATTCATCGTGAGTTGACGCGGAGGTGGAAAGCATCATCTTCTAAAGACCAGGTAAGGAGGAGGCTCAGTCGTCATTCAAAGTATCAGGGGAGTCGGTGGAAATTGTGAACCTGGCCTGGTGGACAGCAAAGGTCTTCGTGCGCAGTCCAGAGGCGTGGTCCTGCTCGCTTCGGTGCGTGTACCAAAGTTGACTGCGTTTCTAGTAGAGGTGCCCAGGCTAATGGGTTTGGGAGGCCAGTCACCGCTAGGCGGCCGGCCATTGACGCATCCGGTCATTGGGCCGCCAATCCGATTCAAGCTGATCCTCTCTCTTTTGCATACTCCTATTCTCAGGCCTCTCTAGAAAACAATCCCGCTAAACAAGGATAGCGGACTTCCTACACTCTGGCCCCTGATTCAATTTTCCTCTGTACCACAATTCCATTAGTCCTATTCATTTTCCAATACATATCCCACAACTGCAATATCTGGCTGGAGTCTGACCGCTGGTCATCCAGAGTCATCACTTCCAACAAGAAAAAGAAAAAAAAAAAGAAAATTCACAGCCTGGGTAATCGCTTTCCGCAACCTCAAGACGCCCGGCTGAATAAATCAGTACACAAAAGTATCATGGTCATGTCGAAGGAAGACTCCTTTCTCCTCAGCCCGATCCAGTAAACAATCCCCTTGGAAAATTTCTCTTTCCTTTTACTTCCCAAACAATCTTTCACTATTCTCAACCATCCACATCACGGCTTCATTCTTCATTTTGGTATCGCTCAATTCGCGACTTATGCTCTCCGGTCTCATGATTGTAGGCGCAAACACCACCGCCATGTTCATACTGGTCATGAGATTTTCTTTTTCTTGCTGTACTACCCGCGCCAAGTGCTGGATGAGATACTCAAGTGTCTCGTAGTGAACTCGAGGTAGGCCTTCCAATGCCCGTTGCATGGCATCGACTCTATTTTCTCTGTCTGGAATTGTTGTCGTATCCAGGAGCCTGTCGTACACGTCATAGGTAATAAGTGGCACCGGTAGCCGTCGGAAGTATTGTTTCAGTCCAGACGTGACGGCGTGAATATCCAGGTCTGGATCAGAGATGTCGAAATCCTTGGAAGGATTCTCAAACCAGTCTTTGACTTGCTGTACTTGTGAATTGCCTCCTGATTTTCGGTAGATGCCTTCAATATCCATGCCTAAGTCGTGTTAGAAAATAGTGGAGAGGTTTTGAATAGTGCAGAGACATACCTCGAGATTCTACTTCTTCGACACATTTCCTCACAATCGCAGGAATAGTGGTCTTCTCAAATTCGGCACGTTGTTCAAGATCCGAGCCAAATAATTCTATTCCATATTAGTGTTGACGCGAAAGTGGTGAGAAGTTGACGCTTACGTGTTGCGGCATCAACCAACAGAGATGGTGTGCTGGCATTAGTCTGTGTTGCATACAGACCATTGGACCTGGGGGGAGCTTTCTGGTTGCCGAAGAAGCCGAAGCCACCCTGCTTGACAGGTTCTTGGTTATTCTTGGGCATATGGGAGTACTCCTGGCCGACAGTGTTCGAGCCATATGCACCCGTTTCTGCAAATTGCATCTCCTTGCTGTAGGTCTGCTGCGTGGAGGAGAAAGCACCCTTCAAGCCCTTGGTAACTCCCTTGGCAACCTTTTGTCCCTTTCTCCAATCAAACTTCTTGGGCTGGGCCTTTCTAATATTCACCATCTGGGGACCCTGCAGCACTGTTACTGGCTCTGCTTCACCTGCCTGTAAAGTGCTAGTTGAATCGATATTGGTCAAGTCGGTGGACATATTACGCATTTCCCTCGCCTCAAAAGAGAGATTCGACTTTTCCTTGTGGTGAGGGTAGATTCCCAGTCCGTTCACGGCAGGCTTGGGAGTCTCGGCCTGGGCTCCTGAATTGGCCTTGTACAATCCTTGGATCTGGTGGACCAGTTGGTTGTTGAGCTCGGCTAGCTGTGCATTCTTTGACGACAACTGCTCAAATTCCATGAAGCTCTTATCTTTCATTTGGGTCAGGTTCGCAATCTCGTCGACAAGATCATTCCGCTTTTGGATTGATTCTTCGATCTGAGGCGCAAAGGAATTCTTCAATTTCTCCAAGGCCTCTGCAAATTCGCGAAGAACGGTGTTGCTCAGCTTGGAAAGGTCGAATGGCTCCCCGCTACGCTTTGCAACAGCCAGGTGCTCGGTCAGAACCTCCAGCTCTCGAATCACGATCTCCTTTTGTGTGTCAAGAACAACCATGGTCGATCTCTTCTCCTTGAGTTCCGAATTCACTTGCTTGATGTTTGCGGCCGAGTCGAGTTGAGCCTCTAGCTCAGCTATCCTCTTCTCTCGCTCCACCGTCTTCTGCCTCTCTCGCCGAAGCTCATTCTTGAACCAGGTCAGTTCATCGCGGTTTTCAGGCGACGCAGTGCTGGGGCTACTGATTTCTTGACCAATGGATGAAGTCGGGACAGCGGGTGACCTCGGCCAGCGATCCCGCGATAGTCGTCCGGTCTTATCACTGTAGCTGCGGCCATGACGCACGGAATTCGAAACCCTCCTAAGGAATGATTCCTGCGTATTTGGTTCATCACCACCCATGATTCGGGCCATATCCTCATCCATCGTAAACTCCCCGCCTGCTGAATATCGTGGAAGGCCTGGTGACTTCTGGCCGTCAAGATATCTCTGGTTTTCGGAATGAAGAGTGCTGAAAGATTCATTGCGAACTCTCGAATGATCGGCAGGGGGTAATGGTGGTGCCCGAGGGTCCACAAAGGATTCATTTGGCCCCTTCGCGGTACTTGGAAGATCTGTTTGATTCACAGTATCATCGGTCGTGTCGAAAATGCTCTTGGAGTCGGGCGAGCCGATAGGGCCAGAAATTACCTTTCCACCGTTTGCTCTTGCGAGATCGGTAGGTGAAGTAATTGGTTTTTGGGAGGACGGAGTTCCATTGACAGCTCCGCTGAGAGAAGATGGAATGTGCGCTGTAGAATTGAATTCCTTCCTGGGCATCGTTTGGCCTCGCTTTGCGCTATCCAGAGAATCTCCTCGCTTTGGTAGATTTTGGAGCATCGTCGTCGCAGGCAGTTGCGCAGGTCTTGGAGATTCGGTCGTTCCACTATGAGCTGGACTCGAGTCACTCGAGAGTCGGGGTGTTGAAAAGCCTTGATCTGAGGGAGAACCTATGTCCGGCGCCGCCAGCGTTTTTGTGGTTGTCATTTGTTCCACAGGATCCTTAGGAGCAATCTCCGCTCGAGGAGTCGAAGCCTCTGATCGTGAATTGGGAGTCGATGCGGCCAATTTTTTGGTTTTGGGCGCATCTTGCAATTTGAACTTGTCATTCAGTTGCGCTTCGTTGGTACGAGCAAGTTGTGATAGACGAGGAGAGTCTTCCGATTTTCGAGGTTCTTCGGTAGGGACATATGGGGAAGCGCTAGCGGAACCCGACCTGCTCACGCTTCCGCCAGCACGGTGTCGCTCAATGATATCTCGCGAGGACTGTCGTCCTTTTTCTTGATATGCAATATGAGGACTTGAAGTGTTCGACTTCGCGATTGTTGATTGAGCCAAGGGTGGTGTTGGTCTAGTCGAGAAGCTCTCGTTGGGCTTCTCCTCAACGCCTCGTGGCGTTACTTGGTTTGAGATGCTGGGAGATTGAGTGGATGGTTGGGGTGTAGGATCAAAAGCAAGAGGAATTAAGAACTCCTCGCCACCTCCTGAAAAGTCTGAGCGTTGGGACGTCGTCGAATGTCTGTTATTGCGGAAAGTTGTCGAAGGGAGTGTGAGCATATCTAGAAATAAACCGGGTCAGCCTCTGGCATGGCAGGTCTAGACATCAGCTACTTACCGCGAGGAGGATTTTGATCCGCGGAGGAAGGCCGAGAGTCCGCATCTCTCTGCAATTCACTGACCGTCTTGCCCACCGAGGGGACGCCTGCTGCCGGTGTTTCGGCATAGGTATCAGGGTAGGGGGATTGATTGTCCGAGAGATATGCAGGTTTCCTGGCCTCCGGAGGGGGGATAGCCGGTAGCGATTTGTCCAAATGAACATTGTTTGAGGAGAGTTTGGAACGCGCGTTGGTGCTCTTTGCTGTTTTCTTGCGTCTTCTGGCCATCAATGCCTCATGGCAATCCATGCAAAAAATCCCTTGTGATGTCCGTGCATATCTTAAATTTTCTATCTTCCGCTTGCAATTCCGACATTTGAAGCAGTTTGCACAAAAGGCTTGATCGCCGGTCAAAATTGCGAGATCCTCAATCTTGTTACCGCAGTTACTGCAGCTGTATGTGCAATTGTTGCAAATGAGGGAGCCATCGCCGAGGAGAAGGAGATTCGCGTCGGAATCTAGGAGAGTGTTGCAAGTATTGCAGCGGAAGCAGTCAATGTGCCATCTGTTGCCAGCTTTACATTTGTTAGTGACGGCGGCCTGGGGACTTGGTTAAAGCACATCGTGAACACACCTAGTTCAAACGCTTTTCCTTCTTCAAGGATCTTAATTTTGGATTAGTTCTTGTCCGCTTATCGTGGTCATGGAGACCAAACTTACCAGTCCGCAGCCTTTACAAGGAAAGGCAGCCTCATCGGGATCCATTGGAGAGTCTGGAAAGGCCATGGGGGATTCCATCGCGGTTGCCATGATGTTGTCCTATTAATTGATTTGGTACTGTGCAAAGGGCCTGCCCTGTCGACATGTGGGAGATTTATGTTCCAGTCAAACAGAACGCCGTTTGGAGCGTCGTAGTGTATCTCATTAATGATCTCTGCTCACTTCCTTTATGTTCCCTTGTTCAAACACCTCAACACCTGTACATTAAATGATCTCTGGTGAACAAGACTTAATTTTGCTGGTAGAGTGATGTCGTATGTGGCCCTGCAGCTGAAACACTATTCGGAAGAGCTGTGGTGACAATTGATCAGACAGACCAACGAGTGTTTCTCGGTGGCCAATTGTCTGGCAACAGAATCTTGGAAAGAATGACGAAAAAGCAGGCACAGACTCGTTTGTTTGGATTATGGCGCTGGTTGAGCAGGAGCGCGAGTAAAGGGTGAAGCCAAACAATTGTTAAGGATCGTGGATGTCAGCTCGTGCAAGCCTAGGGTTGAGATGGTTGCGCAGACAGCGAATGGCGAATGTCGAGGGATCGCGTTTCAGTCAAGCAGACGGTGAGAGCAGCTGGGGATGGAAGACACCCACATTGAGGGAAGATGGCCGTTGTTGTGCTATTGTAAGAGCGTTGAGCGCAAAAAGCTGTGAGAGGCGATTGAAGAGATGGTAATGGTGGTGTGGTAGAGTCGATGGCCTGGCTTGTCAGTGGTAGTAAGAGTTCGTGATGAGGAGATTCTGGGTTGCGCAGCCAGAAGCCAGCAGCCAGCGAGTGCAGGTTTTCTTGGGTGGCACAGCACTAAGCCAGGGCTGCGATGCTCGGTACTCCTGGCATCCTGCTTAATCGGTCTCCAAATCTTCTTCTGGCCCAGATGGACTCGATGGGACGCAGATGGAGATGGAAGGTTCATTTTGGCCAGTCGAGATCAGAATGAACAGGCGACCTAGCAGTTCGATTGGTGCCCATGACCAGATGGGCTCCCCTAGGCTTCTTCTTATGGGGGCGATAGACTAAGCGTAAGGAGGCTTTGTGCAGCTAAACTGGAAGTGATTCTAGTGATTCGTGTCAAGGCTGAGCAGCTCGAATCAAGATCGCCAGCAAGGGATTCACCGATGCTAGCGTGCATCTAAGCATGTTCTGCGAGGGATAGTAAAGGGGGGGTTTACTCCATGCAATTTTGTCAGTTCTCTTCACATCGATTGCAAAGGCAGTTGGCTCGAATTCCCCATGCCGTTTCTGCTCTTTTATCCCTATTTATTGCAGCAAGCAGCAAGTATCATGCACTGTGTAGGTTGGTTTCTTTCTGAAGCCTGTCTTTCCGCTTGCTCTCGTTTTCGTGGCCTGGTTACAACTACCTGTCAAACCATCGAAAGCTGTCTCCACGTGGTCCCCGACTATTATCCGTCTACTACCTAGTTAGTCGGTCTACCGAGCGAGCGAACGAGCGAGCAGTGCGCACTCTCATGTCGCAAGCAGATCAGGAGGCGGAGTCTTTTTTGAGGAAGATTACGGAGTCGTCCACGCCATAGTTTCACCTTGTCCCCTTGACCAACGAGTAACACGCACCACTTATGATTGATCACTGATTAGCAGCACGTAATTCCTCTTTGCCTCGCTTCATCCTGAATAACGCCATTCTCCCATATTCGAAATCTCGCTTGCGGGTACAAAAGGATACTCTTCACGACCCCTGCCAGGTCTGGCCTCTTCTCCAAATATAAAAGTGGCTTTGGTCTGACAGGGAAATAGGGAGAGCACCAGCGGGAATAGGAAGAGTCTTCCATGTCAGACCTATATTTTTTTACTTCCCAAGTCAAACTTGATCAAAAGCACTTGTGTTTCCTCTGGCGCTTAATTTTCTTTTTCGTACAATGGACCCGAATCTTCTCTCCACCGCGATCCGTACTCTGAATCTGTTCTGTCAGTCCGTCCCCAGCTGCGCAACCCCCACAGTCTGGCTAATATCCCGCCTAGGTATAATACCAAGAAAAGGTGATAACTCCACTGCCGAAACACACCAGCTCCATGATTGAGAGGACAATCCTCATTGTCTGAAACACCCTCTCCTCCACGTTATGGTTTTACCGAGAATATCACGTCAAATCTCAAATGGCAAGATGACGATGAAAAGCAAAGGAAAGCGGAAGTTTGGTTTCAATGGTATCATGTTTTGCGTATTATCTATTCCTAGCAACAGTAATAGCAATAGCAACCATGTATCATGATCCTTCTTGTCTTCGCCAACCCTCCCAGTGAACTCCAGTGAATTCCAATGAATGCCAGAGTACAGTCCCATTCCCCGGTGCCCGTTCCGTGATTCTGGGGTTTCCTTTCCAAAAGTCTCGCAGCTCATCATCATGAACCATGAGCCATGAACAGTCATCAATAGCAATGAATCGTAATGATAAGAATACAGCTTTGTGTGAAACTCTATCCCTTTCAAGGCTTCAGTCTTTCTTTCTTTTTCTCCTTTCTCATCCTCGCAATTCATTATCTGCTGTTGTTTCCAAGAACCTGCTAGTTTCCTGAATCCTCCGAAGCAGCAACTTCACCTGCCCCATCCTCCAGGGAATTCATACTCAAACTTCCCGATCCTGGCGCAACACCGGCATTCATTGCGGTACTTCCAAGGAATTTCCAATTGGCTGAGACCTCTGAACCAGGGTCATAGGTAGATGGCTCTGGTTCCATATAGTCCACGTCCGTCTCGGGTAGCACAACCTTGTCTGTGTTGCCAAAGCTTCCAGTCGCCATCCCCGAGGCTCCAGCCACATAGTAGTGAATGAGATTCTTGTCAGACTCCTTACTGAAGAAGTTATAAAATCTTTTCTCAGGTTTGATGACTCCATGCAGCGCTATGCAAAAGTCCATAACCCGTCGTTTAATGATAGATGTGTACGTGGCAAGAAGGTGTTCTGCGAACGATGCCAAGCGGTCCTCTTGAATGGTGAAAAGGGTTTCGTTGCAGGCTGCAAGCCGAGCAAGCAGTTCGTTGAGCACCTGTACTCCGAATGCCATAATGATAGGGAGTCTGTTGGTGAAACGAGGACGTTCAGGTCCAAATTCTGACGCGAGACTCTGAAGACTGCTATGGAATACAGTAGTGGTCGATTTTGGCGTAACAACAGGATGGTTGGTGGTGATGATATGTTCAATTTGTTCTAGCATGTCGAGGACTGCGTCAATTGTAGGGAGCGGGTTTTGACTGAATTTGCATAGGAGATATGCTGATTCATCGATGGCGTGTAGGACCGAGGCATAACCCGAGCTGTGATTGCATCGTGCAATGAGAAGTGCGCACAATGTCATTCCAGGCTGTGGCTCTGGCCATTGTGGATACTGATGGAAAAGATCAATCAAAGTAAGGAGGATTGTGTGTCGATTGTACGCAGGATGGTTGAGATTTCCCGGTCTCTTATCCCTGGATTCGGTAACTTCATCCACCGACGTCATGTTTTTAATAAGCAATTCGAACAATTCATTAAATTGTGTTTGGTTCTTGATCAGAACACCAGGGTGAGTGTCAATCAGCTTTCTAAGCCTGCGATAGCCCAGAGCATCGAGGGTTCCGTGACGAAGGAACTCCGTGGCTGTCGCAAGTGATTTTTTTGCGGACGCAATACTAGTGCAACGACGAGGGGATCGTTGTGGTGAGCGAGTGGGAGAGTGGTGGGGCGAGCGGCTGGGGGATTTCTTTATGCGTGGACGCATAATGTTGGTGTTCTCCTTGCCCTCTGGAATGTGTTGACGGCTGGTGGGTTTGTCGACAGTATGCTCGGTTGGTTGAATGGTTTGATTTTCTGGTGCAAAGGGTTTGACCGGGCGGAGGGGCATGGTGCCAGCTGGAGCAATGTTTTCCATCAGTTGTTCATGGGCCATCACGTCGTTGGCGTGTTCAGATGTGACTGGAGTTGCGGCTACTTGGCCCTCAACGATGACTGGAGCCGGGCGCTCAGTCTTCGGGGCAGATTGGACAGTTGGGGGAGCAGACGGCCCTTTATCTTCGGCAATGACTGGTGTTTGACGACCATTCCTTTTGCTGGATGTGGAAGCTGAACGTCCCCTTTCGGCAGCTTTGATGGTCTCTGAACGGCTTGCAGTCTTGCGGTGATGGTGGGCTGTAGATGGCACTGCCTCTTTCTCGACGTGGGTGCTTGGTGTATGGCGGCCAGTCGATTTATCTGTGACTGGCTTGTCTTTGGTTTCAGGGGACTTTTTGGTAGGCTCCCCACGAGAACCAGGACGTTGTCCTTGGGTTGAGGTCGATGTCATTGGCGTAGCAACGATGCGAGCTCTTCTGACCGGTGCTGAAAGCAATGGGCGAGCATCAACTTGTGGGTTTGAGGCCTTGAGATCTTTGCCACTGTCAAGCTTCATGTCCTTGGGTGCTTTGTGGGTGGCCGTGCGAGATTGCGTAGAGATTCCATGACGTGAACCTCCCGTTGATTCAGTTTGGTGATTCCCACGAGGAGCCTGTTGAACTGGCCTTTCTTGCTTCTCTCTTGCAGGCTCAGAGGAGCCCTTTGGAATATTCTGTTTTTCTGGGACGGCATCAAGATCTTCCACCGAGCCGAATATGAAGTCTTCTGGTTTGACCGATGCAGGCGTAAAGCCACGATGTTGTTGCATGCGTTTGCTCTGGGCTTTGATGGAGGCGAGGGCTGAATCCGGTCTTGGGACTTTTATATCCTTGGCAGAACTTCTGTCGGGATTGTGACGATCATCGCGAAGGGCCGCCTGGGCATGAGAATTGAGGCCACCCATAATCATGCGAGAGCCTTGAACGTCGTATTTTGCGTACTCCCAGTAGGTTGCACGCGTGTTTTCTCGGACTTTGACTTGCCCATCGGTGAGGCCTTCATAAATGGCCTTTTTGGCCAATTCGCCGTCTTTGTCTCGGTCCATTTGACCGCGGTAGTTTTCAAGGAGAAGTCGCAACCACTCTGGGGCATAGGTGCGAGGAGGATTTCGTTTGTCTCGGAACGCAGAGCAGACATGGTAGAAGAGTCGTGTGTTGTAGCCAGCATACTTGCAAATGTTGATGACTGCGTCATTGGCGTTTTTCTGATTGACGCTTTTGGTAGAACCGCAGTGCGCAATCAGCTGCGGAAGGATGAGGTCGAGTTGGGGTTGAATTTGTGTCTCAAGGTTCTTGGCGAGGTTGGAGATCACTCGACAGGCCTGAGCAGACAGGGTGGTGCGTTCGGACGAGGCCGCTCCGAGAATACCAGGCATGACCGGCCTGACTCGTTCAACGAAGTCTCTCGGGATAGTGGAGTTCTCCTTCCGATTTTCGAGGATTTCGGAGAGTTGAGCGAGGAGATCCTGGCGCTTTTTCCAGCTCTCCTCGGTTTCCGGAAGGGTAAATTCATAGTGCAAAAAGCTGAGCACATCGACATACGTTTTTCCGAGCATCCTGACCCTGATGCCGGCAAAGGTGAAATAGATTACCTTTCCGGCGACGGGGACGAGGGCGTCGATCTTCTTGACTGCAGAGAACTTCGTTAGCGATGTCCAACCCCCAGAAGCAATTGAAATCATCGCTGGCGTACGGAAATTCATTTTGGCGACGGAAGCACGAAGCGCCTTGATTTAGCAAGGCAACACGAAGAAAACCCAACAGTGAGAATCTTGCGATGAGGGAGATTGACAGATCGGGTGTGGCAAAGTCATGTAGAGCAGAGAGCAACAAGCAAATGTAGTGGAAGTGAGCTTGCAAAGTGTAGCGATCAGGTTCAACACGCACTGTGAGAACTGTCCACGTGATGGAGAGCGATCGCGGGAAGAGGTAAAGGCAGAACGAAGAAGGGGGAAAGTACGGGTAGTTGTAGACGCCTGGAGACATACCGGATCAGCTTCCTTGACAGAGGCAAACAGGCGACGCGATTGTTTTGATATTGTTGGTGGACATTGAAGCGTTCCAAAGGTTGGTAAAAGAAGAAAAGGTCATGAGTTCGCAAACTGAGTTCGAGGTTAGAGTTTTTGATTTGTTTTCGAGGGGCCTCTTGGCGTCGACGTTGAGCGGTACCCAATCAGCATTAAAGCGTTCCACCACTTAGAGTCCCTACCATTCACCTTCCAGTCGCGTTGCCTCTTTGCTGCCTACTCGCTGCTCCACTGCATAACAGCTCCGTACATCAGCAAGTATACGGCGTGGATATAGAGAGGCCTCCCCGCATCAAGGGCATACCACGGAACCGGACTGAAATGTGCCAGCCTACACTCCCTTTCCCTTTTCGATAAACACGAAAGACGGAGAGTCCGCTTGTCTCCGTTAACAAACGACAACTCCCGTCAGATCTATCGCATGAGAACCTTGCATTGAACATAGAGCTTGGAATATCCCCGACATGCCCTCTCCAATCCCTCCGGAACTCCACCATCGACCGGTCCTTCGACTCCATTTGGACGATGTTACTCACTCAGCCACTCAAATTACTTGCGCGTCTCTGGATGGGGGATTGTACCTCGCACGAGCCATTGAGCATGTGGTGGCCAACCTATATACGCCGCATGGCTTGAAAGAGATCCCCAAAGTTAGGTCTGTGACGGTGGTGCTGAGGTCCATGGGAGGCGTCGCGTACACGACCGGTTTACAATTGGACGATCTCCACAAAGAGATCCATCTTTCACTCGACTACGTGCAAGGTGTCCTCTCCAGAAATTCACCGGGAGTGCGACATGAGATCGCTGGCGTCATCACTCATGAAATGGTTCATTGTTTCCAAAACAATTGTCACGGTACAGCTCCAGGAGGCTTGATTGAAGGAATAGCAGACTTTGTACGGCTGAAGGCGGGACTTGCTCCACCACACTGGAATCGATCGCCTGAAAATAGGGGTCGGAAATGGGATGAGGGTTACCAGAAGACTGCATGGTTTTTGGAGTGGCTCGAGGAAAGGCGTGGTCCTGGCACGGTGAGTCGTATGAATGAAATCATGGGAGAGGAGAAGTATGATGAGAAGAAACTCTGGCATGACGTTTTCGGAGAGTCGGTCGACAGGCTCTGGAATAGGTACCGAAAGACTTGGGAGGCAGATGATCAAATCGTTACCTGTGGCACCAGCATGTCAAGAGAGCCCAGTAGTACTAGCTCGGAGGCCGAGATGGTGGATCTGAGCGAAGAGGAAAGGCATGAGGCTACAAAAGAAGAAAGACAGCCCCAAAAATTCGTTGCATAGATCGAGAAGAGAATGGGTACTGGCGTGGCGTCGGGGTTTCTTCTCATTTGGATGGATGGCCTGACCGAAAATGTGAATTCTTTCCCCCCGGGTCACGATCACGAGATGAGCTACCGTCACACGAATCGGCCGCATAGGAACCATAACCGGAGAGTTGAAAGAAACTTCTGCCCGCAGGATGCAATACTTGGTCATTCGAAAGGGTCTTTGCTGACAGAATGGCCGAGATGCAGGATCAGCATTGGACTAATTTCAAATCCTGGTGAGGTATTAGCATGTATCTCACAAGAGCCATGTAGGAGCGAGAGTACAAAGAGATTTTATCAGTAAAAAATTAGAGTGTTTGTTGCCCATTTTGATCGTCACTGGGCGACCTCGGGGTTAAAAATTGATCATCACCAAAGGGCTTTGAAGTGGGAAATGAAGACGACATACCCGAAATGGTGGTCACATCGTCTCCGAGAACGTTTCACATTTCCAGTTTTGTATAACAAGAGTGGTGGGAGCAGTTCACATCATTGCACCTATTGTTTGTATCTATCACGGTGGCTATGAGTGATTTGATATGTCCATTTGCAGGTCCCCGATCTGGCCAATGCTCAATGCATTTAGTCGAACAATCCACCGAAGCCTGAGTGACGTTAGCCAACACTGTATGATTGCTAGAAGACGGCCGAGACTCACCTTCGTCTTCACTTTCTTCCTTCTCCTCTTCCTTTTCTTCCTCCGCCGCCGCAGCGGGAGCAGCCTCTTCAGTGGCAGCGGCAGCCACAGGAGCGGCGGCAGCATAAGCTTCAGGGTGGGCAATGCGGTCCTTGAGCTCCTCGATCGCCTCCCAGCTGTAGTCGGTCTCGATAGCAACTGCAATGACCTTCTTGTATCCGTTGACCAAGCTGTGGATGATAGAAGGAAGAGTGGGGTAGTTGGCAGCAAGCGAGATGGTGGTGATGGTTGTAATGGCGGAAGACAGCGATTTGAGCAGTTGGCTTTCCTCGACATCCAACACATCTGGAGAGAAGGTTTGACCTTCTTCATAAACTTGTGTAACCTTCATGCCATAAGTGAAAGGAGAAATGCCCAGCATGTTGAGAAGTGTGGCTTCTGAAGCCCCAACTTTGGCGCCGGCTTCGACCAATTTCAGCTCGGTGGTGATTTCAATGGTTCCACGAGCAATCTTTGTAGGAACACCAAGAGCCTGGAAGAAAGAAGTCTTGCCAGGTTCCATGCCAGTGTTTCCGGCTGGGACGTAGACATCGCCAGGGGCAACGGCCCCAGCACGAGCAGGGGCCGCGACTCGGTTGCTCAGAACTTTGTCACGAATGGTCTTGAGGTCGCCGTTGGTGAAAATGAAGCCCACATTTCCTGCGACAGTCAGAACATTATTTTCGATTGTATTTCCAAGCGCGGAGCGGACCTTTCACATGAGGGAGGAGACGTTCATATTCCGGGCTGTCCGGGATGAATCCCTTGAGAGCCCGACGAACCATGGTATTCTTGCCCATTAGAACCACAGCTTCACCGCGAAGAGACTGGCGAATTTCATGCATCTGTTGCGAGGAGACATTGTCGACGCTGACCTGTCAAGTTGTTAACACGCCGACCTGATTTCTATCTCGGGGAGGACGTGCGATGAAGATGGACTTGTACTCATCGAGCAAGCCCTTGAGCTTGTCGAAGTAGACAGCCTTTGTTCCGGATTTGCCCCCCATGACTTCTTAGGGATGAAGTTAGGATATTTAAGGGCAAATTGAATGCGATTTGATGTGGGAGAGGTGGTGAAATGGAAATTGAACTTCTGAAGTTGGAGGCTGCGCTTGAATTTCCCACAAAAAGTTGTGCGGTCCCTGACGGGGCCAGAAAAATGGCAGTCTTGGCGAGAGGGCTGCCACGGTGGAGGGCTCGATCGCAAATGGCAATATCAATGACTACTCTTCAACAATGGAATCTCACTGAGACTATGCCCCATTTTAAAGATCTGAATATAACGGCGTCACGATTCTCCTCAGTCGAGATGAGTGTGGCTCGTTGAAAGCTAATTTGCGGCTTGAAGGCCTTGAAGGAGAAGAACTCCACTTTACACTGAAGAATGCTTCAACATCCATTTCAAGCGCTGTGCTGTGTGCAGCCAGTTGGTGGCCAACAGCCTTTCCTGTTGGCGGCTTCAGGCCCTATTATAAACACATTTAACCTGAAAGATGGTTCTCTTCTTAGCCAATGGCCACGGACAGATAATGACGACTCAGAGCAGCATGCGACCAGCCGAGTTGACGGTGGTGAAGCCCGACCGAGCAAACGGCCAAAAATCGAAGGAGAAGACCAGCCAGAATCTTCTCATCAACACTCAGATGACTCCATTGAGATTATATCCGAGAGAAAGAAGGGCGAGCGACGAAAGCCCAAGGTAGAAAGCTCCAAGCTTCCCAATGTCTCTCATATCATCACCACCAGTGACGGCGCAACAGTCATCGTGTTGACAGCCGAGGACAAATCGATCGGCGTGTTCAAAGTTCGTTCCTGGGGCCGCTTAGATCTACTAAGTCGAAGGTGAGCTGCATCAACACGAACAGCTTCACTTTCTGGTTGACAAGACTTAGGTCAATGCCCAAACGAATGTGTGCGGTTGTTCTGACTCCAGACGAAAAGAATATCCTTGTCGGAGATAAATTCGGAGACGTCTACCTTCTTCCACTGCATCCAAGAGAAGAGTGGGTACTCCGGAAGTCCGAACAGGATCAAGTCCAAGAAATGTATGTTCCTTCTGCAACGGAATTGACGGTACACACGAAAGGAAATCTGGAAGCTCTGAGACAACAGCGTGAGCGAAAAGTGACCCGGCCGAAGAAGGACGGGCCAAATTTCGAATTCAAACTTCTTTTGGGCCATGTGTCGCTTTTGACCGATGTTGCTATCGCCGAGGTCCAAGCTGGGCTAAAACGCAGGCAATACATCTTGACTGCAGATCGAGATGAGCATATTCGCGTTTCCCGGGGTGTCTCACAAGCTCACATCATTGAGCATTACTGTCTAGGACATCGAGAGTTTGTGAGCAAGCTGTGTGTGGTACCTTGGAACCCAGAAATACTCGTCGCAGGGAGTGGTGAGCCGTCTTTGAGAGTCTACTATTGGCAAAAGGGGACATTGCTCGACGAGGAACTCTTTCAAGGAGCTGTACAAAATGACATCACTAAATTCTTGAATCCGAGCGATGGTGAACGATCTTTCGATCGACTGGCAGTCTCCGGTATATGGCCCATACATTGCAGTGTCTCCGGAAATGCACCACAATCTCGCCCACCACCACATTTTCTCCTGGTTGCTCTTGAAGGGTAAGGTGGATCTCCTGTCATTTTTGGCATTCAGGCTAACTGCATCTTTTCCAGTCTACCGATGATCTTAAGTTACACACTCACAGAACAAGGACAGCTCCGACACCATCAGACACTGACACTAGGAGGTAACGCATTGGACATTAGTACTGGTCCTGCCCTCTGGAATATTGTGGTTAGCGTTGATATGGTACACAAGCCTGGTTCAATGAGGGAGATTCGACCTCACGAGACACCAGCAGCGGAAGCATTTGACACTTTTGAACTGCTTTCCAGCCCGCCCAGAAATGATGTCAATGGCTCTAGTCACCACGAAGGATGTGACCAAGCCTTGTTGCGCTGGGAGAAATCAAGTCTTGCAATGCTCTTGAACAATGCAGCCTTGAACTGCGAGAGGGGTGAGATGCCATCAGCGGCAGCGGCAGCAGCAGCTCCATCGAAAGGTAAAGATTTGTATAGCCTATTAGGAGAGAACCTGTACGGGCTGGAAAATTTGCGCAAAAAAAGGGGCATCAATGTAGCAGAGGATGAGGAGGACGAGGCTGAAGAAGACGTACCGGCAAGTGTAGAAGGGCTATCATAGTCATCGAGAGCGCTACGTTGAATAATCCAGAACTTCTCCAGACAAAATAATGTGTAAATGTCGCAAAATAAATACCCATCTGGTCCCGGGGAGAGGACGTAGTAAAATATTTGATCAGCCTCGCGAGGCTCCGAAGGGACACGGGAGAACCTCGGCTAAAAGAATACGTGCTTCAATCGACGACAACGTCAATTCTTGCCTTCAACGTCCCGCCCTCAATCAGCAGACTCCAACATTCACCATATTTGCTTCCGAATACCGTACACAATGAAGAAAGGTTTCCTACCTTTGAAAAATGACCGCCTCCTTCGGGCCGCACGTGGTGGGTTTAGTATTGAGTTTTCATCAACGGACCTCGGAGCTAAACGGCATCAGGCCAAAAAGTCGATAGACCACCTATCTGGGTGATGCGACAAGGTATGCGGCGGTCAGTGCCTTTCCACCCCCTTCGCTAGATGACGCTGACCTTTCAAAGCCGGCCGTTATCTCCCTGAATACCACCAAGCGAAAGGCGACCGCGACTTTTTCGAATGCTGTCGTTCCCCAGAGATCGCCTCCGCCTTGACTCTCCAGCCTATTGATCGATACGATGGCCTCATAGACGCTGCAATTATCTTCTCCGATATTCTCGTCATTCCACAGGCTATGGGCATGGAAGTCAAGATGGTGGATGGCGTCGGACCCAAATTCCCTAAACCGCTCCGCTCGCCTGCGGACAAACAATACCAGGAACTTGTCAAGCAGAAAGTCGATGTGGAGAAAGAGCTCGAGTATGTCTACAAGGCAATAACGATGACACGAACTAAGCTCGCGGGACGAGTACCTTTATTCGGATTCTGCGGCGCACCGTGGACACTGTTATGCTACATGGTTGAAGGGGGGGGGACAAAACTTTTCAAAGAAGCCAAAACGTGGATCTACAAATATGGCAAGGAGAGCAAGGTTCTCTTGCGGAAGATGTCCGAGATTTGCGTCGAGTATCTCGCGCTGCAAGTCGCGGCCGGAGCACAGATCTTACAGGTTTTCGATTCCTGGGCTGGGGAATTGTCGCCTTCTTCGTTCAAAGAATTCGCACTGCCATCACTGCGGTATATTGCGGAGAACTTACCGAAGAAGCTACGCGAGATGGGCGAGGATGTGGTGCCCATGGTCGTTTTTGCAAAGGGAGCATGGTACGCTCTCGACGAACTATGCAATTCTGGCTTCGATGTCGTTAGTCTCGATTGGCTACACGACCCCAAGGAGGCCGTGAGAATAGCCAGAGGCCGAGTCACCTTGCAAGGCAATGCTGATCCCGGTGTCCTCTACGGTAGTCACGAATCGATCACTTCCGTTGTCCAGAACATGGTTGAAGGATTCGGAGGCGGCAAGCAACGATGGATTGTCAACCTTGGACACGGCGTGACTCCGGGTGTCAATCCAGATGACCTGAAATTCTTCTTTGAGGAAATCCACAGATTTACGGCGTGAAAGACGTGAAAAATCATGAAAACTCGCTGCGGTAGAGAAAGGTGTCCAATGGATCATTGTCATTGTCATTGTTCACCGATGTCTTCATTCCTGCGAGACGTCAATCTCAGATCTATAATCCATAAAAACTAGGATGGCAGTGGGTTCTTACCAAACATGAGGTTTCTGTTCGATAAACCTCTTCATCAACCCTTTGCATTCCTCGTTCTCGAGCACCACGACCTCAATCCCTCTTTGTTTCAAATACTCCTCTCCACCTACAAATGTCTTGTTCTCCCCTATCACCACCCTCGCCACTTTATACAAGATGCACGCCCCCGTGCACATGTCGCAGGGACTTAGTGTCGTGTACATGGTCGCCTTTTCGTAGGCCGTTGCTGGTAAGCGGCCGGAATTTTCGAGTGCGGAAATCTCGCCCTTCAAATACACCGTCAAGACAGATCCTTTCTCCACAAGATCCAGGAATTAACGCAACGACGGTTAACACAAAAGCCTTGTTGTTTTCTTATCTGGGTAAAAAACGTAGGGGGGGAGAACTTGCATGCAACGTCGCACTTCCTTTCTGCACACGCATATTATGTCCCCGACCGAGAATTGTACCGTCTTTGGAAACGAGGCATGCTCCTTTTTATCGCCCATTGGATCAGCGTTAGTACTCCATACTCATCGTATATGACTGATCGGGCTGGCCGGTGGAGACTTACCGATAGGCACGCCGCCTTCCGCAAAGCCCTTTTTGGCTTCTTCGACGGCGGCGAGGAAGCCTGGATCTGTCTCGGACATAGATGTGATCGGTACAAGCGAGACGAAGAGGAGCGTCGAGAATATTTCTATATGGGACTACTAAGAAGCGTTATCGAGCAGGATAGAGAGCTGCTGCCCACGTTCGGAACCACAAATAAGTTGCAACCGGAAATGACCGTCTAGAACTTGTCTGCCCTTGAGTCTCGTAAACCTTAAAAAGGGGTGTCTCGGCCTCACCAGCCTTATATGCAGATGTCTCTTGAATATGGAAGTGTGCCTTTGAATCTATTTGATGTCTGAGACTCCGGGGCCGCCGAGCCAAATACCTCGCAAGCTCAGGTTGAACGGGTTATTCTTCTTTCATATCTTCGCCCTTTCTTGTCTATTCCTCCCCTTCCAACCTTTAAGATCCCTCAACTCCGTCTCCGGGTCCAAATGCGCCAGATCCTTCTTCTCAACCCTTTGCCCCGGTCTCCACTTCCAGCACTCCGCGATCTCCTCATCCAGCTTACCCTCAAGCATATCTACCACGTACCTCCCGAGCACAGGCATGAACTTGAACCCGTGCGCCGATCCCCCGGTGGCAAAAAACAGACCATCATGTTCCGGGTGCGCCGTTATTAGAAAGTGCCGATCAGGCGTATCCGCGTCCGGGAATGTATCGGGGCAGCGACCCTTGGCAGCGACCTTCGTACCACAGCGACCTGATTAAGCTCGATTTGGCGTAGTTGATGGAAAGAGGCAACCAATGATGTAAAGGTACCTAAAATCCCTAGTAAAAGCGCACAAATCGAGGTACCAAAACATCAAAATTGAAGTGCTCGCATCAAGTCACGATTTGAGTGCTTGTTATCGGCCCCTCTGCAATTGTATAGACTTTCTTGGTGTTGCAAAGCCTTTTCGAACCCCTCTTGTTGCTATTACCCCAATGGCCACTTCCTTTGTCGGCGACGTCTGGCGAGCGCCTTCAGGATGCTCTCAACACCTTCGTGGGCCTCTTGAGAGCCTTGTCAACTCTTTCCCTGTCTCTTGGCTTCAGACTCCTGTTACTGGCGAGGTGTTTGGGTCTCTTCCTGAGGCTGAGAGACGTCTAAAGGCCTTTGCACTCGTCACCGGCTTTGATGTCGTCCGTAACGGTGGAGGAAATGCTAAAGTGCCTGCCTCAGTCTTCAAATGCATTCACCACGGAGAGAAAACTCGAAACTTTCGAGGGCTCGAGGATCACGTCGCTGTCGGTGAAGAGGGCGAAATCATATCTAGGAGGAAGCGAGAGAGGACTGCGGTTCGACAAACAGGGTGCAACTGGCGTTGTAGAGTCAGCTTTAAGTCAATTGATCGCGGCAGCGAGAAGGGATGGGTGTTAACCGTCATGTCGCTTGAACATGAAGGCCATGAATTGACTGAAAATCCTCTCGCTGTCTATCCGCGTTTCATGAATGACTTATCTGATTTTCAAGAAATTCGAGCCGCCGCAACATCTCATCGTATTGCAATCATTCCATACTCTGCATCGCGAAGAGTGCTCGAGTCGTCGTCTGAGTTTGGCCTGAATTTGACGTCAAGACAGTATTACAACCTTGTAAGGAAGTGGAAGCCAAACCAAGAGGATTCGAGGACAATTGCTGGGCTTTTGGCAGCGCTGGAAGACGAGGGATTCGTATACAGCACTCGTGTCGAGGAAGGATTAAATGAAAAGAATGAAGTCGTAAGTAGAAAGTTGATTCAAGTCTGGTTTACTCATCCCTCGCTGTTGGCGCTCGCGCGTCGTTTTGTTGGAGGCTTTCTTGTCGTGATAGACGGCACCTTCAATACGAATTCGTTCAGGCTTCCTCTACTCATCGCCGTCGGTCAGCTAAATTCAAGAAAAACCTTTCCAATCGCCTTTTCCTGGTGTCGAAGCGAAGACAAGGACTCCTACCTATTCTTCTGGCACAGTTTTATCTCTTTCTGTCTCCAGGCCCCGGGGCAGCCTCAAATCGCACCTCCCGAAGTCATTTTAGGCGATCAAGCAGGTGGTTTAGCAGCGTCAATCCCTGAGGCTTTTCCCGATGCAAAACAGCAATTTTGCACCTGGCACGCGGTTGAGGCAATGATTGTGAAGGCGCGAAAACTTGGAATCAAGAAAGACGAGATTGATAGCCACTTCGACGATCAGGGCACAGAGATTCAAGGGCTTCGAAGCCTCTGTTACTCTTACCTTCAGGCCGAAACTGAGGCAGATCTGAACGCCAATCGCGAAACTGTCTGCGCAAAAGGAGGGAGAGAATTCAGGCAATACATCAACGAGGAGTGGCTGCCAAAGGAGCGTAAAGTTGCCCACTTTTACACACGCCTCTACGCAAATCTCGGTGCCAGAGCAAGTCAAAGAGTCGAGTCATATCATGGTGTTATGAGGGAGATCACAAATGGCCAATTAAGCCTCGAAGATGCGGCTAAACGGCTTACGATGAAGGTCAAATCAGTCCTCAAGGATCTTCAGGACGATGAGGCGCTCTCTCATCGTCACTACCCTCGTCTAGCTCAGTCTGACGTCTTCAAAGCCCTGCGAATGAAGGTCTCGAATGAGGCACTCGCCTTACTTGAGAAGGAATGGACGGAACTTAATCAATTCATGATGAGGGGAGAGCAATTGAGCGAGATTTGCGAGTGCCCGATTCTCTACCAGTTCGGTATTGCCTGCAAACATTATCTACTCCGGGCCTTTCTCGAAAATTTACCTCTACCGAAAACTCTTCTACACCCTCGTTGGTGGCTGTCAGGACCGGAAATCACGGAGCGTAATTGGAAGCCATTCTACCCTTCTGAGGCGCCTCAAGAAGATCTGAGGTCGAACCAAGACGCTCAACAGGCTCTACTACTCGCTGAAATCAGAAATCAGCTAAATCCTGAGGAGCGCCATCGTTACGATGTTCAAATAGCTCGTGGAGAGCGACAAATTCGCGAATTCCACAGGCAAGTCTTTAGGAATCTTTCAATGATCGGTCAACAACACCTTGAATTGCAGCAAATACCCATCGGCCAACCTGACCCTGTTGTAAGACGACGAATCGTTCAAAAGGCCTCTCACGGACCTCGTGAAGCACGGGGCTTAACAGCGAACGAGATTCTAGAACGTCAAGAGCGCCAGGAAAAGCGTCAAAGACGTCAAGATGAACGCGCTGACGAGCGACGACAACAAGCTCAATTGACGTCTACTCCCCGAGCCAGCATAACAGTGACAGAGACAGCAAGACCGACAACACCTCCGCCTCAGATTACTCCTCTCTCACGACGTTTACCAATTCGCACTCCAGACAGACCACGACCACGTCGATCTCCTACCCCTGAGGCCTCTCCGACAGTCAACGACGAGATCTTCGATCTACCAGCGTCTACGGCACCTCCAGCACTAGGAGGAGGTAGAGGAAAGAGAAGGCGCAACCACACGGCGAGATACAAAGAGGCAAAGGAGCAAGGACTCATACAAGATTCACAAGAGGCTCACAGAGCATCAGGAAGGCTCTGAAGGTGGTCAACAGCGAGGTCAGGAGGCAAGAGGGGGAAGGGGGACTTTAGACAGACTAAATAGGCGACAGAGAGCTCCTGATACACAACAACACCAAAATCGAGTGTGAAAAGGCTTCTAAAGTCGAGTGCAAATAGCTCTGTCGAAAGGCCTTAATGACACTGTTTAAAAAGAACACCAAAAAGGGCCAACTATGCGAGGGAGGCAAAGTGGATGGAAAGGTACCTGAAAACCCCCCATTTTCCTAGGGATTTGAGGTACCTCGCCATCCTCCGGGCAACTCTCGCACAACTAGGCTCAATTGGTGTTTAGCAGGTCGCTGTGGTACGAAGGTCGCTGCCAAGGGTCGCTGCCCCGATACATTCCCCCGCGTCCCAGCACAGGCGCGTATAACTGAATGGTCTGTCCGCGAGTTCAGGCAGGACCCGACGCAGGTTATCGCGCATCGTCGCTTCGATCTCAAGCGGTAGGCCGTCACCGGGGTTTTGCGCGAAGGTGTGCGGAATCGACGTGGTAATCCCGCTATGAGGATCGGTGAGAGTGTTGGTGATGAATTTGCTGTGTGCCAATTTGAAGGCACCATCAGGCCCGGGTGGAAAGAAGTAACCCAGCTCCAAGTTATCGAGAATGGGCAGCGAGGCGTAATGGCGTGTTTCTGACGGCGTCAATTGGATGTGTGCTACACTGTGGCCTTTTGCGACGAGTTGGCCGTGCACGTCGATGAGGGATGCGGTCCAAGCTCCCGTGGCGACGACCACCATGTCGGCATCGTTTCTGTGTCCGTCTTGTGTGCGAACGCCCGTGCAGCACCCGGAGGGCGAGAAGATTAGGTCGCGTACATGTCCTTGATTTCCCGAGATAAAGCTGACTCCATTTTGCTGCGCAGCCAGTGCCATCCGACGGAGTGCTTCTCCTGAATGGGCCCAGCCAGCAGCCGGGTTCCAGACATTGATGTTCCACCCGTCAAAAGTCCCCTTTGCCGAGACAGGATAGCGTCTTTGGATCTCTTCAGTCGTCAGCCTCTCGATGCCTTTGATGCCCAGTTTCTGCGCCGTGGCAATCGACCCCTTGACGAAGGGGACAGACAGGTTTTTGGCACTCAGGACCCAGCCAGGGACGTGATAAAGATCACGAAACAACTCTGATGACCGCCAGGCTTCTATTGATTCGATTGCCAGTCTGGCATAAAGAGGCTCGTTATATTCACTGCGGATGATCTTGCTAATGTCTGTAGATGCCGCTTCGAGTGATGGCGGGGCGTAACGGTCAAGGACCCGGATCGATTTGTAGCCTCGTTGAGACAGATGGTATGCTGTTGATACGCCGAACGCCCCAGCGCCGACTATGAGGATATTTGAGTCTGGATTCATGGTTCTAGCTCTTCTTAAGAGTGATGTGACGCTGGAAAGTTGCGAAAACCTTCAGGTTCTAACATGCGAAGACCAAAGTCTTGTCAATATAGGCCCAGACGTTTTCTACCCTAGAGACGAATCCTTTCAACAAATCAAACATCTGTGTCGATCGAGGAAAATCATCATATGCCACAGGCCTCTCAAGAGGTAGGTAAATGCAGGATTGAAGTACTCTGCCCCCGGATCTTTTTTGGGTGACAGTCATAGAAAAGCCGGCCTCAGTGTGTCGACCGGGGAAGTTAGAAAGGTATGAATATCAACTCCGCCTTGACCTTCCTCCAACACTCATTCCATCAAAACGTCCAACGTCAATGAGTTATGATTATCTAAGTTCAGTTGTGATGGCAATGTAGTCCGGCTCCCAGCCGCACGATACGGGATCCACACTAATCAAATGGCTTCTCCTCGACCTTCCCAACGTGTTGGTCCGGGTCTGGCTATCGTCATCACCGAGTCTTATACGGTTCGGAGATGCACGACACACTGGGGAAAAGAACGGGCGGTTACTCCGAGTGGTGTAGGTGAAAGTTAGTCCGCAGCCGATCCCGTGCAAGCTGGCCCATTGGCTATAGCGAAGTCCGAGTACCAGATACACGCATGTCGCAATCAGCTTGAAAATGGGGAAATACGAAGGATCAATACATCGATTGGATTCTGAATTTTGGGACTGTTATCTGAATTGATTCAACTAGTTATTTGGAACACTAGGAAAGCAGTAATCCTATCTCATTCAGTGCACCATTAAACGTTCGAGCTGGTGAGATGCATCTGTCTCCAATCGCGTTGCAGAAAAGCCGCCCTCCTCTTGGACTTAGTACGTGTAGCGAAACGATCTCTTCTCCTTATCAGTCTTGTCTGAGAACGCTTCCATGACCTCTTCGCCTCGCTCATCAAAAGCTCCTTCTCTCTCCCTCTTCTGATTTTCCCCGTAGCAGAGCAGACCGTAGCCAGAGATCGCAGCAATTGCGACAGTAATACAAGCCAGGAGTCCAGCATATCCGTGTGGGTAATCCGGGGCATCTGAATCACGAAACACCTGGGGTCCTAAAATGTTGCCCAGGCAGTAAGCGAGGAAGAAGATGGCATTCATGGTCACTTTCTTTGAATGTCCCGATGTGTTGGCCATGGGGAGAGAAGTGCAGAGCACATATGGCGCCCAGTACGTGTAAAACACGTAATAAGCTGCAAGTAGGCCATGTTGGTTGGTTCGAGGCAATTTCCACATGAGGATTGCGCAAATCATAGGGACGATGTTGGCCAATGCAATGATGATACACCGAGAGTTCTTGATCTTTGATGCTGGATAGGCAAGGATGAGCTGCCAAACTGTAGCTAGGACTCCAGTAGGGATTCCCAGAAGTGTCGTATTGAGAGGAGAGTACCCAAGGCCCGTGACGATGATAGCGGCGAAAGTGACCAGGCCACCGTTCGGGATATTTTGGGCACATGAAAAGAGAGCAAGAAGCCAGGTCTTGGGATCCATCAAGCATTCCCGGACTTGGTACCATTTGATGCGCTTGTCCTCCATACCGGTATTGTTGTCCTTGACTCGAACCAAGCAAATGTACTTTTCACGGTCGCTCATCCAGCGACAGGTGGTGGGAGAATCGGGCAGGGAAAACCACAGGAGAACTGCCCACAGAACAGAATAAGCTCCGAGAACCAAAAACAGTAGCCTCCATGGGTGGAGAGAGGTGTGGGTATGTCCGATGCCATAGCTGATGATTCCCGAGAAGATCGATGAGCCCTATTAGAACAGTGTGGTTAAACAAATCAACCAACGGGTTCTGACCCCTACATACCTGATTGAACCAGAACGCTACTCGAATTGGTTGCTCTTCTTTCGTCCACCACATGACGGTCAAGATACTGCAAATTGGAAACACAAAAGCCTCGGACATTCCCATGATGAAACGAACAGTGGCAAGACCGGCAAAATTCTGCGTCGCCGCTGTGCACAGCATCATGATTGCCCAGCCCATACAAGCGCCAGCAAAGACTTTGGCGACAGGAAACTTCTGAATGATGAGTCCGGCAGGGTATTCGAAGAAGAGGTATCCAAAATAAAAGATGGAGCCCACCCAGGAGAACTGGTCTCCGACAAGGTTGGTATCGTCTCTCATACCGTAGATCGCCGCGTTGGATATGATAACCTTGTCGACCGCAGCAAGAATAATTGTCAAAGCAATGAGAGGGAGGATCCTCAGATCGATCTTCCATAGGACACGACGAGCCTCTTTGTCTGATATTGGCTCGGAGGTGATTGCCGGGTCGAGATTGGCGAGAAATTTAGCGGCTAGATCGAGGTCTGGTCTCCCAGCAATGACGTCGCGAGCCTCACCCTGATCACTTGGTGCTTTGATATGAGAGGAAGAGATGGTTTCTTGCTTTTCGTTAGCCATTGTTGCAGTTGTGGCAATACTTGGGGAGAGAGAGAGTGTGTGTGTGTGTGTGAGTTAAAGACGATGGCGGTAGTCGGCTAAGAGTGAACAATCAATCCTTGGTGGTTGGTCGGGTGAAGTGCTAATCAATATATAAACATGGATGTCCAACGTGCCTGCTTTGGTAAGTATCTAATCTCAACTCTTATCGCAGGAACAGAGCACAGGCCCGCGTCATATAAACCAAGAAGGGAACTAGACACATTGAAATCTGGCCAAGAGACACATGGAAACATCAAAGCCATGAGGAGGAACAAGCAGGAAGGTCGGTGCGAAGATCAGTCGCCGCTGTGACTGTCAATCTCACCTATTAGGTATTAGAACCTGCTTGTCCCAAATGCTTTGACGGGCAAGTCCCCATTTAGAGGATCCACTCGACGTCCAAGTTCAGTGTTCGGAGTTCAGGGGGGTCCAGCCTTCTGGGGTCTTGATAAGATGAAACAGACCACTAGCCGTCTGCCGATGACCCATTAAAAGCCAGCACTGAGGGAGCACGAGCGGAGTATTCCGGCTGCCCACAAAACGACTCCGCGTGTTCACAGCGCCATTCGTGATACCAAACGTTCCGGTTGTATTGAACACTAGCGCCAGATTCGATTCGACCTTCCTCCTGTCCTGTCGACAAGTGTTCTTGAATTGGCCAGGGGATATTCGAGGGCTAATAGCGGAAACTTTTATACTTTCGGCATCTGGCAGCCGATAGCCCGATATATCATTGATGAAGTCGCTCGCTATTTCATGACTGTTCCTTAACATAAGTCGCCGACAATGTCGCCGCACAAGGTTGAGGCCGACGTCAATGGCCTCAAGATCAGAATTGCAATCGGTGAGCGCAGCGCCAAAGCTAAGGGGGTAGGGCAGGATCGCTAACACTCGCGAAGACAGAGGAGGCACGTTTACAGATTGTCTGGGCATGGTCGAAGGAAGAAAAGATGACATCGTGGTCAAACTTCTCTCACAAGATCCCAACAACTATGCCGATGCTCCGATTGAAGGCATTCGACGCATTCTCGAGCAAGCAACGGGCAAGAGCATTCCTCGGAATCAGCCTCTCAACACCTCAGAGTTTGCAGACTTCAGCGTGAGAATGGGCACGACCGTTGCCACAAACGCATTGTTGGAGCGTAAGGGCGAACGTGTCGCTTTGTTAATCACTAAGGGTTTCAAAGATGCATTGATTATTGGCAACCAATCTCGCCCGAAATTGTTTGCTCTGAACATCGAAAGACCGGGAGTCCTGTTTGAGGATGTCGTTGAAGTCGATGAAAGAGTCACGAATGAAGACTATCAGCAGAACCCGACTTTCGAGCCAGAGGCGTTACTGAAATCTCTCGAAACAGACCCGAACCTGGTAAAGGGGGTTAGCGGAGATGTCATCCGGATTTTGACCAAGTTAGACGAGGAAAAGGCCAGAAAGGACCTCCAGATGCTGTTCGATAAAGGCTATCGATCCATTGCCGTCTGCTTAACTCACTCGTACACCTTCCAAGGTACGTCGAAACGTCTAAAGAGACTCTGAGATTGGTAGACCTCACCGTTTCCAACAGACCACGAGATTGCGATAGAGAAGATCGCCAGAGAGGTCGGCTTCACTCAAATCTCACTCTCCAGCCAACTCCTTCCCATGATCAAGATGACCGCGAGAGGAACATCAGCTACAGTGGATGCGTACCTAACACCAGTCATCAAACAATATGTAGAAGGCTTCCGTGCCGGCTTCAAGGATGGGTTGAGGTCCAATGAAAACCGTTGCGAGTTTATGCAAAGCGATGGCGGTCTGGTTAACTTCGAAAAGTGAGGCCCTGTCCGCTGTGGGCAGGGGACTATACAGACTGACGGATTTCTAGATTCTCTGGGCTACGAGCAATTCTTTCCGGTCCAGCTGGCGGAGTTGTTGGCCATGCCAGAACTTCATATGATCCCGAAGACAAAACTCCAGTCATTGGGTAAGGCAGTCCCTTCATCGCGTCATCCTGTTGATGCTAACCGATGACCAAAAAAGATTCGACATGGGAGGTACGAGTACGGACGTCTCCAGGTATGACGGCACATTCGAACACACCTTTGAAAATACGACAGCTGGAGTTACGGTCATGGCCCCTCAACTCGACATCAACACCGTGGCAGCAGGGGGTGGCAGCATCCTTTACTGGCGTCATGGCTTATTCGTTGTCGGTCCAGACAGTGCTGGTGCCCATCCTGGGCCAGCATGTTATCGAAAAGGCGGTCCTCTGACAGTCACCGACGCCAATTTGTTCTTGGGCAGACTTCTGCCAGAGTACTTCCCCAAGATCTTCGGACCGGGCGAGAATGAGCCTTTAGATGTTGATATCACTGGTCAAAAGTTCATGGCTCTGGCAGAGCAAATCAATCGAGAGACCGGACAAAACAAGACTGCAGAGGAAATCGCCCTAGGGTTCCTCGACGTGGCCAACGAGTCAATGGCCAAACCAATTCGTGCTCTGACTCAAGCCCGTGGATTCGACACCTCGGCTCACAACCTGGCTTGTTTTGGCGGGGCAGGTGGTCAACATGCTTGTGCCATCGCATCGTCCTTATCTATACAAACTGTGATCATCCACCGGTATTCATCCATCTTGTCGGCTTATGGGATGGCTCTTGCCGATGTAGTTCACGAGGCTCAAGAACCAGCATCGGGAATTTTGGAAGATGCCGCGATGCCGGAAATCGAAAAGCGTATCGCCCTGCTCAAGGAGAAGGTAAATCGCGAACTGACAGATGACGGGATTCGGCCAGATCAGATTCAACATGAGGTATATTTGAATCTGCGTTATCAGGGTACCGATAATTACCTGATGATTCTCGACCCCGGTGAAGGGAATTTCAAGGACGCGTTCATTAAAGACCATCAAAGAGAATTCACCTTCACGTTTGCCAACAAAAACATTCTCGTCGAAGACATTAGAGTTCGAGGTGTGGGCAAATCGACAGCCAAAGCGGCAGAAACGCCACATGCAGAACTCAAGAGCTTGAAAACGTTCAATGTCGGTGCTGAGAAGCAAGATGACTCCTGTACAGTGTATTTCCACCACACGGGTAAAGTCGACACTCCCGTATTCTTCCTGGGCCGCCTCGAGCCCGGCAGTCTTATCCGAGGCCCGGCCATGATCATCGACCAAACACAGACGGTTGTCGTCGAACCGGAGGCGACAGCAACTATACTATCGCGGCACATAATTCTTAACATCTCGTCTTCCAACAAGGTCAACAAGAGTGACACACAACAATCCGAAATGGTTGTGGACCCCATTCGATTGTCCATCTTCGGCCACCGCTTCATGTCGGTTGCGGAACAGATGGGACGTATGTTTCAGAAAACGTCGGTCTCCACGAACATCAAAGAGCGTCTAGACTTCTCTTGTGCTTTATTCTCGCCGGATGGGAAACTGGTTGCCAATGCACCACACGTTCCCGTCCATCTGGGTTCGATGGAATACGCCGTTCGCCACCAGCACGCCCAATGGCGGAACAACCTCGCACCCGGCGATCACATATTAACCAACCATCCATTGGCAGGAGGGACTCATCTCCCAGATATCACCATTGTCACCCCCGTCTGGAACGAGGCCGGTAACCAGATCATCTTCTATGTGGCTTCCCGAGGTCACCATGCCGAGATTGGCGGGACGAGGCCAGGATCGATGCCCTCAGACAGTCGTATGCTTTACGAAGAGGGCGCCATGACCATGGGGTTCAAAGTCGTCTCGCAGGGTGTCTTCGACGAGAGAGCCGTCCGCAAATTTCTGTGCGATGACCCTGCAACGTACCCGGGTTGCAGTGGCACACGAACGTACAATGACAACGTATCTGACTTGAAGGCCGCTATTGCGGCGAACCAAAAGGGCGCACAGCTCATTCGTGTGCTCATCGGAGAGTACACTCTGCCATCCGTACACTTCTATATGGACGCCATCAAATCCAATGCCGAAGTTGCCGTGCGTTCGTTCCTGAAGGCCACCGGTCTCAAGCGACGAGGACAACCTCTTCGCTTCTCTGACTTCATGGACGATGGGACCGAGATTAGACTCGAGATCCGTATTGATCCAGAGACGGGTAATTCAGAATTTGACTTCACAGGCACAGGGAAAGAGACGTTCAATTGTCTCAACGCCCCGAAGGCCATCGCCCACTCGGCCATTATATACTGTCTGCGGGCTCTGATTGATGTCGATATCCCGCTCAATCAAGGCTGCTTGGAACCCATCACGGTGATCATTCCTGAAGGCACGCTGTTGAATCCCTCGGGCTATGCAGCCGTCTGTGCAGGCAATCCGACAACATCGCAGCGCATTACCGACGTAGTGCTCGGCGCTTTTGGTGCGTGTGCAGCTTCTCAGGGGGATTGTAACATCATTTCCTTTGGGGTGGGCGGGCTGGACTCTTCGGGCAAGACGATTCCCGGTTTCGGTGTTGGTGAGACCATTTGCGGAGGCTCAGGCGCGGGACCAACGTGGCATGGAACCAGCGGTGTTCATGTACACATGACGAACACGCGCATCACCGATCCTGAGGTGTATGAACTTCGCTATCCCATCATCTTGCGTCAATTCTCGATCCGGAAAGGAAGTGGAGGGCGAGGCAAATTCCGGGGCGGCGATGGGGTGATTCGCGAGATTGAGTTCCGCATGCCACTGAGCGTGTCCATGTTAAGCGAGAGACGTGTGGGTCGGCCATATGGGATGAATGGCGGAGAAGCAGGACAAGCAGGGCTGAATCTGTACATCAAGAAAGAGATAGACGGGGAAGAGCGCGTAATTAATATTGGTGGCAAGATGGAGCTGAGCGTCAAGGATGGCGAGCGTGTCGTGATTCATACTCCTGGCGGTGGTGGATGGGGTGTGCCTGAGGAGCTTGGAATGAATGGCAAGACAGTGCCGATGATAAACACGGGGTTCCAGCCACGAGGCAGTGTGTACTCCTGGACAGCTGCAGCCGAGGCTGCACAGTGACAGATCGTTCACACCTCTTCAGATCGATTGTGCCGTAAGAAATAGAGGCATATGGAACATGAAAGCTTACAAGATTGGTGAATACGCACTGGAGATCTCGAGGCTGTGCCAGTTGTCACGCGTCCGCCAATCAGAGCGTAGTCACGTGCTACACGTGATATCAATGTCCGCGTCAAAGAATGTATCGACTCTTTATTGAGCACATTTCGGGCGGCAGTCAGAAGGCGCACCATGGTACCTACGTAGCATCTCGACTAGGAAAACGGAAGAAATCGTGAAGACACCTCGGACTTCTTTGGGCTCATCGAGCGCTATGAAGGAAATATGTTCCACACGAAGGACCGAGTTGACGCGATGGACCTTGCTTTTAAATTCAGGATCGATCTAATCCTTCCATTCGTTAGCCTCGACAAGTCGGTGAGACATCTGATTTGGAATACCGTCATCCAACGACATCCAGAGAACCTGCAAGCTTTGGATGAAGGAGACCTCGACAGACTGTCACAGCGGGAGTGGAATGAAATGGAGATCAAAGGTGCCAGCCAGACTGGCCTCACTCTGAGCCAAGGGCGAGAGGAAAGCGCTGTGTTTGGATCATCCCCAAGCTGTCTTGAATGTCAGAAAGGAGACCAAGTGACTTTTTGCAGAGGTGATTGTTACATAAAGCAGATCTTAGCCGCTGGCCCTTCGAACGGGAGAGCTCAAGCCGTTAAGTAAGACTGATCTTCCATCTACCCAACATGTCCGAGGCACGCTCCCACTCATATTGCTCACGATACTTTCGAAATTGTGGACCGGAATTGTTGTTCAAGTCGCTGCGTTGACGTACATCCTTTGATAGATCCCTCTGGGTCCAGACCATCTCCATCACCTTACGCGCGGGTTTAATATTCCCGAACCGTTTTCGATGCTCTATCAATTCGAATAATCGCAGGGCAGTCATGCGTTCTTCTTCGTTGTCAACGCAGCATCCCGCCAAAAACAGAGGCCATAGAGGCAGTACGGCTGTACTTATCATGCACTCAAGATTTTCGTCAATGAGTTGGATAATGGAATGTGTATATTGATGCTTGTCCGCAGGTTGAAATACCTGATTGTAAGCAAGTGATCCTGAATAGGAATTCATCAAAACCTCATGGAGAAGGAGGAGTGCTCCGAGACGGTAGGTTTCTGCTGTGGAGGTAAAGGCTGGTCGACGTGTTACCAGACTCATATTTAGCATTGCTGATTCAGGGAGGCACTGTTGAAGCTCGTCAAGGGAGGCCTTGAGTCGGAGCACGGTAGCAGTGGCAAAGTTATCTTGGGAGTCGGGAGATGAACTGGTGCTGGCAAGATCTGCTACCTCGTTGATCAATAGTAGAAGTGAATTGCTGAAACCCATATATGGATCGATATCATGGAGGCTGTCAAGGTCCATGTGCAAAGAAAGGAATGAAGTTGATGAGGTGAATGAGTTCAATGCCATAGATACCTCGCCAGTTTCGGCAGATGCAAGCGTCTTCGTTGATAATTTCGGAGAGACGTGAGCACTGTCCAGACCGCTCTCTTCCACTCTGAAAGCCGTTTTCGCGAGAACCAAGTGAAATGCAAAGTACTGAATGAAAAACGATTCCAAGTCGTTTCTGCGGAGCGAGTTGCCCCCAGCTAACCTTTGGCGGCGGTGAATCAAGCGGCGGAAGCCATCAAGGTGCTTGACCCAAGAGGGGTTACAACCATCAGAGATCTAGGAATTTGGTCAGTAACCAAAGGATAGAGAGCACGTAAATGCAGAGCTTAGACCTCAAACCAGCATAACATCAGAATCAGTCCAAGCATCTCATCCATGTCTTGAGCGTCACATTCGCTGTGGTTAAGAATGTTGATCAGGCTCTTCAGCGCGAGATGGCGGTGTTCTAGCGCTACCACACCATATTCAGGACGAGCGAGCCGCAATGTGCTGGCTGAAATGGCAAGGGTTGCATGATAAACGCCTTGGGATTGTAGAGCCATAGGGAGCAAGACATGTCGGTAGGGGTTGTTTTTCTCATCGTCCAGCAGTGTAGATGAGCTGCAGATAACAGCCTCGTAATACGATAGTAGTATGTGATCGTAGGCAGAACTCCTTCTAGGTTGAATCAGGGCCATTCCGTTGGGGGGATCGCCTGCTGGCATAGGTTCTGATTCCAGGTCACCCGCGCCAACTAGATCCCAGTTCTCGAGTGAGGAGTCTTCCTCAGGCTCCTTATCATCATGATCGCCCATGTATATCTGGATATCCTTCAGGGTGGTATTCAGGAAGCGTGCCCGCGGTATTCGAGGGAATGGCTGCTCTGGGGCTCCCTGAACTACCGCGGTTTGTTGGGCCCTCTTCGAGTCTCCCTGCTTCGACCACACACCCGTTCGGCCATGACAAATACCTCTTGCAATATTATCTTCCTGCCAAATAAGGCGGACGTCATAATCACATTCAAGGTCGCTGACACTACACCGAGTGCATCTGGGACGTGTTTCTACACGTGTCAGTCGATATCTGGAGTTCTGCCGGGAGGATCGCACCGTCGCACTTGACACGGCGGCCACGGCATGTCCAGCAGCCATTTCGGCTACGTGAGAAATTCATCGTGTTCGTGCCGCAACGCAATAACACTGTGCTTCATGGTCGCTTGCTTCAAGGCTGGATGTCAAGCTACAAGAAGCCAACAGCGGAGGCATTATCCCGTCACGTAGACAGCCTACGTGTAATAACCATTGGACATAGGCGCCTGGAAAGGAAGAAATTGAGGGCGAACATTGAGGGCAACGAACTCGCCTGTTATCTGATAACCAAGTATGGACGGCTTAACTACATCCATGCGTCGGCACGGCCGCTTTATAGGTTCTGTAGGCTTGGTGCCAGCCCGGAAATCCCTGTGGCGGGACAACTGATGTCCCGCCGCTTTTGGCCTCCCTTTCCGTTCAAGGGTAGGGCTATATGATCTGCCTCCCCGGCCCTGATAACAATCATAGCCATGGATATTTGAAGCATTTCGAAGCAATCCTCCCGGCATTTGGACTGGCTCAGAAATCCGTGCGACACATCTCTGTACAGAGCTCTCTTGAACATTTGGAAGATCCTTCGATTGGTACATTCTTTTTCAATCCCCATTGGACATCATGGTTGCTATCGATATTCTCAAGTTCCCGACCTCTTCTCCAGCAGATACTACACCGCTCGAAAGATTATTAGCGGCTGGATATGATGCTTCTCAGATCCTGGCCGTCATTGGCAAGACAGAAGGTACGTCGAACTGCAGTCAGTACCACTTGCGAAAGCCTGTGTCACGTGGAACGCTAGGCCTAGCTAGGACTAGCCCACTAGAGCATTCGTTTACTTCAGTCAACCTTTGCCATTGCGGTATTCCCTTGCTCCTTTCCTTCCTCCTCTCGTCCCAGATATGACAGCCTGGCTGACCTAGTTTCGAGGCAATGGCTGTGTCAATGACTTTTCCCGAACTCTGGCATCAACGGTTTGGGAGCCCAAGATCCCTAAAGACGCTGTGACCATCTTTTCGGGCGGCACGGAAGGCGTTCTATGTCCTCATGTCACCTTCATTCTGCGAGCGCACAAGAACTCGCCCACGGGACTATCAGCTTCGGTAGGACGCACCAGAGAACTCTCTCCTCATGAGATTGGGACGGTGGACCATGCGCAAGAGGTCGCTCAGACTGTAGCAAGACTCATCAACGATATTGGTGTGGCAGTAGAACAGGTCCAGCTTGTCCTCATCAAATGCCCATTACTCACATCGACGAAGCTGGAGATGATCCGCGCAGAAGGCCGACAACCAATCACTACCGACACTTACGAATCTATGGCCAAGTCAAGATACGCGAGTGCGATTGGTATTGCAAGGGCATTGGGTGAATTGGAAGAATCCCAGATTTCTGATTCCCTAAAGTCTGAGAACTCCTGGAGCGCAAAAGCCAGTTGTAGTAGCGGAGCTGAGCTCGACGACTGTCACATCTTCATACTGGCCTCCAACACCAACGTATCAGGAAAATTACACTTAAGGGCTGTCTCAAAGCCAATGCAAGACGCCATCGATGCTGCCGCTCTCCTTGACTTATTATCCCAAGTTCGGAAAGACGATGGCGAGGTGGTGCAAGTATTTACAAAAGCAGAAGCCGATCCGCGAGGCCAGGTACGAGGCAATCGACATACCATGAACACGGACAGCGACTTGCACAGCACTCGCCATGCTAGAGCCGCGGTCGGAGGACTAATTGCAGGACTCGTTGGGGATACCCAGATATATGTATCAGGGGGAGCGGAGGGTCAAGGGCCTCCCGGGGGTGGCAGTTTGTGTCTTGTCTACAGGAAGCCGTACAACCTATGACAAGTCGCCAGTCCTACATTAGACACCCAAGAGGCTCCAGGAACCTTCACCCTTCCCATGTCGAGGTGGTTCGTGATAATCCTGCTCGGCAGATTTGTTGATTGCCAACAGCACTGTAGCTGCCCAGCCACGTTTGGGCTTGTCTTCATGTCAGACCTCTGCTTCACATCCTGCGTTGTAGGCAGACCTTTTCGAATAATTCCACCTCTTCCTTCTTCCGGCATCGTGACTGATTGATCGCAGTTCCCTTTAATCCCAGCTGCTGATTTGCAAATCTCAGACTCAGCACAGGCAAGAGCAGACCATATATCATCAGCTTCGTGAAATATGCCCACGGCTCTACTATGTCTGTGAAGCCGCCACATTATAAGAACTCAGCTAAGCACGAAAACACACCCCCGAAGATGGTGGGGGCAATGCCGATGTTGTACAATTGCTCTTGCAAAGACTTTTTCAGACTGGCATGTTGCCGATAGCAGAGTTCCGGAGCAAAGCGAGAGTCGTATAGTCCAACTTCGTGAGAATTTTCGCTCACACTTTTTGGGTGATTTCTCTGTCCCGATAACACCACGGTACCTTTTCACTTGCACGTTCAGCATGACCTTTTCTAGACCACGCAACAACCTCATGAGTTTTCTTAGTATATTCCACAGTCTTTCGCCATCCCAGAGAGTGAAAAGTAATGGAGCCGTCAGCATGATGGTCCCAATTGCAGCGGACGAGTGGGAACGCCATGAGAACTCCCTCGTTGTCCCGCACAAAGCGTATTGCTTCATCATACTCGATGACGTGTACGGGCTAGGTAGAAGAACATGGAAGATGTCTCATTGATGTCAACACAGATGAACCGTAATGCAGCACGGCCAGCCGGAGTATACTTGGAGAGATAGATTCATATGCTTTCTCATATTTTCCCCATTGAGCTAAAGTGGGCGGTTGATTCCAGGGGCGGACGCGGAGAAGATGTCCATCGATCATTCGGGTTAACAAGCTTCTTGGTACCAGAGGTAGCCCATGTTTTGATGAGATTTGATAGAATGTGTTAGATGGAACGGTAATATCAAGTTATCGAACGAGCTGGAGCGTGAGGAAGAAATTTTGTCTTTGCAGCAATGATCTGAGCGCCGCTCAGCTGCGGATTCTAATGGTTCCTTGTGTCTTTGCCAGAGGAGAGCTGTCTGGCCCGAAAACAAGTCGACATATAAGCCTGCTTGAGCGGGAGGCAGTGTCCGTTCTGAATAAATGCTCGGTTCTTTCCCTGGCTAGTTCTTTGTGGCAACAAGCAGTGAAAAAGGATTGATGTAGAATAATGGAAAGCTCTTCTGAAATTTTTGCTCAGTCAATGCCTCTCTGAGACAGGAGGATAAAGTCAGCCATTGCTTCGATGGAGCCTTGAGCATACAAAGAACATAGAAGCAATGACAGGGAGGTGATGAACTGACCAATAAGAGGCAGCGTGGGTTACTAGCCACTCGGACCGGGCGGAGGACAACATTAACCAGTGTAACATAGAATCATTGTATATCAGTACGGGTATTATCTATCTATCCTGGCACTAAGAACATGCCTGTACCGTCTCGCTCCCATGGACACCAGCTCGCGATTTTCCACAAGTCGCAAAGAGCATAAAAGTCCGCCGCTAATAGCTATAATTTTCTTTCACAGCGGACAACTATCGAATTGAGTTAGAAAGCAAGACAGGAAGAAAACACGCCCCAAGCCTACAAGAAGCCGTCAACTAAACTAGAAATTTGTCTTGGATCGTCGAGCACGTATTCCCACGGTATGGTTAGAAGCATTTCGAATTTCGTTTCGTTGTGAACAGGGCTGTTGAATTTCTGGGAGGAAAAGAGTTGGTCTGCTGAGTCCAAGACTCATTAATCACAAGGCGATTCCAGGGCCAGGTCCCAGTTTGGAAGGTCCGATAGGAGAGTTGCGGCGATCCCGGACATTGCTGGCAGAATTGCTTCTTCGTCGACTCTCAGCACCCATCGGTGGCGGTCCTCCTCTACCTCCATAGGGTCCTGGTGACATACTTCGCTTTGCCTGTGGTCTCGGTCCTGGTGAAAGAGGTCGAGGTGCTTGGTTGAAAGGGCCTGGGCTCATAGGTCTTCGTGTGCCGGCTGGGCTCATAGGCCTCCGAGCTCCAGCGGGACTCATTGGTCGTCCACCAGGGCTCATTGGCCGTTGTGGAGGAGGCATACCAGGTCGAGGGCCGTTGAAGTGGGGTCCATTTCGTCCAAGCGGGCCGCCAGCAGGAGACATAGGTCGAGACATGGGGCTTCCTGGAGGAGGAGGTCGAGCGTATTGGTTGAGATGTGATGGCTTGGGCTTAGACGGTTTGGCAGCTAAACATGTTCTAGGAATAACACCTTGTTGAGATCGGTCAAGTCTGATGCATAGAGCCTAGACAAGGGGGTCAGATTATACTTGCGTTAGAAAGTGTCAATGATACTTACCCATCCGTCATCATATTCATGAAGCAGTCGAACAAGTTGGCCGGTGTGAAGTTCGAGCTCGTCATCCATGGTGGGCTTGAAGTCCATCAGAACACGATAAACATTTCCTTGAGATGGTTCTGAAGCGGGGCTGGTAGCAGCCACTGGAGCTGGAGTGACCGGAGTTGATGGAGTAGTCGATGGAGTGGTTGGAGAAGATGAAGGTGCTTGCTGGGGAGTAGGGGCAGGAACTGGTGCCGGGACCGGTGCAGGGACTGCCGCTGGAGCTGGAGCTGGCGCGGGAGCGGGAGCGGCGGCCGGGGTTGGCTTCGGTGCGACGGAGGCAGCAGAAGCTGTAGCGGCTCCAGCGACAACACCAGCAATAACTGGAGCAACAGGAGCCGACTTGGGGACAGCCGTCGCAACAGGAGCAAGGGCAGCTGGTGCGGGAGATTGAACGGCCTTCTCGGGGTCAGCAAAAGGATTCTGTGGATCAGCGAAAGGGTTGTTCGGGTTCTGGTCATCAGAACGCTGAACAACAGGGATGAGACCGTGTGGTTGAGGTGATGGTGTCAGGTTTCGAGATGGAGCAGGTCCTGATTGTCCCATGGTGGTGAGCAAGTTGCCGCTGTTCGGTCTACCCTTGGATGTAGTGCCCATGAACTCCGGCAACATTCGAGAAACAGGCCGGAGACTCAATCGTGGAGCAGCAGCGCTGGTGATTGTTGGCTTTCTGGTCACCATCTCAGTGGCAGCAGCACCAGCACCATAAGTTGATTTTTCATTGTCCTTGCTCACTTGGGCCTCGCGCTCTTTTCTCTTCTTTCCAAGAAGCCAAAGCAGGAAGACAGCGATCAGTCCAACGACGGCAATGACACCGATTGCGAGTCCAGCTTTCGCGCCAGTCGACATGCCACTACCAGACGAGCTGGAGGAATCGGAAGAGGAGCTCGGCGTAGCAGAAGCAGCTGCTACAGACGAGACACCAGCGTTCGCATTGGAGAAGCTTGAGGGAGAAGTAGCAAAACTGGTGGTTGGTACGGAAGTGGGCACCGGATCAGATGTCGGTGAAGTCTGCGCAACAGCCGTGTCTGTTGGGGTGGTGGAGACTTTGACACTGGGAGAAGTGGTTGGTTCAGCAACAGTGGTAGCGACAGAACTCAGGCTTGTTGGCTCCGTGAGGCTGGCTTCTGTAGTAGGGTCGTCGGTCAGAGTAGTATATCCTCCAATGACACCAGTAAATGTTGGCTCCGCGGTGACATAGACAACCGAGTAAACTGTGCCTCCATCCGTACTCATAGCACCTTGACGTTTCGCCAATTCGGCCATTCGGGCGTGGAAGTTCTTGTGAGAATGGTCCATATTGTTCTCGTTCGGGAGCGCAGTCAGGATCTCTTTCTCGAAGGCTTAGAATGATATCTGAGAAGATCTGTTTATCGTCGGTCCTCGAGAGGGGTTTCGTTGTCAGGAGCGTTAATACGAGTAGAGAAGGTATGACCGGTCTTCCAGCACGGCTGGGTGATTTTCAAAAGAGTGTCGGAGGGAGGTGATAAGGAATGGTTGGTGATGAATTGCCGATAAAAGAGGGGCGACAATTCACACACCCGAATTGGATGAAGAGAGAAGGGTGAAAGAAGAATCGAAAAAAGGGACTGCGCAGTCCGCGAAGAGCGCAAGCTGGTGAAAAACGTGAAGGAATGTAAATTAAGAAAGGTAAGAGAAGCAGTAACATGGCCAGTAGGGTAGGTTAGTAATGGAAGCTGGTGACGCGGTGGGAATCTGAGTTGTATTGACGAGGGCGGATTGTGGTCAAGTTCTAAGGGACATGGCAAGGCATTTGCGGCTGGTGATTGGTGTGCCTGAATTTAGCAGAAAGCCACCGCAGAGCCTAAAGCTGGAAGAAGTTAGGTGGCCCGGTACCTGCAGAACTAGCTGCTGGACGGGCGAAATTACACGGCGTCGACATTTTGACACGAGTTTGTTGATCTTGGTGTGACAGGAGTACGCAATTGCAGAGACTGAATGATAGAGTCTGTGGTATGCCCGAATGTTTGCTAACAACTGTCTCCTCTGACCACCAAAGTTCAAGTACAATGCACAGACTGATGGGAATGAGTCCACGAATGCGATAGACAAAGGAGACTATCTCCAGCGAGATTTCAGGGGTCGACTAAACCAGCCTCCGAGGCACCGCGTCCATATTTGGCGAATGCCCTTATCAGCTTTCCCACTGGCGCATGCACAAGCACCAGCATCAGCACCAGCTCAGGCTCAAGCACAAGCTCAACTTTCCACCTGCCATATAGCATGCTCTAATTTTGGCACCCATCATCGCCATCTTGCCATCACAACTGGAGCGGCAGATGGACCCATTTCATACCACCATTTCCCTGTCAGCCTTGAAATTGCGGGTTGACCATCTCATGATTGTCATCCACCCCCTCTCCGCTTGTCTCACCCTATCAGACGCCAATCTATCCAGAAACTCATTCGCCTCTGCCGCTCACTGCCGACCCTGATTGATGATTCGTCCTCTTTTCGCTCTGCATGTTCGCCTTTTTCCACATGTCTCGAACGTCCGCGACTTCCTTATCGATCGCTAGAATTGATCATCGCGTGCACGCTGCGGCAATCCAGGCCGATGAAACTGGGGAATTTACATGGTCGTCCTTAGCCAGACAGCAATACGCCGATCAATGAAGACCTGTGTTCTTGAAGAAAAGAAGGGTGGATGATCGCTCTGGTGTTTGTTGATATGATGTCAACTCAAATGCTACCAATTTGGTGGTCATGGAGCAGCGACAGCTGTCCAAACGGCATTTCAGAGAGATGAGACTCTCCATTTTCAGAAGACTACTACCAGCCTACTTACAAGGAGAGCAAGCCACTTCGAATCCATCAAGCTTCCCCAAGCTTGTCCGACCTCCCAGGTTCTTAGATGCGAGAACAGAATGGTGAGGCTTGCTTTCTGCCCAACATATAATCAGTTATCATTCAGAATGTCTTCTGCCACCATTGTACATACGGCCACGAAAATAGGCATATATCCAAATTGGAGGTGGCCGACTTGATTCACGCTCCTGAACACTGTATATGATCTTCATGTCATCACCTTCTTCCAATACTAGACCCGAGGTCGTGAGCAATGGCTTGTTTGGCGGTCAACCTTCGGGAGCATTCGTAGCACACAGTCCTGTTGACAAAATCGATAGCCGATTCAGTGGCACCAGGAAGAATATCTTTCCAAGGTTTGGCTGGAAAAGTTTGAAATCGCATTTTGCCCCAGTCAGGATATTTCCTCGCCGAAGGCCAAGTTTCATCATTTGGTGTCCCTATCGTTGTGAGTATGGATTTGATTAGACTCAATTCGCTCCCCAGTGGACCTGCGTCGAATATCGCATGGTGACCGTCTTTGACCATCTCTGCAACCACACAGCCCGCTGCCCACATATCTAACGACGTGTCATACGAACGATCGCCGAACAGAAGTTCAGGTGGGCGATAACAAGTTGTACCAACATCAGTGAACTTGGAATCTGCCGCCTCAGAGTCTTTGTCGTCGGGAGACCATGCGATTCCAAAGTCAGCAAGATATACTGGCCCGTCCATCGTCTTGAGCAGGATATTCGATGGCTTAACGTCTCGGTGGATCATGCCTAGGGCATGAATATGCTCCAAAGCGGCGAAAAGTCCCCGAAAGACCATCCCAGCCTGTTTTTGGCTGAAGGTTCCTGACCTAAGAAGATTCTCCAGATCTTGCCTGAGGAAGGGGAATACGAGGATGAATCGGCCTCCCGATTCATGAATTGAGTCCAGAAGCGGTACGACATGTTCATGGCGGGCTTTGACGAGAAGTCGAGCCTCTCTTTCGGAATTATGTGGAGGAATCATCCTAGTCGGATAGGTAAGTTTGAGAGCAACAATCCGGGCTGGAGCATTCCTGTCCTTGGCCTCCGCTTTGAAAATGGTGGACATTTGCCCGTCCACGTGAAATGTGGCATATTGATAATTGCCAAAGCTGGGACCTTCAAGGTTCAGTATCTCCGCTTCTTGTGGGGGTTCTTCTGAATGAGCTTCTGGTGGCGATTGCAGGCATTCAATTACAGCTTCAAGTTTGGCCTGATACTCGTCCTGATATTATCGTTAACTCTCTTGTTTCAACACTTGGTCGAGGGCCGCCTACTGGCGAAGAGGCAGTATTGAGAGTTTCCTCCTCGAGATCTTTGGCTTTTGTGCGAGCGGCTTCTGCATCTTGTCCTGTTGAGATGAATGCATTTGACCTGCTAAATGTCAAGATGAGGTAACAGAGATTTCAAAATCTTCCTCACAAAGACATAATATTGCCCAACCTATCAGCGAAACGAACATCCACCGGCATGATGATCGGCGATACGAGGTTATGTCTATCAGTTCTATAGGTTTCACCCAAACATTGTGCCCTCTTGACGGTATACCAAGGGATTGAGAGGTCTCAGGAGTAATGATGGTGGTCGTCCATAACATCGACCAAAAGAAGGAAACGAAAACAGCTAATGAGATGGCTGCGAGATAGGCCTCTCCCTCGTGTGATTATATTGTTGGTATTCCAGGTTACTCGACGGTAGGTTTTCAAATAGCGAGCATTCGAAATCCTGTTCAATTTTCGCTACTGCGACAGACCGGAGGAGGCTAAAGCAGGACTAGGTTTGAAGATCGAAGAAGAACCAGAGGGGGGGGGGAATTGTGCACCGATGAATTCTGGAAATGTGGAGGAGGGTGCAGTTTGTCACCTGCTCCAGAACTCCTACGTAATTGATGCCCCGAACAAATGCTGGCGGCTCCCGGGGTCAGCATCAGCAGACTGAACTTCGGACTGCTGCTTTAGTTCCTAGTCCTTTACTGACAGCATTACACAAACTCCCACGCATCTTCGCCATTTCCTCCCACAACCTCGTGGCCGTTGACAGCCTAATTAGCTTCTGTTCAATGCTTGAATGACACCTGCGCTCGCCGAACATGGAGTTCTCTCGAACAGAGTATCCCAATCTACTGGTATAGCCCTCCATCGAAAATCCGCAGCCCTCCGATTCTCCAAACTGACTCCAATTGCGCCAGGCGACATTGCAACCCGATCAGGCAATCACCGTCCTCAATGATCGCGTCGCTCTGATTTCCAAGATCAACAGTGACATTGCCGACTGGCTTCAGGCAAGACATTCCCGTGCAGCCTGGCAAATCCCTCACTAAACGTCCTGAAGGAACGTCGGAAGGTAGAAGAAGCATATGTTGCTGGTTTGCGGAAGCTTGCGCGAAGGCCTCAACAAGATGGAGCTGTAGCTCTTGGGTAGGGACGATACTCCGTTGGTCATGTCATGTTACTAAACAATACAGCATCTTTCAAATGCCGTGGCAGCGAATTGTATCCGGCACGGAAAATCTCGCGGCCTCTCACGAAACGCTCGCCACCAAGATCGAAACAGATGTCGAAAATCCATTGAGGAACTTTGCAACTCGCAATAGAGAAATGCAGGCTCTGGCCTCGACCCAGGGCAATCTCAATTCCATCGCGAAAGAATTGGCTAGTGCCCAGAAAAAAGCTGCAAAAGGGGGAAGGAAGGCCGACACTGCAAGCACCGCAGCGGAAGATGCTTCACGTCAGTGGGAGTCACAAGCACCCTATGTGTTTGAGCAACTGCAGGCGCTCGACGAGACTAGGATTAATCATTTGAGGGACGTCCTGACTCAATTCCAGACTCACGAGGTGGACTCGATTGAGAAGAGCCGACTCAGCGCCGAGTCATGCCTTAATGCACTCCTGAACCTTGAAACAGCAGATGAAATAAAGACCTTCGCGGCCAGAACCAGTGGAGGGCCGAGCACTGCTCTCAGAAGGCGAAGCTCAGCAGCGGCCAGTGCTAGACCTTCAAGTCCTCAGATTCGGGCTCCTCCGACACCACCGCCTCCGCGACACACCGAGGATAGACAGAGCCAGCGGACGAATTCATTTGCTGGTCGGGATAGGCTAGCTCCATGTATGTTGTTGTTTTTCCCTTAATTTCTCTCTCATCAATTGACCGTATCTGACGCGACGTAGTGCCCGATGCGACACCTCAAAAAGAGAAAGGCAAACTTGGAGGCCTCAAACGTCTCGGTACGGTAATGAGCAGAAGGAAGAGCACCGTTGCTCCGGTTCTGCACCATCCTCCAGAAGAAAAGAGGAAGACACGTTCCTTTGTGCCGTTTAGGAGAGGTGACTCGTCTCGAAGTTTCCAGGATTTGCAGGAGTCAGGACAAGATCTAACACCGAGCACATCTCGAGATGAACGACCTCTTTCTTCAATATCACACGACAGGCGACATGAGTTACCTTCCCGAAGCCGGCCTGAACCGCCGTTGCCGCTTACGAATGGCAACACTCTGCCACAAGCTACATCGGAATCGAACGCGGAGGTTGCTCCAACCCAACCTGCCTTGCTTAATACTGTTAACACCCCTCAGACCCCAAATCAACCGCCCCAAACGTCTGCTGTACAAATGCCATCCGCTCCAGCCATGGATCCGATCACTCAAGCCCAACAAGAGGCGGCCCTGGCGTCCGCATCTGGAGATGAATCATCTCGTAACTTCATGATCCGCGATCAACCCATTAAAGAAGACGAAAGCGAAGCTCAACTGGCATTGAGCAATATGGCCAATCAATTGCGATCTCAAGCTCAAAACTCGGGCATTAATCGAGTCCAAGGAAGTGTGAGAGGGCGACGAGACGTTCGAAATACCATGTACGTCCCAAGCAGCGCAGAATCACCGGGATCAGCACCATCGACCTCGCGCGCGGGTCCGCCTGTAACTATACCTTCTGGAGTCAGTTCGACCGAGAACGTCATGGCGTCCCCTATCCAGAGACCACCCCCGGTCGCGATCTTGCATGATGACCACGTCATGGGCTCTGATACGACCTCTATACATTCTTCCCGAAGCCTTTCTGGTCCAAGTCAACATGTCGATCTTCATGATCCTGGTCTGAATGCCTCTATCGTCGAGACTGTCCACTCGTGGTTCACCGAGTCGGGCATCAGCAAGTCTTTTGTCCTCGGCGAAGTTGCGTTTGCATATAATCTTACTGGATCTTCCAATCCTGACCATGAAACCGTCCGCTTGCGGCACTTCGAACGTTTGGACAAAGTGGCGGCAAATCCGATATTTGTGACCCAAATCAAATCTACTGGGGAAGCCATGGCAGAGGAGCAGGCAGGCTCCTACACCGTAGCAACTGCAGCCATCCGAAGGCCTTCACCTATGATTGGTTTGAAATATCAACTTCATCTTGAAGAGAGCAGTCTCGCTCAATACAGCCCTGTCTTGATCACGCCAGCCTGGCAGGTGGTTGAAGGCCAAGTCAGCGTCATTGTCTTGTACAGTCTCAACCCCGTTTTTGGAAGCGAACCCTTGAGCCTCAAGAATGTGACCATCACTGTGAACTTGGATACCTCAGGCGAAGGGACAGGCAAAGCAATAAGCGCGATGATGGCGCCTACACAGGGCGCCAGTTTTCGTCGGAAAACGTCGTCCGTGGTATGGCGGCTGAAAGACCTCGCCGTCAAGAGTGAGCAAGAAAGACTCCTGGTGAGATTCATGACACAAGGTGGCATGGTCAAAAAAGGCACAGTCGAGCTCAAGTTTGAAATCACCGGTCGAACGGCGTCCGGGATTGGCGTTGAAAAGATGGTTGCTGAAAACGATCCCTTTGCCGATGACACGGCCGAGAGTAGTGCAAGGGCGAGTGCGGAAGAAAAGAGATGGGAACCTGTCAATACTCGCATGAAGTTGGTGACGGGGAGGTATACCGCCAGCTGAGTTGTCGAGGCGCCCCTTTGTAATTGACCGGGTCAATTTTGCAGGATATTTATGATGACAGCGACACCTTCTAGGAGACCAAAAAGAGAGCAAGATATCGTGGATACCATTCTACCTAGGCAATCTAGTTATCTAACCACTGCATTTGATTGCACAATACATCACATCATGTCATGTCAATTGTTGATACACAGAAAACAGCTCAATCCCGTACTAATGTTTGTTGGTTATATTTCAAGACATCAAAATGGATGTGGACCTGCAAGTGAACGCTACTTCTTGTTCTGTTCTATCCTGCAGCACCAACTCTGCTGGCAGACCCGCCTTTATCTGGTTCGGAATCAAGACATCGGTGAGTAGTTCCCAGCCACTACATCTCTCCTCTGCATTGGGCCTGGTCCATCACAGTATGGTTTCTATAGTCGAGCCTCACTATTTCCAGACAGGATTCATTTCAACACCAAAACAGCCCTCTCCTTGTCCATCCTGGCAACTTCTTTGACGAGCGCCACAAAATCTGCACGGCGCTCCTTTGGATGTGCAACAACCTTCATCAAGTCCTTGATCGTGATCCCTTGCGGCGGTATTGCGTTCTTGATATCCTGGTGCGTGGGGAAGACCTGAGGGCTACCAGCACCGGGCGAAGGCGCAGAGCGAGGAGCAGGCGAGCCCGCGCGCGACGATGGCTGAGGTGTCCCAGTTCCTGTCGCTGGCGGCGAGGCAGACATCTTCAACTTGAGTCGTCTCGCCCGGCTGCCATCTGACATGGCACCTCCGTCGCGATCGCTGACCATCGGATCTGTGTCGGAACCGGCAGAGCCTGCAGCACCACGTTTACGTGGTTTCAACACCGCCGATGGGTCGAGCGTCTGTGGAGCTGAGGAGCCTGAGGGCACGTTTGCCGGGGACATGGCTCGTGAATGACCTGGGGTGGGTTGTGATGATGAGATATGTTTGGATTTCAATTTCTTCTTCCGCGTTGACGCGTCAGTGCCCGAAGCTTCGGACAGGTTCGGTGACCCGGGTCGTTTGAGAGAGCGCGCAGAGGATGATTTCTTCACGCCGCCTTCTCGATCGCTGGGCGTGCCTCCTCTTTTGCCTTTGCGGCCAGACGGCGTGTTTGTCCCGGAGGAAGACACGGCGGATTTCTTGCCTTCGGTTTCTTCTTCTCTCTTGATGTTGGCAAGACGTTCGCGCTCGAGACGCTCACGTTCTTCTTCTGAGTCAGTCTGCCAGTGTATTAGTATAAAGCCCTTCACTCGAGGAAGTGGGACTCACCGATGATTCATATTCAGAGTCACTCCCATGGTTGTAATTCCGCTCTCTCCGTTCAAGAGCCTTTCGGAGGTCTCGGAAATTCTTCTTTCGCGCCTCTGCCTCCCGCTTTTCTCGCGCTTCTGCCTCATCATACTCTTTGAGGTCTTTGAAATCGAGGAAATTGGCTTGCAGTTGATCCTCCTTAATTCGCTTCTCGGCAAACTTTTCGTCCTCGTCTTTGTCTGCGAAGAGATCACCTTCCTCATCATCGGCGAAATCATCTTCGTAATCCAGATCTGCTTCTTCACCAGTTCTGCCTGCAATGGTTGATGTTTGAGCGCCGGAGAAGAGGCCTTTGCTTTGTCTTGCTGCTATCTCCCTCGAAGCTTCAGCGATACGGGCTTCTCGTTGGCGAATCAGCCATTCAGGATCGGTGCCTCGTTTCTTCATCGCAGCTTCAACTTCTTCAATCGACATTTGCGGGGCGATTTCTCGTTTGGGCTTGAACTGGTACACCTTTTCGATGGGAATGAGTCGGAATTTTCCCGTCGACGTATCCACCGCAGGCTCGAAGATGAAAGCGGCATGGGAGCCCATTGATCCAATTTGATGGTGTCCAATCAAGCAATGTTTATTATCAAAGTCTTCCAAGTGCCATGGAAGCTTTTCTTCATAATTGGTCTGGATGCGGCGTCTTTCTTCGGCCGAGAAGTCGGGCCTGAACACCTGCTGAGTTTTCTTTTTGAACGCATTCATCTTTTTGCCTGCATTCTGCGAGGGAGCTATCTGAGCCAGATTAGCTTCACGCTCTTTCTGTCGAGCCTCTTTTCTCTTGTTCAGCTCTTCTCGCTCAGCCGCATTGAGGCCATCTTTGGGCTCTTGCTGTTCTTCTTCTTTCTGCTGCTGGCCGGGAGGAGGAGCTCGAGGGTCGCGTCTATGCAACCGCGCTGGTTTGGTGAATTCGGACTCGTTGCGAATATCGATGGCCTTGTCACTGGCCAACTGGAGGATATGATAGCGTAGGCCATTGAGGATATCTTTCTTCGTTGTGACAAGCTTGTAGTCTTTGTAGGGGATCCCTTCAGCCGTGAGTCGCGGGTCACTGAAACCACTAACACGCTCGTGCTCTGGAATGGGGGGTTTGGATGGAGAAGCAGCGCGCGGTGGATTGGGAGTGGATGTTCTTAAAACGGGGGGTTTGAGCGGCGGATGCCCGTTGACCGGAGGCGTAGGATGCCCATTTACTTGAGGTCTACCCGGCGGGAGAGGTTTTCTGGTAGCCTTGAAGAAGGGATCAGATCGAGGTTTCTTGCGCTTCACAAGCGGAGCAGTGCCTGGTGGTTGGTTTGCAAGTCCGCCTGCGGGGGCGGAACCTGGGTTCATTCTGTGCTATGAGAGCATAAAGTCTGGGTAGGAGGAGTGAGGAGAGTCGGCGGGAAGGCGTAGGAAGAGAGGATCTGGTCGCTACGACACTGCGGTGGTGAGGACCACCGTGGCTAATGAAGAAAGTAAATAGTATTGGAATGCAAAGAAGGCCTCGTCGGTCGGACTGAGTGGTAGCATTCATCAGCGCCACACTGGCAAGGAGAGCCTTTCTCCAACGGTCGAGTATGCCGGGACGAGATTCCGCGAGATCGGAAGAATAGAAATTCCGAGGAGGACTCGGCAATAAGCCAGCCAGTTTGTTTTGGAGTCTTCACCACTCACATGTCAGAACCAACCATGCCACTCTCTATCGCATCAAGTCCTTCATCCAACATCCTTATTTACTACTAGGCAGCCCGAGGACCTTACATTCACTGTCGCCGTCTTGTCGCCCTGATGATTCCTGTGCGATTCTATAAACGTCTTTCCCTGCGCGCCGTTCCTCTCAACCGATCTGGTTCCGGTTTTGGTTGAGTTGATCACGACATCAAAAGAAGTCATGGTCGTCCCTAAACTGATCTAATACAAACTCATTGCCATTCAAACATGGATGCTTCATCAAATCATTCCGGTTTTTCTGATCACGTATGGAGTCAGCTGCATCAAGCGTCTCGGCAATCTGCGCAGCGACGAGGACGCAATCGCGGCGGGCGAAGCTCAGGCAGATTCGCGACGACCCATCATCAGCATTTTGTGAGCGATCGCGGTCACGCTACCTTTGCCGATGGCCAGCAGCAACCTCCCTTGCCAACTAACATGGAGTCATTTCCTCCCCTTGGAGCCACCTCCGCGTCAGCAACGGCATCAGCGTCGGCCTCAATCGAGGCCACACCCTATGCCCATTCTCAGTTTCACGTGTCACCCTTTCCACCCCCTCCTCCATTCAATAACCCACGTCACGGTACACCACGCGAGTACCAAGAACGTGCCAGAGGTAATTACAGAGGTTACTCTGGACGTTTTGCCCCACAACACCATGTTCCACCATTCGCGCAGCCTGTCAACATGGCCCAACATCAACTCTACGGACGACCCCCGCCACGCCCTGGCCCCCTGTATCAATACAACGCCAACGTAGACTATTCGGCCCATGAAGAACAACGAAGCGTGCGACATGCTATCGTGAGACAAGCCGATTACCTCAATAGGGTCGGCAAACATGCAAGCGACAGTCACAAACTCACCTTGGAAGAGAAAACCACCAAGGAGAACTTTCGAAAGCAGCTAGAGGAAATCGCGAGGAAGGCTCTCGGTGCCCAATACTCTCATCTGGAGCAAGACGAGATTAGGTTGAAGTGCTATGGCAGTCTTGCCAATGGCTTTGGTCTTGCAGGTTGTGACATGGATCTCCTTCTGATACTCCCCGATTCTCCCAAGTCCACTGCCGATCACACTGAGGGGGAACCAGAGCCACAACTTGATGTTCACGATGATGAAGACGAAAAGCGCAAGTTCCATGACGGTGTACGTCGCTTGTTGGAGAAAACATACCTTGACCAGGAATTTGGAGCGAGACTTCTTACCAAGACCCGTGTTCCAATCCTACGCATCTGCCAATACCCCAGTCCCGAGCTTCTGAGGAACTTGCGTGAGTATCGTGCTGCCTGGGAACGAGTCTCTTTTGAGACACCTCCCGGCGGCGCACTCTCTCAACCATCCGAAGATGTTGCTACCGACGTCGACGCAGTCGAGCACGACATGACCGATCTCGCTCTTGCAAACACTGCTCCTAGGAACCCGCTGTGCCGTGGCAATGCCGGTCTAGAGTTTGTCGGTGACTGCGGCATCCAATGCGACATCAATTTCACAAACTTCGTCGCTGCTCACAATACGAATCTGCTTCGACTCTACCACAGCTGGGATTCTCGGGTGGGACAAATCGGAACATTTGTCAAAATTTGGGCCAAAGCCCGGGACGTCAATACTCCATATCGTGGCACTTTGTCCAGCTACGGCTACATTTTGATGGTGCTTCACTATCTGATGAACGTCGTCAAACCGGCCATCATTCCGAACCTGCAGCATCTGGCCAAGAAGGACGATGCATGGGAACCCGACAGGAAGATTGAGTTGTTTGAAGGATTTGACATTCGCTTTGTTCAAGACTCAACGGAATTGAAGCAGATCCGCGATGATATGGCCAGGAACAATGAAAGTGCAGGACAATTGCTGCGGGGATTCTTTGAATATTATGCATCTCCACGCGGGTTTCATTGGACTCGAGACGTCATTTCCATTCGGGTGCCGGATGGCAGGCTGTCGAAGCAGGACAAGGGATGGACCGAGGCAAAATGGGCTCACGCGGAAGAGAAATCAGTCCGCTTGCGCTACTTGTTGGCCATTGAAGATCCTTTCGAAGTCGATCATAACGTGGGTCGAACCGTCGGCCATCATGGCATTGTCGCCATCCGAAACGAATTTCGTCGAGCCTGGTCAATTCTCGAAAGAGTTGGCGCGGGCGAAGAAGTCTCCATCGACGAGTTCCTCGAGCCCACTACAGGTCAAGTGGATACATTGAAGAAGGATCAACAATTCCATCGTCAGAAACAAATCCAGATGAGGGAAGAACTCGAGGCAAAGGAGAAATTATTGCTTCAGAAGGGGAATGATGAAGAGCCCGATGCTCATCTAGATGGTACGTTGGGATCCTCGGACCAAGAGAAAATCCAAGCTGGTTCTTCTGCGCAGGGCTTCTGCCGGTTGCCGAATCCAAAGCTGACCTCGGCACTCGCCCACCAGGAGAAGAAGAAGAAGTCGCGACCGTCCCGGAGTTGGCGTCACAGAAAGATCGAAGTTGACAGTGACGACGAAGATGACGGCGTTGACCCCACCCACGATCGAAACAATCTCGAGAGCACCAAATCGAATGCGGCAGAGCCGAAGAATGAACCTAAGAAGAGACTAGGAGGTCTATGTTCACTCGGTGACGTCCTTCTGGCCAACGGCCTTGATCATTGGGGCAATCCTGTGGCCTGGGATATTGAAACCCAGGAAGGACGGTGGCTGCGCTGGAGAGATTCAAAGGTTGAGAAAGGCACATTACACGAGTTCCGCAATCCGACATTACAAGAGCTACATGAGCAATGCCCTTTTGACCCCCGACGACCATCCCCGTACATCGGTAAACCCTACAAGAATCTTCGGGAGAAACTTCAAGCCGAAAGACCTCCCTGGCCTTCAAACAAACCCAGCCGTGAACATTCGGATACCAAAGCTACCCACCCGGAGCCATCGGAACAAATCAACAGCGAAGACAGCAACCAGGTGGGCAAGGGGGAAGCGTCAATCAATCCGCCGCAACATGTCCGCAGCGGGCGCGTTGGAAGGATAATCCCCTGGGACGTGACCACCGCCGGTGGCGAATGGCTTCAGTATCGTGATGGACGGATTCGTAAGGGAAGATGGCAACATCATCAGTATTCTCGATTTACGGAGTTGAGCAATGCGTTCCCTTACAACCCTAACATGACATGGGCCGAACTTGAAGAAAAGAATCAGCAATTGCGAGTGTATTACAAGTCCACCATTCGAAGTACTCTGAACACTGAAGTTGATGCCATTGCCAATGTTGCGGCACAGTCGTCTGTTTCCCCTTCCAACGATGAGGATCGAAACTCTGGCGAGACAGGTTCCGCAAAGTTCGGCGGTGATACTCCATCAATCAGCAATCATCTGCATCAAGACGGTGGAGGCGTACCTGCCGGCGACCAGTCCTCCTCCCTGGAGAATTTGAATAAACTCGGTGAATCAGTAGACGACAAACCATTGACCGCCACTGTCCCGTCTCATGCCACTGATTCCGGTTCCCATCCAACAACGTCGACAGAACAACCGGATCATCCTGATCAAGAATTCATCCGAGCTCGAAGATTGGCCTTCTTTGCCAAGTTAATGACGCCCGCCAACAGCGCTCCCGAAGTCAACCCCCAGTTCTACCCGTCAATGCCTAACGGTGGCTCAATGACCTCGGACGCAGAACAATTCCAGACACCCGTTCAGTCTCATGAGATGCCCCTGCAATTTCTATCTCAGGACACGATGCCTGCGAACCATTTTACCCAGAGGGCCAGTTCAACACTGGGAGAATGTTCATCTGCCGGATCATCTGCGGAGTCTCTTCATCCTGGGCGTGATGAATCAGACGATACCTTTGATATGCGCGAATCCGACAACGAAAATCTTTCTCCTCTACGGGTGCCTCCCACACTTTACCCTGGTGCAGACTCTGGTCGGCGACCCAAAGATGAGGATCCCCGAATTATGCCGATTCCTCGAGTCCTTGGCTTTCAATTCGATCCTCAGCAGTTACGAGATCTGGCTGTCATTGCAAAAGGTGGAAACGGATGTGCTAGAGAAGGGGCTGAATTCAACATCGAAGATGAATACGAATGGGGAGGCGGAGGAATGATGGGCGGCAAAACCAGCACAGGCAAGCAATATGTTGGTATGAGCAGCAGTGATACGCCCTACGAGTCTGGCAAAGGAGATGAAGGGTTGCTTGATGAGCTGCCGAAGGTCTTGGATTGAAGCGCAACGAAGCTCTCTTTTTTCTTTTCGTGGTGAGAGGAACGGCTGGGGAATGGCAGGATGATGGCGGCATCATCAAATCGAACGGCGGCTGTGATTTCAGTTCCAGATGTATGAGTAGCTGAGACGGCATCGTTCAACGCCCACACCGTTCATCCATGATCAGATATCACCATTCGTATGGGAAGTCTCCATTTCTCGTCTCCTTGTTTGACCACTTTCGAGCTTTTCGTGTTTGTGGTTGGTTTGTTTCATCTTCGTCACGGAATCGCAGCATCTGATTGGCTACGCAGACGCGCCTCGTTGGACTACAGCCTCTCCTGATTTCTGAAACGATGACCTTCCTCCTCTACTCTAGCTTGGCTCGTCGTTGATGATATGTCTCGTCTTTTCTGTCTAGATCTTCTTCCATCTTCTCTGGCATAGCTAATCCGCGTGCGTCTGGCAGGATCCAGCCCATAATCAATCGATCAATGCTAATCAAGATTTTAAACGACGGCCAAACACTGTATCCCACGGAACCAGTCCTCAGTCTCGACCAGCTTTAACGATTCCAGAACATCGGGCCCATCTGTGACTTGAAAAACAAGAAAAGGTCCCATGACCCATCTCCTTGAGTGTAAGGATACATCTCAATCATAACGAGACACCGCACAATGGTCTCCACGCCGTCCCCGCCCAAAGTCCCCGCCTCGTCATCCTCTCTTGTTAGGCCCAAACCATGGTACCGCCATATCACTCTGGATCTCTTGTTGCTGATTCTCGCCAATTCCATCTTCCACCCCTGGATCACTCTGGTATTTTATCTCTGCCTGGCCGCGATCCATAAACATCGAGAACCCCTCGCATACTATACGCTATACTACACGGCATTCCTGGCCGTCTTGGAGATTGGACTCTGGATCGATCGGCGGATCTCCTACGGACAGCACAGGAAGATCGAGTGGGAGAATGAAGTGGTGGCTATTACTGGTGGAGGCTCAGGATTGGGACGCGTGCTGGCGGAGATGTTGTTGAGGAAGGGGGTCAAGGTGGCGGTATTGGATGTTAAGGAACCAGATGAGGAGGCGCAGGAAACGATGGAACGTTGGGATTTGGTTTGGGAGAAGGTGGATGTTAGCAAAAAAGACGAGGTGCAGAAAGCAGTGGAGAAGATTGTTGAAGAGGTAAGATTTCCCATCGTTGTATTTTACTAAGCCATTTCGTCTTCTCGAGGAAAAAGAGATTGGCTTCAATTCAGATATGACTGGAGGGGTATCCGTTCTCACAGTCTACATCTAGCTCGGATCACCAACGATCCTGGTCAACAACGCAGCGGCACCGATCAGTGGTCTTCCTCTGGTGTCCTCTCCAAGCAACCCGTCGACTTTATCCCCTGAACAGGCCACCAAAACCATGACGACCAATGCCCTGTCCCACTTCAACACTCTTTCCGTGTTGCTTCCCTATCTCACCTCGTCCGAGACAGGCGCACACATCGTCACCATCTCCTCGATCCTCTCTCACCTCGCCCCGGCCTCGTTGGCAGAATACACATGCTCGAAATCTGCCGTGTCGTCACTGCACCAGACGCTGTGCCACGAACTGCGCGCCCATCCTGACCCGGCAATGTTCTCGAAAGTCAAGACTCTCTTAGTCGAGACGGGACAACTTGACACGCAGCTTTTTGCCAATAAGACTTCGTTGCCCCTTTATGCGCACTTCTTCGGTCCCGTGCTCGAATCGAAAGACGTGGCTAAGGAAATTGTGCGCACGATTGAGAGGGGTGATGGTGGCGTGATAAGAATGCCGTTTTATGCGAAATGCATGCCTGTTTATGCTATGCTGCCGGGCACGTTGAAGTTGGTGATTCGTTGGTTCAGTGGGATTGATAGGGCGATTGCGCTTGGAAGGAAGGCGTCTTAATACTGTGATCGAGATGGATATCATGCGGATGTACCATATTCCGGACCAGTCGCGGACACCGTTTCTGTGTCTGGGCAATAGTGTAAACGGACTTCCGCATCATAGCACTCCGTGGAATGATGTTGTCCACAGATCGTAAATTCCCCCCTCCGTGACGGGAATTCTCAAGTCAGTTGGCTGTACCAGCTGCGTATCGTAGTTTCCTATTTTTTTTTTTTTTTCTTTTATTTTCCCTCTCAATCATCTTCATGAATCGTCATGCCATTCTCTTTCGCCACCTCCGCCACACCAAAACCACTTCCATGCTCATCATCTTCCCTGTCGCGTCTCGGAGCCTGTAACCCACCACCACCAGCCTTCCCCTTGACAGTCTCAATCTCAACATTCCCACTCGCGCCGCCATCAGCTCCGTTACCGTCCCCGTTATCCTTCTTACCACCTTGCTGCTTATTCTTCCTCTTATTCCTCCTCTCGCGATTCTTCCTCGTTTTTTCTTCATCTCGTTTCCTTCTTTCCCTCTCCTCCCTCTCCCACCTGGCGTCTTCCTCTTCCTTCTTCGCCTCTTCATCCATCATGCGTAGACGCTCATACTCTCGCCTCCTACTAGCTTTGTACACGTGGAACTCTCCTGATCCTGCGCCTGCAGAGGATCCCTGCACATTTGCTACGATCTCCGGTGGGGCGGGCAACGAGGGTTTTTTAGTGCTCGAGGCGGGTGGAAGGGTGATTGGTTTGTTAGGGTCGAGAAATAAAGAGTCAATTTCGTGTGCTTGGGCAGATGATGCAGTGTTGGACTGAGGGCCCCGGGCGCGTTTGACGGGACGGTGCGAGCGAGGGTCGGCGGACGTGGGGATCGATTCGGGGATGGGTTCGGACATTTTGATCTCGAGTAAGGTAAAAAGGAATTGAGAGGTATGTTTTAAAGACAGGCAGAAGACAAACCTGGTATCGAAATGGGGTTCCATCCCACATATACAATTTACGGCGAATCATAATTACTTCACTGCAAGCACTTGTGCTCCCTAAAGGAGTATTCGTTACCTTCCTATTCCTTGGTTTACAAGCGCCAAATTATTCCATGATGTCCAGACAGCGCCGATTATGTCCAGTCATTGCTGAGTTGTTCAAGCTGTTGATCCCCCCCGACAGCTATAAAGGCCCAGGTTCTTAGTAAACAATGAGCCGAGGTTTCCAAGAGGCCAAACCCGAGTTGTGGGGTAAAACATCAGCAATCAGCACCTTATCGTTCTCCATCTATACCTTTCTGATTCCTTCTGCGTCTCATTTTACTATATTTCACCTTCCTGGAAGTTGTTTTGACGAATTTTGTTGGATATTCAACTATTCCGAGTGTGTGAAGGTGTAACCTGACTCCAGATACGCCGCATATCCATCCATCCATCCATCATGGCAACAAAAAGCAGCTATAAGTACACAGATGTGATCCTTGAGATCAAGGGCAAGATTGGCATTATCAAGGTATCCCATCGTCACCTCCTGAGAACCGGAATTACAAGTCTGACTGACCTTGGTCTAGCTTAACCGGCCCCGATCTCTCAACGCCTTCGGCGGCAATTTGTTGATGGATTTAGTCACAGCGATCAGAGAGTTGAATGAGCATCCTGACACAGTCTTCACGGTTCTCACTGGTGAAGGAAGATTTTTCTCTTCGGGGGCTGATGTTAGGGGTGAGTGAACCACTCCTATCCTGCACCCTTAGGGGCCGTGAGAATTTCGACGCCGGAACTGAGCTGATTAATTATCATCTACAGCCCAAGCAACACGCCCAAAAGTTGATTTTCCGAGTCCTGCGGTGAAGAAAGTCGAGTACATGGCTGGCATATCCGTCGGTACGTGACAAATCACCTTCTGATGGGGTTAATATACAAAAGCCGTCACTGAAATACTGTCTCCGCTGATCTATTTACCCATACCCATAGTGATCGAAATATTACGGTCTTTGATTGACCACAAAAAGGTCTATGTGCTGGCTCTCAACGGTCCAGCCGTTGGAGGAGGTGCGGCCTGGTTCGAAGGCGTCGCCGATATTGTCTTGGCCGCTCAAGATGCCTACCTCCAAGTCCCCTTTAGCGCACTCGGACTGGTGCCGGAGTTTGGTTCGGCAACGAGCTTGACGCATTCAATGGGCGTGCATCGCGCAAACGACTTCCTCATGTTCGGTCGCAAACTGACAGTCGAAGAGCTCGAAAAATGGGGTATGATCAATCGAATTTTCCCCAAGGAAGGGTTCCATGACAAGGTAGTGGCATTCTTGGAGGAGCAATTGGCGGAGAACGACGGAAAGAGCATGATGGAGGCGAAGAGGCTGCAGAATCTACCGTTGAGAAGGGAGAGGATGTTAGCAGTCTATGATGCAGCGGAGGCGTTGGCGGAGAGAATAGTAGAGGATGCACCGACGCAGAGGTTCAAGGAGAAGAATGCGCTTTTGAATGGTAAGTATTTTCAACCCTCTGTCGTCATGGTGGACAAGAGCTGATGGGGAGATATATAGCCAAGTCGAAGGGCAAGGCGAAACTGTAAGAATGGCCCAGGAAAAGTGAAAGAGGAATAAAGGCCACTCGGAACCATAAACTGGTTCATCCACAAGATCGTACCGGAGTTCAATATGCCGCATCGACGCGGCCGTTCAGGAAGGGCTCATCCTCTTCCCCGTAAGACTGGCGGCACGTAACTCTGATCATCATGCAGCACGATCTTTTTTGGGCCTTGAATTCTGCAGAACGTCCCATGGTCTTTACTAGCTATAAGAACGCACAGTATGAAAGTTGCCTAGTATATTCCAGACCCATCGTGCCTAGAAAGGGAGGAAGCGATACCGAGGTCCATGTCTATCGCCAGCTTATTGCTCCTCCTTCATCCTCAAGGTAGAGACTTGACCTTGTTCAGAGTAACGTTGCATCATCATTTCGTTTGATTCTTGATTCTAACTCGATACTGGTGCATCTAATGCTTGGCCATCCGGTACGAGAAGTCGCATATTTGTTGCAGTTGTGAGCAGAACATTCTCGCCGCAGAGCCTTTGAATATCCGAACCTTCAAAGGGATCAAGAAATGTCTAATTCCAAAGAATTGACGATCCCACCTCCCTCTCCGGTAAGATTGAGGCAGATCGCTCTGATAGCCGAAGACCTCGAAAGAGCAAGATATTTATTGGTAATGTGCCCACTTCGCCAACTTTGGTTCTGGGAAAACACGGACTCACTCTCTCTAACGTTAGACCGCGATTCTGGGGACAGAGGTTGTCTTTGAAGATCCACAAGTCGCAAACTGGGGTTTGAAGAATATCCTAGGTGAGACATTCTCCGTTGTACAACCCCTTTAGGCGTCTTATCAAACATGGTCTCCCTGCAGTTGCCGTTGGCGGCGATATCATCGAAGTCTGCTCCCCCTTCAAGCCAGACACCACCGTGGGCAGACTGCTCAAGAAGCGAGGCGATGGCGGCTACATGATCATCATGCAGACTACGGACGCGGCGGCGCGGAGAAAGTACCTCGAATCGAACAAATTGGCCAAAGTCATATTCGGCTACTCGCACGGGGACGTTGAATGCGTTCAGTACCATCCCAAAGGGATACTCGGTGAGTAGATATATCGCACAGCAATGAGGAGAGTTCTATCGCACAAGGCACTCTCATTAACGGGACAAAAGGTGGAATGATGCCCGAACTGGACTCTCATAAACCTTCACCCAGCAATCCTACGCCCCTGGAATCTGTTTTCAGCCCATGGCACGCCTGCGGACCCGATTACGACAAATATTCGGCGGCAATGAAGCGGTGCTCGCACCTAAGGCTCCTCAGCGCCACATGTCGTCTTGCACCGGGCCGAACTGACACCGAATCTGCAGCGGAACAGTGGCGAGGCTATTTCGGGGTGGAAAAGCACGGTAGCGAGCTGATTTTTACGAATGCACGGTTGAAGTTCGTCCCGGGTGTCGAGGGCCTGTCCGAGGGGCTGGAGAGTATTACGCTCGAAGTTACGGGGAAGCAAAGATTCCAAAAGATGTTGGAAATCGTGGCCCGAGAGGGACTCTGTGGGGATGGGTGGACGAATTTGCTGGGTGTGAAATGGCTTTTCGTCCCCAAAGACGAGGATGGCGGCGAGAGGGAAAGTAAATTGTAATGATCTTGAGGCGGATGACCGTATTGAACTCTCCCCTTGGAATCTTCTGTCTCTTGAAGGCCTGGAATTCAAGGCTCTTTTAGTGTAGCAATCTGGAACCTAAGGTAGAAGAGTGATCATTCACCAGTGAATCACAGAATTGACTGCTATTCCAAAGCATCCTGGGTTCAGGCTTCTCAGGCCAAGTCCTACGCCGCTCCACCTTTTCGATTCTGAGTGAAACAGGCACTCAGACTGTCACCTGAGCCCGTGGCGATCACTGCTGGTGTTTCGCCAGCCGAGTCGCATGGCTCCCGGGGGAAAAAAAAAAATAAATCAGCAACCTGGAGGTCGGTCTTATCACAATGATGTTTGAGGCATGGCCGAATCCGTAAACAGAAAGAACCCTCAGGGGTGATTAGATTCGGCAAGTCAGTGACTTTGTTTAGTACAAAAGCACCGACCGATTGAGCAAAAGGCTACCAGGCGGAGTAGGGAAGTGGTTCTTTTGTTGGTGGACCCCGCAAGCAGCAGTCGAATCAATCTCTCTTGTCCGCCCTATTTTGGCCACGTCAGTTTTACGCGTAAGGTTCGTCTACCTTTGCAAAGTCATTCCCGTGAGATTGGGAAGACCAAATCATCCCAAATGATAAGCCTCTGAGATTCACGCGGAGTTTTGTGTTTCTTCGCCGTGCAGAGTTAGTGCCGGGCGTGGGAGTGGAACGCATGGGATCCCAAGTCCGGCGGTAACTCGATGAAGAACTCCTTTCAATCCGTGAAAACACTTACGCTCGATCATCAGTAATACAGAGCTTTCCCAAGGTTTATTCTCACCTTCCCCGCGTCTTGACCCTCGACTTGAAAAGCATCTCTTTTCTACTCGATATCCACAAGACATGATATACTACACTTCGTACAACAAGCACACAAGAAATATATATATGCGTACATAGACTCTAAACCAGGGACCGACCGGCCGAAGACAACGGTAACTATCTCCAAATGGCTTGCATCAGCGTGCCTCAACTAGTCACCGAGTCACCGAGTCACCGAACATGGAACGCCTCCTTTCAGCCTTAGCGCATTTGCAAGTCTCAAAGACAGACCTCGCTCTGAATTTGTCCAGGTCGAATTACCCTGGCGAAGCTTTTCAATCCTCACCAGCAACGCGAGAGTAGCCATCCTAGGCGCTCCACAGCTCCGTACCGCTCGGGTAAGCGAGAACTTACTGACTAGGGGTCCACTAAGAAGTCATTCTTTTACATCAATTCCTAGAGAGTATTCAGTTCCACATTCGAGTCTATTGCGTACGCCTGTTGTAGCTCCTGCGCACAAGCAGCATGCAGGAAGCCCACAGCCTGGCTCCAGGAGAGAGAGGATCATGAATAAAAAAATACTGAGGCCCTGATCGAGGTTTGTCTGTGTTTTCCTATCTGTATTCTTCTTCATCCATTTCATATTCAGTCCTTCTCTATCTAGCATTGACGCTCTTGGGCGTCGTCCACTCGCTACATCTTTGGCCCTGATTTGTGTACCGCGCTTGTTATTCGAAAAGACACGTTTTGTGCGAAATGGCTCTTTCTTCTCTGTTCCTATGGATGGCCCTTCTTTTGACCTTGTCCGTGCAAGCACTCCCTAATGCTGCAGCCTTGGGACCGGAGCACAACACGAAGCCTACAGGAGGCCCTATTCGTCGTGCGACTCATCCTACAAGTCCTCCTACAGTGGTGCCACAAAGCTCTGCTTCGCCAATTTCGGTAACGAGTTTAAGTGTATGGAATAGAGTGCTTTCCAGACGTCCAACTTTCATGCTAACGAAACGCTCATTACAGCCCGTTTCTTACTCTGGCCCCGACATAACCGGAACAGCACATTTGCCTGCCTCACTGTCGGCTGTCGTCTTTCCAACCCAGCACCCAACCTCAGGATTTCCGAAAGCAACACAATCTTTGGGAGTTAATGTATTGCCTCAGAGCAGAACCAATGGAAACTCCCCTCTTGGGACTTTCAATTCTCCCAAATATCCAAGATTCATTGGCGAAGCTCCAGGTACACCGAGCCTTGCTGGACCACCACCAGGTGGATTTCCTTGGGGAAACCGAACCGCAAATGGCACCAATCCCTACCGATCAGCTCCTTCCACTGGCATTGTACGCTCCTACAATTTCGTCATTTCAAGAGGCATCATTGCTCCTGATGGCGTCGAACGTAGCGTGCTTTTGATCAATGGAGCGTTCCCCGGTCCGACGATTGAGGCCAACTGGGGAGACACTATCCAAGTTACGGTGACTAATAACATTACCGGCCCCGAAGAAGGCACCGCCCTCCACTGGCACGGCTTGTTGCAGAAAGGAACTCCGTACGAAGATGGAGTTCCAGGTATCACTCAATGTCCAATCGCACCAGGACAGACTTTTACCTATTCATTCAATGCGGACCTCTACGGTACATCCTGGTATCATTCACATTACAGTGCCCAGTACGCTGGAGGTATTCTAGGAGCAATGATCATCCACGGACCAATTAACGCGGCATATAACAATGACCTCGGACCGGTCATTCTGTCCGACTACTATCACAAGGACTACTATACTATTGTCGAGGAAGTCATGGGCACAGATCTGAGCCAGGTCGCTCCCTCTTCAGACAATAATCTTATCAACGGAAAAGGAGTGTACGACTGCGACGTGCTCCCTGCCAATGTCACCTGTACCCCCTATGCCGGTCTGTCAAAGTTCCAGTTCACCTCAGGTCAATCCTATCGACTTCGACTCATCAACGCCGGGGCCGAATCTTTGCAGCGTTTCAGTATAGATAATCACGTCCTCACTGTCATTGCATACGATTTTGTGCCAATTACTCCATATATTACCGATGTTGTCACTCTTGGTGTTGGTCAGCGAGCGGATGTGGTCGTTCAAGCCAATGGATCTACCACGGATGTGGTCTGGATGAGATCTACTATCAGTACGACCTGCTCTCTCCCAACTCAACCCGACGGATTGGCCATCATCTACTATCAAAACGCCAATACCACCGCGGTTCCAACTTCAACCGCCTGGCCTATCGATGACACCTCTTGCGGAAACGACCCTTTGAGCGGGACTGTCCCCTACGATGCCATCACTCCCCCCAGCGCCAATACCACCATCGACATTGCCTTGAACTTCGAGATCAACCAAACCGGCCACTTTTTGTGGACAATGGACGGCTCCAGCTTCCGCACGGACTATAACGATCCAATCCTCATGCTCGCTGACGCCGGAAACGTGTCCTATCCCTACGATCCAGAGTGGAACGTGTACAATTTCGGCAGCAACAAGAGCTTCATCATGGTTATCAACAATGAGACTCCATTGGTCCATCCAATGCATATCCACGGCCACAACATGTTTGTCTTGAACGAGGGTGTAGGATCCTGGAATGGTACCGTCGTCAATCCCTCTAACCCTACCCGACGAGATGTGCAATTGCTTCAACCGTCCGGATATATTGCTATTCAAATCGACGCTGACAATCCCGGTGTGTGGCCTTTCCATTGCCACGTTGCCTGGCACGTCAGCGGAGGCCTCTATGTCAACGTTTTGGTACGCTTCAATCGATCTTTTCCTTCCCTACTCCTATGACGCGTAAACTAATCTCCAACAGGAACATCCCGATCTGATTCCCTCGCAAATTGATATCCCGTCCAGCGTCAGCGATCTCTGCACGACATGGGGTGCCTATACAAGTGAGGGTCCGATTGATCAAATTGACTCCGGGCTGCGCAAGCGAGGCCATCTTGGACGTCATAGATTCAAAAACCCAGTCCGACGAGCATAAGGACTTGAATTCACTGGTATCGGACCCGATGATTGGTACAAGTTGTAACAAAAGTTGTTGGTATATACAGTTTGGCTTTGTCAGCCATCGTGTCTTGAGGCGGGTTGTCTTGGAAAAGGAGGATCTGTGGCCAAGGAATTTGCTTGTACCGGGACGGAGGTCATGGCCGGGATATTCCAAAGTTAATATCTTATGTTCGTATGCGGGATACAGATTATGCGATTGATTTTAATGGAGTGAAAATAATACTTTTCATTAGATTCAGGCTGGTGGGAGCCATGTACTCCGAACCCAAAAGCTAATGGAGAGTCTACCTCACATTCTTCCTCCTCGCGCTGTTGCCAGAGCTCCAGACTCATAGCACCGCGCAACTAGTTTGTGCAAAGCTCACTGGCTCATGCCTCCCGCAGATTCTCACTGCGAGCACATCTCCGCTTCAAATTCAAACCTTTGTTGACAGACTGCGCACTCGCCCCAAGCCATGGAGACTGTTACTTGATCTACTGTCGCCGTTCCCATGGCATTAACATGCCCCTGCTCCACGGAGAAGGAGAGAAAGCGTTCATAAAGCTCCAAGAAGAGATTATGAAGGTTTCGGATGACCATAACCTGTTTGCCTGCTCGACGTCATGGTAGATTCTGGCGATCTTTTCGCAACCTCCCCAGCCCGGGTTCTCCATTTCTCGCGTTATCATTCCAGTCAATCCTTCGAGTCTCAAGCGAAGCCATAACCGTGTAACCACTATCTGTTACCTGCACCTTCATAGTGTGTCTGAATAAGGTCCTCAACGGAATGATGGCCATATTTTGACGCCAGTTCTAGTGCTCTGCGGTATTGACCACTTCCACATCCTCTGAGGTTGACGCCAGCGTTTAGAAGCAATTTTACCATGTCTATGCGCCCATGCTCTGCAGCCCCCTCTAGGGCTGTTCTTCCCTCATCCAATGCTGCCTCTGCATTTACATCAGCGCCCGCATTTAGAAGTATTATGGCAATGCCAACATAGCCTCCAATAGCTGCCGTCTGAAGTCCAGTCACTCCAGCATACGGGGCAGGTGGTGCATTAACATCTGCACCGGCAGCCAGAAGGACCTGGACCAGCTCTAGGTCGCCTCTCTCAGCTGCTGTCTGTAGCGCAGTCCTTCCTCCTCGTTCTGATGCCGGGGCATTGACATCTGCACCGGCAGCCAGAAGTACCTGGACCAGTTCCATGTAGCCTTCCTCAGCTGCTGCCTGTAGAGCAGTCCTTCCTCCTCGCTCTGATGCCGGGGCATTGACATCTGCACCGGC